ACAAAGTAACTTCTAGCGACCACATCCTATCTCGACATCTCCAGTACAACTTGACTAATAACATCTCGACTTCAGTCGTTAGTCCGATCGTCCTCATTTATCCTCCGTGGGAGGATTGAAGTGCGATTACCAGTGAAGATAATGAGTACGACTACGATTGGTGGGGCCTTCCTTTGGATGTATACGTCTGCGAATACCATCAGCTTGCTTCGACATAGGACAAAGAGGCGAGTCAGATCTTGCACCCACTGTTTGCCTCGCTGCTAAGTAGTCAAATCACACTGGCCGCTGGCTGCTTGCTTCCCTGCCTGCACATATCCCCTCAGCTAAACCCTGATCACATGAAAGGGGTCGGCTCTGTCGGACCCATGTCTGACCAACGACGATGAGGCCCGGCCTTGTAATATGTAGTAAGTCCGATCATGTAAATGACCCCAGTTGATATGGACTAACGCTGAGCTAGCCTGTGTGTTGAATATCCCACCCTTCTCATAGCGGGACCGTCCTGCAACGACGAAATTCCATTCATACCAGGTCTATTGCTACTTATCTTAATCTCGACGTGAAGTTATACCATGAGCACGACCCGATAAGTTCTTGATATACCATTGCTGAAGTCTGTGGCTAGGACAACCTGCCGACTGGTGGCCGTTGGGCTTCGAAGGCCATTATAGAGCGATGGACATTCGATCCTCCGATATCCCGACCCGTCCATCATATACATATATCCATTCTTCACTCGATGCTAAACGGAGGTTAGGGTTGGAATATGGTTGGGGACCGAACCGGTATGGGGTACGAAAGCACCTGCTACCACTCCATGATGGAGACTTGAGAAAACCCGGTGGCATGTACGAAGCGTCCCTTGGCGAACTAAAGGCTAGTTCGCCTACTTAACATATAGATACTAATGGATTTCGGCTGACTAGGGAGACTTACATCCTGTGGGAGTCCCATGCGGCACAATATGGTGAGGCCTACTCGAGACTCAACATGGATCGATGTTCCAATAGAGTTTATCACATCGACTCGGCATTTAAGTACGTGCTCGCCTGGAGATTGGTTACCTCTCCGCAATAAACTTTGGCCTCATCCCGAGAGAGTGGCACTGCCGTCTAGTACCCGCAACCCAAGTCGCCCGGCCCACTAGCGTGGAACAGATCCGTCCGTTACAGTTTACTCTCCCAGCCAGAAGTGTCCCGTCTTCTCTGAGCCCCTATCATCAATATTAGCCCAAAGCTAAAATCAACAACCCCTAGGCTATGTAGACCAAGGGGAGAGGACCTCAGCTCTAGACCGCGTTGTGAGGATCCTTCTCTCCTTATTTTAGCTCCTCGAAGGAGTAATAAGCTCAGCTCACTCCCCCGCTTTACGTCATAGGACGGGATAGTTGCCCTTGATGCCAGACAGGTCATTTTCCCTGGCCCTCAAGCGCTATTAATGTCTCCAATGGCCCAGTCAATAGCGCCTTGGCTCACGCGGTGAGCGTAACCTTCTTTCGAGGGTATTGATCTCCCGATTGCTTCATCATGCATCATCTCCGAATTATAGACCGAGATTATACTAACTGACTGGGCGTGAAGCCATGGAGTATATTGGAGTCCGCTCGTGTAGCCAGAAGAAGTGAAACCTCCCCTATAATGTCTAGAAGACTCCCAGGTTGCGTTGCTCACTATCATGTTGAGACCCCGTCGATGCCAATTAATCAATACCAGGAGCTTCATGTTGAATGAAGGGCCCCATTTCCCAGCACACCATTGGGCTTTCTGATGTGTTGACATGCTAATATCCCACTTAGGTCTAATGATCTTCGATTTCCAGCGTGGAACTAATACGTATTTAGGTTGGTCAAAGACAACGTGGAACTACGCTGCATGTAGCCAGACGTGGTGCAAGGCTTGTCGTCACCCCCAGAAATCCCAACACGGGAGTTAGATCCTAGCGTGAGAGACTGAGCAAGGCACATCCATGTCTCGAGTGCCTTCCAAGGAAAGAGCTCTCAAGCTCAAACTAGCTCCAACGATCGATAGCTTCAATCTGTGAATACCTCCAGTAGGAGGAACCACGGCCGTTCCGCGTGGCCTCACGTTTTGTCCCAGCTTCCAAGCCACCTCATGATGTAGACAAGTCTCAGGAGGTGATAACTCTCATCATATGATTGGACTGATTGATAAGGTACTTCTCGAAAGACTTTCTTCGGATTAATCCGACAGATGAGTCGTGCTATGGAAGACACCTTTCGCAGCCGCAGATGCCTAGTGCGCTCGTTGCCGCGGCGGGGCGAAAAGAAAAGAAAAAAGCGACAGACGAAGGCGTCGCCATGCAGCTGTTGGCGGAGAAGACGCTATGCCAAATGTCTTTTCTAATGGCACTAATGCAGAGTACCCACAGGCTCTACTAACATCAGTTGCTCTTGTTGGCAAAGAAAAGAGACTAACACAACGATATTGCTCCTCTAGACAGACCTAGTCCCGCCATGTCTCAGCTGTGATCTCCTCGGGGCGGGGCCCGGAATTACCGGAGCAACTACCACGGCGGTGAGAACCGAGCTACGGAGTACTTCGCAGGCGTGAGTCTGCATCAATACGCCATTCTGAGTTCGGATTTTGGTAAGGTGGCCGTCGCTTTCTCCTGATCTGGTGTCGTTGGTAAAGAATCATTCCCTAGTGGTGATTATATTGCTTCCAGGAAGCAAATATTACCTTGAATATAGTTTATAGTGTTTACTTCGGGGGGTGTTTCGAAACAATAGGTGGATAGGAATGAAATGAGAGATATCCACTGGTTGCCTAGTAGTTTTGTTCTCTCCATCATAGACCCAGAAATGCTCCACAGGAGAGCCTGGATTTGGTCCCGAGCCCTCCTCGACACAGGGCGAAGCGGCTCTCACAATCCTTCTCTGTAGTGCCCTTCAGGTATACGAATATCGGAATGGGCTTCTCGAGTAGTGGATAGTGCCTGCGACCCTCGATTACCAATGGAACCTCTGACTTCAGGTCATCGATAGGCAGTTGACTCTCTCCGATTCAATACCAGTTTCCGCTAGCTCCAGACTGCCGCCTACCGGACGTAGAAGTCAACCCTAACGATTTCTTGAAGCACACCGGGTCATGCTTCACGGCCCCGAAGTTCCGGAGCCCTGCCTGGAGCTGCGGTTCGTGTACGGTCAATGGGTGGGAAACTAGGCATCGGGGTGTTAGTGAACGGACGAGGGGGCATTCATCTAGTTTGATTAGTGGCAGATTTTGATAATATCATCCTCTAGGTATGTTCGGTGCTATCGTACGGTCGAAATGGGGAGGTGAGTCGGACTATGGTCTGATCAATCTCAGCGGCCTCGTCTTTCCCGGCTCTAGAAGAGATGAATTTCTAACAGAAAAAAAAACAAAAGGAATATAAACTGGAAACCAAGCACAGGATCTTCGGCGCCATTCGTTCAACATGTGGAATGTCACCACATAGGAACAAGCCATCGTGAATTAGAACTCAACCCTGCCATCACCCATCTTCGAAAGAGATTTATTTAATATCCATTGTCTCCAAATTCTGCTTCCAGCTAACCGGAGGATGAAGTAGTATAATCCAAGGTTGCCTGTTCACATTCCGAAACCAGGAAACAAAGATGAATGCTAGGCCCTGTCGAATAGATGAGTTCCGTTCCCTATCATCACCGATGCTGTGGCCCCTTTGTTATTTGGAAGTCTCTTCTAGGCTTAAGATAGAATTTGCCGCAGCCGAGCATCCGAACCACAGGACCTACAGAGGAACGAGGGACACCGCCCCCTAGAACCCTGCGCATCATGTCGCTGGCGCGACGGATTTAGGCTGTCCCAAGAGAACCGGCCACATATCGCCGGAGCTCTCCACCTCCTTCCAGCCCATCCCCTTGGTTGGCTATCTTCAATATTTCTGTAAAACCTATTCCCTATTTCCCAGAACTCCGACATCTGTTGGTGGGCAGTTGCATTCAGCTTGCCGCAGGCTCGAGTCTCTACAGATTTCTCAAGGGACATCACGGATCGGATATACTCTCGAAAGATTGGCTCATTCTATTCCGGGAAACCGAACTTTGCCAAAGCTGACGAGGTCTTCAAAGATACGCCGAAGACATCAAGGCCAATTGCTCCCCCCCTTATCTTAATATTCAGGTGACGACACCAGCACTTGTGAGTGGTGCTCAGCGACGCGCTTGAGGGAATTGGCACGTCAACCGATGGGATCGAGGCGAATTACAGGTCAGAAAGCGGACGGATATATTGGCATAACATCCTCATATCCGGCCGGGACCGTCCTCTTTGGATCATTCGTATCTTATATTACTTCCAGTCGAGTACTCTCTGCCATTGGCCTCACCATAGCATATGAAGTTTTTCTACTTCTGGACGTCGCATCCAATAATTTTATATATTACTGATCTATTATTAGGAACACATTTTTAGGGCGAGTGCTTCTCGCTGTATATCGTCTTCCCTCCTGCATTCGTTCCGCCTCTCTCTTGATGGTCTCCAACATCCTGATTCTGCGCAACCGGCGAGTGTACCGCCACCGCCCCGGCCAGCAGGTTCTCGCCCCCAAGGTGCCCTGCCCGGTGTATCTTCTAGTTTTAATTTTACGTGCTATCGAGACCAGAGCCGTTCTTCTTCTAAGGGGCGGATAAATGCAAAAGTGGCAATTCTAGAGCCAGGACCCAAACGAAGTGCGCAGAATGCCAGGGAGGGGGCGAATCTGTCTTCTCCCAAGGAGCAGATTTTGGCGAGGGCCGAAAAGTATCTGATCCGATATCATTATGTTGTAAACCGAATCACGTTGGCTTCATCTTGCACTTGTCAGCCTAATGAGACTGTTCTCGTCAGGCAGGAATGCTGTGGGCAAGGGAGAGAGATCTATCCCAGCGACCAGTCACAATACCTAGGAGAAAGAATAGAACGTGTCCCCTCTCAAGAAAGGTATATGGATATTGCGATCTGGGTGCGGTGAAGATAATCTAAACGAAGACCCGCATGCTCAAACAAATCTGGGGCCCGGAGCGGAGGTTTGCGGATTCAACCAAGTGCTGGAGCTTTGCGCAGCCATCAGATCGAAACCTGGGCTTGGCGTCTCCCAATATCCGGGTCAACTGGACAAAGGTAGGTGGCATGACGCTAATCACATCGTGACTCTTTCGCGTCCACCTTGAGGTTTTCTCCAATTTCGGGATATATATTAGCCCCTGAATTTGCCTATCACCATGTTTCTCCTTTGAGGCTCGCTAGCAAATGCAGGAGAGTCGCCCGGTTCGTGGCCATAGACAGCGGGGCGGATGGCTGGGTATTAAAGGAGGGCATCGGCCACCATCCCTTGGAGAGAACGGGGGTGGAAAGGGAAAACCAGGATCGAGCGTCAGACCTTCGTGTACTAGAATTCTTCCTTCGTACTCTGACAAACCTCTCTAATTATTCGCCTCTCCTTACGACAGCCTCAACTGTCTTCGGTGTTGTGCTCCACTTCCCGGTAACGACCCTCGCCGCGTGGTTCAGAACATAACCTCGATATCCAGTTCTTCCTTAACGTTCCAATGAAGATACACACCGTCGCCGCTGGCGGTATCGCCATCCTCTCCGGGGTTGTGTCTGCCCAAGGTTTCCTTAGTTCTTGCAGTCAAGCTGTAAGTTTCCTTCTTCTCTCCTTTCGTGTGCGAGTTCTCGTGGATCATTTGATGTTCAGCAATGTCTACTGCACCGGAGGGCTTTGCAATAACGGAAGCGTTTCCCACATGAGAATCAGAGATCTCGGCTAATTAGGATGGCCCATGGCAGTGGTTTGCGTCGACCAGTACCCCTTGGCTGTATGCGAGGTGCGATAGCATATCGAAGGAGAAGATACTGTCCAGGATAGACCTAAACCAGTGCATCGGAAACGAGAACGGTGTCCTGGTTTCCCGAACCAAGTACGTGGTTGCGTACCTGCTCCTGCTTCTCACCTTTGAATCCCGCTCCTCCTCGCAAAGACCAGCAGCAGACACCTCAAAGAGCCTAGTCTCCCATGATGCTGTTTGTCCCTCACTAACGGGACCGTTTAACTATAGGGGCAACTTCCAGGGCAGCTGTAACAGTTGTGTCGCTGATGACTTGACCAATGTTTCTGATCCGGAGAACCCAGTAATTGGTGACATCACCATCAACCTCCCGGTCCAGGGGACCAACTTGACTTGTTCGTGTCGGGAGAAGGATGGCGACCAACGCATTGGGACATCTATTAACCTGAGTAAGTTTCGAATTGCATTTCCCTTGTGTTCCTTGCGTACTGGCGACAAGTAGGAAGAAGAGAGAAACGAAAGAAAGAAGAACAGAACCAGTATATGTCTGACGTTTTCCACTTATAAATAGACACTGTCATTGGCAATGACAACGGCGTTCTCAAGTGCTTCGACAATTACGGACAGAGCTTCGGCTAGGGCCTTGGATCTTGATATGGAGTTGGGGATCGCCGTAATCCGGCGAATGATCCCTGGGCTAGCAACTTGGAGAGCCGGTACTAAGTTCGACGTTGTATATATATCCTGGAAGAATCTTCTGCAAATGCCAAATTCCAAATGTCCTTTTTGAGTTGCCAGTTTTCGACCGATTGATGGAAGGTAAAGTCATGTATGACCCCTGACGTCCACTTGCTTGACCAGCGTTTCCTCTCACTTGACCAGAGAAGGTAAATTGTTCATCCAACCTGACTTGACGGTAGCGGCAAGAGAGGCAAACAGGGGCATGGGATGCCCGCAGCTTATCCCGCACGGAGCAATTCAGATACCCAAAGATGTCGCCTCGAGCTGTTAACGGACCGACCTTGATCCCAACCCCAGTCGCTCGGAGGAGAGAATGCTTGGGCCAAGATCCCCCGGCATACTACTCCTTGTACTTCGCAGACTGGATTGAATAGCAGGGAGTTGCCACGCCTTACACAGGTAATCTGTGATGCTATGCTCAATACCGGTTATGATCTACAGATATTAGGCCGAGAGAACCTGGCATACTATAAGTCTCAGCGATTAATTGTCGTCATCACAAATCAATTGATGTCTGCTTGAGAAAATAGCGCCGGATCGAATTATTGAGGTAATCTTCATTCGATTAACCAAGCACTTCTTGTCTATCAGGAATTTCGTCTGAGCAATACAGACAAACATGGGTATGCAAGATTCCATGTCAAAAGCGACGTGAGGCCGGTGATGACCACGTTCTCTTCTCTTCTCTTCCTTTTCTTTTTCTCTTCTTTCTGGCTTCATCTCTAGTGATTTCACTTTTGGGGGCTGAATGATCAACAGTTTGCAGAAGGGAAGTTTGGCACCCGGCCAAATAATACGCTGTCCATCTCAAGCAGGATCCCTGGATGTGATGAGAGAGATGGGTGGTCCAATAAAAGGAATTGATTCTTGTCGATCATTAATTTGGTCACTAAACTACACCGTACAGAATGCTCCATCGCCTGGCTGCCAATCCCCTTGCTTTCAGCTTGTCTTCAGTTTTTGATTCGACAACGACCTTCCATCAATCCTTGTCACACTGCGTCCGGTTGTGCTTAGAGCGCGAAGAGTGCAGCGGCCAAAGCTGCAATTAGGGAGATGCTGCTCACAGCCGCGCTGCCCTCGGGAAGGTTTGTTGCCAGAGGTGGTTCACTGGGTGTAGGGCGGGTCGTCGTCGAATTGCTTCCAGTAGGAGCGGGCTTCTCATCTCCTTGATCGTCGTGGCTGTGGCCGTGGCCGTCGTCTTCGTCCGCAGGCTTGTCATCGCCTTCATCACCACTCACAAGGGCGAAGTTTGCGCAGGTAATGCGTGTCTTGTTCGCGAAGTGGAGCACAATGCTGCGGTTACCGAAGAAGGCTCCGAGACCCTCCTTGAGAGTGGCGTAGGGATCAACGTAAGTGTCTTCGAACGTTGTGCCTGACTCGGCCGCGCCGTGCTTGCCGCTGAGATCACCAACTTGGCAAGTAGCTGGGGCTTCTGGGTTGCAAGGCGTGGCTTCGCCGCGGATGAATGGATCCAGGTGTGCGAGTGTCTTGGTGCAGTTTCCATCCTCCGGGACAGGGTCGACGTGGATATGGTACACTAAAGGGCGTGGTTGTTAGTGACGCGCATCCCGAGACAGAGCGAGAAGGTTACTTGTAGGGATGACTATACTAAAAGGACCGCCTTCTTGAGGGAGGTTTTCAAACTTGACCTGGAACTCGACACCACTCTCCACAGTCTTTGCGGTAACGGACCCCTTCACGTTGCCTTCAATATTAACGGGGCTGAAAGGCTTGTCAGGGAACTCCGCCGTATAGACGGCACCCTTGGGGTTATCCTGAACGGCAACGGCATCTCCAAGCTCCTATTGAAGGCGGGAAGTCAGTAATCCAGGGTGAGCAGTGACCTTGATGTTCACCTTACCCCAGTTTCGGGTGTCTCCTGAGCTTCGACAGCGATAGCTGCCAGTGCCAATGCGAGAAGTGATTGGTACCGCATATTGATTTATTGACTGATATTTCCCAGATTAGACGAGGCTGCGCCTGAGTCGAAAGCCGATGAGGAGAGTTTGGAGATCAACGGCCGATGTCGAGGCAGGGACGGATGGAATAAGAAGGATGGAAATGACACAAAGGGAAGGAAGGGAGGAGGACTGCTGTATTTTAAAGGTGCCGACTGCTTCTTTCCCTCTCACTGACACTCCAGCTGTCAGTTTCTTCGTGTTAGTGCTTGCTTGGTGTTTGGATGCCTCGGAGCATGGAAACCAATGAACCAATTGCAAGGATCATATATCGCAATAATGATAGGCTATTAAGATTTTCCACGGCAGTGCTAAGAGGAGTGATCGACGACCGACATCCAAGGATGTGGGGGATAAGAAATGTAATTTATCTCTTTCAATCCCAAGCCTTTCCATCGGGTAATGGCGTCCTGCCTTGGAAACCACACGGGGACATGCATTCTCTGTCCCACATGAGCCAGGGCAAAGAAGGCTTCCCACCAGAAAACGGAACTAGAAAGCACTAATTTGGTAGATGTTGGTCCTAGGCTCATCGACATTCGTAGCATAAAATGCTATATTTGGGGATTATATTTACTAAGAGGCATGTGAGTGTAGATTGGTGTGTAACTTGTGAGTCAATGCCTATTAACGTCATTGCCGTAAACGTTTACGTTGCTGCCCTGATTAGCCCAATATATACAAGAACTCGGCGTGGAGATACCGCCAGCCCGCATACACTCCGTTTACGATTAGTGACCTGCGACGTGCCTTGCAGCGAGATGAGGTGTGGCCGACGTTCCGGTGGTGGGTACCACCATCAATTGAAATGGGAAAGCTGGAGAGCCGAACAGCGCCCGGTCAAATCGGTCCGGGACATCGTTAGCCAGTATCAACATTGAAGCGTCTAAAAGTAGAATGGGCAGTGCCGCCTGGGCTAAGAGGGACATTTAATGCATGGGATGCCTATTGCAGTATACTCCCCTTCACGTACTGAGGTATTTGGTAGGAACTTTGTTCGCAATCGTGTCGGTAAACTGCGTGGTCGAATTACTTCCATACAACAAATATCCCGGCGTTCGGCTGAAAAAGTTGGGGGCCGCCGTGGGTGCAGTCTCCAGCAGCTCTCCATCCACCACGACCCGATCAGCCCCCAAGATCAACAATGGTGCTGCTTACGAGACGGCTGAATCGGCTTGAGTTTCTGGCCACCATTTTCTCGACGCGGTCTTTGTGCTCGTATTCATATTGATAATGCTGTTAAATTTAGGATTTAACTAGTCGGGCGTTTCGAGTCGAGTTCTAATTATTGAGTCTATGAATCCACCGAGGCTTGAGCGCAGCCATGGGGCATTGACCTCCTGAGCTTATCACAGGTTGACTCTTAGGGGTCCAAAAGAAAAGAGGCAGTGCAGCGCTTATTTTGCAGACCGACGATCCTTAGAAACGGTGGGAATGCCTTGCATGCATAGTTCACCCCCCAGTCATGGACGCCGTGTAAGCTGTTTTTAGGTTTGGCTCGTTTCAAGAAGAAGGGGTTGGGTTGGCCCAGGATTGCCTCTTGTTGCAATAAGCTTAAACGGGCGAAGACGTAATGACGCGGACCACGATGACAATCCAAATTGAGGGTCCTATTTGCTTAGTCAGACTAGACCACATCCAAGATCTCCAAGTCATCTCTGGTCAAGCTCGGTATTATAATACATCAGTAGAAGTACATGTTCTAGACAGCCTGGCGATGGAGTGGATCAGTGTATTCGATCTTGAGAATCCTTCGCTGTGGTTGAGATCGGCTTGGGATCTCCTCTAATACGAAGTTCTGGAAACGAGACAGAAGATTGCGTTGAATCCAGAAGTCACATGCGTCGCAGCTTGTCAATAATAATCACGTGCTAGACATCTTACATAATTTATGTGCTCGGGAAAGAGCAACAGCTCTGTTGTTGCGTCAGCTTCCTCTCTTGATTGTTTGTACATTGTGACATTGAGGCCATCGAGCTGCCCTTCTCCATCTCTACCGTTCGACTAATACCGCCATTCGCCATGAAGTTCAGCCCTCTTTTGTTCTCGCCAGGACAGGCGTGGTACTGGTAAGCCCCCAACGTTCGAGAGACCACCGCCGTAGAGCCTAAGGATCTCGACCCAGTCTTCTCTTCCCTCTCGCCTTTGGAAGCACCTCGCGAATATGGGATCGAAGATGTGTTTTGTCACCAGTGCTAACCCCCTTTTCGTTCAATAGCATCGTAATATCAGTCTTTGCTGTCGTCATTCTCGGCGTAATTTCTCACCTGTTCCGAACGGGCCATGAATCCGTGGTTGGGGGCATCAACGACCCTCCTTCCGAAGCGATACCAGCCATTGTCTCGACAATCACTGCTGCCATATTCGTTTACCTCGTATGTTTCCACCGCAACATATGCCTGCCGCAATTACGGCGACCGCCCTTGGCCTCCCTGGACAAACCGTCGAGTCCGCTGACGTGCGATGTGCTTTAGGGTTTCATAGTCTTCTGCTGTAGTCAGGTGTACTTGGCAAGGAGGCAAGCTCGAAGAGGCGCGATTGCATTGTAGGAAGAAGTCGAACTCTGGGAACTGAATGGTCGATGAGCGAAGTTTACTGGGGGCTACGGCGTTTTCGTGCTGCATTTTGCGCTATTATTATTATTATTACCACATCCATCTTCGGGGTCAGGATACACTATTTTTAAAGTCACATGTTTTCCCCGGTTCTTGTCGTAGCTGTCGATCGGATTATCGACATTTGGTAAGGGCAACGAGGTATCCGGCCTTGCTTGCAAGTTCTCACTTGCGAAGGGTGATGCAGGATCGGGGCTGATCCAACGAGTTTTGCTTTGCTATGTTACTGTGCCTGGGCGGGAGATAAGTGGAGCAGTGTTAACTACTTGAGCCAATCGAGAGGTCTGTCCGGAGATCAGTTTCTACATTCTCAATTAGATGTTAAATTTTATCAGTTTTCATGCTCCATTCGTAGGCGGTGGTGAAAAGCGCGTCTACTAATACAAGGCTTATCTTGTGAAGGAGATGAGTATAAGACTTAATACTGCCAGGAAGCTGTCGCGCCAGGCCCAGGAACTGCTACTGGCAAGACGGCAAATTCTGAAAGTGGAATGTTGATCCTGGACCACCAGGGCTGCACGGATGAGAGCAGGAGCATGGCTCTACAGAGCACAAGTCGAAAACCCAGATCTGCCAGCGACTGAGCACTACTAAAGATACGCAGGTGACCGAATAAAAACCATAATCTTAACGGGGCTTGCAATACGTTGAAGCCAATCGGCTGAGCTGCATTTAAGGTGAGCGCGGGTCAACCAATGGTTTGGGCGTCACTCGCTTCACATGTAAATGAGATCCCAGAGGTCTGGTTCATGGTCGGGGTAAAGGGTCCGCGGGTTACGCCACGATATAAAGAGTAAAAAGAGCCCAGTTAACTAACGGAGGAAAAAAAAACCAAGTGTCCATGTACCTTGCCCGCCCTCATTCAACACCCAACCAAACCGATAAAAATGGAGGAATAAAAAAAATACATGAGTGAAGTAACACTGTTCTCCCCGGGGTTGAGACACCAGTTTGCCGGAACGTTTCGTCGCATCATATCTCATCCGGTAAGTTCCATTGCCCAGGCAGTGACGCTAACAATGAGTCGATTAAGAAGACTCATCATCATCGCCAGCATCAGCCTTAGGCGGACTAATTAGCTCAGCATTCGATCAGTGAAATAGGTGTCGGGAGACTCACGTTGTACGCCGCCTTCTCATCCTCATATCGCTTCTTGTCGGCGGCAGCCTTCGCCTCATACGGGGCGCGCTGCTTCTCGTTCAGAGCCTTCCATCGCTCACCAAGAAGCTTGCCGACTTGGCCTAAACATCAATGTATTAGTCGGGGGCGCTCATCTTGCCGTAACGACGATTACGTACCGAAAGTGATGCCAGGGTTCTCCTCTCGAACGTTCTCACGCTGCTCGTTGGCGAAGAACATATAAGCCGAGAGACCACGCTTGGGGGCGTTGGGATCTAGCGCAGGTTAGCATCTTGGTCGCAATGAGCCCTGAATGTGCAGCAACTCAGCGACTCACCCTTCTTTCCCCTCCTGACGCGCTCAACCTTTCCTCCGCGCTTAGTGGTAGCCTTGGGCATTTTGATCTGCATGATTGAACGTTAGCTGCAAGCATGCACGCGATTACAGGTGTCAACCGTAAAAAGTGAACTGGTAAAAAGAACGACTGGATTTTGAGGAGAAAATATTCTGGCATTTGGGCAAGTTGGATTGTGGTGGAGACGCGTGTAAGTGGGCCAGGAAGTTGTGCTAGTATACAGCATAGAGGGGAGAAATGGAAGAATAGAGTGCATGCAATCTCGAACGCGAGATTGATACGTGTATTGCGCTGGGTAAGATATACGTACGGGTTTTATGGAAAGAAATTGTCGATGGAATCGAGTCTGTGGCCGAAAAACCGCGATTTGGGAGCTAATTGTGAGAGCTTGGTTAGCTTGCAACTTCACCAGTCGAGCTCTTGATGGAGCTGGCGCAGGTGCTGAAGATATGATGCGATGGGAGAGGGTGATGCGAAAAGAGAAATCTGCGATCAATCTCTGTCCCAAGCTTCGAATAGGTCTAGAGTGCCGTTGCGCAGCTTGGAAGAGCTTGATCTGGGATTTTGCGACGGGTTTGCGGAGAATGCGACCAATTTTATATTTGCGTCGTCTTGTTGTTCGTGGTGAAAGATGCTGTGCGGTTTTGTATGGAGTCGGAGTGGGAGCTAGAAGTGACTTCTGTTTTGCTGGGGCTGCACGCCAAATGTCAAGTACTTACCAGTTGAAGTGTTGGTGGATTTGTATGGGAGTTGGATTTTGCTGGGAGATTTGTATGAGGAGGAGAAGAGGGGGAAATTTGTATGGGGGGAGGGCTCAGCACGCCTTTTTACTATGGGAGAGTGATTGCGGGCAGAAAGGTGGGCTGGGCTTATTATGTGAGTAGCAGGAAGTAGTATGGGAGACGAAAGACCGGTTGCGGTGCGCGTTGTGTGTTGTGTGGGTGGAAGGTACACACACTCCTCTGTGTACTATGTAGTATGTACGGGGTACTCCCGTACGGTATACAATTACAACCACAGTTTCGCACTATTACACTCCCGCTATTTGGCTTCAACGGCACTACGCCTGTCTGGTACGGTACACAGGCTGGCTGTGTGAAGGAGGGGAAGCGTGGATCCAAGTTGAGGCAATCAACACGCCGACCGTACGTCGTAGAGTAGTGGCCGTGCTGGCGAAATCTTGACTGTGACCATCCAGGGTAGGTGTACCTCTATACTTCATACAGTGCATTCCGGACATGTCATTGCGTGGGCTCATCTACTTCACACGGAAGAGAACCTGAGCCTAGGAAAGTACGGCACCTGTATGTACAATCTGAAGCAATCAAGTGGCTAGCACAGTCGTTTGGACTTACTGAGGTACACGCACGCAACACTCTGACCCCTGGTGAAGGTGAAGCTCAAGGAGCAACGGAGATCCATCCCCATCCCTCCTCATCAAAAGTCGAGGAGAGGACCTTCGTCCTCCTACCAGAAGGCATACTGACGGGAAAATCGACATTTCTTTCTCATACGAAGACCTTATATCGACGATAAGTAACCTGTCTTGAGGGCGGAAGGATGGCGCGATAGGATTTGCCCTATAAATTTCAGAATAAGTTTAAGAGGGAGCCAGAAGGCAAGTAAAAGCCTTCGAGATGGCAAAGGCAAGAGGAAAAAGAGGAGGAGGAAATGGATCGAGTTGGGGTGGCGGGGGACCTTCTGAAACCCCGTCACCACGGTCGCCCATCTGACCCGCAGTCCCTCCCTTCCGGGACCCCCTCACTACTTTTGCGCACTCCTCAACTCAGTCTCCAAGTGGCTATCAAAGCAACTCCGTTGCCATGTAGCGTACGAAGTAGCGCAACATGCGGGAATGGCATTGTTACTGTACATTGAGGCCAGCCAAAAACGCTTCCCAACCAAACGGCGGATTGGACAGGCACATCTTCCACACGGCCCCGAGAGTTAAGTATGGCCTGACAGACTCTAGCGCTGCGCAAAACTGGCCCACGACTATCTTGAGTTCTCTGATCCCTTCCTCCCCGAGATACACCAAGGGTGTACTTCGCGGTATGTACATGGTATTGTGTTGCTGAGAACCAGCACTGTATACAACGCAGTCCCCCCTACCTCATAGGCAGGTAGTGCCAATTAATACATCGATCTATGTATTGCTAATATTTGCTTTATCTCGTTCTCGTATACCTTAGCTCTGAGCTCGCGATCTCACACAGCTTACCACTTTGAGAACTTTCCGACTCGGTCTGCCTGTAGGGCAGCGTCAAGGAGCACAATTACATGGAGCTCCCGCTCTGTGGAGTTTTGATGGGCTCCATTGCACGCAATAAGTAATTTAAGCATGTTGTACCCAAAATCAGAACATTGGAGTCTCTCCGCTTGAAGAGAAAAAGCTTCGATATCCTGGAGGTTGCCAAGCAGAACACGGCAAGCCCACCCAACGCCTGATATTTATTGCGCGTAAATGGCAGGTCTCGGGTAATGACCATTGCATAACATGTAAACGGCGAAGTGAACAGAAATATGGTCTTCTCTGGCTTGTGGAAAACGTTTGGCAAGTGACAATGTTGCAGAGTGAACTCTCAAATCATCGAGATCCGAGGACCTTGTAAGTGACAGGAACCGATCTTAGGCATCGAAACGATCAACCACATTAGGATCTCTCATTCCGAAATTCGGGAAACAAAAATGATATGCGCGCCAGTCGATAATCCAACTCGTAATATTGGAGACCATGATTGGAAACTTGGGGCGTCTTCTTTGAAAATTCTTGTGGCGGCGTCGTCCCTGGACGTCGGGGGCGTTGACCGAACCAAGCTTGACCAGAGCCAGTGGTCGTTCTGCGCATGTAGTTGGAATGGAACATCATGACATCCGTTCACTTTGCCGTCTCAACCAACAGAGAACGGACTCTGGGTCCACGAAATGGTACTGGCTCTGCATCGAGACTATACGACGTAACACTTCTTGCACACTCGAGATATACAGGTCCACCTCCATCTTTTCTTTTGGAAGACTAGTGCAGACATATTGATGACACTGTTGAGGGGCGAGATGCTCGAAACGGAAAGGGGTACTTCATTCATGCAGGGGCTAAATGTACTTACTATACGGAATTGTAAGGTACAGGTACATCGGAGGCTGTACCGTTTAGACGAGGAGCGACACCCAGACAAAGCTGAGGGTGTCTTGTTTGAGGGAGACTGTTTGTCAATGCTCACACCCCCCAATACCGCAAGCTGTGTCGCAGTCTACCCACGAGAGGAGGAGGGAAGGTGGTTGGTGGGAAGAGCTCTCCATTGTTGTCTACCCGATGGTCGACGGGGCCATGCAAACGCAGGTTCCCTTCTATTTAAATCCTTCATCATTTATTAGGATACGAACATGGCAACTCCTGAGATATATCAACAAGTTTCTTGTCGCTTTCCTCATGAAGGGTACTTGTGACATGTCTAGCACGTCCAAACCCATGCGAAGAGAGCATTCACGTGAAGAAGTACTTCGTGTACAAGTAGGAAATTTGAGAGCCTCGAGAGAGGAGAGAGGGAGAGAGGGGAATTTGGGCATTTGAACGCTCTTATTTCCCGGATTGCTTCATCCTACCCCGAGTCAAATTAATATTTCTGCGAAGTTCCTTTCATATATACGGTGTTGGCGTTCTCTGGTCAGTTGCCGGACGTGACTGAACACTCCCTGTCTCAATTTGAAGAATCGGGTCCTGCCCAAGAATGACGAAGAAAAAGTACTTCGAGATTCAGGGATGGGGCAAAAATTGCGACAGGAAGACAGCAAAGGGCATGTACAAATCTTTTTCTTCGGAAAAAAGCGCCCAGTGTGTTCCACTCCCCAGCTGTCTCCCGCATTCAAATTTGTTTTGACTTTCCTCTGAAGGAAATAAACTGTGCGCACCAATCACCTGCTGACTAACACACGTATTTTGTCGCGCTTCCTCTCTGCCACAGTCGCCTTTCCCTCAATTCCTCCCTGCGTTGTAGGTTTCTTTGAGGACGACTTGGGGACTGTGCGACGCAATTGTTTCCATGTGTTATTAAGATGTCCGCCACAATGCCATCATCTCGTCGCCTTTGCTGCAATTTTCTACTCGAACCTAAAATACAATATAACAGGCGACGCGACCGGGTCGTCAGGCTCGGAAATATTTGAGCACTCACCCTTAACTGAAAGAAAGAAAAAAATCCCACCAGTGTGGGAGGGTGATATTGGAGGAAGTTGCAGAGTCTCTAGACATGCACAATGCCCAAGATGACCCTTAAAGGAGCACGATTACATTGAGGGGTGTTCCTTCTGGTTTTACGACCAAGTTTGTGTGAATTGAAGGTGTGATGAACAGGTTGTGAAACCGGCGGACACTGGGAGTCGAGGCTCATCTTTGGAAGGTAAAACTTGAAATTGTACACGCTTGGGCTATTCATTCTCTTCAGGATCAAGAACCATTTCTAGAAGGTCCTGGTCTTGAGCCCAGGCGATACCGCTCCCAACTATAACTGCGCTTAAGGTGCCTTTGATGACTTTCCATCTCTGTCTGCTCTCTTTGACTTCCTGTCTGGCCTGCTCCATCTCCATTTCCAGCTCAGAACCTGTGGAAGTGCCAAATTTTCTGTGATTCGCCGCCTCGGCCAGCTCCAGAAGCTCTGATGTCATGGCAACATTGTCGCGCGATATGTGGAGAGTTTTGCTCTGTACCTCTGACAAGTCGTTCCAAGTCTGTTGAAGGTCGTTGTATTGCTTTGCCAGAACCGCGGAGGTAGAGTCACGTTCTCTGACATAAGGTAGAATATCCCTAGATCGGTGTGAGCTACGTATAAATCTTCCTCTCGTCATACCTTGAGAGTATCCAGGGAACACGTACATTTCCAGCGGCGAAGTATCAGCCCTGTGGTGGATGGCCTTGAGAGTTGGTGTCACCATTAAGACGTTATCAACGACGTTCCTACTGAGGGTATAGGTCGATCTCGCTTGAAGTAGTGTAGTTTGGGCAGAGGATATGTCTTGGCTGCTGCTCTCTTCAAACAATCTTCAGCACCATATCTGCTAGTTCGGCCTTGATTGTGCGGATAGTATTACCTTCTCTGTATGACCCATGTGCCTGAAGGAGGGCCAGCTCCAGCTTGAGTTCTTGCAGCCTGTCATACAGCTTCAAGATTTCCTCCTCAGTTTTTGACAAGGGTAATACTGGCTTCACCCAAGTCTCAGGCTTGTCCGGGTAACTTCTAGGGTTCGCGTTCATCCTCCCAGTCTACTTCCTTGAGCGTCAGTGGGCGAACGACGAGATGAGAACTGGCCGGGTTGGTTTAGTGTCCATGCAGCAACTACGCACTCGTTTTTACTAGCTACTGGAACCCGATCACCTTGAATGATAGTTCGGCGTTTGGTTTAGATTCAGAGTTTGCGTAAGCTCAGGGCGAAATGGCTCCAGATTAGGTTTCGTGGCCAAATCCCCAGCATCGGCTGTCGTAATAATAACCTTACGCGAAATTCTTGGTAGCATTTGCTGGCGGAGAGGATGGTGTAGTGAAAGTTTCCAGTTGTTTTGCTGTTTGGATTCACAGTGAAACTGAAGACGGGATCTCGCTGGAAATTCCATCTGCAGCTGACAAAGCGCGGACGTGCGAAGTGACAAAGCAACAAAGACGCCTGGCGGGGCTGAGAAATAAACAACGGGTGCCCGCCAATCACAAGGCCCCTCTTCACTGGGTCACGAGGCGGCGTCATGCCGGAGTCCCAGGATCTCAACTCAGGGTAGATAGACACTGTGCTTGCCTGCAAATGGGCGTTGGCGAGACAGATTGAGGTCATTTCACCCATCATTAATACGCTCCGCTTCGCAGGATTGGCCTCCTTAACAGATCTCTCCAGAAGAGTTCCCAGATACTGAAGCGATGGAAAGCATATGAACAATTTTACCTGATGATATTCCACCTGTCGAAGCTTATCCTTTAACTTGAGCTTGGCATCTCCAGGCTGCCCATGCGATAGCTTCTTTCTCGAGTTTTCCCGCCGTGCTCCGACTCCCCCGTCTCGCCGTCCGATTCCTCCCGCTCGAAACGTAAATGCCTTGAAGAAAGATATGTATTGCGATGGCTTCCGAGGTGCTCGTCGCCCACACTGGGCAGCGCTTCCAGGTAGACACGACGCAGTTCACTTCGTAAGCGGCACCCAGTCCCCATCTCGATGAGCTGCTTGCTAATAACATCTCCTTCTCACATAGAATCGATGAACTCAAGGCATGGGTAGCGCGCCAGAGTTCCATACCATTTCAGAAGATTGTTGCATTAACGCCGGAGGGACGTAGCTTGAGGATCCAGGGTCTTCACGCTGAGGCAAGTTCAGCCGCTGTTCTATTACTTCGTTTTGTTCTTTCTCAGCTAACTGTTGAGATAGAAAGAGATATGCATATACGATATCCGAATTACTCAGCCGACACCCTCTACCAATGCGCTCCCTGCTGTACCCGAGCATCCCGTCCCTAAGCGTTATTCGGTCCCTCCGGCGCCAAACTCGATAGGAGATATCAAGGCTATGTCCGCGTGGCAGGAGCTCTACAAGGAACGCCGTGCATGGGCTCTCGATGTGTCTCAAGAATGCTCCCATATGAATGCTGCCACCCAGGAAAGATACAAAGAGATAGATGCGATGGTCAAGTGTTTGGATGCAGCTGTTGCGAACCTCGAATTTTCCGTCAGACAGATCGAACCCAAGTACGCGGAATTGAAAAAATGGATGGAACCCGCACTATCGGAGCACGAGCAGTTGGCGTCTAATTGGGAAAGCTATCTTGAGCTGGCACGCGCCATTCCGATATCGCATCAAATGGTGAAGTTCATGACGTCCAAGGACGTCAGGCCGAATAGAGCCAGTCTAGTGGACTTGATTGACATGGATACCGCAAGGAAAGCGGGCCGCTTGGCGCCAACATCATTACGCAAGTTCAATAGCAAAGCAAGCGAACTTGATAAAACTGCGTCGCAGATGTATCGGTTCCTTCAGGAGCTCGGTGAGGATTTTGATAAACTTGTCAGTCGGTCTACCTTCTTACGCGCCGGCGAGTCGGTTCAGCTGCAGCAGGATATCGAGGCTTTGGTGAAGAAGATTGATTCCGATTACCAGGTCGTTTTAGAATATAGCGCCTCCCAAAGAGATGTACTCCAGGCATCCAAAACGGCGTCGATTCACACGGAGCGATTAATACCAAGTTTGAAGAAGCGTGCAAAGGACATGGACGATATGCTCCAGTATGCCACAAACGCCCGAAACGCCATTGCGGCAGATTCTGCTGGATTCATGCGTTCGATTACGGAGGTTACTTCCCTTCACGCGAGTGTCAAGTCCCAAATAACTGTTCTCAACCAAGCCGAGGAGGATATGACGACATTTGACTATCTCCGTCTCATCCACCAGCTCCCGTATATGTACGCTTCATTCGTCGCCGAGGCCGTACGTCGTCGAGAGTGGTCTGAGAAAGTTAAATCCGACTCTTCGACGCTCGCAAATACGATGGCCGTGTTTCAGGACGAGGAGACGAAGAGGCGTCGAAAATGGCAGAAGACGGTCGGCAGCACCTATGGAAGAGACAAGTTCGACGCGAGTACTCTTGGTCTCGAGGTTAATCTCCTTGGCGAAGAGGACCCTTGGCCTTCGATGGCCAAACAGGACATTGAGACTATTATCGAATCATTGAGAGCTCAAAATGCCGAGGCCGCTGTTGTCGAAGATGTAATCAAGCTTCTCAATGAACTCAATGCTCCAACCAAGCAGCAATCTAAGCGAATAAAGGCATTCAAGAACGGTAGCATCCATGAAGCCGCGCTTGGTATTAGCGGGCTGCTGATGAGGGGTGATGATGACTTGATCAAGTCGCTTCAGGAGGATAAGACGAAGCTTGAGAGCAAGGTTAAGACGGCGGAAAGTCGCATTCGAAGGCTGGAGGACTTGTTGCACAGGCAAAGTCAAGCATCGCGCCCTAGCCTGGGCAATATTTTCCAGGTTCCGAGTTCGGATTCTACTTCTTCGATCAAGCCGTCATTGAAGATTCCAGATGGAACTGAGACCTTGCTATCAAGGATCGCTGCTCTAGAAGCTGACTTGAATGCTGAAAAGCAGCGAGCGGCGGCCATTCAGAAAGATTTGTTGGCTCAAAACACACTGAACGACAATATGAAAGAGCAGATGGAGGAAGCTAACTCGACCAAGAAAGACCTCCTTGAGAATATGGAGGCCCTTAAGCGCGAATTCGTTGAGGAGCGCAAGTCCTTTGAATCGGAGATCAAGGGGCTTCAGGCCCGCCTAGAGGATACCGAGGTTGAAATCGAACACTTCGGGGAATCGAGAGAACATGAGAAAGCATCCTTGGACGAGAAGATCCTTGAACTTCAAGATGAAATCGCCCAGTTGGAAAAGGAGAAGAAGGAAGTTGTCCTTAAAACCCAAGGACAAGTCGAATTCCTCCGAAACGAGTCCCGAATTCAGAGAGACCGCAATGAAATCCTAGAGAAGCAGGTGAGAACGCTCGAAGAGGAGGTCAAGAACGCTGCCAACGCCCACGAAGAAGCCGCCGCCGCAAGCGAGCAACGGATTCAAGCCCTTCAAGACGTATTCCGCCAGCTTGCGCCTCAGAAGGCTATACCCGAAGCGGTCGATGATCTCGCGCATGCTCTCTTGGCCACTGCCTCCAGTATCATGACTAACGCGCGGGAGACCAAGGATCGTATCCACTCTCTGGAATCCGAACTAGCACAAGCTCGGAAGACTGTCGACGAACTCCGAGGTGAGGTGCGCGAAACATCCTCGAAACTAGCTGAGGAAGCATCGACCTCGTCAAAACTCCAGGCCGTCTTGGAAAGTGAGCGAGTTCGTTCCGAGGGTCTAGGTACTGAGCTTTCGGAGGCCAAACAACAACTCGGCCAGCTGCAGGTTCGCATTGCCGATGGAGAGACGGGATCGGAATCACTTCGCAAGACCCTCGAGGAGCGGGAAGAGAAGTTAGCCGCCCTTCAACAGGAGTTCGCGTCGAAGCAATCTGAAGTCGGCAGGGCTGAGGAAGAGCTTCATCTTTTCAAAGAACGGCTTCAGGAATCCCAGGCTAAGATTGGAGATCTTACGCGCCGAGCAGAAGCGCGGGCAGAACGTGCGAAGAATTTGACGCAGCGTATCTATACGCAAAACGACAGGCTCTGTCGCCTCCTTGAGAAGTTAGGCTTCTCCGTCACGCGCGAGGGATCTACGATGACCGTTCAGAAGGTACCTCGTGCAGAACGGGCTCTGCACATGCAGAATACAACGGAGCTCTCCGATCCCGCGTCTCCAAGCGCTCGTCGCTCTTCAATACTACCCGGCAATACATCTCCAGATGGCTCTCAGCTTGAGTTGCTCTACTGGATGAATGCCGACGATGAAGAAACAGAGTCAGAGAAATACCTGGCTTTCATGGAAACCCTGGGAAGTTTCGATATCGACTTATTCTCGGAAACCCTATTCCGACGCGTGAAAGATATGGAACACTTCGCCCGAAAATTCCAGCGGGAGTCTCGTGCATACAGGGACAAGGCGCATCTATTGCAGCGCGAAGCACACGAGAAAATAGCCTACAAGAACTTCAAGGAAGGCGACCTTGCGCTTTTCCTACCGACTCGTAATCAGAGTTCAGGGGCTTGGGCATGCTTCAATGTTGGGTTCCCGCATTATTTCCTTCGCGAACATGATTCGCACGGGCTACGAAACCGGGAGTGGCTGGTAGCTCGGATTTCCCGGATTCAAGAACGAGTTGTTGACTTGTCGAAGAGTGTGCAACCGCAAGGTGACGTCGACTCTTTAACAGAGGAGGGCAACGACAATCCCTTCCAATTATCGGACGGCTTGCGATGGTATCTCTTAGACGCGCACGAGGACAAATACGGCGCTCCTTCTACACCAGGTCTAGGTAAATCAACTGTTGCGGCGAATAAGGTTGAGGCAGTAGCTGATATGCGCGGCCGATCGGGGACTGTTGGCAAGGATAAACAGCGGCTGAGCCAACACAGCATTGAAGGAGTGAGCAAAACGCTCTCGAAGAGCCTTGAGAGTCGACGAGGTAGCACGAGCTCGAGAAAGGCTCTTCCCTTCACAATCGGTGGCGGCGGGCTTCTAAAGAGCACACCCCTTGCTAGCGAGACGAACTCTCTCCGTGCCGCAGCCTCCGAAACTGCGTCGGTGCGGAGCCCTCCTCGTTCTGGTGCGCACGTCGAGGCAAACGATGGTGAACCGGCAGGCCGTGCTGCTCACGGAAAAGGCCACGTCGATGGAGACGGAAAGGCGGTGGAGCAGACCGGGGCTCCAGAGGTACGATACGACATCGATTCCCTTCTTGGGCCAACATAATGAAAGCTGATTTTGGGCGATCTTTCCTCTTGCTCCTTGCCTCCTAGGCCAGCACACCACGATTGGGTCGAGAGCGAAGCTCGACATCGGTGGAAAGTCCGACTAAGAGGAGCGTTGTCTTCGAGTCGCTTTGGAGTCTAGATCTTAACTACGAGAGTCCGTCGAAGAAACGATAGGGGAGGGATTGGTGGAGAATTTGACTGGACTGGACCGATCACGGGGTAATAAGAACGGCAAATCTCATTTCATTTCAATTATTATTTTGAAATTTTTTTTTTTTTTTCAACTTTCTCTCATGGCATCAACTCTGTATTCCGAGCAGGAGTTATCTGCGTCACTTAAAAAGGGGGCTTCTATTGAAGCCGACTGCTTGCGTTCATGGGTTGAGGTTTGAATCATAGACAGATGTCTATTTACAAACGGCGTTAGTGCTCTAATAGACTTGTCACAAATAGAGGGAGCTATTGTCTCGACTCAGGTCGTCCTGAGCATCATGGATGAGTACGACAAACGCGGCACTCAATTGACGTCGTTTAACTTGATAGCGCTTGCCACACACGAAACCCTTGAAGTAGTTTCCGGTCTTGTGAGAGTTGCCCATGAAGATCCATCCATCCAGTTGCATCATTAAGACCTCTATGTGAGTGGCGCGGAAGTTGGGTCCGCCACATCGCGCCTTCGCAAACATTTCCGCCCTTATTAGGAAAGTATACCCAGTTCTGGACAAATAGTATTATACCGAGGTACGAAGTATGTTTGATGCTATTTCAAGGGAGGAAACTGAGGGAAGGCTCTGGCCAATAAGCCCGTCTTCTTGCCCAAGATTACAATATGCATGAATTGTGACTGGCATCCTTCCCGTTGGTTTTGCAGGGGCGGATTGGTGGCCGAACCCCGGGTGGCTTGTTGGTCAAGCCAGGGTGTTTCCGTGCAGGCTCACCGAGGACGCGGGTGAGGACCATCCCCCACACATTATCTGCTAATGCTCGGTATGTAAAACTTCGTTAGGGTCGTGCCGAGAAGACATGGCCACAAGATAGCATCGAATCACGGGAAGAAATTTTCTTCTAAAATGTGGAGAAATGGACTGGTATGGGTTGATGCTGGCAGAGCTGTTAAGTGTAGTCACGCGACTGGGAGGATGTTGAAAAAGTCTCAATATTCTTCCATAAATATCGATGGGTTTGCTTCGACGAAAGGCCAGGTTGTGATGTGTCTAGGGCTGAGGGTCACGCTGCTCCCGTCCTGGTACGAAGTAAGATTACGTAGGTTGAGAATTGTCAGGATTTGTAGATGGTGGAGACTCTTTCCATGTTTCTAAAGGGCACCAGTGGACATCCTCGGGAGAAACAGATTGGGCGGGACGTCGACATCGACATCGACTCTCGCAGCTGTGAAATAAACCCCGAAAGACGAAACTCGCCGTGTCCCATCCGCACTTTTGTACTTGCTTATGTTGGCGTTGGCCTTTCAAACACTAGGAAGGCGACTAGCCTTCGGCGTGGAGCCCTCGCGATTACGTTCTTTAGGAGTAATTCCGAAGTGACTAGAAGCTCTCTATTCTAGGCAGCGTGAATCTAGTAGATTTTTCTTTTTCCTTCTTTTCTCGATAGAACTCAGAGCAGTTTGATGAACCGTGTTGCTTGCGCGACACATACGAAGTAGTTTTTCGGTGGAATCGATACCAAATAGTCCGTACTTCGATGGTTGCAGGCGGATTGACCCCCACGCCGGCTGAAGGCTTGGCCTTATTTCCTCATCTTGAGACGGGACTTCGGCCTCCAGGAGAAAATGAACAGTCGCCGAATTGACAAACTGGAAACCGCGGGTGGACCAAAGGTTGGCGTATGAAGTACGCAAGTACTGGAGAATCCACAGCCTCTCAGTGAGAAAAATATGTGTGGAGACCACGAAGTACAATATCGCCTTTGTTTCCTCCGATCTACAAAGACAAAGGAGTCGGTTTGTTTGATCTTCGAAGAAGTGACGGTGATTGTGCGCGAACCTTTTGGGTTCACTGTTCACTGTTCACCCGAGGCTCTCTCGTGCTACTACCCCAAAAAGTACCCCGATATTTGATATTATATGATCATATCCTCCATCGTACATACACTATGTGGAGGTAGTTGGAACTAATGCCAGCCTCGGCCGGTGTGCCCACTCTTGATGTACACTGCACTTTAGCGTCGTGTATTGGCGGTTCGCAATTTGCTTGGTTCTTGACGCTTTCGCTTTGGCGCGAAACTTGTACGATTTGGCGAAGCTAGAACCCTGAGGTAGGGTATCGTTGGAATGATCCTTCTCGCATCAATTGGTGTGTTTGGCCCGACGCTACAAGCAGTAGTCAGACACTAAAATAGTGTTCGAGACGCGTGGGTTAGAATGCATGCGTATCGATGCGTGGATGCGTGGATGCGTGGATGCGTGGATGCGTGGATGCGTGGGTCTGACCCGATCCGAAGTCGACGATGGATGAGGATGGAGCTTGGGATCAAATCATTTTGATGCAGCTGTGTGGACCGGCTTGGCTCATGGCCCACACCAGGAAGTCTTTCGTACTTCTTTTTCCTTCCTCGGTGCTTCTTTTTCTCTTCCCTAAACGATTAAGGTTAATGAATACAAGTACGAAGCGGAAAAAGAAGAAAATCGGTGCACATTATTCCCCAAAGAAGGCCACACCGAGATGCCTGTTGCCCGTATATCTCCAATATATCTCCAAGGGCATCAAGAGTAAAAGCCGAGGGACGAGGTTATTTATCCCCGCTTAAACCAGTCAAACAAAATTGAGATACTTCCCCGCCACAGATCAGCCCTCTCCTGGGCTGCTATTCCTGTCGCAATCCAGAGCCCTTCCAGGGGTCCTAAACTTAGGATGTCGTCTGGGGTGAACCTGGTGATCAATCAATGGGCATGTGAGAACGACCCAACCTGGTCCCATGTTCCCATGTTCCCAAGCCGTGCCTTCGAGATTTCGTAACGCGAAGGAACTCGTAGTTCGAAGTACTGAAGCAGTATATATTGGTAAATTGTTACTTGTGAACTGCTTCTTCTACTTCCGGTCGCATACTGTCAATAGTGTACACAATTACGACGTATTACGAGATGTTGGACTTAATTGTGGGTGGTGGGCAGGAGACCCCCACACCAAGAATCCACATTCGGCAACGGGGGATCGAGCACTGTTAAGGGTTTCTGGGACAGGACACAACCAAAAATGCGATTTCAAACCCCGGAATATTACCGTTCACAGTGGGTTCGGCTGCCGTGCTGTAACTATATCGATGTAGTCTCCTGTAATAGCCCACACCTGAGACTTAGAGACCAGGTGTTGGTACCCCGGGTCCTCAAGTGCTCTCAGCGCAAAATGACGTGGGGTAGTCGTACAGGTACTAAAACTCACAAAATCGTGAGTGTAATATACACCGTTGAACCTCAATTTTATCAAGGACCATGATGGCGGCAGCACCTCGACCACCAAAAAGGACCCCGAAACACCCAAACTACCACTGTTTGACACCCCTACGAGCATGGATAGTATCAACTGAGCCGGCAAGCAGCTACTTCACAGCGTGCCCGGCACCAGCACGACCGGGTGTACCATTGAACATGGAACGGTTCGATTCTTGCTGCTCTGTGCCTCAAGCCTCTGTTCTGTACACTACTTCGTACACCTCTCTCCGCTAGCCTGGGAACATTGAACTGCTCCTCCTCCAACTCCTCCAAAATCCTGCCACCATCGCTCCTCCTCCCTCATTTTCCCGTAATTTCTTTGTGGGCCCCCCTCTTCTTTAGCGTTTTCCGGCCCCTCTCTTTCCCCTTTGGACTTTGGATCTCTTTTCCCTCCTTCCCTCCCTCTCTCCGTCCAGAGGCTTTCGAGAATTTCTCGAGTCCTCCAGAGGCCCTTTCTCCCGACAAAGATATTTCCCACCATCATTGCCGACGAGAATCCAGCTCTCTGATCATCGTCTTTTTTTTTTCGTCGTGGCCTCTTATCCCTGCCATCTATCTCTTCAACCCCGGTTGGATCCGAAAACTGGGTTGATCGATCAATCCGTCGCAACTAAGCAACTATCAGTGGCGTCTTTCGTATTTCCGAGCTCGCACAAAACAAATCCCGACTATCACCTCTGACGGTTGGGAAATCTTTAATTCTCGAAAGAAAGAGACGGAAGATAGAGTAAAAGGTCACGATCTCGGGCGGGAATGAAACACATTTTGTGTTATAATTCGGAGAAAAAAGCTTAGATCGGACCCTCGTTGAGATTCGCAACACCCCTCAACCGCCCGACGACCGAGCAGTCGAAAACCCCGTCACGCAGAGAACCCCGCCCTTTCATCTCTCCCCTGACCTCAACACCGGCTTCTTTATATCGTCAGTCAGATCGATCGCATTTGGCCAGCACCCTGATTTTGTTCGGTTCCGACGTCCACTTGCCTGGTCTTGCGGAGAGAGCACATAGTAGTGAATACTAGCCACCTCGCTCCATTTGATTTAATTAGCCCACCACCGAGCACCGCCATTCTGCTTCCCCGTATCAATAGCGGAAGTATTTTCACCGCTTTAACACGCTTTTCTCGTTATTATCTCTCTCTATTTTTTTCGGCGTCCGCGCGATATCGGCCAAATGGCCATGATGGACTCCTCTGGGTGGAATCCCCAGGATCAGGCCATGGCGTCAACCACGGAGGATGACTTTCAGCAGTTTCTCGAGATGCAGGGCATGTCAAATATGGGCGATGGCTTAAATTTTGATTTTCAGTCCTTCCAGGACTCCAATAACACAGCGATGCTATCGCAGGCACCCCGTGAGCAAATGGATACGTCAATGGGCGGTACGGAACCTTCTCTCGTTATACCTACGACAGCCGGCTTGAGCCAAGGACAGATAACTGCCATGACTACCGGAGCGAGTCACGGCTCCATCCAGGCACACATTGCTCACATGCCGCCCACTCCAACCGATGCCATCTCCGAGATCGACGCCCAAATTCAGTATCTTCAGCAGCAAAGGCTTCAGCAGCAGCAGCGGCAAGCGCGCGAACACCAGTCAACGTTCTACAACGGTCGGAATCATGTAGTACCACCCACTCCTCAGAGTCTGGAGATCCAAGCTGGGACCGGGCAATTCTTCTCCCCGGTGGAGACTCCCATGTTCGACAACCGTGCCCACTGCATGAAGGATACTCAACCAGAGGTAAGCGCACTGCATGCCATCCATCGTTGCCTCGTGAGGTTTTTTTTCCAGCATACTGACTGATATTCTCGAACAGATGGCCTTCACCCCCCTTGTGTCGCCAGCCGTGACACCTCTAGATCCTCATTTCAATGTCGACTCGACTTTCGCCCTCCCAGGCACATACTTTAGCCCTCTAACTTCTCCAGCCCTCCATGCCCAAAACGATCCCGGCGTCTTTTACGGCCAACAGCAGATGCAGCAGCCGGTGGTTAACACAACATCTCCCGTCGAAATGGATTTGGAAACGCCGACACCGACGGCCCCGATTTCTGACAACACGAAGAAGGCGCGGAAATCAGGCACGAAGACGGGCAGAAAAGTGAATGTTCGCCAGTCGCCAATTGCGAAGCCTCAACGGCGGAAAACCACTAGCTCCTCTATTGTCAACCAAGTGCTTAATGAAGCGGTGGAGAACCGTCTCACTTCGAGTCCTAGTGTTCTAGCCAACCGCCGGGAAGACACTGACGAGAACAGTTCAGTCTCTCCAGAAGCTCTTTCAGACATGCCTCCACCTCCTTTACCCCCTCCGAAAGCAAGCAGCAAGAAGGCAAAACCCGCCGCCTCCTTACCTCTCGCAGCGATGCCCTCCCCAGCAACCCCGGCCTCCCTAATGAAACTCCCCGCCTCTTCGAGCACCGTTAAAGTCATCCCCCCTGCGAGCAATCACAGAGGACAGGCCTTGTCAGACCCTATGGATACGTTCTTCCAACTTCCGGATTCAGCCACCGAAATCCCAGAAGACCATCCCTCCCCCAACGATGCCCAGACGCAAGAGCAAAGACAGTCGACGGCGAGAGAATCGAGTGCAGGAAAGACGCCGTTGATGCAAGCCCTGCCATCGCCATCTTTTGCTAGGTCGGGGACGATATCGGCGAGCCAGAGCCCAATGCTGGCACCTGGCGGCTCTACTCCCGCGGCTCGGAGGACACCACAACTAGGGCCTCGCGGGAGCAAGAAGAGGACGGGTTCCGTGACGGCATCCCCAGCCCTATTGCCTAAGATCTCGCCAAATATAAAACCTCTTTTGCCCGGTGCTGGAGACGAGTCCCTGGAGGATACAGCATCCCGACTACTAGCCACTAAATCCAACTACCAAAATATTCTCGAGGGCAACAAGGTCCCTGGTGTTTCTTACCCGAGTGAGCTGTCGACAAATCTCACGTCTAAACGCACGTCGCACAAGATTGCGGAACAGGGTCGCAGAAATCGCATCAACTCCGCTCTCCAAGAGATTGCCTCTCTATTACCGAAGGGAAGCTCCAAAGACGGCAAGAGCAGCGACGATGCGGACGGCAGCGGCGAAAAGAAGGATGGAAAGTCGGGCGTTCCCAGCAGCAAGGCGAGCACAGTGGAGATGGCGATCGAGTACATCAAGCAGCTAAAGAGAGAAGTGGCCGAAGCTACCAAACGCGCAGAAGAGGCGGAGAGAAAGCTGGGAATAGGTGGAGTGGAGGGCAATGGACAATCGGAGCTAAGTAGGTCGGCCAACGAAGCGGAGAGAAGCGCCTTGACAGGAGCTCCACAGAACGGGGAGCCGGCCACTTAGGCTTAGGGGAAGAGTTGTGGTTTTATCTCTCGCGAAATGAAGGAGTTGTTACGGTTTCTGGATTTATGACATGACATCGGCGAGGAGAAGGATTAAAGGATACGGGGGTGATTGCTATTTTCATGGGCTAGAAATTGTGCGTTTTACCGGCGTCTAGCGGATGAGGGATGTCGTTGAGTTGAAAGCTGCATTTGGTCTTTTGGCTAGTGATGGAGATTCCCCAGGCCTACTCTGTAATATTGAAAGTATGGGTAATTCAGATGCTTTCGTCCGATTGTATTAGAACTTGGAGCCTACTGGATGAGAAAAGCATGAATTTCATTTTCATACCAGACCTAATATACACGATGATGGTCGTCGCAAGAGGAGCAGCTGCATCTACACTCTCCATGGTGCTCACCTTTTTGATGCCAAGATCGACCACACACACATTTACGTTTAATAGTCTTTCGATACAAGGGAATGCACCAACTTAACATACAGACAGACAAGCAACCCTCTAGGAGGGCATATTGCGATTCAATTCGTAATGCATGAAGTTTCTCGATTTTATCTCCAACGCCCCCCGATGAAAGCAAGTTCAAAAACACCCTCGACCTCGCAAAGGAGGAGCATCAATAGCGGAGGTCCAGCACAGGCGATACCCATCTCTTCCGCCGTCATCAGTAGTTTCCGTTAATAGTTAAGCAGGATGAACACTTGGGGTGTTAGGGCTTGGTTCCATCCTCCTTCGCACCTTTCGTGCCTTCGAGAGCGCCAACGTCCATCTTCTCCATGACCTCGAGCACAAGACTCAAGCTCTCCATGAAGGAATTCGTCGCAACGCGGAGCATGCGGTTCGTGGTGGCGCGGTACTCTACCCTCAAGACGGATTCATTTGCCTGGTCGTCTTGAGCTGGGCCAGAGGAGGGAGGATTCGCCCGGTCGAGGGTGAAGGAGCGGCGGACGAGCGGGGAGAGTTCTTTGTCGACAGCGATGGCGTTGAGGGCTACTGAGGCGAGGCGGGGTGTTGGGAAGGGGATGGAGAGAGATCTAGGGCGAGGGGGTTAGTTCAGGTTCTGCGCGATGAGATCGTCACCTTGGTGTCTTTGCGCGCCCTGTCTGGATATGGGCGGGAGGCGCCACCCATCGCGAGAATTGAAGGGGAAGACGAGGGTGACCGACATTGAACAAGGGAAGGTTTCGTCTGCCATTTTCTTTCTTTCTTTTCCTCCTTTTCTATTTTCTTATTTCTTTTGCCAGTGTGTGCTTCGGTTAACTCTCGGATGGTTTGGATACTTTCCGAGGCAGCATTCGGGTATGTACGATTCTAGTACCTGACGCTGTGATGATATCTACCACTGTTACTTTTTTCCCGAGTCTGTATTATTTTCTCAGGACTCAGGGTTCATATCGTCGAAACGGATTCCTTCGATATTTGGCGAACCGCCGTCATTTTCATAGTGGGGGCGGGGCTACCAAGGAGGGGTGTAAATGGTACTGTGGCTTGACACAATCAATTGATCAATCATCAAGAATTCAAGCCACATTCGGTTGCTGGAAGCATGGCTTTGTGAATTTAATCAGAGTCTACTACAAAGGTACGAAGTAATCTTCTGTTCCCAACACCTCGCGCTGGGTAATTTTCTTGCCGCATGCCGCATGCTGTATGCTGCATACAAAATTCAGAGTCGCATTTCTGTCTTCCTTCTTTTCCTCTTTTATTTATGTATATATATGCCGCTGTCCACGGCCGCTTGTTCTATAACACTGCGTTGCTGCTATGGCACATCTATCCTGCATCCACCGTCCAAGGCGAAGTCGACGAAGAGCTATCCAGAGTTTATCTCTAAATCCCTGTCATTCTTGTCCCCCCCTTTTGTTATCCTTCGCCTCTATCCTACGCCATCCCAGCCCGATGCTGACCAGGCACGCCAGCGCGGTGGAAGTAGCAGGCAAGTACTAAGCAAAGCAACCCGTCAAGATTAGGGCCGGTTTCTTCATAGAATAAACACGGAGACTGGGACCAAGAGGAATGTAGGAACGGTAACTCACAAACATCTGCGTCAACGCCTTGTTATATGCCACCAACAACCCGGGCAGGTGATCGGCCGGTACTAAATCCCTGATATTAGTGGCGCCGGCGCGCAGCACCGATCCGGCGTCCGTTTCGGGAGCGTACTCCGCTAGTAGACCGGGCAAGTAGCTTTGGAATATGGTTTGGCTGACTGAGATGGCGACCGCCGTCCCAAGGTTCATGAAGAGGTTGACTACTGCGAGCCCGGTCGCGGCCTCCTCGGCGGGGACTTCTTCTTGGACTGAGACCACAGGCTGGCGGGGGAGTTAGCGGGCTCCCAGGAGACAGATAAGGAAAAGGAAGGGGGGGGAGGGAAGCGTGGGGTAGTGTGTACTACTTGGAAGGCCATGCCCCTTCCGATGGTGGTGACGATTTGATAGCCGACAAACTGGCCTGTTGTGGTTTCCGGGCCAAACGTGGCTAGGAGGCCAGATCCAACACTCGCTAGTGCGCTGCCGGCAATTGCCCAGGGAGGGATGTAGTGGAATCTGCGGACTATGGCAAGCAGAGAGAGTCAGTGTGTGTGTGCCTGTAGGCCGAGAGTTGCGAATAGACGGAACGGTTTATACCAAGCGCGCCAAAGGTGATTAGAGCGATAATGTTGGATATCAAGGATGGTAGCATGTGGATGGCGCTCTCAAGAGGCGAGTCCCCGTGTATCGCCTGGAACCAAAAGGGCAGAAAGTACGGTATCATCTGCGTCGCGCCGCCCTGGAGAAACATGACGACGCTCCCGACCGACACGGCCCGTCGGCGGAGAGATGACGGCGGAATCAGGGCATCATCACCAGCACGCCTGACCCAGAGTGCAAATACGGCAGTAAGACCGGCCGCACCGCATAGCAGGCCGATGATGGTGGGTGAAGACCAGTCGAATTGTTGCCCGCCTCCCCAGGTAAGAGCTAGGAGCAACATGGTAGTGAGGCCGGCGAATATGACGAACCCAACGGCGTCTAGTTTCTTGTGCAGACCGGTAAAGGCCTCGCGGAGGGGCGGTTTGGCCGACTGTTCGGGGATTGGTATGGGCAGGGTGGCTGCCATGACCGCGCCACCGAGGGGGAGGAATATCCAGAAGCCTAATACTGTGTTAGGGCGGAAAACTGTTCTAACAAGGTAGCGGGTGGCACACTTACACCATCTCCAAGTGACACTATGTGTCAGGGCACCGGCGATCAGCGGGCCAGTGATGGCCCCTACCGAGATCAACGACATGGCGAAGGAGGTGACGACGGGCCGGATGCTAGGGGCGCAGATTGCAAAGATGATGAGGAGGACGCCGCTCAGAAGGCCGGCGGATCCGATGCCGTTGACAGCGCGGCCGATGATAAACATGTGGCTTGATGTGGATACAGCACATATTATACTGCCCACCTCGAAGATTATCAGGAAGGAGATGTAAACTGGTTTGTTTGGGAAGATGGTGTAGATCCTGCCTACTAGCGGGATGAAGACACACCTGAGATGCGTTAGTCGGGAAGAGAAGTGCGAGGGAGGAGCAAGACTTACACGGCCAGCACGTAAGCCGTCTCGTACCAGGAAACGTCATTGATGGTACCAAAGTAATCTGTCAGCGGAGGCACGATCTAGGGTTGGCAGACAAGGGTTAGCCGTGCTCGACAGCTGATTCTAGCTTCGGACGATGACGGGGGTAAGAATATACTGTCGACAGCATGGTCAGGTCTAGCCCTACAAGATAGACTCCAAGCATCATGCCGCCAATGACGACCCACAGCCGAATGCCGTGAAGAGCGTTATTAGGTTTAGCTGGCATGTTGGCCGGGCTAGTTTGGGATTCCATTTTGTCGGCTCCAGTCTCCATCTGGGCATCCTGCGGTTGCTCTGTCTCCAAGCACCACAATGTTTACAACTTGAAGGCGGAGTTGTTCGCCGGCGTCAATTCTATTCTGGGATATAAATATATTTCTATATATTTCTAAGGGGCAGCCATGGTGTAAATAAAAGGCGGCATGGCGCCTTTCGAGATAGTTTTGCGGCACAGCAGTCGAGGGCTGTAGGACTCGACAAAGGACTCGACAAAGGACTCGACAAAGGACTCGACAAAGGACTTGCAGGCTCCATTGCTGACCACAACTGACACTGAGGTTAATGCAAGGGGCAACATAGGCCTAGTGTGTGAAGCAAAGAGCGTTTTCCCGGTGTCCTCTGCAATTCCTCGGTGTCTTTCCCACTTAATCGTATCAAGGAGGCTTCCATCCTCTGAGATGGAGTCCAATCGCGCTGTGACCGGAGCGGTTGATGGAGGGCCAGCCCTCCCATCTAATTATGTGTGATTGCTCTGTTGGATCCAAAGTTGAATAGGCTTCAGTTGTTATTTCTTCTAGCCTTTAGAGTTGAGAATTCCCAAAAGGGATCAATTGATGGATTTGTTCCAGCCCTAGGCGCAAGTCTCACCAACACCCCATTTTGATAAGAGGCGGCAGCTATATCCTCTTATATCCTCTCATGATAGGGATGACCGACCATCCGGGGCTTATCACCGAGACGGTGGTTGCTGTCCTGAGCTTGCGACAGTGCGCTTTACTACCACAGCTGGCAGCAAGTGTGTCGCTGGTCTTCGTTTGTCGCAAACGAAACGAAAGACATCCGCATGAAAAGTGGATAATCGCTTGCATGTTGCATGGGTCAGAAATAACAGGGTGGGATCTCCTCCATTCATTCCATCTCCATGCCAGAATCCCACGACACAATGTTATTGTTTGCAGGCCCTTCGGTCGACAAGACCATGCGGTCCGTTGTTGGGTCTGCGGGAAGATGATGAGAGGCTTTTGCCAATTGATGTATTATGCAAAGCGCAACGCCGTAGCCAGGGCAAAAGGGCAAAGGAGCAATGCAGAGAGATCGATCCATGGGTCAATCCCATAGCAACTACGAAGTAAGGGACAGGGAATAACAATATGGCACTATTTCCCACCGCTACCACAGAATTTCAAGTGCACGACAGGTTGTCTTCCAGAGGCGGTGCGCAGTTGCAGGGGACAATTGTGAGGTACTTTGTACTTTGCAGTGTGGCTGGCACCTGGCCTGGTCCCTGAGTTACCATGGCAACTGGCCCCGACCAATGACAGAAGCCGCCGCTACTGTTATTTTTAATGGGGAATGGAAATGAGCCCTCAAATACACTCAAACAAGGTACAAACATGGTAACCCCAGGCTCTGAACAGTTGCTGCATCTTTTGGGCAACAACAACGGACCTCGCTCACACGACAGTACAAAATACAGCTTGAAGCCTTCATCACACTACTCACGACAATCCTCTTCCTCTCTCCTCTTCACTCTTCCTTTGCACTTGTCGTCTTCCTCTTGAAGGTCTGTCCTGTCTGAGCGTCATATCCGTTGCGTCTCTCTGTCTCTATCCTTCTCTTCTTCCTTCGCTTAACGAGCATACCATTTTTATTACTTCTAAGCTTCTCATCTCTCAAGTCGAGTCTATATTGTGCTTAGACGCTGTTCGGAGTCTATGATTCAAACTTCATTAGGAAACTTCCCTTGACGAGCTCTGTTTTTGGCCAAAGCTGCCCAATCCCACACCCGGTGCATCGAGCTCCTCGACACCACCACGAACAACACACACCGACAACAACGGACGACCCGCCGATCCCAAGCGGTGAAGATATGAAGATGGCCTCCAAGAGCGCGACGAATCTAGGGCAAATAATCGAGTACATCCCGGGTATGTTCCGATTGCGTCTCAACAACCTCCAAGGGGTCCTCTTCAGTGATACTAACCTCTTCTCATAGGCCGGCTGTATCTCGCCGCCTACGTCCATCCCCCCACGGCCGATACCCTCTTCCCCTATGCGGATGCCCCCGTCGGTACGACCTCTCGCTCTCCATCGAAACGGGCCCAGGCGCAGAGGAAGCAACCATTCTACTTTTCCGTCGACGACAGCCTACTCTACAACGCCTTCCACCACGACTTTGGCCCGTTGCACATTGGACACCTCTACAGGTTTGCCCTGTACTTCCACGAAGTCCTTGCCGCGAAGGAGAATAAGGACCGGCCTATTGTCCTTTGGAGCAAGGCTGACCCGAGGAGTATGTTTATGTTTCCCAATGGCCCTGCTATTGCGTGCACACCGCCTGTAGCACATCCCTGCTCCCAGCATGCAAGGACCGATGCCTTTAGCGTGATCCAAAAGATTCCTGCCCCCCGCCTGAGGCATTTCCTTTACTAACCGTGAATGAATTAACCAGGTCGAGCGAATACCGCCGCACTCCTAGCATGTTACATGGTCCTCATCCAACACTGGCCTCCCCATCTTGCTCTCGCCCCCATCGCCCAGGTCGACCCTCCTCTGATGCCCTTCCGTGATGCAGGCTACAGCCAAGCCGATTACGGAATCACTGTGCAGGATGTCGTGTACGGTGTCTGGAAAGCCAAGGAGGAGGGCGTCGTGGACCTCGAGAACTTCGACCTCGAACAGTACGAAATGTTCGAGAGGGTTGAGCACGGTGACTTCAACTGGATCACCCCCAATTTCCTTGCCTTCGCTTCTCCCCAACACAAACCTGTTGCCGCCGTCCCGCGGCACTCGGAGGCCTTCAAAGCCCTACCTAAGACGCTAGAGGCCGTCGACACAAACGAGGAGCTGCCCCAGCCCTTCAAGAATGTGCTCCGCCACTTCGTCGAGAAAGACGTTGGCCTCGTTGTGAGGCTCAACTCTCACCTGTACTCCCCTTCGTACTTTGAGGCGCTCGGCGTCCAGCACCTCGACATGATTTTCGAGGATGGCACGTGCCCACCCATGAAGACGGTCCGCAAGTTCATCCGCCTCGTCCACGACATGATCAACAACAAGAAGAAGAACATTGCCGTGCACTGCAAAGCCGGTCTCGGTCGCACCGGCTGCCTCATCGGCGCCTATCTCATTTACCGCCACGGCTTCACCGCTAACGAGGTCATTGCCTTTATGAGGTTTATGAGACCCGGTATGGTTGTGGGCCCTCAGCAACACTGGCTCCACATCAAGCAAGGTACTTTCAGGGAATGGTGGGTCGAGGAGCGTACCGAGATGAAGATTCGACGTGAGCTCATGGCTGCCGCCGCCGCCTCCAACTCCAACTCCAATTCCAACTCTACAGCGAATGCCGCACCCAGCACCCCCATCCGCGCGATGCAAAAGGCGTCGCTGCGCAACGGCCAGACATCGACGCCCCCTAACAGGAGCGCGTCGAATCGCACGCCACTAAGCGAGGTAGACGACCGCAATAATATTCAGGAAGACTACCTCCCAGCGCCTACGCCGGGTCAGCCGCGCAAGTCTGCCCGAACCGATAGGCACCACCCTTACGGCCGTACGCCATCCTCCTCGTACCACCACACCACCGTCGAGGAGGAGACAGGTGTCGAGCAAGAGACGGAAATCGTCTCCGTCCACAGGCAGTCCTACGGCGCCGAGTCCGACGAGGAGATCCACCTCCGCGTGCGCGCCCACCGCAAGGCCTCCCAATCTCCCAGCGGAGCCACCACTCGTTCCGTCAGCCATCAGACTACCACGACCACGACCACGACCTCCACGAAACACTACAGCCTCGTCGACGCAGACGACCCTTCCCAGGACATCGAGAACGTCGGGCCCGCCGCCGCCTCGAAGCCCGCCACCCGCGTGGTTAGCACCCCCGTCGGCGTCAGTAGCACCCTGGCCAAGGTCCGCGGCAGCCAGCGTCGCGACTCGCCCCTGAGGTCCCACGCGAGGGACGCATCCGTCTCCAACGGTGGCGTGCGCAAGACGAGCGGGCGCGTGGGTAGTGTGAGCGCGCAGCCTTCTGCTACTGCGAGGAAGGTCTCCGGCAGCGCTTAGAGAGCGAGGAGTCCGAAATCGCGAAAGAAGTAAAAGAGGGGGAGAAGAAGAGTTGAGATGCGTTTCACCTGGCTCTTCTTCTTTCTCTCTCGCTGTTTTTCTCTTAACTCTCCTTTGTTCATGGGTGTATATATACTTTGGGCACTGGCGTTTTTTTGTCTCATTAATTGTTGGCTGCCTCTTAATCCGCTTTTTTATGCGTTTTTGTGTTAATACCTCGATCGCATTCTCCAGCTTTTTTTAACGACGAAACGAAATCGCATATGAGCAAACGATCCATTTCATGGGCCAAGAAAAAAAAATCAGGAAAGAAAAACAACTAGGCTCGCAGATCAGATCCGTTCGGAACGAAGCCCTAGACTTACTCCAACACCCTCAAGAGTCTTGGATGACTCTTCTTCCCCTATATCTATTAATTCCCCTCCCCATTATATTCTCTATGGCAGTTCTTAGTTGCTCCTGCTTTGTGGATTGGTTCTTGGTTGAACAGGGAGAAGGCAGGCAGTCCGAGTTCTCTCCCCCATGATCACCTTGAGCATTGGATGGAATTTTTGGCAGCCTCGGTCTGGGATAGAAGAGGGAGGAAGAGGTCGGAAAAGACGCCGCTTGTTGGTCGGGAGGAATGCGGTGGGCATGGAGACGGACTGCCCGCACAGCTTTTTTTGGTTTTCAATTCTCATTTCTCTTTTACTGTCATCATCGTTTCGGCTTGGTTCGGGTCATGTTTTCGGTATTGTTCTTTCGGAATGCATTTGCGTGTCCTCTCATATATATGACTTCAAATGGTACATTATGCCCCAACCTCTAGTACTTTGTAGTGCAAAGCCTAGTGCAAAGCATCGGACGGTGTGAAAATGAATGGGTCAATACCTGGATGTTGTAGAAAACTCGTATTGGCAACAAGTGGTGGAATTTTTTGGTGTTGGTTAGATTTCACCATCTTTTGGCGTCAATTGACTAGCTCGTGCTACGTGTATCATTAAGCATTAAACATGTTGGTTACTCTGACATCCCCCCCTATCCCGCCGACGCTTTATGTCTTCACGGTAGGCTCGTCAGTGCCGACATATTCCTTGAACTTGAGAAGTCTAGTAGCCACCTTGATCTCGGGAGCTAGGAAGTCCTGGGCATCTTGCTCATAAGTCGATGGGTCACTGCTATGCTGCTCGATGTAGAGTCGAATAGTGGCGCCGGAAGACCCCGTGCCGGACAGCCGGACAACGATGCGGGTACCAGAGGAGAAGCGGGCGTAGAGTCCTTGGTTGGATGCAACCGAACCGTCAAGGTCCGTGTAAGAAAAGTTGCCAGCCTCGGTGACGGTCCGACCTGCGAAATAGTCAGAAGATATTCGATCGACAAATTTTACGCCTGCCATATCACAGATCACAGGGCAAGAGCCTTACCTTCAACCTCGCTTCCAACAAAGTTAGGGTCAGCCACGAGATCCTTCAGGACACCGAGGACCTTATTAGCGCCGTCGCTATCGACGTTCTCGTAGTCGTAGCGAGTGAAGAACGTGCGGCCATACACGCTCCAGAAGTCCTTTTGAATCTCCTTAATGGCCGGGGCGGTGCCCCTCTCCTCGCCGAGGCCGGCAATGATGTTGAGCCAGGCTACGATAGCCCACAGACCGTCCTTCTCGCGGATGTGGTTGCTGCCAGTGCCAAAACTTTCCTCGCCGCAAATAGAGAGCTTATTAGCATCGAAGAGGGCACAGAAGAACTTCCACCCAGTGGGAACTTCATAACAGTTGAGACCCTGGTTCTTAGCAACCAGATCGACAGCGCCGCTGGTAGGCATGGACCGGGCAAGCCCCTGGACCTTGTTCTTGCGGAAATAGGGAATCAGATGCGCGTAGTGGGAAATGATTGCCAGGGAGTCGCCGGGCGAAACAAAGGAGCCGGCGCCGTAGATCATGTTTCGGTCACCATCGCCATCCGAGGCCGCGCCGAAAGGAATATTCTCCTTATCAACGACGTCAACAAGACTCCTGGCGTAGGTCAGATTGGGATCGGGATGGCCGCCATTGAAATCGGGACTGGGAACACAGTTTTGTGTTGAGTTCTTGAGGCCGAGCTCAGTCTCGAAGATTGCCTTTCCGTAAGGTCCAGTGACGCCGTGGAGAGCATCGAATAAGACCTTGTAGTCGGGGTGATCTTTGAAGAACTTCCTGATCAAGTCGAAATCGAAGATATCTTTCAACATAGCCACATAATCGGCGGTGCTATCAACGATTTCCACTTCGAGGGTGCCATAGGTCTTAGTCCCAATGGTGGAGGTATCCACTTCAGGAAGAGAAGCAATCTTATAGCTAGTCAAGCTTTTAGAAACCTCATAGATCTTGTTGGTGACGGACTCCGGGGCAGGGCCGCCGTTTGCAAGGTTGTACTTGATACCAAAATCGTTCGTGGGACCTTTACAAGAAGTGAGAGGTTTCAGTCAGCAACTGTCTACCCCGTTACATATGATATTTCGGTATAGACTCACCGCCAGGGTTATGGCTGGCCGTTAGGAGGATACCGCCGGTAGCGTTGTATTTGCGGATAACGTGGCTGGCAGCAGGCGTGGAGAGGATGCCATTCTGTCCGATGAGGAGCTTCTTGACTCCGTAGGCGGCACCGATCTTGGCAATCAATTGGATGACCTCAGGGTTCCAGAATCTGCCATCACCACCAATCACAAGAAAAGCACCTATTTGAACGCAAGTCGATGTCAGATCATGTCTAAACGCACTCATAAATAGGAGGGTGGGTGGTTTTGCCCCTCCTTGGGCGCAAGCTTGATTTGGAGCATGGCGAAACTGGAACTTCAAGGGCACGAATTGTTTGAACGTTCTTACCTTCAGCACCCTCGGGGATGGAGAGGAGAATGCTAGTGACGAACGACTCGCTGTAGTTTTCCTTTTGGAAAACGGTGACCTTCTTTCGCAGACCAGAACTGTTTTACGTGACAAAAGTGCTGGTTAGCAAAGGGCGCCCAAGTTCGTAGTTCGTCTGCAGACCGCTTGAGGAAAAGGAGGGGGAGGGGCAGAGTATGACGTACGTTCCGGCCTTCTGGTCGGTGAAGGGAGTAAGCTGCACAGTCTTGATCTCCATTCTGAATTTTTGTGAAATAAGACTCAATCGAGAAGAACACAGATATTCGAGGAGATGATTCAAAGCTGCTTGGAATTGAAAGCGGCGCTCGAGGTTCGAAAGAAGGGAAAGGCGGGGACGGAGGGGGATAAGGAGAAGAGTGTCTAATATGTAGAGGGGAAAGGAGATGCAGGAGCAGGAGCAGGAGCTAGGTGGGCCTTCCTTGCTTGGGCTTTTATTTTCTGCGAGACAGTACACAATTGTAGCTATGTAATGGCAACAGCAGGCAAGCTACAACATTAAAGTATTAAAACAACGAACAAGGTGTCATTCGATTGTGTCTTGTTCGCCATTCCTTCGCTCTTTTCATTGCCCACGAGCTGATAGTGCCTGCTCTGCTAGTCGAGGTACAGCGCGATCGTATCATTGGTTTTGTGTCATATGGCGGTAAAGCTGCCCCGCGCAAGGGACAAGGGAAGGTACAAACCAGCATCATCAAATGTCAAATGTCCCACCAATATCCCATGTATGGAGTACCTTATCAAGCTCTGGAGCTACCCAACGGCCACCGCTTGGCCCAAGAGCTTGCGACAATGCACCTACCTCGGACGGAGGTGACATTAACTGATACCGACATCGTAAGTGTACATTTGCGTACATCGATATTGATCCTCCCTCGTTGACATTGGAGGCAGCCGCGAGCTACATTATGTCTTATGTCCCACTTGTGAGGTAATAGATTGATCAATGGATTGATACCTCGACACTTTAATTCCCAGGATTAAGCTACTTCGTACTTCCGCACATTGTTTCAAGCTTTTCAACCCCTCCATGTATGTACCTGTCTTAGTCTCGTCTCCAAGCACGTAGCTCCCCATTGACGCTAACTAGCGAGTGGTCATTGCCTGACGATTGGCTGGGAGGAGTCGATGCGGCTTCCCAGCTTAGCATGTTCTCTCGAAGCCGTGTGGTAATGAGTGTACGGAGTGCGCAAGTACCCGGTGGGTGGATTGAGCCACGGGATGCCGCCGTTAGCTTAAGCTCCATTGGTAGACGATTGGCCAAGATACCAGACTTCATGATGTGCCTGGAGCTCTGTTTCTGGGCCAGACCAGCCGGGAGGAACTATTTCGTCGTGTACTTCGTAGCTTCAATCTTCAGGCTATCCAATATGGCAAGGCGTAGGAAGTAGGAACGAGTGCTCGAACCTGTTGGGCTCTTTGACGCCAAGTCTAACACATACTAAGTAGTCATCCAATGGATCGCCTTTATATTTCTCTTTTCTGGCCTTCCTCCATTTTCAGATCATCATCTCCCGGCTCCGAACTCCGCCTCCCGGTTCCCCGAGTCAAAACTGGACCAGTGTGATGACGGGGTTGCCGTTGCCATTCCCTAAAAAAAAAAAGAAAAAAACAGGAAGAGGCAAATGCCATAAACATCAACTTGTTACAATTTCTCCGGCATCACCTGTCTCGACCGTTACCGGAGCGTATTGATATGGTAAACTAGGATTGTTGAGAGTCGCGGAAGGAAGAAAAATCTTCGCCACCAACCTCACTCCTGGAGAGGCCGCTCATCAAACCTCGTATTTTGCGTATGCATCTCGATCAATAGGTCGGCTGGCATTCATCTAAGCTAGTAATGCATCCGACGCCCACGGGAGGCCTAACCCGACCGGACCAAGCCAAATATGCATTTGTTGGGAAGCTAGGGATTTCTAGCCGATTTGAGCCTTGCGTGCGCTGACGATGCATCACGGCCCAGTGTTACCCTCGAATACCTAATACTCATCTCCAAGTGCAAGCCTCGCCATGCATTCTGAGCATTGAATTAAACTAGCTTATGAAAAGAGCTTTCAATGAAGCGTGTCCGAGAACTTGAGACTTAACCACGCCCGAGAGACAAACGGCGCCGCTTTCCGCGACGATCTCCAACGTGCCAGAATCAAGTTCCCTTTGTTGCCTCTTCCTTTCTCTGACGCGACGGCGTCTTTGTATCCGCCAAACCCGCCCGCCATAACCAAGCTCTTCGAAGCCTCCCGCCTTCTCCTCCAATTCCCATCGACGAGACAGCGGGCTTTCACTTCTCGATTCGTAGGCCAAAGCCAGCTCCATCCACCTCACCTCACCTCCAGGGCTTTCTTAGATAGAAGGGTCCCGAGGCGTACCGCACTGGTTCTATAGGAGAATGGCAAGAGGGGTCTGGCGTCAAGTAATACCTCATTCACAATCCATCGCCAACCTCCTTCTCTTTGTTTTGCTCACGTTCCTTGTTCCCTCGTCGTTGTTGCCCAGTCGCCATGCTTTGTTCTGTAGTCGTGTGAAGCGAAATCCCTTCAAAGGATGGTCTGCGCCTTTTCCACCACGATACAATACATGGAATCGAGAATGAAATTCATTATATAGCTTTGAACAAGAAAACTTAGTCTTCGTGTCGGGGAAAGCCCTCTCAAGTGTATATCATTCGTGCTTCTCTCTCACTAGCCATGGCGTTCCCAGGACTATCCACCCAAGTCCCGCACCCAAGACTTACACGGGTTTCAACCAAGAGATCTCAGGCAACTTCCAGAAACCTCGTAATCAAACCACGGCCACGGCAATGGGTGACCCTTTCCATAACTATTACCTTAAGAACAGCCCCAACCATACCCCCTCCAACCCCGGCACAAGCCCACTTCTCCCACCAGAGCTCATGGGCCAAATCTACGGCGATGCTATAGCCTGTGGGTTTCAGTCCTGCATTTTTAACCACTTCATCCCTAAATGGGGCCTCTGCGACAGTCGGTCCCAATCAGACACACGCCGAGTCGTTTGGCAGACGTACATCACCCCGGAGGATCCAAAGAAGAAAGGTACCCTTTTCCACAACCACCGCCACCAATGTATCAAGGTTTCTTGGACCGACCTCTTAGACCCCGATATCTCGGCCGAGACGGGGGCCACCGACGTGCGAGTCGCCCTGGAAGCTTACGAGAAGGAAGGCATTCGCGAGGCCACGAAGCGCCTCGCAATGTGCTATGGTACGTGGCCCGAATACACCTTCGTGTCCGCCTCTCTCGGCGACCTTCTGTCCCAAGAAAACATCCAATCTATCGAGAATGGCCGTCCCTTGGCCATTGAGCCGCGGGCCCTCCACGAGCTACCTTTCCGCGCTGACGTCATCCCTGAACAGTACCGGGGCTGCCAGAACCAGCATGAGAACCAGAGCACGGTTTCCAAAAACATCTCCGTCCTCGCCATTACGGTTCCGGGCATCGACATCGGCGACGATCCAGATGAGCGTCCAGGTCCGGGCTATAACCTCATGCAGTTCCTGACGGCCGACACCTTGAATTTTCTCGACACCGAATCCCTAGACTCCGTCCTCGAGAGGATCGTGGCGGACCGGCGCAACACCGCCCTCCTCGACTGGTCCAAATTTAACCGCAAACGGCTCCGCGCCGTGTTCCTCGACCTCCGCGCCTACGCGACCGGCGACCTCGAGGAGGAGGACCTGCTGCGCACGGCTGATGACATGTGCCGGCACCTTTCGCTGGACGTGCTTTGCATCGCCGGCACGCGGAGCGGGTATCCGTGGATGGACCGCATTTTCACCAGCGGGTGGAGCACCGAGACTCTGGAGGGGGCGGCGTACCTCATCGATGGCGAAGGAAACAGGCATGTCAACCCTATCGCTGCGTTTCGAGGAGCTCTGAGGCCCGGGGGAAGAATCATTCTTGTCGATGCTTGTGAACAGGTTGTGAATATTCCGCAGACGGAGGCCAACTTCCCCGAGGTGTCTCTGGTGATGTGAGACAAGTGGGGGGCCGGGAAACACTCTTGAGATGCTTCTTCTGAACTGAGATAACTTTTGTAAATTGCTTTCCGGTCGTGTGCGCTCGCTGTTTGGCTTCGAGTGAATTGGATAGAGAAATAGAGCTCTTTGTATTGCGGTGAGTTACCATTCCTTCTGATTGTCATCGGCGAGGTCCAGGGCAAGACATCAAGTAAGCTCTGCAGTCAGCTGTAGAAATTGAAGATCTTGGTAAACTTAACGTACGTGAATCAAATGAACAGGATACCAGACCAGTGTGTAGATTGAGGAAACAGGAAAACGCGCAAAGGAAACCTTTTCTTCTTTTTCTTTCTTCTTCCCAACCCCTCTGAAAGGAAACAAATGCGTGACAATGTGTAGCGTGGGGATATCTTTATTTGGCGACGTTTAACTAACAAACCAAACCAAACCTCCGGCCTCGCCCATCTCACCGAGTCATCATCCAATTAAGCCCCCCTCCAGCTGAGAAAAGGAACTCCTCCAATTCGCCCAAAGCACATATAGACCTCCTCGCCCTTCCATCACTCCAAGCAATGCGTCAATCAATTAATTACCAATCGTCATCTCGTGACCGGACAGGTGCTTCTGGAAAGAAATGTCGTAGGACAGGGAGCGGAGCAAATAAAGAACAAAGTATGGGACAGAGCCTACGGCAGCGAGTCTCGAAAGAAGCTGCGCGGGTTGAACCAAGGAGAGGGGCGACAATTCCTAAAATGAACGAAGAAAATTGAAAAGAAAAAAAGAAGAAGAAACAGATGCTACTGGAGCTGGGGGGGTATCACACGTTGTCTTCCTCTCTCCGATGCCCTAACTCTGCTGTTTCCTAAAAGCCCTAGTGTCCCGACTTTCACCATGCCCGGAATAAATATGCCAGCGCGAAGGTATTGGATTCCAAGTAAGTCTTTTATTTCCCAGTCAATTCCTCGTCAAGTGTCTAGAGAAGGACGGCGAACATTCCGATGGCAACGGCGACAGCACTGGTACCAACAAAGACACTGGCGGCAGCACCTTCCTTGTTATCACCGCTCGAGGAGTCTTCGGATCCGTTGCTGCCGCTGCTCGAATCGGAGGGGGTGGGCGAGGAAGCGCTGGATTCCGTAGGAGTACTGGTATCCTCATCGTCGGTGGGGAGCTTCGAGGCATCGAGAGTGCCGCATTTGGCCTGGATATCGGTTTCGCACTTGGGGAGCTCAACGGGGTCGCCAGCGCTCCTCTCGGTGCACTGCTTGAAAGCCTCTTGGCAGACGAAGGAGTAAAGCGAGGCGGAGTAGTACTTGAGGCCGGGTTCGGTTCCGTTGTTACAAGTGCACGTGTAATCGAGGGTGTTCTGCGAAGCGAAAGCTCACGATTAGCTTCCGGTGGTGAAACGAAAAAACCAACCGAGAGGAGCGAAGGCGGCGGAACGTCGTACGAGGCGGGAAGAAAACTTACAATATCGCACTTGTTTTCCTTGGCGGCGCCGGGGCAGAGGGCCTCGCAGGTGTTTCGCTCACCCATACACCAGGCACCTATTTCAACGTGTTAGCCCACTTCGACGTTTCGCCGCGCAAAAAAAAAAAAAAAGAAAAGTGGCTTGGATTACCTCGGTCGCGAATGGCAACGGAGTTTGGGTCAACGTTGAAATCGGTAATAGTGGCGGCCGAGGCGAGGCCAAGGGCCATGACGATTGAGACGAGGGAACGCATGTTGTCTCTGGGTTGAGAGGATTCAGACGGTAGTAGTAAAGCTTTGTCGCAAGTAGACTACTGTTCGTAGAATCGATACTCTAGAATGCGGTATTATCGCGATATAGTGGCAGCAATGCTAAAGTCGAGAGATGACGATGCTGTGTGAAGAGGGTGAAGGGGGAGAAGTTTGAGATGGGACGACTTTGCTTCGGGTGGGTGGGGAAGTGCGAGTACAAGTACAAATTGGGGAGGAGCGTCGGATTGGATCCCGAAGAGAGGGTATCGTGGGAATGTGCGGGTGGGTGGGAAGGAAGCAAGGGCCAGGGTCAATAGCTCGAGAAAGAGACAAAGACGGACGGCGGGAATTTTGATTATATGTGATCAATTGATGAATGTTGTTTGACCTTTTGGGCCTCGGGCTTTTTCGCCTCGAGCTGTTATCATTGATCTGGAAGTACGGCAAGTGGGCAAGCACAACAGTACAAACGAAGTACATTTGATTGATGTGTGGGTACCTGACTTTTCAGCATCAATGATGAAATCTAATCCATTACGGATCGGGGATCGCAGATTAGCGTGTGTTAGTGAGTGCTTTCATTTCAGCGACCCTCAAGTGCTGAGCAACAATCATGCGCGCCAAGTCTTCTGCTTCCTGTTACTTTGTACACACTATTAAACTACCTCAGTAGCTCGACGAGTCGTGTCTGTTCCTGTGCCTGTGCCTGTGCCTGTTTCCTTTCCTGTTCCTGGTGTTTCGGGGTACATCCTCCGAAGTTTATCCCTAGCCATTCTCGGTAGCCCGACGGCCCAATCTCCTTTCAGTGTGATTTATGCCTGATAGGTGAGCACTCTCTAATCGGTCCCTCCGAAGAAGAGATAGAACGCGAAGTATGAGTACGGAGTACAGTCTTCCTCCGTGGATACCGAAGCGAAAGAAGAGGGAATTGATGAGCGGCACATCATGATGGGGTGAAAATGGGGAGGGGCTGGAGGACTGGGGGGCAACCAGGTTGAGGGCAAAAATGGCCGGATCAAATGTTGTTGTTAGCTTGGTACGGCCTTGGCCTGGAGGCCTGGACACTACTTCGTTACTTCGTACCTCGTCCCTCGTAATATTGTTCCTGTTGTTTTTGTTCAGGTTTGTCCACCACTTCTTTTGGGGGTGGCATGATGAAACCCTCACCTCTCTCGCAGATCATCAGTGTGGTGTACTTCGTATACACCAACCAAGTCCGTCTTTAGACTTCGTAAGAGGCAGGTCGCCCTTCAATACGAACACTGAATTGTGCATTGTGGCCTTTTAGTAGTAAACTACGTAGTGTTTATTAATCGATGCGGTTTGCCCTCTGGCACAGTTGACGTTTATTATGACCTCGTACACAACTCCAAATATTTTCTTCGCAAATGGTTTCGTCAAAAACTTTTAAGAAAGCCCTTCGTTTTTTTCCCCTCTACTTTAGCGTGGGCTAAGTTACTTGGAGATAAGTCGCAAACCAACATTACACCACTTCGTACCCATGAGATTCTCCCAACCTCTCTTTTCCTCGGCGAGTTCGTTCCTGGACCACAACAACGCCCCACACTTTCCGGGTACTTCGTGCTACACGACGACTTGGTATTAGTGCCCCTGCAAGGACAGCGACCACGCAGCAGACAACACCAATTTGACGGCATCCCAAGTGTGGCCCTCCAGCCACCCGCAACTCGGCAACTCGTCATCAGCATGGTGACGTCTATGGTGGCCAATTGAATCAATGTTTTCGACCTAATTCGGCCTGTGCATCTGGAAGCCCACTCTGTCAAGGACGGACGTGCTCAGCCAGTATTTCGGATCGTACCCTGTTACTGAGTACTTGTAATATGTCATGTACAAGTAATACTAGGTTGTTCTATGATGAAATCCGCGAGCAGACCTCAGCGCGACTGGGGTTCGATCCGGACCCGCCACATCACAAATGCATCCGCCAAGTCGGATGGACATCGATAGGTTGCGGTGAGGCTAGGGATGCCAAGCCTTGGTTGCTGGCTCTGTTTCGATTGCCAGGAGCGCCCAAGTGTTTGAGACGCCTGTACTGAGGAAATTACTAGATTCATCACACGAAGTAATAAGAGGGAATGAAAAATTCATTTTATCCAGCGCAGAGTCGGACTATCATCTCGGGAGCGATGGTTATAATTATAATTATTCCGTCGACGAGTCTCTTCGCAAAATTTAAAACCTACCAAGTAATTTTAACATCGAGTCCCGCCCTCGAAAATATCCGCTGGGCAGCCGAACATCATGAAACTGATTGAATTGATTTCCGCTGCCGATGATCCACGCCCCACAAAAATAGGGTCCTTCCTGATTGGAGAGCTGTTCCCTCCAGAAGTCCTTGCACGACCTCGGCCAATCAAAGCTGGATAATGACTGGCGAGACCCTTCCATTAATATCCATTTGTCTTTTGTCCATGACCATGAAGGATGAATAGGGTACACAGTGACAATCAGCAGTGGTGCTGACAATGATGCCGTGCAGCCATAGCAATCAATGGCTTCATCCCACTAAGTCTAAATCCGTATTATCTCCGTCCCAATCTGGTCTAATGCACAGGTACCTTGACCTCACAAAATTCCCATCTTCCTGTTTCTCCAAGCTCCCGAGCCTCGCGGCCGCTAAGACAGGTCAACAGACGCGCTAGCCTCGGAATTTCTAGCCTTCTTGATCCCGATGTTTGCTGCGAGTGGATGGCTGGCATTATTGATTTGGACTCACGGCGAGAAGGTGAGGCGACCCAATCTCGGAGGCATATTATTGCCTCAACCCTTCCAGAGAGCAGCCGCCAATCCTTGGCGTCCAGTCGCAAAAGCCTCCAAATGTATTCCTTGCCTTGGCTATCTGCAGCGACGATTTTGCTTGCTCCCCGTCGGGCGGACCTACGAAGTAGAAATCCTGACTGGGACTACATTGATAAATGACGTTGAATACTTTGTATGCAGTCATGTTGACTATCAAATGCATTGTAAGCCCGCGAAATATCACATGCGGCGCCTGTAAGATATTGATAAATCCAGGCGTGGGATTGGACGCTGGCCGGCAGGCGCATGGTTCCTCTCGACCGCCCTCCTTCGTGCGTGCGAACCGGAATACGAATTCGAGATCTCACTCGACTAGGCTCCCATAAGCCCGCCTGTCGAAGGCCCCTTTTTCGACAGTCATCAACTGACCTCGCTCCGTTTGATGGAAATTGACGCCCGATTACTCTGACATCTCCTTGCCCAACCCGTCGAGTGGGAGAAGGAAAAATCAAATAAAGTTGGCTCTGAGAAGCCTGAGAAAGCGTTGATTTCAAGTCCCCCCCTCCTCGATCTTCTTCTAGCGAGCCGAAAGCCGCCAAAAAAACATGGCGGCGCTAATCCCCACCCTTTTCGGGGGCGTCGCCGCGGCCGCGGTGGCCTTCGTCCTATGGCTCGTCAAGATCAACCGCATCATGCGCACCACGCCCGCCGAGGCCCTCAAGATCTCCCCGAATCGCTGGACCAAGGAAGAAATCGTCGAGACCTACCGCCGCATCGAGAAGAGCCCGCTCGACTGGACACCCCACCTACCACCCAAGCTAGATCGGAGATACATCGTCGTCGGCGGATCGGGTTTGTGGCTTTCTTCCTAGCCCCCCAGCTAACACGCAGCTACTGACAAACACCCCGCTATCTAGGTCTCGTCGGTAGCGCTCTCGTCCTCCAACTCCTCGCCCGCGGCCAAGACCCCTCCACAATCCGCATAATCGACTTCCGCCGCCCCATCCGCCCGGATCTCCTCTCCGGCCCCGGCGCCAACGTCGACGTCACCCTCGCCGACATCACCTCCGCCGAAGCCACCTCCGCCGCCTACTCGAAGCCCTGGCCCGAGTCCGTCACCTCGCGCAACCTACCCCTCACGGTCTTCCACATCGCCGCCATAATCAGTCCCTCCGAGCGCCATCCGCTCGTCTACAACCGCTGCGCCGTCGTCAACGTCGATGGCACCGCCAACTCTATAGCCGCCGCTCGCGCGGCCGGCGCGGATATCTTCGTCGCCACCTCGAGCTCCAGCGTCGGCCAGCACCCCGTCGACTTTTTTCTCGCGCCCTGGGAGAGCGAGCCCCGCGGTTACATGCAAGTCCTTACCGAGGAGGACTTCTATAAGCCCATCCGTCCGCCGAGCCAGTTCTTCGGGAACTACGCCTTTTCCAAAGCCGTCGGCGAACGCCTCGTCTGCGACGCGAACGAGTTCCCTCCCGAAGGTGCCGACCTCTCCCGTCCCGGCGGCTTCCGCACCGGCATCATCCGTCCGGGAAGCCCCATCTACGGCGGACCCCAAGACCCCGTCCTCGGTCTCCTCCTGAAGCAAAAGGGTCCTTCGCCGACCTTCAGCGCTCCCTGGATGCAAAACTGGGTCAACAGCTCCAACGTCGCGATGGCGCATCTCCTCTACGAGCAGCGCCTTCTGTCCCCGCAAGGCCGCGCCCTGGCCGCTCGTCCCTTCCTCGTCACGGATGCGGGTCCGCCGCCCATCTTCGAGGACTACTATACCCTCGCCCGCATCACCGTGGCTAAGAACCCTCCGGTCATTCAGTATCCTCCCCCGGTCCTCCTTTTGGTTCTCGCTCAGCTGGTTGAGTGGTATTGCGTCCTCTTGTGGCGGTTCCCCTTCTTGAATCGTGTCTTCTCCGAGCCTGGCTTCCCCCTTTACTGGTTACAGCCTGCCTGTTTCAGTGCTTCTATAAACCTCATCATTGATGATTCGGCGGCGAGGAGGTCACCGGAGCAGGGTGGTCTGGGCTACAAGCCGCTGTGCACGACCATGGAGGGAATGTGTATGCAGGTCCATAACTGGAATGAAACGTATAGCAAGGCTGAGGGTGAGGGTAAGTGAGGCTCGGGAAAGGTGCAACATGGCGATGCCCTCCGTTTGCTGCTAGTTCGTTACTACTGATACTTACGATGGGGACATGTAAACACGGATGGACCTGTACTCAAACTCAGGCTTAAGGACTTATAAAACTGTATTTTATGAGAGACCGTAATGGTCATTACTCTCGCGGTGCCGTGAAGTATCGTAAAGGTAGGAAATGGATCAAATAGACCGTCTAGTACCTAGAAGGCAAAGTCTTCTCAGTCACCTCGCAGGTGATAGACTATTCCCCATCGATAACTCAGTTGATACGTTTTCAAACACCAACCAATCAGCCGACGCCGCTTGAAGAGTCGACAGCCATGTAGCCCTCGTTCCTCTCTACCAATCCATCTGGAAGCTGCTTCTCGCCGGTCGGCAGCTTTCTGGCTTGCGGCTCCTATCATTTCCGGCCGGCGCATGGAACGGGTTGCGGCCGTTGTCGTTCATATTGCCAATGTCGTCAATCTTTTCAACCATCCCCACCGCGGGCTTGTAAAGACTCTGGAATACGCCCTTCTCCTTCAGCGTCTTCACCGTCCACTGCGCCTCGTCGCCGAATTCCACCGTCTCATTCTCCGCGAAAATTTCCTCGGCGTGTCGAGATGAAAAATGGGCTTCATACCAGATATTCGCGAGACCCCGTTTATCATCCTTCTCCGAAGGAGTGGCCTTCACGATTCGAGTTCCATCCTTCTGTCCATCTGGGACTTCGGCTGTCAACTTCGTATCCTGCCACATGGTGATGTCAAGGTAGGTGTCTCCATTTTCACCATCTTGATAACGGGCAACATGGCGGACACGGACTTGGTTAACAGCCACGCCATAGCTGGGATCCAGTTCAAAGCGCAGGTTGGCTTTGCCAAAAGGGGCAGCTTCGCTAATAAATCGTACCGGACTCGTTAGTCTGCCATGTGTCCCCGATCAGGCTTAGAAAACTTACATCTCAAGGCCGTCCATGATAGACTGCACAAAGGTCGAGTACTTCCGCGAGAAATAATCTGTGTCAGTAACCTTTAGGATGAAATTCAGGTCCCACGACCGATTGGGGCAATGGATGTAGATCAAATCGACAATGCTTGTGCCATTATGCGACTGAAATGTGGCAGTGATGTCCTGCGAGTCCACCTCCACGGTGAACTTGGCGCCTGTCTGGACACTGCGGCAGTTGAAGTCGAAAAAGGCCTTGGTGGATTGCAATGTCCACTGGTGATTGCTGGCATTTGTAGACGTCCAAGCTACATTGACGAGCCGGTCGGCATCCGCTCCGTTCATGGAAATGATGGGATGGAACCGGACATTAGACTCATCGAAAACCGCCAGCTCGCGGAGGAGATGGTGCTGGTCGAAACACGCCCTTTCCGCACCACTTCCGGTGAAGTTAACCGCACTTTCATGGATATTTTCCATGACTATACGTCCGAGTACGCAGTGAAGCGAAACTCGACCAATAAGCCCCTTTGCTCTGCCAGCCATCTTGACGAGGCGCTCTTCGAGGGCAGTCACAAAGTTGGCCCGATCCTTGGCGCTGATCTCCATAGTCAAAGGCAGTTTGCGAGCCGTCATACGTCCGCCTGAGAGACTGAAGCCGCGGCTTCTGAAGCTCTCGGGCAAGCTAGACAACGCCCGGTCTGTTCCCGACGTTGGGACGTTGCTTTCACCTGATCCTTGACCGCTTGTGTGTGGCTGTGCCCACGAATCGGCCCTCTGAGCGTGTTGGCTACCACCGGGGGCAACAATAGAAGAAGACGATGCCAACCATGGCCGTGACTCAAATATAGGTGTTGGGCGTCCTTTAGCCTGCTTATTTTGCCTTCCCCCAGACTTTTGGTTCATTGTCTGATGATACTCCCTGGGCGGCAAGCTCTCCTCCATCAACCGCGGTTGAAGAGTGCTGGGCACCCACGCAGGAGTGGGAGCCAATGGTTCCATCAAGTTTCTCAGAACTTCTTGGTCATCCCCAAGACTGAAAAGCTCATCAACCTTGCTTCGATTCAGTCGTCTCGTGGGGTTTGAGATGGTATTCCTGCCTTCCTGAGATATCGGAAGCTCCACGAAACGCGAGTGAACCGATTTCGTGTAGTTTGAACCCTTGCTTCTGTTCTGCCCGGATAGTACGACATTCTTGGCCTCCATTAGAGGAGCACTAGATATCTTCTCATCGATTGGGCCTAGGAGATCAAGTCGGCCAGAATTTCCTCGAGTAAGACGAGGCAGCAACTCCTTTGTGCTCACCATGGAGCTGCCCAGGTTGCCCAGGATGCATTCGTCTATTGCGCGGATTGGTACATGGACTGTTGCATCTACTCCAGGTATTTCCCAGGGGATTGGGGATTCATCGGGTGCTCTGATGGGAATAGTCGCAAGATCCGACGCTGGGCCGGAAGTAATAGAAGGGCTCGCTATGTTTTGAGGAGGAAGATTTTCGACGTTTTGAATCCAATTAAGGATGGATACGTTCATTTTTTGATGATGAGCCCTGATCGAGGAAGTTGATGCACTCTTTGGAGAGGCGAGTCCATCTATAGATCGGCCGGCAGTCAAGAGTCTAGGCTCTGGATGATCGGGGGTGGGCGCGGGCTCTAGTTGATCAGAGACAGATTTGTGTTTTGGCTGGTCAGGAATGAATGCAGACTTTGGCTGATCATTGTTGGGTACAGGCTTCGGCTGATCGACCACGGGCTTCTCCCTTCTCTTCAAAGCCTCTCTAGGAGTATAGAAGGCCTTAGCAAAGGGAGAAAACTCGCGAAATTCCACATCGGGCGGATCCTCCCTCGTGGTAAAAGCATCCTTCAATGCCGGAAAGACCGGCTGGGCGGTTCCTTGAATTCGGTATGTGATGATGTGGCCCTTCATATACAGATCTCGGTATTCGGCTTGGGAAACCGTTGGCGAAGTCTTCAAGATCGTGGATTGGGCCATCGTAAAATCCGAAATCCTTCGGATGTCTAGCTGGAAACGCGCCCGAGGATGCGGCGGCAGAATCAGGTGCGTTGCAGGCGGCAATCCGGTTTTCTATGAGTAGGAAGAGTTAGCGCTGGAGAGTTTTTGTCTCGTTTAACGAGCATTGTACACTTACGCGATAGTAGAGGAGCATGTCCAGCTTTCGGACTGCATCGTCGACGGAAGCCTCCGTTTGGGCACCAAGATAGATGACATCTTGCCCAAAATTGTGAGAAACCTCACAACCTACGAGCTGAGAGAATCTTTCCAGGGACCACACTGGATCCTCCTCTCTCTGTAAGACCTTGGCTACATCGAGATTGCCTAGAGAAGTAACCGTCTGCAAACGTTGCCAGACAGTCTTGAACGGGAACTGCTGGAAAGATTCAGGGTACCGATAAGGATCGTACGCTTTGTCTTCCTCGGGAGAATCGCCGAAAGGACGCCAAGTAAAGACCAAAGGATCTTCTTCAGGTGCGAAGTCGACATCTCCAGGCTGTTGGTCGAAGAGAAAGTCGTCAGCCTGGCTGTCCACAATGTGGAACAGAACCGCCTTCAAGAAGTGAGCCAATGTGGCCTCCTCGCCAGCAGCAACCAGGCACTGAAACCAAGGAACGCTGGGTTCGTAGAGGATCTCGATGAACTTGAGAAAATGTGGTCAGTGTCTGATGAAACGGGTAAATCCGTGGCCGGAGCTGGTAAGACTTACTGGGATCTGATTTTTCTGGACCTGCTCCAGGACGTACTTGACTCCGCTCGGACGAAGCGGCGGGTTGGAAGTGATGTAGAACTCTACGAAAGACATGATGGCTGCTGCCAGTGATGTAAAAGAAAACAAGACTGGGTATGAACCATATCAGAAAAACTCGAAAGGTTTAACCCTTGAGGTTGATGTCGGGAAGAGAGAAAAGAGAGGTACGGACTCGAGTGAAGAAAACCTATTGCGACCCTTCTGACTTGAGAAGTAATGAAGTACTGGGCTGACTTCGAGAAGGAGCTTCCTATCTTCCTAGGGCTTACTACTCTGCTGGGTATCTTTCCAACGTTGGCTAACTTCAACGAGGTGGCAGCGAAGAATCGCAATAGGATTACCCTCAAGCTCTCTAGGGAAACCTTAGGCGCACTGGTTGCTCAGCATCTTGATCAGCTGGGGACTCTCAGCTGCTTTGAATGATATGGTTTTGTCAGTATGTGCTAAGCTTGTAAGTTGGAAATCTAAGGTAAGGAACCCACATGTAGAGGAAAATCTGAATGGATGCTCTAATAGGTTCAATATCACCAACTTGAGGTGATTTTAAAAATCTTAGCCGCTGCAAACGTTGTGAGACCTTCTTTCCCTTCAGCACGGTTCCTTGCATCTCTCCGAGAGAGAGAGCATTATGTACATCTCTAAGTTCCTGAAAAGGAAAAGAGTTAGTACGTAAACACGACCAAGCCCATTCCAGACCAAATATAAGAACCTCTTACTGGATGTAGCATGACTTTGCTTTATTCATGTACTCCATGGTGCTGGTGGCGGTTCACAGATTGTTTAATGTTGTCTTGGAGCTTATGCCAACAGAAGACTGTGGGCTACAAAAGAGATCAATGATATATTTAGTATGTAGGTTTTGGAAGAAAAGGGGGGGTTGGAGTTTGTTATATTCTTTCTTCTTCATATCCAGCCCACTGGGTCTAAGATGGCTCCAGGACAATGGAGGTTAGCGAGGTCTTGAACCACAATGCTATGCAGAGTCACGATATTCAAGGGGAGATGGTCCTGCGGGAGAAGAGACTGAAGCCTTCTGTATATGAAACCGTGTATGCCTAGGTAAAGCAAGCAGTATAGGATATATAATAATAAGTTGTTTTCCAATTGATATGAACCAGTGCCTAATATTCCCTCCTGTTGTTGTAAACAATGTAAACACTTCAGACATCAAGTTTTCTAATGCCCCTGACTGTTCCTATTCAATACACCTGCCGCCTCAAAAGAGGGGAAAAAAAAAGACAAGAAGAAACACAGAGGGAAAGATGAAACAAGAATCAAGTGTCATGAAAGAGCGATGCAGAAAGATATAGTGGTGTGTTTGCTGGCGTAATTCATTCTCTGTATCCCCCAATTCAAGTTTTAAGTGCTGTGAGTATAACGCAAAACACAACATGTCCCAGTCATCTCTTGCCTGTAAACGCCACCCAATGAAAAGAAGTTTGAAGGGAGAAAAAGGGAGGGAAAAAGAAGAGAAAAAAATGCCGGTGAAGCTATGAGGATAAGGCCAATTGCGATGCTGAACATCATGATAACAGGGCTTCCTCGGTGAAGCTGGAACAGGCAAGGCAAGTTACCAGCGTTTCGATTTCCCGGGTAGCTCGTTGCTCCGGATATAGGGAGGACGAGGTGGTAGAAGAGACTTCTATGCCGTAAGAAGAGGAGGATGATTAGAATGGATAGGATCGGAAGGAGGTTGAGATGTATCGTGGTTCGATATCGAGGAAATGATGGGTTAAAGTCGAGTGAAATTGGGGGATTGGGGGTAAGTTGAAGGAAAGAGATCGCTCTTTGAAGTGCACGGCAATGCGGAGCGTGTCGTCGCGTTGCAACTAGTGAAAATAAGATAGATGGCTGATGGAAAAGGGCGAGGCTAACGTTGTCAACTCCAAGTCAAGCAAGCTGATAGGAGAGCTTGCTTTTACTGCGCTCCTCGAACGTTTTCCTTAACGTTTAGGGCCCATTTCAGTTTCGCCAAAGTCTGCCTCGTTTCCTCGAGCAGCCGCTCCTGTTCCTGCTCCCGGGAGTGCGCATTCAGTTTGACGTCTCTGAGCCAATTCTCCTGCTCCTGCTTATAAGCCTCAAACTGCCTCGAAATCTCTTCGTTTTGTCGTATCAATTCTTTGATGCTGCTGTCTTGTTGGTCGCAAAGCTCTTGAAGCGTTATTATCTTTTCGTCGTCCTTTCGCCTTTCGTCGACAAGTTCCGAAATCTCGCCACGCAGCTTAGTCGTCGCGCGCTTAACCTCTTCGCCTTGATCTTTCCAATGGGATGAGATGGAGTGGTACCGGCCTTCCATCAGCATTGCCTGGGCAGTAGCCTCCTCGACTTGTAATTTTGAGTCGTGTCGAGCTTTCTCCATTTCCTCGCGCCAGACACGTTCCCGGTCCAGGGCCGCGGTAGCCTTTTTCCGTTCGAGCTCGATCGCGGATGTCAATGACTCGACCTGGCGCTCCTTGCGGGAAAGTAGGGTTTTCGTAACGTTCGCTTCCAGAAGCCGGCTTTCGTAGTCCTGCACTAGCCTTTCCATCTTATCTTCAATGAGCTTCGCTGACTGCTTCGCTTCCTCGGCACGTAACCTTTCGATTTTGATGTCTCGCTTGAGTGCTTCATTGTCACCAACGAGTTTGTTGATTACACGGCCAGTCTTCCCCAGGCCAGCCTTTCCGATGGTAGAGTCCCATGTTTGGGAAGACTGTTGATCCTGAGAGTCTAGCGAATGTGGCTGGGTATTGCTGCTGATACCGTCGACCGTACGACTCGGTGATAGGGACGTCGGCTGCTGTTGATACTGCTGCTGACGGAAAGGAGAGGAAGCTTCGCGGGTGGGTCTGGACCAGGAATCGCCGTTTGGCTCTCTGCTGGAGATGTCAGCCTTTAACCTGACTGTAGGCATATTGTCGTCGTCTGGGTTGCTCGTCGCGGACATGGCACTCGTGTTGCTCGTTACGGAGCTGGAAAACGCTGATCTCTTGGTAGTGACGGATGGCGTATCCGAGCTCGTGTCTGATAGAACTCCCTCGAAGCTAGGAACTGTCCGGATTGTTGAGAGCATCTTTGGCGTGCTACCCGAGTTAGGTGTCGAGGAGGCAATGTGCAACTGCGGCTCGGGGGTAAGCTTGGGTGTCGACGTTGACTGGTTCTGGGAGGAGTATGTGGTAGTAGTCGTGGTTGTGGTTGTCATGCTATGGGAGTGCCCACGACGGGAAGGGCTGGACGATGCGGCCGGGGCATCTGCACTACGCTCGGGCTCTGGTGTGCTCGGCGTGCTCGGGTTTGTACGGGAATGAGCCTTTTCTACTACACAGACGAATTCCAGAGTTAGCAGGATTTTCAGTGGCCGGCCCAGAGACTGGAGAGCTGGCACTAGCGCAGAGCAGGCATGAGAAAAAGACCCGGGTGAGAGGAGGGGCGAGGTGATAATGCCGGAACGTTGGCTGGGAGAGGAATCAAAGAGCTATGAAGAGGACTGATATCCAGGAGGGCCAAAAACTACAGACTGCGCCCGATTCTGGAGATGTCGACCTGGCTGCGAACATTCTTGAAAGTAGGTAATGGGTGTAGGTATTCGTTTCAGGTTCGATCGAAGACGCTATGATAGGCTGACAAAGGAGCAAAAAAAACGAGGTACATCAAATATGTGCCTTGGTCCTTGACTCTCTCTCTTGGTCCCGTTTTGAAATGATTGACTCAACTTACCCTTGTCTCCCGAAGAGGAGAATACACTTGAAAGAGAGATTTTGAGGTTTGTTTTGGAAGACTTGGATTTCCGGTGTTTGATAAGTCGACTGGCCATTGTCAAGGGACCATCTCAATCGGGAGAGGAGCCACTCGAGAGAGACGGAGAAAATAAGAAAGGAAAAAAAAATAAAGGCGGTGGCACTGCCAGCTAGTCCAAGGCTGGTCCAGTCCTTGTTTGTTGCTTATTTTGTAGGAACGGTCTCTCAAAGCGGTCGCGTTGCCTGTTTGGTGGTTGCTCGGGTATTTGCGCCAACGCCAGGCCAAAGACGGGGAACCCCCAATAATTGCAGTATCTAAGTCTATTAGTGCGGTTGCCAGACTTGGAGCCGGATAAATAATGGGGTCTCGTTGTCCGGTGCGCAGCAGAATTCGTGGGAATGACGCGACGCAAGGCGGAAGCTAGTTCGAACTACGAAGTAGATCGATGGATATTCTGGGACCGATTGCAGAATGGCCGAGTAGCGTGCAAACAACAGAATGAGCACTCTGTGGGCTGCCGTCTCGTGTAGTGGTGTAGGAAAGTCGATCAGGTATCCAGATGTCTGGTGACGGTTTACCCTAGATGTGCAAGGGACCGTTCGACGGTGAGAGCATTAATGCCGGACTCGTTTCGCTCGACGGGAAGATCCAAGGCCTCGCGAAGACGGGAGGGAATGTAAAAGTCGGAGCCGGTTTAGAAATGAGATTCGCAGAGGGTGGAAGAGGAACAGTGCTGTCGATCAGATGGGCGGAGGACGAGAAATGAAAAGGCGAGGAAGTTCGAGGGGGGAAAACAGTTGGACATGTATTGGCCTGATTGATCATGGATCAATACTTCGTATTAATATGGGAGTGCTCAGGGCATAGCGGTCTTTCTCCCCTTCCTAGTGTTTTTCAAGGTTCGATGTTGCTTTTCAGTCTCGAGAGGGATGCACTCCGTGCTTCGAATGCCTGGTGTATGGTGGATGTACCTCCTCTATTATTATTGGGGGTCTGTGAAGTGTTGATTATTGTTGATGTTACCACAAACAGTACGAGAACCCGACTATCCTTTATCACTATTGGTCTCTTGTCCGGGAGGGGTTCTCCTGGTTGTCCCCTGACTAGTCGATGTCCAGTAAAGGTATTTTTCCATAACAGGCGCGCCTGGGAAACACTGTTAGTGTACATTGACGCATGGATCTGGCTGGAGACTTTGGCCAAGCTGTCAAGGATCTGTCTCCAATACGGGCGATGTACGAAGGTAGCTTGGAGGTACTTGGTGTTTGATGAGGCACACATCTTCTCCCAATGTCTTGCACATAACTGTCTAGGAGAGGACATTGTACACTACCTGGAGAGACTGCCAGCTGACGAAACCATTCACTTGTCCCCGTAATACTTCTGGGGTACTTCGTACTCTGGGAGCATTGTCTGGGATTCCATCTTCAGCCACCAAGGCGATCCCCTGCATCCAACCCATTGATATGCGTGTCCTGCTGAGGCGAGGCCCACAGCCAGTCCGGGATTGACGGGATCAGCCCAGGAGCCCCCTCGTGCTTCTTTCCCGTGTGCAAGCCAAGGCGAGGGAGGACAACAGCATTGCTTCTGTCAAAACAACACGCTTTTGACCCCAATCAGATCCATTTCTTTTGGGGACCTCAATGCTTTTCGTTACGCAGTGTACTGAGGTATTATCCTCTGCACTACTTGCGTACTGCACTGTATTTTACTTATTCTTGCCCCGGCACTCTGGTTACGCATGACACGCTGCATCTTGGGTTCCGCAGACTCATGGACGGAGGTACTTTGCCTAGTTTTATCCTCCGAAGCTCAGGTCTCCACTAGCATTCAGAAGTGTAGATGAAGTACTAAACTATCTCTGGCTCCCAGCCGCGCCTGTGAGAAAGCTGAGAGCCAAGGTGCTGGTATTAAGGTGAGATCGCAGCAAGAGACAGGAACCGTGCCTGGCTAGGAAGGGAGTGCTCATACAACTGTACTGCATTTGATGCTTTTGATAGGAACGAGGGCTCAACTTCTTGGCGTGAAGGTTTTTCTCCTTCTCTCCACCCTCGCATTGAAAAGTGTGAAATGACTATTTTCCTCATCCTTATTTGTAATTTGTACTATCAGCCACCAGCCAGGTGAGAGAGATCAAATCCCTGTCGTCGGCCAAACCGGTGATTCGGTATTATGAGGCCAATATTGGTATTAAGACCAGCAGCTAGCCTTGTTAGCCTTGCCAGGGCTGCGAACCAGTTATCCAGAGAGCCGGACGATGTACCGATGGCTGTCACCAAGTACCAATATTACACGAGTTTTAATTTCAGATCTCACAAACAGATCAAATGTATTTTTCGTAGATTACCCCTTCAAAAATTTCGAATATTATCGCGGGAGGGCCCGTTGGCACTTACAAAGCCCGTGGTTGTATCACCAAGGCCGACTTCGTACTTTCTCTCTCGACCGTGGTTGACAGCTGGTTGGTATTGATAATGCTGCAATAGCAGCCACACCCGTAGCTTCCACTCATCTAGAAGCTTAATCGAAGCAGACTATCTATGGTCCCTTTCCGAGATCCTCCCGGTGGTGGTGTAGTGCGAACTATTAGCCTGCCTACCATGGAGTTGACCGACCAAGATGGAATTGCTCGGTCGGTTTGACAATGGACCGAGGCCGTGAAAGTTGAGAGCCGACGGGCGCTGCTTGTCAAACAACACTTGATTTGGCATCATAACGCCTGAAGTCTGAATACCATTGATTCACAGGAGTTTGCCACGTTGTTTTCATTTACTAGTCTCTGAACCTTCAAAAAGCCAGGGCTCCATCCCTAAGGTCTAATATTGATAATGCTCCACGAGAAAAAAAAAAAAAAAAAAAAAAAAAAAAAAAAAAAGAAAGGTTCAATGCGGCACTACTACCTGGTTATACATGCCCAAAACGCCACGCTTTTATGTAGTCCTCCCCAGACCAAGACCAATGATCCCTTTATTTGCCTTAACTTTGTTCCCTTCGTGAATGTGAATGCATGTGAGGCCACTGCTCTCTCATACACCACCAACTAGACACTAGATTGAATTGCTCTAGAGGCTCTAGTGTTGTCTACAGACAGACCTCTTTGCGTTACCCGTTTGTGTTCAGTAGATGGTTGTTAATGTACATGTGAGCATAATTATGCTGCGACACCACTATTAGCAGCTGCCGTGGGTGCAGACACTGGTGTTGCAGCATCACGCTTGGCCTTCTCGAGCCAGGCCGGTCTATACTTGGCCAAGTACTTTCCGGCCGTGGGTCTCGCGTCCTCGTCTAGAAGATCCAGTAATGTCAGTATTTGTACGAACCAGGCTTATCGCGCGGTGGATAATTTTCACTTACACTCCTCCCAGATGCCCTGCACAGTGTCGAGCGCGGCTTCGCGTACGGGAGGCTTCATCATGATCAGGTACAGCAGGCTTGTCAGTGCAAGACCAACCACGGTGGGGTCACGGCACATGTGCTTGATACGCGACAGTATCGCCGGGCTGAGTTGGGGGATCTCCGCCAAAAATCGAGTCAGGATCTTGTCTTGCGGGTGTAGGTACGGTAGGATGCCATCCAGTAGTTTCAGCGCAAGCTTCTCGTAATGGACCGGACTATCTGGTGACCGCGACGCTTGTAGCTTGTCGTTTAGCCACTCCTCGCAAAGCCACGCCACGGCAACGTCGATGCGCTTCCGGAAATCGTCGACAATGTAGGTGTGGAGTATACCGCGGATATCACTGCTGACAGACGCGGAGGGGCCGACATCCTCATCCTCCTTCTTCGGAGAGATATCGGCCAAGCCCGCGGTGGACTGCGCCGCAAGTCGAACAAGCATCGTCACCAAAGAATCGCGGTCGCCGAAACTTGACGCAAACCTGTTGAATCCAACCTTGGGTCTCTTGATTGTGGGATCTTCCGACGCTTTTAGTTGCTCGGCTAGCTGCGAAATGCTCATCTTGCCGATTGAAACTGCACCTTCCGTGGTTAGCGGAGGAGCTAGGGGTAATGTGAATACTTCGAGCTGAAGGGCATCTTCTAGGCTGGGTGGTTTCAAGTCCTCCGAGGAGCTGTCTAGCTTATTTAATATCTGCTCAGTATCCTCGGCCGCATAGAAATCGGGCTCGTAGTCGTCCTCATCCTCTTCCACACCCAAAGGAGCAGTGTTGGGATTAAGAACAGGCGGGGCCACGGCCAATGATGTGAGGCGATCCTTGACAGCCTAATGAGCTTGTTAGAAATGCACATGGACTATATTTTGCAAGCCTGATTCGAAAGGACAAACCTGGATGGCGCGGTCTAGAGCTTGTCTGTCTACGTTAACGAGGGTCGAGACATTGAGACGAGCTAAAAGAGGAGGCGGCACGCTGGTAACATCGAAAGACGATAGAGGCGCGGAAGTAGTGAGGGTAAATATAGCTCCGAGTGTGTGGGGGGGCGGTCCGAGTTCAGGGATCTCCTGCTGCTGAGGTAGCACCGCTGGCGCGCCAGGGGGTAATGCTCGGAGACGTTTTGCTTCTGACATTTCCTTTTGAAGATCCAAAGCCCTCTTCCTCGCTGTTTCGTCGAAAATTTCTGTTTTCATCCTCATCAAGCGCTCAATCTGCTGGTGTATTCTTGGTGTAAGGGGATTATGGGGATCCCTACGCTTTGGTTAGCAGGAAAGCTCAAAGTGGCCGAGTCCAAGCAGGGAATGCCAACCTTTTAGCGAGGTGGATGAGAAACATGCGTGTTGTCTTCTCCATCGACTTGGCCATAACACGATCCTTGGATGTCATGGGGGAGTTGGCCAGCTTGAGGGGATTGAAATTCAACACCGTGTTGACGATCCGATTCGAGGTTGCTGGTCGTGTGCGAACGAGAACAGAAAGGCAGTTCAGCGTTGCGTCAACAACAAGCGCATCACTGGGCAATATGATAGTTTAGTTAGCCTTTCCCGTTCCTTCAAGAGCCTCTTCTGACAATAATATCGTACCTGCTATTATCCTGTAAAACCCCGAGCATGCGATCGAGCAAGCCGAAGGCTTCCGCCTCTAACATTCGCGGGTCCAACAACGTGTGATTCGGAGGAACCTTGTCGAGAGAAACATCTAGTCCATCACCACGCTGCGCATCGGTTAGTAGCCGTTTTGTATGTAAGAGTATTGGATACACCAGAAATGGCAAGGAGGGTGCGTAAGACGTACTCGAGGTTCACTCCCAGACACAGACTGTGATAGAACGACCTTCTGTGCGAATTTGATACAGCATATCTGAACCGACGGGTTTCCCTTATCCCATATCTGAAGAATCCTCGTCTTGACGGCCGTAATTCGTTCCCACGTTATCGTGTCGTATGAGTTTTCAATGCTAACAAGTCCAAGGTAAAAGCCGTCAGCTAGAAGTCCGTAGTAAATGGGGGCCTACGGCCATCGATGCAAGTCCTAATGTAGAGAAAAAGCCCACTCACATCCATCGCAAAGTAATGGGGTAGATACTGGCTGCTGTCTGAATGATACTTCGGAGCACGTGGGCATCTTCATCCGGAGTTTCCAGGATGGATTGGACCGTATCGAGCACGAAAGGCTGCATAGACTCCTTGTCTTTCGAAGGCAGCGCGGGTGTCGCAAAAGTGTCGGCGAGGAAATCCGCTGTCCATCGCCGCAGCTCGAGATGCGACGTAGGGGCAATGATGGGCAAGATGCCCTTGATAACAGAGGGGTAGAGCTTCACATCGCTAAGCACCAGCCTTCGAGCATCATTCAATTGCCTAATATGGTCCGAAACTGAGAGTGGCACTGCCATGGCGAACTACGAGAGACCGCGGGGGCCCAGAGGCGACAGCTAAGGCAAAGCGATCAATTTTACTGTTGGCGATGGAGGCCCATGAGAGACCCGCAAACGAACTCTGGCGAGATTAAGATGGAGAGTGATACGCAGGTTCGAGGGCTGGAAGCATTGGAATGTCGGAGGCGGCGAGGATGTGATGGCGGTGGTGATGCCTGGGATGGAGTCGGTAAGAAAAGTGTAGGGCGTCGCGACTGGGACAAAGAATCGAGGCTTCCTGAACTGAGGAACGCGATCGACGTTGCGCGGCGGATATTGGCATCAATCTCGGAAACGGGACACCACCTCCTACCGAATCGGGGCAGCTCTCAGGCGCTGGAGTCGTTCGTAAATTAAACTATACCCGAGCCCTCGCAGTCCGTTTGTCTGCGAAGGAACGAATGAGCTGAGGAGAAATCAAGTCGGTAAAATCGAGTAATGATGGAGAGAAGCCGCATCGAAGCTAAAGTCTGAAAGGAACACGGGAAAAGTTCATACGCCAAATACAAAGGTACATATCTACGTGCATGGAAGTACTCACGTACCAGCCTGGCAGCATGAAAACGGCAGGCGGTACGTCACTTTTGGAGCGGACCTTGTCCAAATTGGGTTCAATTAGCCGAGTATTTTCCACATCGCTCAATGACTGACCACGCCACTGGAGTAAAGTGAAGTGCTTCCTTTCAGGATTTTGTTTCTTGAGCATCTTGTGAAGTAGAAGGGCCTTCAGCTTTGTTCAGCAGATTTCTTCGTGCCGTAACGTCTTCCCGATAGAGCGCATATCACAATGGCTGGGTAGGTTTCTCGACATACCGGCCAAAATACCCCTCCGTGGCGCCCTGGCTTGCCCATTGCTAACCAGATATTTTCTTGTAGGATTCCCAAGGCCTCCTACTACGACCGAAATTTACGGCAAGGGCCGGCCTTGCTCCGCGCCCGCCGACCATATCTTGTTAAGAATGCCCTCACTGGACTTGGTCTTTTCGCCGTCGTCAGCGGAGTTTGTTAGTGATTCCCATCGGACACGTCTTTTTATTCACTGCTATCATTTTACGGCACCCGCTTACAAGCCTTGCCCGCAGATTGGTGGACGATTACCGCGGTCGGTCAAGATAACTTCGAAGACGTCAAGGTCCCCGATGCGCCAGTACGGAAAGCGCAGTCATAAGCTGTTCGAGAGAAATTTGTTATGATCAAGATCTCGCATCGAGTTCGCGGCCCGCGAGCAACTCCAACTCGACCTTTGCGCAGCCCTTCTAGATTAACCCATATTGGTTATCTGCTCTTCCAAGGCGACACGCAAAGAAGGTGGTGGTATCAACTAGCTTATACATCTATGCGGCCTTCGAGTCCTGGAACATAACCACGATCTTGCCAAAGAAGCAAGGCATTCATCATGTATATTTTAACAACTCGAGAGACCGCCTGGGGCACTTTTTATTCTGGCGTTATTGTACATTATAGAGCAAGGGAAACCCGAAACGACCCACTCCCATGAATAGAACCTCTGTATAAACAACGCTCAACCGCTACTCCTTGAAATCATCTACGCATGTCCCGCATTAGAATCCTTACCGCGCCCACGAAAGAGATGGGCGAGCTTCAAATATCCCATCTCCACCCCATGTAAACACCTTTACCGCCAAAATACCCTGATTGTCCTCACGCCAACCACTCTTCCCGTTGATGAAACAATGGTATCAAATGCGGAAAACAAAGAAGAAGAAAGATGCAGCCCGATCTGTCAAGATAGGTCTAGAAAGGACCAAAAATCAAAGAAACACACTCTCCAGAGAGTACAACGGAACCACGCACGGCCTAACCCCCAAATGGTACCGCCAGAGATTCGGGCCTTGATCCTGCCGACCTTTGCCCTGTCTTAGTCGCAGAACTGGGCGTACTTTGGTGGCTTCCAACTCGCTTTATCTGTCCATGGCTCATGGTACTCAACGAGCGTGCCATTTCGGGGGAAGCCGATTGCCTCCGGGTTGATGGCCCGTCTGTAGATGACTGCTGGGGTAAAGAGTTCCCGTTCGGTCGCGGGGTTTGATATTGTGCAATAACTGGTGAATCGGAGGGTGTGCCGGAAACAGTTTTATAAACCTGGTGGTGGTGAGGGTGATTCGGATTCGCCCAAGGAGTGTTTCTAATAAATTGCTCCCCTACGGAGTCTAGAGCGGTGGAAAATGTCGGCGTCTGCTGCTGCATCATAGACTGCTGCCGCTGGCGGCGAGCTCGCTAAGAGGACGTTAAGAGCAGAACTGACATGAGGAGGAATGCTCAATGACTCACCTGCATGGCGTCAAGATCCTCTTCAATCTCTCCCGAGCTAGCTCCTTGCATGGGCGGGGCGGCAGGAAACCCAACATGCTTGGCTATGCCCGAAACAATAGATACCTCGGTGTTGTAGGCCACGGCATTCCGAGTTCGTTGCGCTGGGGTGGATGGGAACAATAGACCATAGTCCGGGGCCCTATGCGCACTGCGGCGAGCATTCTGTGTCTCATGCCACGACTTATTTAACTCCGAGAGCATTCGTTCTCTCGCCTCGCGTATCCCTTGATAGAATTGCCCCCATATTATCGCTCGGCGAGCGACTGCAACCCGGTCATAAGCTTCAAGAATATATTCGTGTTCTTTGGTTATTGTTTGGACCTTTTTCTCATGTAGTTCGTCGAGGCATTGTTTCATGTTGAGATATTCGGGGTGATAGGGAACATCGGCGGTAAGGGCTTGTTCTTCACGCTCGAGTTTTTCCAGTCGGTCTTTATACAGTCTGCAAGGCATTTCCATTAGTCTTCGGTCAATGCCACATCTTCGCCGCGACCGCTGCCGGAGAACAGGTCTGACTATTACGTACCGATCTCTGAAGATGCTGAATTTCTCCTCTATCGCACCCCATTCGTCAATGGCAATGCGTTTCTTCTCTGCTGCGTGGCGGCGCGTTAGCTCCAGGGTCATGGCCAAGTCCTGAGAAAAGTGCATTCTTCGAGGCTCATTACCTTCTTCATCGTCGTGTTTCGCAGCAGCATCTACATCCCCATCGTGATCAGCATCAGCTGCATCACCCTCTCCTTTGGTTTCGGCTTCATCGACACTAGCGACGTCGTCATCTCTATTTTCGGCACCGTTCGTGATGGCAGCTTTTGCTTGTTTGCTACCGTTTCTCGTCACTTTCTTCGTTACCATTGGTTCTGGAGCAGGAGAAGCGCCCCCGAGTGGGGTGACAGCCTTTTCATCCTTGGTATCGGCCGACGCGCCGGAGCCGGACCGGACAGATCGAGGCTTAATCGTCTTCGAATCGATTGGTACATCTTTCGCGCTTGTCTCGCGATCCGGTACTACAACCGAGGTAGCCCTCTTCCGAAGGGGACCTTCTGAATCAGACTGGTCCGCAACGGGCGATCGCTTTCGCTTCTTCGCATCGGAAGAGAGCTTCTTCTCATCCGTAGACGGAGATTGTGGAGATTTTATAGGTGATCTAGTTTCGTCAGGTAGACTGGAAGGAGGCGCTGAAATGTCCACATCCGAGAGGGACTCGTCCTCTTCTTGGAGAGCATCTGCGACAACGACTGTCGACTGCTTCGTGGGTGTTTCCTGGGTGGCCTCGTCCTCGTCGATCTGGCCGAGCACGACATTTTTATGTCGGGTGATTTGTGGAGTGTCGTAGAGGCGCTCGGTTTCGGCCTCAGTATCGTTCGCATCGGAGAGATTACTCTCGGAGTCAGAACCGGCGTCGTGTGGTTCGGGGTCATCGAGGGCCATGGCATCAGGGTCGTCTGGCTCCCCGTCTTTATCTTCCACCTCGCTTAAAGGACTAGAGAGATTGCTATCCTCACCATCTGGGATGGCGTTGGCTGTGGATAGGGCAGGCACTGCTGGGGCAGCGGCTGCCATCGTCGTGGAGTGGAGGGGCGGAACAAGTGTCGGAAAGTTCAGATTCGGGTATTAAAGAGTAAAAGATGCTGCACTGATATAGAGACAGCCGTATTGTATTCAGTCGGGACGAGGGCAGCGGAGGGTAGATGCTTTGGATGGTTTGGCGGCTCAGAGAAGTTGGTGTCAAAGTGGAAGGAGACAAACCAAGAAAAGCTCAATCACCAGTGCTCGGAGAGGCAGCACATGGAAACAAGGCTCTTCATATCATGAAAGAAAAGAATATGATCTGGAGATCTCTTTGGAAAGGGCATAAGGCAAAAGCTTAATAGGGGAGTGCCGGTAGGTAGAGTGAAAGAAAGAGAGCAAAAGGGTTGCGCGATCTATTGTGTCGAGGAGGGAATCAATCCAGGAAAGTGCGATCTCGTTGACACAGAAAATGGGCAGAGTATCAAGTGGCAGGTGGGAAGCGACGGATGACAGGATAGCTCCTGCCAACAGCTGGCTACATATGTACACTGTGTACCTGTGGAGAAGGAACCACCCCTCATTGGCTCAGGAAGGCCGGTGGTCGGCATTTGGCGGCGCCGGTGGGGAAAGAGCCTTGCAATTGACGGAACTTTTTCCTTGGGCAAAATTCCCTTCTCTCCTTTGTACCTCTTGGCTGTTGCTGTTTGCGCTGCCGCTTCAGTGGCGCAGACCCTCTCGATATTTTAAGTGGGTCCAAACACTCCAGTATGTGCATTTCGAAATAATCGTATGTATCTATCCGAGTGTGTTCGATTGCATCCTGCTTCGAACGACGACATGATAAGGAAAAATGAGCCAGGATCCAGTACTGTGGAAGTCAGAAGCCAGAACAGTAGCGATGGAACAGAAAAAGACGAACCGTTACCAACCTTGCCGTCTTGTTCGGCATACTCGCCGAGATTAACCTCCAAGTCCATGTTTTAGTCGCGAACAGCTCCTCGCCAGAAGAGCCTAGGTTCTGTGAACTTCATGGCCCCCACCTCGTGCCAGGGTGCAAGGCACATATCTCTTCCAGAGCAGTGGCTAAGTTTTGAATCACTCATAGAGGTCAGCCGCTGCCAGCCACGTTGTTCTTTGATTCCCTGGATTTCGTGTTTTGTCACATGCTGGAGACTTTAGTCTATGTGCTTCCCGATTTGACTCTGGCTGTAGTCGATCCTATTCAAGTTTGAGTCGTCAGACTTGTGCCTTCAGCTGATTTTGTAGATTTTCGCGAAGATAGTATATGATCGCGAACGCTCTCTAATGACTCATAGCCCCTATTCCAGTAGTTCTTCCACCACCTTGATAGCCTTGAAGCCATATAAGGAACCGATTGCTCCGGTCAGCCCTCTTCCTCTTGACCCTATTTCCTATCATCATCATCCATGATGACGTCCCACAAGACATCTCGGCACAGCTTACCTGAAGAGATCCGGGATTTTATACTGGAGGCCTTATAGCGGGACGGTTGTAGCTTGACCGCCTTCACTACGGTGTCACGAGAGTGGCAGACGATCGTCAAGCACCACAACTTCGCCCAAATCCACCTGACACCATCACGCCTCGCCGATTTTCGCTCGATGATTCATCGTAATCGAGCTCTCGTGCACTATGTATGGCTTTGTCTGGAACCCCGTGAGCACGACTGCACCGAGTGTGGGAATGAAGATCAGGAATTGTGGGTGCTCAACGACATGGACAATACCCTGATTACCACGGCGCTCGAGCAACTGTTTGTAACTCTAGTGAATGGGAACCAAACGGCAACCTGGTGCTAGATATCAGCGTTCACTCACCCAGCGACTCAAAGCACTAGTTCAAATACCTGACCTTTGGGTCTGACGTTCCTCCTGACGAGGGCGACCAGTGTCGATGGGCGCAGCAGCCTTTGCTGGTCCGAGCTGAGGACCACCACCACGGTTGGATCGCTGGTAGTCAAGATTGCGCTCTGACTGAATATGCCATTGACAAAGTTTTTGACGAGATCATGGGCGAAGGACCGTTCGATGAGGACGAAAAGGAAAACCAGTGGTAGCAGCAGCTGCCATTAGTCTCGGTAGTAACAGGTGTGCTTCTACGTCAACAGAACCGCAGGAGATGGAAGCCAGGAGCCTTGGCGCAGATGTTTTCCCGTTTTCCCAATCTCCAGGAAATCCACTACGAGCCTTGGAGGGAATGGTTAGATGTCCAGAAGGAGTGGACGGATCGATGTGAGTGCTGCCATGTGTGTGGTCGTTGCCATGTTGCTCATCACTGACAACCAATCCCTCTCTTCGAGGTAGCTCTCCGAAGACTTTTGGAATCGCTCGCCTCTAGCAGACTACGGAGACTCGTATTATTCGAGAATTTCAATCGACGATACCTACGTGATTATACGGAGTGCAGTCCTATTCGAATGTCGGACTTTGATGTTAGCCGAGCAGTCGCTAACCTGAGTCTCGGGCTTGAGCACCTCTCGGCGTCGTTCATAGTCGACGCCGGTGATTTCTCCTACGCTCGAGAACCCTCCTGGAAGTGGCCCAACTTGACTTCGCTTGCGCTGACCTCGCGACTACTCGCGCCCAATAAGAGCCCAGCTGAGATCGGCTACATGCTCCAGGCAGCAGCAGCGGCGGCTATGGAAATGCCAAACCTCGAGACGATGGAGATATGGAACGGCCAAGAGGGATTGGCGATGGTCTTCAGATTCCAGTCAGCTAGAGGAGGGCGGCCCTCTACGATAACCTTGAGAGGAATATGGGAACTGGACCTGCGACCTCCTGTGATCGAGGCTTGGGAAGCCGTCACACTAAGGCATGGGGGCCCAGGACTTGTCATTGCCAAGGAGTTGCTAGGCCCTGGTATTGTTGTTAAGTCCCATGGGACTGCGATCCATTATTTGAGGGTTTCAAACATGGTAATCCGGCCCATTTCGTTACGACAGATCTGGATAGAGCACAGAATCCGTGGAGCGCATAACTACGGTATGAATGCCGGTTGCTAGTTGAGGGAAATAGATTTTAGTCTAAGATATTCTCATTTGGTATTTTAGTTTTGTTAAATGAAACTGCTGTCGGCCATGAACCACTCTTTGGCTTTTCAGCTCGCCCCGCGGCAATATAAGCCGCCATTTGTAGCATCACTGGCATAAACTGATCATCTCCCTCGAGACCAGAGGATAGGTCAAGGATTAGAACCTCGCAACTTGACCAAAGATCACCATGATATGCGGCCGTGAACAGAGGGCATGCTGGCAACCGCCTCAGCAGCACCTAGAACTAGGATATCGGAACCGACCCCGGCTCCGGTGCTCGACCCGGACCGTCAGTCTCGGTCAGCTAGCTGCAGGGTCCACTGCCACCGGTGCTATGTGAGCTACGTACAGGTTGAAAGCGGTAAATGAAATATTGGTGGGAAGCTTGTAGGATGTGAGACACGCAAAATACGCCGGGAAAAGACTGGATTATACTCCCCTAACATTAGAACTGACACTGAAAAGAACCGTATTGCAAAGGGTGAAAGACTAAACACTGGCAAAATTTGTCGGCACTGACTTCGAGGGTTAATACCCTGATACTTGACGAACTTTAAAGAAGAAACAAACAAACAAAGAGACACTTTCTCCTGCCACCTCTATCCTAACCCCAGAAGATCTTCTTTCCCGTCCCCGTAGACTCCGGGTCAGCTTCTCAGCCTAGGAAGCCCCCGGCAAGCGCCCTTCACTCGAGAGAGTTTCTGTCAAAAAAAGAAAAAAAAAAAAAAAGAACAATTGAGATGCAAAAAGAAGACATACAACACCAGGGATTCGCTGGTCGTCACCGACCCAACTACTAGTCTGGCGCTTCGCAGCTTGTGTACAGGGGAGCGGACGGGACCCTCAATTGTCTGCGAGCTATGGTCGTATGTGCTAGTGTCTGATGGTATGCTCACTTATAAGGGGAAAGGCAAAGCAATTGAGGATGGGCTTGGCCAGAGTAAGTCCTGAACCTTTCCCATCTGCTCACGGTTGACGGCTGGGAGAATATGGATTCCACAACAAACCCCTGCCAATTCACACCCTTACTGCTCATAATCTCTGCGAGTAACTGAGTAATGGCTATGAATTAAATATACTTTCCTCCCCTTGTCCGCCGTTTATATTTCAAACTAGTGTCGTCGATCTGATATTCGACTTCGAATCACATCGTGAGCAGTTGAGATTGGGTTCTGAAGTATGGCAGATAGGGCAGCTGCACACGGCTGGCTGTTTTTGTGAGAAACCTTGTTCACAAGCAATTGAGAGAAGGTGCCCCACACGCATCCAGGACGCCTTTTTTTTTTTTTTTCTCTTTTCTTTTTTAGTTTTCGTCTTTGATGAAGATAATTGCAACGGAGAGAAAACGAGACGACACAAACAATTCCAGCTCCCCATAATGGCAAGAAGGTATAGTTTCCCGCCCCCAAAGTTTGCATAACCGAATTCGATAACTGACATTGTCCCGCTCAGCATATCCTCGATCCTTAAGCCATCATCGGCGAAAATCGATCCAGCCCTTGATGCATTGTTCAGTAGTAGTGTACGTAGAGTATAGGTGATAGCCCTCATTCTAGACTCTAGCTAATGTTGCGAAATATAGACTGGACCCGCAAAGCCTACAAAGCCAACCTCGCTTGTACGGAGGGAAGAGACCAAACCAGCACCGAAGCAGAGCAATACGACGAGTTCCGACGAAGATGACGCCGACGAGGTAGAATCTCTCGAGGGGAGCGAGGATGCGGGAAGTGATAGCGCCGAGGAGACATCTGAGGACGAGATTATGAACGATGTCACCCTGGAGGATTCTGCGCCCGTTGCTACGGAGAAGAACCATGCACGACCTGAGAAGAAGCGGAAGAGGAAAGATCTCGCCGACGACCTCGAAGAGAGACATATGCGCAAACTGATGCAGGATGTTGAAGACACCGAGCCCTCTAGCAAGAGACAAAAGCAAAAGGGCGTCGATGGCGGCAAAGAGGTGGCGGCTGATGCTGATGCGTCAGAATCGAATGACGAGAGCGATGAGGAGGATGATAAGCCCATTCACGAATCGCTGGCGCAAGAGCCCAAAGATAACGATGTGGAGAAAGCCATCCGGACTGTGTTCCTCGCGAATGTCGCTGCAGAGGCTTCGTCGTCCAAAGAGGCCGCGAAAGCGCTCCGTGCTCATCTTTCTACCATTCTCGACAAGGATGCAAAGCCCCAGGAGAAGATTGAATCTATAAGGTTCAGATCTCTTGCGTTCTCATCCCTGGCGCTGCCCAAGCGAGCTGCCTACATCACCAAGTCACTCATGGACGCCACCACCAAGTCGTGCAACGCCTACGTGGTGTACTCAACACCTGCTGCCGCGCGCAAGGCAGTCTCTGCTCTCAACGGTACCATCGTTTTGGACAGGCATCTTCGGGTAGATAGCGTTGCTCACCCCGGCAAAGCCGATCATCGTCGCTGCGTGTTTGTGGGAAACCTCGGGTTTGTCGATGACGAAACCGTGCTTAATACCGATAAAGAGGGTAACACTACCTCTAAAAAGCGCTACAAGGTTCCCTCCGATGTGGAAGAGGGTCTCTGGCGCGTCTTCGGCCAGAAGGCCGGCAAGGTGGAGAATGTTCGAGTGGTTCGCGATCCGAAAACCCGCGTTGGAAAAGGGTTCGCCTACGTTCAATTCTATGTAAGCCACATCGTGATACTCAGCCGGGATCTCCTTGGAATTGCCTCTAACAATCTCCCTCTAGGATATCAACCACGTCGAAGCAGCTCTTCTTCTCGATGGGAAAAAGTTTGCACCCATGCTTCCTCGTCCCCTCCGCGTGACTCGAGCCAAAAACCCGCAAAAGACAACACAAGCGATGCAGAAACGTATCCTTGCCTCAAATGCCGAATCTACAACTCCCGGAAGCACTAAATACAAGCCCAAAAGCACGCCAGACCAACAGTCCATGGCAGGCCGCGCGTCAAAGCTTCTTGGCGTTGCGGGTGCTGCGCGCCACGTCCGCGGGAGCAAGAAGGGCTTCCCGTCGAGCTCGAAGTCTGCTGCTGATGTCAAGACTCCGGAGCAGATTGTGTTTGAGGGGAAGCGGGCTTCTGCTCGTGATGGCTTGAACCTCGGGAAGCGACCCAAGTTTAGGAAAGCAGGTGCGAAGAGACTTCAAGGAAAACGGGCTAAGCGCGTTATAGACTGGAAAAAGAAGAAGACAGATAGTGGTAGTAGTTAATTGGCCTTTAGAGAGACAGCATGATCTGTTGCTTTTCTACAGATACCAACTGACACCAGTACGACAGAAAAATGTTACGATTTTCTACCTCTATTCGATATCGGACCGCATCTCAGGCTCTCGAAACTTCAATCGATGGTCAATTAATGTAGCTTCACGGGCAGAGAGTGATAAGCCACCAAGAAAGTGGAATTGGCGTTAGGAGCGTATGGCTCACTGTCCAAGATCTCCATCTTCTTGAATCACTCTAAACTCACGACTCAGGGCCCTTAAATGCATCTCATCGAGCTGTTTCGCCTATGCGCCGCCGTTATCAAGACATCCACATATGCCTGCCAGAAAAACGCGAACACCAGGAAGAGCATGGAAAGAAATGAAATCAGAATATTTCTCGTCTCGCTATCAACAGGCCAAACCGAGACTTAAGGGTTGCAAGGTTATCGCGCATACGAAAGCCGGATAGTCTCTCATCTATTACGGACTTGACTCCATACCATTTTTTCCCCCTAAGATAAACCTGGCTTCCACAAAAATACCGACAAAAGGAGAAGAAAAAAAACACAAATCGAAAAACTTAGCCAGTCATCATCATCGTGGTATCATCGCAATCGGGAGGGTTAGGGAAACAACACCTGCTGTATGCTCATGGCATAGCAGCCAAGGGTTCTGGCCGACTAGAACCAAAATATCCCATAGAGCTAGTCCCACTCCGCTCCTCGATGATGCTTGCGCGAGGCGAGCTCGCACTCGCACAGCGAACTCTAGTGTTCGTATTCCTCCTCTTCCCCATCGAAGCCCTCAGCTGCAACCTCCTCGTAATCCTTCTCGAGTGCAGCAAGGTCCTCTCGGGCTTCGCTGAACTCACCCTCCTCCATACCCTCACCGACGTACCAGTGAACGAAGGCGCGCTTGCTGTACATGAGATCGAACTTGTAGTCCAGGCGCGACCAGGCTTCGGCGATGGCGGTCGTGTTCGAGAGCATGGAGACGGATCGGTCAACGGACGCAAGGCCACCCTCGGAGGGGGACGATGTGGGCACCGCTACAGGCTTCTGATAGTTGATACCAAGCTTGAAGCCTGTGGGGCACCATTCAACAAGGTTGAACGAGGCCTTGGCTTTGAGTGCGGCAATAGCAGCATTGCACTCTCGAGGAACGACATCGCCGCGATACAGGAGGCAGACGGCCATGTACTTTCCGTTGCGGGGGTCGCAGACAACCATTTGGTTGTTAGGTTCGAAGCCTGGTTAGAGGAATCAGCAAATGAGCGAACCGCAGTGATTTTGGAAAAGTCCCATAGTGCGCATATATCCAACCAGTCACTTACACTGGAATGTCAAGTCATGGACCTTGAAGCTCTCATGAGCACTCTTGGAAGCGGAAACTACAGGGGCGTAGCTAATCAGGGGGTAGTGGATGCGAGGGTAGGGGACGAGGTTCGTCTGGAACTCGTTCAGGTCGACATTGAGCGCACCGTCGAACCGCAACGACGACGTAATCGAACTGACAACCTGGGCGATGAGGCGATTAAGGTGCTCGTACGAAGGCCGAGGGATATCGAGATTCCGTCGGCAAATGTCGTACACGGCCTCGTTGTCAACCAAGAATGTGCAGTCGGAGTTCTCAATGGTGCTATGGGTCGACAGAACGGCATTGTAGGGCTCGACGATGGCATTGGACACTCGAGGAGCGGGGTACACGGCGAACTCGAGCTTAGACTTTTTGCCATAGTCGTTTGACAAGCGCTCCAGGAGAAGGGCACCGAAACCCGAACCGGTACCGCCACCGAAGGAGTGGAAGATTAAGAATCCTTGGAGAGAGTGGCAGTTGTCTGAAGAAGGTCATCGCATCAGTTTCGAGTTCTCCAAGCTTTGGGGATATTCGTTCGTGGCTAAGGGCGCCATCAAGAGCTGTAAAGTAGTATAGTGGGGGTCCCAGTCGAGATTCACTAACCAGTAACACGGCGAATGCGCTCCATAACGGTGTCGATCTCCTCCTTTCCGACGGTGTAGTGGCCGCGAGCATAGTTGTTGGCAGCATCTTCCTTGCCGCTCACTAGGTACTCGGGATGGAAGAGGGAGCGGTAATCTCCGGTCCGGATCTCGTCGATCGGCGAAGGATCGAGATCGAAGAAGATGGTTCGGGGCACGTATTTGCCATTGCTGGTCTCCGTAAAGAAGGTTTCGAACGAGCCGCCTTCAGCGAGCTCTCCAGCGTTCGGGTCAGGTCGGCCGTCGGGCCCGAGGCCGTGCTCAAGAAGGTATCTACAACAGGCGGTCAGGAGAGGAAACAAGGCGGGCAGAGGGGTAAAGGACGAGAAACGAACAGTTCCCAAGCCGAGTTGCCGAGTTGGGTGCCAGCTTGGCCCAGGTGAAGGTGAAGAACCTAGGAAAAGCAACGAGCCTCGTTAGCCTTGCAAGAGCCAAAACACTGACATGGTTGGGAGACGATGGGGTAGGGAAACGTGTGGGCAGGCGCAGCATGTGTATAGAACGTAGAGAGCGGCGCCGCGTAATGGATCTATTATTCCTTACCTCGCCTTTCATCTTAGATTAATAGAAACACTCTGAGTCGGAAACTTGGTCGTATTTTATGGTGTGAGAGAAGGTTGAGATGCACGCGCACAGCAAAGCGCCAGCGATGATAAAGCGGAGGTCAAAACAAACAACACCGTTCTGGGTGGAGAGGGAGGGGGGACAAGTAATGGGCAAGGAGACGACGACTCTATGAAATGCGGGTTTGGGGGAGTTCGATAATGTGGTTCAGTGTTCCTGCCACACCAAGATCAAGTGCCAATCCAGCACTGTGGAGCAGTGACCAGACCCCCCTGGTCCCCTGGTCCCTGGCCCCTTCTTGAGCATAATGCGCTACGAGACACGCTGTTTCCGTGGGATAGTGTAATACATGGAGTCGTATGTAGATCACCCAACCGAACTGTGCTGGCCTGGGACGGTACGTATGGTCAGGCAGTACGAAGTATCTGCGTTTGGATTGATTGATGTAAGCTAATAACTAATAATAATCACTTGGCGTTTTGAACGAGGGTCGAAGCTCTTCTCCGACATACGGTGAGTCTCCTTCGAATCAAGCACTGAAAACGACGAAGTAGGTACAAAGTGCCCGTCTAATAGAGGCGGTGTTGTGTCCAGCGTCAGGCCCAAGGAGCTGTCCACGCAGTGGAGCACGCAATTCAGAAGGTCAATTGAGTGAACCATTGGCTGATCTCAAGGATCAATGCATCAGTTTCAATATGGGTACTTCAAGGTTCAATGTTAGGTGTGCTTAATTGAGGACGTCCGAAGTATTAGTTCGAACACACCGCCCCCTCAAGTTTGCGACCCCTGCCCCGATCGATCCTCATCCTGCGTGAAAGGTCCTACTGTACCTGTGTACCTGAGATACTCCTGAACCCCCCTAAGCTTTGCATGTCGACTGGTCAAATGGCAGTAATTAGCAGAAGGCCCTCGCACTTCTTTCACGAGGACATTTGACAGTATTACGCTGTTGACGCCTTCAAGAGAAGAGGTCCTGCTAACCTAGAAGCCGTTGTTGATATTCATGCACACTAGGACGAAGTAATGCCCTCCCGGAACTTCCAAGGCTTGGCCAAACTGGACCCAACCCAAGAGCATGCGCTAGGATTGGAGAGATTATTATTAGCCCCGCCCCCTCAACGTCGCTCACAAGCCGTTACCCCGCCTGCTCGATGTCTCAGCAGAGTGATTGACGGAGACAGCTTAATCTTACGGCGCCAATTGCAGCTCGAGCCAGATGGGTAAAAGTCAATGCCACACCGAAGAATCAGACGATGTGCTCCCAGTAGAATTGCGTTGAAGAACCCTTTCCGAAACAGTATTTCGTACACTTCGAGTTATCCTCTGTAACGGGAATCAATCCATCATTGATGCGTAAACCCCAGCTGACTTAAACGGCCTCTCGAAGACTTCCCATCACCACCAGCCCCAATTGCTAGCGATTCCGCGCCAGCCTTGATGTATAGAAGTCGCTTTAATTTCCCGAATCCCACATGTTCATGTAAGCGTTAAGAGGGACGAGTAAATCCTCCGAAAGCTTTGTAAGTCAAGACTAGGAGAGCAACATAAAAGATACATATCAGGCATACCCCTCCTCGACAGATATAATTTAGGATTGATGTCTATTTCCCCGGTATCCTGTCAAAAATGGACAGATCTATAAGAATATTAAGGGTTTGCCGTTGCAAAGTCGGGGCGGATTGGCTGTCCGAGTTCCCAACTTTGATCTGAGAGACGACTTCGCTGGGGGGCAAGTCTGATAAGATAGGCCCTTATCGATAAGCTTCTTCTGGAAAAAAATTCTCGACCGCCTTCGACCAATATCCAAGCGCATTTCATTCTCTCCAAGACTGGCTCTTATCACCAAAGAGAAAGGTTCAATCTCAACGCCGAAATGTTACGTACTGTGTATGTCCTCGAAATAATATCCTTCTAGCTCGCAAAAACCCTCTTGAAAGCCATTGACTAATTCGTTTTCTCTTGCGACAGAAAACCCCGAAACGCACGCTCCAAGCGGGCGCTGGAAAAGCGCGAGCCAAAGGCAATCGAGAACCCCAAGACAGCCCTCTTCCTCCGCGGAACGAGCTGCTCGCAAATAGTCCAAGATGCAATGACGGACCTCCACTCCATGCGTGCGCCCCTCGCCAAGAAGTTCACCAAGAAGAACGAGATCCACCCCTTCGACGACGCCACCTCCCTCGAGTTCTTCTCCGAGAAGAACGATGCCAGTCTATTCGTCTTTGGCAACACGAGCAAGAAGCGGCCCCATGCGCTGACCTTTGTCCGAATGTTCGGCCACAAGGTGCTCGATATGCTGGAGCTGTATCTCGACCCCGAGAGCTTCCGTCGCATTGCGCAGTTCAAGGGAAGGAAGTGTGCGGTTGGGCTTAAGCCGATGGTCGTCTTCGCGGGGTCCGTCTTCGAAAGCCCCATTTCAAACGAGTATACCCTTGCCAAGAGCATGCTCACGGACTTCTTTGCAGCCCGTGAGTCGACGGAAAAGGTCGATGTGGAGGGCCTTCAATACGTCGTCTCTATCACGGCCGAGGACCCCATCGACGATCAGGCGAAGCCCAAGATCCACGTCAGAGTTTATCTGATCCAGACGAAAAAGAGCGGCCAAAGACTTCCTCGCGTAGAGGTCGAGGAAATGGGGCCCCGTATGGACTTCCGGGTAGGACGATCCAAGGACGCGGATGAGAGCATGCTCAAGGAAGCCCTGAAGAAGGCTAAGACCACCGAGGAAAAGACGAAGAAGAACGTCACGACCGACTTAATAGGAGACAAGATCGGAAGGATTCATATCGGAAAGCAGGACCTCAGCAAGCTCCAAACGAAGAAGGTCAAGGGTTTGAAACGAGGTAGAGATGAGGCTTCGGACGGCGAGAACGACGTTATGGCAGTGGGAGAAGACGAGTTGAAGAGACAAAGGGTATAATATACTCGAACCGATGTCATGCATTTCAGTTTGCAATTACCATATGCTCGGAGTTGGGGGGCTTGTTTTTCAAAATCCATTGGCGGTTCCTAAAAGAAATATCAAGTTCGTCAAAAGTACTTGAAATTCTCATTCCTTCCATTGAATACCTTTTGGATTTAATGCCGACTGCTACGTCCAATCTCAACAAAAAACTCCAGCATCGGAGAGGACGGGTTAGCTGTGTATATCTGTGGTAAAAACTCCATACATAAAATGTACTGGCTTCCTGCCAGGGTCCAAAAAAAAAAAAAAAAAAAAAAAAAAAAAAAAAAGTCAAGATAACCCACGACCAACTAACTCCATTTGCCCTTTCCCGTAATTAGCCATAAGTTTGTGCCGGGTAAATCATTAAACGTGTTCCTATCCAGTCTATTTCCATCCTGCCATATACTCCCCGATATGAGAATTCGTATATATTTCCAGAGTCATAAACCCCCCGTGAGCTACGCCATATGCTGATCCGCCGGTCCTGGTCCACAGGGTAACGAGTTCGGCCGTGATAACATCTGCGCTACCACTTCAATATGCTCCACGAACGTCGTTTGCGGATTGTAGTTTTGCGCAGCCCGGTTCGTCTCCGCCACCCAATCGAAGCCCCAGACTTCCGGCGGAATCACCGCACCCTCATAGAGAGCGATCTTGAGCGGCCAGTCAAGATGGGGCCACCACGGCGAACCGGGCTCGAAAAGAGATACCACGCCCATGATTTCCCTGCGGGGTACGCCGTCAATCCACCACAGGTGTTGTGCGCGCTTGAGCAGGGCAAAGAAGCACGCGAGTATCACTAGCGCCCGGGGTCGTTTCAGCTCTATTAGCTCAACAAAGCGTCGAGCAACCGTTGCAGGGAATGCAAGACAGGCCCCGGTGTGCGGAGACCTGTGTGCCCAGTTAAGCACTGAGATGGCATGGTAATATGCGTTGCGGGTGGAGTCGGGGTTCTCCTCATCTTCGATATCTACTTCGTCATCGATGCCTTCCGTCAGATGGCCGAAGAAAGAGGACGAGGATCTCAACTCTGGGTCTAGTTGAAGCGGTGGTTGAGAGTCGATGACACTCAGGACGGCACGGCTATTCCTAATCCACTGCCAGCTAGACACAACAACAGCCTTGACACCCTGAAATGCGTGGAACCATGACAAAGGTAGATTGTAGCCGCCGTTTCTCGCATTCGGGGAATTGGTGTTCGGATCGTCTCGGATAAACAATCGTGTTGCTGTAGACTGATATGCTATCAGGGACGCCGTGAGGAACAGCGCCTCAGCATTGGTCTCATTAATGCCGGCTTTCAAAGTATCGCAATACGCAGAGAGAGACGAAGCCATGTACGCATGAGATGCTTGGACGATATCCTGATCGTCAGGATTCCTAGATCGCAAATGCAACGCGGCCACTGCTAGCATGGCATCTGTCAAATATGATGCTCCCTCAAAAGCCAGCTTCGGCACGGCATTCACCCACACATCGTCGCTGAGGTTCACACTAGTCGCCAAGGTCTTGCTGGTGTGAGTGGTGTAGTGGTGCATCAGCCTCAACTCCAGGAATCGGTTGCTGCCGGTTGGGGCAGGGGCCGGGATGGTCAGAGGCAAGGGGCTAAATATCTGCGGCACATCCGGGATAGTTGCAGTAAGTTGGGAGGGAGCGGGAGAAGGGGCGGGGACGGATGTCGAGGTGGTAAAGTTACTAGGTGCGGGACTGACGGGGTCGACGAGAGTCGGGGCAGGCGTAGGTGATGTCGCAATAGCGGCAGCCAAAAGCTGCTGGATGATGGCTGGATTCTCGAAGTCGCATGATACGCCGTGTTTTACACAGTTGCCGCACTTAGGATGAATCTCGTCACACTAAGAGCACGATAGGCGGTGAGGTTAGTCGGCGGTCGTCGCTTGAGATCATTGCCGATCCGATGCCGGTTGAGGCGAGCCTACCTTGATTTTCCTGACCTTACACCGCCTACAGCCTGCTCTCGACTTCTTGTGAGACCGCCTTGGAGGCATCTTTTTCTCAATCAGTTCGTGGATATTTAAATACTATGGCGTGTTACTAGAGGTTGAGGTGCGAGCAAGTTCGAGAGCGAATTGGGTTCGTGAAAGGAGATGACAGGCATGCGAGTTCCTGGTTCATCCCCTGAGAATTTGTGTATGATGCCGCATACATGGCCAGGAGGAGGCGGCGATCGGTCGAGGGCCTGGAGGAGTTCCCCTAACTAACAAAAGACTCTGTGGGTTTCGAAAGAGGAGCGTCGCGTATGTCAAGCGTATGTCAAGCGTATGTCGCCGTCCAGTTCACCGTATCTTTGCGCATGAGGTCGGAATTAAGGTGTCAGAAAAAAGGTGGAAAGCCCAGCCAACCGGAGACCTTAGGTTTCGAGTCTTCTCAGGCTTGAGTTCCAATCAATGGACGTTCCGAGTTTCTAAGATTACAATTCTGTTGCCTACCTTGACCGAGGAGAGCACAGTCTGCGGGGCAAAGACGGGGAATTCCATTAGATTTGGCACTATTCATCAAGTACTGAGGTACTCGTACCCCTTAATCCGCCACAAAAGTGCCCAGCCACTCCTACCCTACCTTCTTCAATGTACTTGGTAGGGGGCAAATCCAACATGCCACAGTCTTTGCACTTGACAATTGTGACTTGAAGTGGGGCTGCTCTCTTGTCTTCGGCTTTGGGGACATACGCATATAGTTGAAGTCTGGATCACTGAGCCATTGGGGTCGAGGTTGGATTGGGCAAATTAGTCCACTTACCGCCTTCAACAGGCTCAAGATGCGCCTTCCCCTTGGTGGATTTAGCACCCTTTGATCGTCCCAGAACCCATCGCCAACCAACATTTCATTTAATACGAAGTATTTCTTGCGAGAAACCCCGGGGCAAGGTAATACTTATTACGCCCAATCAAGATTACCTCATCCCAGTTCCACCTCTTCGGTACTGAACGAAACTGTCAAACTTCGGACTCTAACCAGACCCCGGGCCGACTGGCAAGCAAATTCCGTTCAAGGCTTGCACCTGAGAGAAAATATCACATGACAAAGTAGTTAAGGATCACCTCCGCTCCCAGTTTCTGCGGAGTACTCAAGTAAACTACATACGTATTACGCTCCATGCTGCTCGTCGTCTCAAGGAATCAAGCAGTTAAGATCATTAATAACCAAGATACGAGCTTGGAGCCCATTTGAAGGACTTATGATATCAAATCCATAATCCTGCTTCGTAATTTTGTCCGAGAGCCCAGGATGAATGAATCCATGTGGCGGGGCATTGACAGTTGACAAATGCCCAGAGCAGAGCTATCGCCGCCTTGGCACAATGATCGAGCGACAATGGCCTCAGTGCGAAGGTGCAATTGGAGTGTACTTGGTCCCCCCCCTGTAATTCTGGCCCCTTGTCATGTACCACCCACTTACCGGTCCCTACAGCCTACAACGTGATGTTGAGGAAGGACATCGCTAAGACTACAATCACTGCTCAGGGCGCGCTTACGGGGTATTTTGAGTCTTATGATATTCTCCAGGGGCCTTGTTCAGTGGCGACTTTAACCTGACAAGGGGCCATTATTTACCCCGGCTACTGCGTACGAAGTATGACGTGTTGATGGAGATGAAACCAAGACCCAGGATGGACAGAGAGCTCAAATTGTCATCAAATAGCTTGGGACATCTGCATTTATATTCGATTAGTAAGGGCAAACAAGCAGGACTGCAACAATGGCACAGTAACCGTAGTCAAAATGTCTTGGGTGCCAAGTTGGTGTGGTGAGACCCTTCGGCCATGGTGAGCCGTTAAATTTCGGAGAAAGTGAATACGTGATTGATCCCATGGTTGACGTAGTTTGTGACACGACCCCTCCGATTCCGCCCTCGCTCCTCGGGAGTCCTACGTATCCGCCCTTAAGGCGACAAGGGTGCCCACCAGCTGGCTGATTAGAAATCATTAAGTCTTTCCCGGGGGGCGGAAGAATACTTCCCTCGTACACTTGCATTGTGATCTTGATGCATGAGCGTGCACCATTCTCGCGCAACCACTTCAGTTTTGTTCCTCCCTCCGCCTCGAGGTCGCCGAATTGCGGGATCTACGAAGGCCAATCGCAGGCGTGCCTATTAATATATCACCGCCTTATCAAAAAGCTATGGCACTCAGTCAATGATACCAGGTAGACTTATCGAATTATAGTCCGTGACCAGCAAGATGTCTGGGGAATATCCCAGGTTGGACAAATCACTTGATCGATGGGATATCCCTTGATTTGATGATCCCCGGCTACCATGAGGTGGATGAGGGGCTGGCGGTTGTAGGCGCAACAATTGAACCGCATCAAAGTTTGTCTTTTTTTTCCTTCGGATTTTTTTTCCCTCTTTTTTTCTTAGTTTCCTTTTTTTGTTTCCGCCTCCCCCGTATTTTTTTTTTGTCTTTTTTTAAATTGCGGATTGGCAAATGGGTCTTGTCCCATCGAACCATTCCTCCTTGGTATTGAATAGATGCAATGAGACCCCTCGAAGACGTGCTTGTGCATGTCCTTTGCTCCATTACCATTGAGCTAGGCCAACCGGCAAGGGCGACGGGGTCACCAAAGCCGCCGCCATCTATGATGATGACTGATACCAATAGTCAATGGCAATGACTTTGACCCGAGCTCCGCCAGTCTTGGATTAGATCAGAGATCAATGATAAAAAGTTCCCAGATGTCGCCATCGACCCTTTCTGATTTAAAAGCTTTCAACGTAACCCGCTTTTTCCTTGGCGGACTTCTAAAGGACTTCTCTTCCTTTTAAACTTCAAACTCCCCAGCCCTTCCCGCTCCACGTTTCCTCGTTCCCTCAGGGTCCTTTTAAAGACCTTGTTGCCCTCACGCTATCTCTCCCTCCTCTGGACTGGCCCCCGATTCCTTCGCACAAACTCGCCAGTGTACCAAATCCACAATTTGAAAATCCATCTGCGGCCCCCCCATACTTAGCCCTGTAGCGCGCTCACCGGTTCTTTTTACTAATAAGTCTCCGTTCAACAATATCTTAGCTAATAGCTAAGACCGTGTTGCGCTAAACCTCGGGCCCTGACCGGCGCAAAACCTGGCAATTACGCCTGATTAGGCAGGAAGTACGTGAGTCGGGGACACGATCCTGGCATATATCTGGTGCGCCTCACCCCTCTTGGGTTCTTCTTGTCTCATCGTTGAGACAGCGGGGAAACCTGAAAGCGGTAACTTGATAACATCTCTTGCTTCTTGTGGGGCGAATATTCCAACTGATAGAGGGCGCCTTCCTGTAACCAGTTTCAACAACCACGAACCCGTGATCGTGTGGAAATTTAAACGTCTTTCAGAGATACCCTCTGACGTTCTCCCTCCCACACTCTCGCACATTTAAACTCCAGTTTCGCAACTGCTTCTTTCCACCCCCTCGGAATCTCTTCTTATCAGTTTCCAATAGCATCTTGCGCCGCTATCACAAACATGACGGCTAGCAACGGCGAACCTCTCACCACCCCACCAAGGGCGCCTTCTCCCGTCCACAAATTCGGGACTTTGGCAGTCCACGCGGGTTCTCCCCACGACCCTGCCACGGGTGCCGTCATTGAGGCCATCTCCCTCTCCACCACCTTTGCGCAGAATGCGGTAGGGCAGCCCGTGGGCGAGTATGAGTACTCCCGCTCCAGCAACCCAAACCGCGACAACTTTGAGAAGGCCGTTGCCGCATTGGAGCACGCCAAGTATGCTCTTGCTTTCTCCTCGGGCAGCGCCACGACTGCCAACATCCTTCAGTCTCTCGCTGCGGGATCTCACGTCATTTCGGTATCAGATGTGTACGGAGGCACGCACAGGTACTTCACTCAAGTAGCGAAAGCCCACGGTGTCAAGGTCACCTTCACGCCCGAGATTGAGGTGGACATCAGCGCCCATATCAACGAGCAGACTAAGCTGGTGTGGATTGAGAGCCCTAGCAACCCGACTCTGAGACTTGTAGATATCCGAGCAGTGGCTACCGCAGCCCATGTTCACGGTATCATGGTCGTCGTTGACAATACCTTCCTATCCCCTTACGTCCAAAATCCCCTAGACCTCGGCGCGGATATTGTGGTCCACTCCGTAACCAAGTACATAAACGGCCATAGTGACGTCGTCATGGGCGTCGCTGCCTTCAACAGCGATGAGCTGAAGACCCGACTCGGCTTCCTCCAAAATGCAATTGGAGCCGTTCCCTCTCCCTTCGACTCCTGGCTGGCTCACCGTGGCCTGAAGACCCTCCATCTTAGAGCCCGCGAAGCCACCCGCAACGCTACCGCCGTTGCCACTGCCCTCGAGGCCAGCCCCCACGTCATCTCGGTCAACTACCCCGGCCTCAACTCCCACCCCCATCGACACATCGCCTTGAAGCAGCACAGGGACGGAATGGGAGGTGGCATGCTCTCTTTCCGCATCGAGGGCGGACACGCCGCTGCCGAACGCTTCTGCCAGCGTACGGGCATCTTCACCCTTGCTGAGAGTCTCGGAGGTGTCGAGAGCTTGGTTGAGGTCCCTAGCAGCATGACCCACGCCGGGATTCCCAAGGACCAGCGTGAAGCTGTTGGCGTATTCGACGATCTCGTGCGCATTAGCTGCGGTGTGGAGGATGCTGAAGACCTCGTCGCCGATGTCCTTCAGGCACTTGAGAGGGCAGTAAGCGAGACGAAGGCGGAAGCTGGCGTAAACGGACAGAGCAACGGAGCAAATAATGGGGCTAACGGCACCACTAATGGAACTTCCCAATAAAATGGAGAGCGTGGAGCTTGTACATATCCGGAACATCAAAAGGGAAAATACAAAAAGACGGCGGAAAGAAAAAGCAGGATGAAGTCGAGATACAGGAGGTTTTAAAAAAAAGATCCATTGATGGGTATCATGAGATATGAAATGTTTTAAGCCTTGGAAAACCTGCCATCGCAAAGGGTTATTTCTCCCGTGAACCTACTTCCGTTCTGGAAATGAGTAGTGGACGGTGTTGACAGCCAGCAGACATCCGTCTCTCGCATTCGTATTAATGACCAAGCAGCAGTCCGCCCCCGTATTCTGTTGCTATGATATATTGTGATGCACCCCGTTTCATTCCAAGTGCTGCTTCACCTTAATCCATTTTCCTGAATCCTTATTGAAGACTGGTCTGATTCCAGTCAACCTGGTGGACCTGAGGCGTGTTGATGGTATCCGAACCTGAGTCGCCACCCTCGACAACCAGAGCCTAAGTTGACTCGGTTAAATTAGTATCAGTCGGCTCCTCGAATCCTTGAGATGTGTCGGGTGGTGGTAGCTCCACGAGGTCCCCCAAGTCGTCCAAAGGTATAGTATCGGCAACCTCTCCTGCCAGCGAGTTCCGGTGCTCCGTAAGTTTGTTCATGCCAGTGCACGCAGTCTGGGCGATGGCATGCAACTCATCAAGGGTCCCCTTGTTGCAGTTTGGGAAGATCCCGTCGATGCTCCTCAGCCAGGCTGATGTGGGGTTAGCTACCAGGCTCTGGTAAGCAATGGTATCCCACTCGGAGGGCCGCATGCGTTTGGATACGGGTTTCAGCTCCTCCTTCCAAACTTGGGAATGCTCTCTCTGAGGGGAGAGCATTATGCAAGGTTCTCCGGATTCTAGCTTAGGTTGATCGTAGCCGGTCACAACTTCGACGAAGCGCCGCGCAAGCGTCCGCTTAAGACCACAAGGGTCGTCAAGATCGAAGTTCTGGCATGCCTCTAATCCAGCCTCCGTGCCGTAAAAGTCGTACCCAAGCCGACTAGCTCTGCAAACACGGAGCTTTGGCAGGTTTTCACGGATGACATGGGCCACCCAAATGTCGCCTTCCCGCGGACGAGTATTCGGGAGCCCAACCCATAATACCTTGAAAGGGTGAGTCTGATCTGGTTCAGTGCCGCTAACCTTCAGATACACCTCATTTAGGAAGAGCTCGCGAAGCGTCTTGCCAAAGATGCTCCTCGCCGACGAGAAGAAATCTGCTGAGATCTCAACTCTTTTGAGCTCTAGGCTTACAAGTCTGTGGAATAAGAATCGGGGTTTTGGTAGAGCCATTGCCGTCCACTCACTTTCATCCACGGTACTTGAAACTGTGTGTTTGATGGACTTGGGAGGCCGGTGGTCGCAGTCCAATCCGACAAGGCTGAGCGTTCTTAACAAGCTGGCAGATGCGATCAGGCTCCAAAGGGAGATTGCGTAGATGGGATATCTGTCTAAGAGAGGCTCGCGTCTTCTTATCGAGATGACAAAATGCTCCAGGCACTCTATCGACTTCCTTATGTTGACGACATCCAGGGGATTCATCCAAAGGCTGCAGATGGAAATATCGGCGGCATTCTCGAGGACGAGGACCTTGAGTTTCGAATATTCCACCTCCTCGTCCTCCTTGCGGTTCAAGGCGGCGAACGTATTAGCCAACGTCGATGTAACAGCGGTGCAATGCGGTCCGACAAGAGGAAATGGCAAATTCAGTCTGATCCGTTCTACCCGGTTGCAGTAGAAGAGAAGTTCCGTCACACTTGCACGATACTCCTCCTCTGTAAAAGACCTGGGGTTCATGCAATACCGGGTGTTTAGTGTGTCGCAAAACTCCGTCATAGACGGGACGTCGCGAAACAAGGTTTTTAGAAAACCAACCTCGACTGCGTTGTTTGATATGTTAGAAATGATGGAACGTAAGCTTGAAGGGTCCACAGCCTCAGTTTAGATCTGTGGGTGATCAACAGTGTCGGAGTCTTACGTTCGTCCCTTAACAACATGAGGTCAATGTACAGGGAAGTGCAATGATACCCAATGGTTTGAAGACCCTCTGGGGTTGGGGGCCGCCTGTGACTGAACCGACTGAGCCTCGTGAACTCGAGATTAAGGGTCTGGCACAGGATAGGCTTCAAAGCAGTATCAAAGGCCCTGCAGACGAAGCGGAGATTGAGTGCCGCATTCTTGGGCATCGAGTGAACTGTGACCCTAAGGATTGCGGCGAGGATCTCGAACGGAACTTTGTCCATGATGCCGGTCGAGGATATGTAGGTATTGGGCAGTCGATAAGAGCCTGATACTGGTCGATGGGCTTGTCCTTAAACAGACGTTGGTTCAATACGCTTGGGGGTGCTAGAGAAGAGATGCAGAAACGGCGATTGATGGCTCCATGAGCATTAGAGATAAAATGCGGTGACAAAGTATGCCGTCAGCCCACGGAGTCGAGGAGCATCGGGCCTAGAAGTAGAGGTGCCTACTCGTTCCGATGAAGCAGCCCGAGTCAACGAAATCGTTCAGGTAGAATCTAACGTTGGTAGACCCCGCCCTGCCCGAGGAGCTCAAGCTCTATCAGAGACGTCGTTGGTAGGCTCCTTCCATCAATAGCTCTCTAATGCACGGGCCAGCTAATGCGCGGCGTTGACATAAGCTTCTGAACGATGGAGCTTGCAGCGAGATCTGGAATTTGAGAAGTTAGATATATCGATTTTTTTTTCTCCTTTTCTTTTCACACTCTCTCTTGTTTTTGGTGTCCTTAATCAGAGAATGATTAACTCGGTGTATGGTGCAACGGGGTTGCACTCACTCTGACGTTCAAAGCTAATATGATCTTACAGAGCCCCCCTTGATAACATTGATCGGAAGAAAGATTGGCAATTGTTGCCAGGTGTCCGTATCAGTCTCATGGTGGGGGGCCAGTTTAGTTTCTCTTATGTAATCCGTCGGCTTGAGGTCAAGATAAAATGGGACTGCAAATTGTTCGAATTTTGAAAATTTGCATCTTCGTCAAATCACTTCTCCCCACCTTTACCCACGAACTCGACTTCTTCCAAATGGCATTGCGCTTGGCGATCGTGGCGTCGACCCCGGCTGCGCTGGTGAACGGGATATAATTACTATTCTCCTTGAATCGTTGAGAAAAGCCGAGGCAAAGCTAGGCACGGCTCTCGATGCCTCATCATGGAGACTGAGCACTGACCTGGGACGACAATTCTAAACATGTCTTCCAATTTTCCTCTCGTTGCATGATGCCTATCGGAGATGAGGACTATGCGCAGGCTCTTTTCCTCCGAAAGGTGCTCTCGTCTATGACCCGAGCTGATGGCCCTACTGATCTGCCCTGCCAATAGCTCGCGGACCTTGGATGCTCCGTGTTGAAGGTGAACGGGCGCACGCCAGAGCCTCAGACATGGCCCGACAGGCTTGGTGTCTGTGGAGAAGCAAGCTCTTCCGTTAATCAAACTCTGGGGAGATAAGTCCCTAAGATCCGTGCTTCCAGTAGCCCTACCTGAAACGAGCGCCACCGGCCTGTGTTGGAAGGGTAGTGGGGTGTTCGAGAAGGTGAAGCTATCACCAATTGGGGAGTCAATAAGGAGTTGCGACAGATGGCATATGTGTGTACAGCTTCGAGCCTACTTCCCATGCTCGCTTTGCTGAAGGATGAATAACGTGCCTAGAACAATCTTTAAAGTGACCCGTCTATTACCAAACAAATCGGCCTGAATCTTCTACGGTCGAGGTGCATGAAAGATAGGGAAACATTTGGGCTTAACTGGCTTTGCTTTCTGCCCTGCCAGGCTGTTCCTATGTTAGGTTGCTACTGTCGTCGTCTGCATTGATCTGTACGAGAGAAGGACCGTTGTGGGTATTGGGTGCCGATCACTTCGCAGCTTTACCAAGACTAAGACGAGAATGCCACGACCTGCCGCGTTCTCACTAATTGCCGATTGTTGGTAGAGTCCACTGCAGCATGGCGTTGGAGACCTACCTATTGGGAGTAGCACTTGTGGACGACTGTTTAGATTGGTTGAATCGGCTACTCATGGCCGACCATTGTTTACAAGAAAGATAGAGGTTTAGCGCTCCACTACTTTCAGCCACAGAGCCGACGTGTCCACCTTCAATCACGTCTCGGCGTCGCCGTTAACAGCCAGATTTGCCTGTTATTCTTGGCTGGGCATGGGGCCGCCTTTGTTATTGTTACTCGATTGAGTTTACCGTCCCGGCTGCTTTGTGGAGTGTTGTCAACACTACAAGTAGTCGAATATTTTTGCGAAGCTACTAATTTGCGTTTTGGTATCAACGGCTGAAAGCTACTGCTCCATCGCTTGTCCTTGCAATGTGGAAAGGAGAGGAGCCAGGAGCTCCAGCGACCCCTCTGGAGTCTTGGAAGATTATCTCCGGATTCAAGAACAAGAAACAGACCTTGGAAACTGATCTGCACGAGATGTTTCGGCATATCCACTAGCCTTATAGCCCCGTTGTAATATCAGGTTCGAAGTAAGAAATCCCCCGCGTCAGGAGGGGAAATTGAACTCTACATCAAACAGAGGATAGGTTACCTCCCCCACTGGCTGAAGGTCGCCACACGGGGATCGATCGACGAGGTATGGATGGACCCTTCGGAATATGGGTGCTGGCCTTCGAGAACGTGCATCGATCACAAAAACCGGAAAATCATGCGCATAACTGCGAACTTGCAAGGGCAGATGAGGCAATACTGGGCCTCGGTAGCGGGCTCGTGCATGCAAGAATGGAGAGCCCGACCTTTGGCGACCCACTGCGCGATGTTACACTTCGCGTTGTCTTCGCCTATCGACGAGGACCACTCACCCCGACACGAGATGGGAGGGGGAAAAATCGTAAACTACTCCGTACTTTGTCCACCATCCAGTTAGAGGAGGAGGTTATTCGGCTACCCAAACATCATCAAGATGGAGGGCCGGGTGTGGGGTTCATGTAGTGTAGTGTAGTGGTGGAGTGTAGCCAGCCACCATCAGGAAGACACACTGCATTGATATGATCGTGGGTGGTTACATTGGTGTGTCTTCAATGGGACCCTTCCCGAACCCAGAGTGATGGGGCGGGTTGGGTAAGTTGCATCTCTCCCTTCCGTTAATCGATCAACAACCTAATACACTACACTTCATGTACGTAATATCCCTCCCACTGGGAGATGATGGAGCATGACTTTCCCCATAGTTTAATACCGGACTAGTATTATCAAGGATGTTTGAGGTGACGAGCCAATGGAAGAAACCTCTATCAGTGGGAATATCAGACGCCCTGAATCTCCAATAAAGTCCAGACACTGCTTCTTTGTGCGTGAAGAATCAAATCGCTTTCTAATTTGGAATGCGGTGGCTGGGTGTCGGGGGTCGAATTCGACCCATGAGTACGGCCTCATGCATGCAGATATTGGTCGATAAATCGATGGACTCTGGATGTCCACAGACCAAATGCGTGCGATGTGTGATTGATGCTATGAAGGGATCATGAAGACCCCAAACGAGGTATTATTTTGTAGATGCCTTGACTCGCCACATTTCAATGTCAACATGGATCGAACTGAGAATCGGACCCCTCTGTGACCCCCATTATCTCATTCTTTATGCTGTGATTGAAACTTGGATGTCGTACGTGGAGATCTATCCTCTCGGAGGGACTGAGCTTCAAATGGCTGGGTACCCATGCTCTTGGGTCCGATTTCCCAGCGATATTAATAGGGTACGTCGTGTACTTTGTATTAATGTGTAATACAACCTGCATGGACCAAGAGGCAGCATCGGACTAGCCCTGCTCAGCTGAAAGACACGATTGAGTTTGTTGGAACGAGTCCAGACGAGGACAGTTTGATTTGCCAGGGGCAGGCCTGGTCAAAGGCCAAGCCCGGCCAGGTCACTTCCAGCTCCGTCGCGTGGATGGGAGTGCACGAATAGCGTACTTTGAACCAAGTACGAAATACTTCAATGTTGTCTTGAATACTAAATTATTGTCCCGATCAAGATTGACGAGAGCCCATGTCCACTACGAAGTAGTGTAGTGTACACCAACTTACCCCGGTCACCGGCCTTTTCGGCATCTTGGGGCGCTCCTTCGAAGGACCCGAAGGTGCAAGGAAGCGATTAAAACAGCAGCCTCAATTTTAGAGGTGCTGTGACGCTTAGGCTTTGCCAGATGGAAGAGAGTCCATGCACATCTTACAGGATAAGATCTTCCCCGATGATGTGGCGCGACGCGTGAAGAGCGGGGTGAATCGCGTATTTCGACGCTAGCTTTCTGCTTGATCTTGGGCGGGCGGTGAGGAGAGGATGATCTCCATTTCAGCCCACATCAATAGAGGTAAATAGGCAGCAGATTAATTTGATGTAAATGCAACATTGAACGCTGTGCGCTACTCGCTCCTCTTGTGCAATGGTGGATGCTCGAAAGTGCCTGGTCAGCCGCTGAATTAGGCTCGATTACTTCGTACTGGTTGATCCATTGAGTTGATGCGGAATGCCTTGAATTCTGAACTTGCCAAAGTTTGAAGCCCTCCTACTCACACTAACGATGGGATACGAGGTGCGCATAAACATTGAACAATAGTTTCCTTTTTGGTCACAGGGCTGGTGGGTTGCCAGTAAATTTTTTTTTTTTTTTTTTTTTTTTTTTTTTTTCTTTCTCTTTTCTCTTCTTTTTCCCTTCGCAAAACCGAGAAAATCAGGCACTCCTTTCTTCAACGAGGAAGTTTCGTTTGAGTTTACAACTACGTACTATGATCTAAGCTTGAATGGCACGAGTTTGATCGACGTTCGTCGCGGCTATTAAGAACACACCATCTATGGTTGATCATCAGGATTACTCGTCGCAACTGTCCGTGTTGTTACAGCGATAACCGGCCAGGCCTAACAGCTTTTTAGTGTAGTTGTGAGAGTACGTCTCCGGAAATGCTAAGAAAACGCCATCCAAGACACACAACTTCTTGACACTGAGACCTGCCTCGGAGGCCCGTTTCTCCCATTTTTCCCGAATTTGTGGAATTCCTAGACATCAAGATGCTTCCCGGGTATCAGTTACACGGACCAAATTTCAGTCTGTGAGCTTCCCTGCGACTTGCTCCAGACTCCGAATTACCAAGTCGAGGAGGGAGCCCTACTAAAAGAGTGAAACACCTAATTGGAGATTGAGCCTGGGCGGCGAAGACAATCAATGGCTGATGATCTCGTTTTGTTGCGCTCTCTTCGAAGCAGCCAATTCTGGTTCTGGAACGGAGCCGTCATCAGCCCATCGTGACACTGCAGTAATAGAGCCAATATGGAAACGAAAGCGAAGCAATTGAAGGAGAATCGCTGGGTTTCCGGAAATGTCAAGCTCCTTCCAGTTGCAGGTTCCCAATACCGGACGACACATCTCGGTTCGTCAGTACCAAGACATCCCACACAAGACCCACATCACCAACATCAGCAATTTGATGTCGCAGGACAATGGGATACACTTAACAAACGGCTTTTGCCTTCACAACCGACTTGGAAACCCTCGAGGTGCATCCACGGAATGTACACTGCCTCGTAGTAGGATCTGGCTCTTGGATGGACTTGCTAACTTGATTGCCACCTCTGATATCCGCTGTATTTTTATTTATTTATTTTTTTTTTCCGCACATACAGACGGGGATTATAGGCTGTGTGGGCTGTCCCGAGTACGAAGTACCTCACAGTGGTACCACACCGGTCAGCGCTCTGAGCCCGTCCCACATTTCGTGATCGACCTTTCATTACAAGGGGGCGTACGCTAGCCCAAGTCAGCACTGAGCCTTCCCATTGTTCCTTGGCTTGGAGTGATTGGGGCCGAGAGGACGTCGCCTACCACTGAGCCACCAGACTACACCAGGCTAGGCCCGGTGCGCCATGCGCCAAGCAGTCTTTCTTGACAAGATGCGTGCCTGCCTAGACTGGATCCGTCCTGGCTCGATGGCATAGGTACGAGGACAATACTCCCGACCTGGAAAGTACCTGACGAGGGGAAAGGGGCGTGCTGGATGAAATTTTGCGACACGTGGGTTCACCTCTCCATGATCGATCTGAATTACTTGTCTCTCTGGTAAAATGACAGCTCGGAGAGACACTACGTATGTGGGCAGGACGAAAAACAAGTAAATCCGATGGCTGAGCATAAAATATGTCGTCTACTAAAAAGGGGAGACTTTTAGCTCGAAAGTAACCCACCAAGCTCACGAAGATCATGACGATAGCGTCATTGCTAATTTATCCCACACTGAATAATTGCGGAGGACGAGATGCACCTTTTTCCGTAGCGGGATGTAGTGTTGTACCACGTATGGAGTTCCGAAGTAGGATTTGCAAGTTCCTCAGCTTGCTCAGCCTGCCCTTTCCCGCTGAAATGTTACCCTATTACGCTCTTTCCGCGGTTTCTCACAAGTACCGATACAACTCTACAACTGAGCGAGGTTGGAAAGGACGCTGGAGGTCGGGTCGTGGTATTGGTGACCTACGTGTACTGTTGTACTAACCCTTCGCCGTGAGATCGATCGGTTGTAGCATGACAACCTTCCCCCCGGGACTGGACTTGACGCCATGTTCTTAGTGCGTCACTGACGTCCGTCCGTGACTTACAGCCCTGTCATGGTCTTTCATGTTCCCTCCGCTGTAATGCTTCGTACACTACTTCGTACTCAAGACAAGGGGAGGAAAAAAAAAAGCAGGGAAGTAAGGACGTACGCTACATGTACTTCGTAGCCAAATGAAAGGCATTTTTTAGCGCGGTGGATTTCGGCGCATCTATTCTCTGGGCAGCCACGCCCGGTCAATAGACCACGACGAAGTACTTCGTTTGCGATTGTGAGTTCATACATATGTCCCGTCTACCCCAAGCGCCTGGGGTCTGAAGATCGTGTTTCTGGCGTCTCTTATTCTTGATCTTCCTCCCGAGGCTTCCTCTCCAATCGCTTTGGCTCCGTTACAGTACATACGGAGCTGTTCCCCTGGTCGTTCTTTTGTGGTTTATTCTCTCTTTTTATTTCATTTCTCGTCTTTTTCTTCCCCAATTCATCTAATCGGAAGAATCTTGTCCAGCCGTCTTCCGTCATAATACGACAACCAAGTAAACATTCCTCGTCTTTGGTTGTTCTTCGTTGTGATAGTATCCGAGCATATTGACAATCCGGGTGCTATTATAGCTCGTCTGCTTGAAACGAGCCCAAGAACAGAGGAATAATAACCCCATCTGAAACTACTATTTTCCTGTTTTCATCGGACGAGATCAGCATAATTCACTTCGCTCGCTCCGGGATATCTGCCACCGTTCTTGGAAACAATTGCAACCTCTTCCGGTCTCCAATCTCCAGATCACCGAATCGGCTATAACCACGTCCTTGCTCGCCGATTTTGCTTTGTCCAGGCGCTGGTCTCTACTGTACGATCCGCAAGACAGTTCTTTGACGTAACTCTGTTGGGGCACGGCGACAACGTTCCAAGTCCCAGCAGATTACCTATACACTAGTTATTCCTAGTGTCCAAGCTTTCCCAGCTCCCCTGTTCGACCTTGTTCCCAGTTTAAACCACGGCGGCCATGCAATGAGTGGTCCAATCTTGACGATGGCTCCGGCTGTCGACGCCTCGGGTCCTTTTCACCGATCTCATTCTTCGTCAGACCTTTTCTCACAAACACACCGAAACCTTAGTTGCAAAAGCCTTCCCAGCGTACCCTTTGAGATCCCCTCCTTTGATTCCGACCTAGACATCGACGCTCGCCTTAGCCTCGACACAGATGCGCTCACACTTTCCATAAGCACGAAATCGTTAGGAACCAATGTTACTACCAAGGCCGTCACAGAAAGGGTAGAGAAGCGTTCGAGGCTTGGTCGGAGTAATACCGTGTCCGAGCGAACAAGATCATGGTTGCCGAGCTCCAAATCGGCCACCAATATCCGCGATTTCTTGACGTCGAGATCCTCATCCCCAGCTCCGGATGAGAGAGTCTTGAAATCAAGCGACAATGGCCAGCCCGCCGAATCCCGAGGGCAAACCCGCTCAGTGAGGTCGACATCTGAATCATTACCCGCCCATTATCGACGGTCTTGGATGGGGGATTCGCCGTCTGACTCGCCTCGCTCTTCACCGGAGCCTCTAGAAGTACCAACTCTCACACGGGACAAGGGCTCGCGCAAGGGCTACTCGAGGTTTTCCAAACCAACGAGCGGAGTCACTGAGGAGAATCGTGCCGCTGAGCCTCCGCGAACTACTTCACGTGCGCTCAATCGTATATTCTTCACGTCCAAGATGAGACAGCGGCCTTCGCCTGTATTGGGAAAGTTGGCCACAGGAATGGATTCGGATGATGGTTGCGCCTCTTCCTCAAGCAGCATTGCACCCGCCACCCATAGCACCAATACGCCCACTTCCCAATCTAATTCCATTTCCGACTTCAACTCGACAACAGATGCGTCCTCGCTTGAGAACTCAATCGCTTCATTCCAACGCGACCCGCTCATCTCTGTTTTCAAAAACCTCGACCAGGAAGCGGGGAAATTCGAAAGCCACGCGGTACCCATGTTTGAGCGCATGTATGCCATGAAATCTGCACTTCTCGTATTTTTGCACCAGTACACGAGCCAGGGAAGCATAACGTCACTTCATGCCGGAGATATCGAGCGTAGGGCTATTGTCTTGAACAGATGGTGGGTCGCGCTCCTTGACTTGCTTGAGTGCCTTGGACCCCATCCGACGCCCGGTGTCGACCGCATCTCACTTCTGGAAGCCTTAACGTTGATTATGATGCGGCCCGAGTGGCGGCATTCAACATCGGTCTTCCTGCCATTGGCCGATCGCTCGCCCAATGAACGGCTGAGGGCAAGATCCTGGACCCAATCATCCAATTCCTCAGCCGATTCTACGGAGGCAGCTTTGCTAACAGAGTCGGCTGAGCATAATGTCCGGTCCATGTTTATATCCAACCTTGTACGCCAGATGGAGGCGGTTGTGTGTAAGATGTCACAACGCCCAGCCCCAGTTGGTCTGGTCAATTTTTGTGGAAAGGCATGTGCCTACGCCTTCTTTTTCGCCCCGGGCGTTGCCAACATTCTTGTTCGACTTTGGACCTTGAATCCGCTCCTCCTGCAACGTGTCGCCGATGAATTCTCGCTACCCCGGACGAGTAATGGAGAGAGTGAGGACATCGTGGCTCTGTTTCCCCCGGCTGTAAGCGGCCTTGGGTGGACGTCGGTGAAAGCTATGGGCAACTCGCTTAAAACGACGCCGAAAATGGCGGCCGCTTTGGCGAAGATCCCGTGGCACTCGCCGTGGATTGGACGTTGGAGGGGACGGGACACAGATCTCTTCTTCATATTCTGCAAGTACTACCACATTCTTGCTGAGGAGTTTATGCCGTTGAGTCTTCCCTTGGTCGAAAAAGCCCGAGCGCCCGGTTTTGTCATCGTTCACTCTCAAATGCTCTCAGTCCTGGACACCACGATTCACCGACAGGCTGCCCTCCAAGCCCTTGCCATGGCACCTCCCATTTCCGATGGCCTCCACGGATTGGATGCGTCAGCAACTGCAATGCCCGGCCTCCCTGCTGATCTTTTTAAGAGCATGTCCGAGAACAGGCTCGTTGTCCTTCTCAGGGACATTTTATCGGACAACTCATCAGCAATGTCAGCTCCAAGACACACCTTCGCGGAGGCTTTCATGGCCGATATGAAGGCGGCGGCGAAGATGACCGCGCAGTTCAACTACAACGCCTGCCACACTTTGTGCGATTTCTTGGAAGAGACACTCCCGATCTACGAGAAGGCCGAGAATGCGGAGGATCCAGCTTCTCAATATGCTGATTGGCCATTTTGGTTCCACGTTTGCAAGTTGATTCTAGAGTCTCTGAACACCATGTCAGAGATGCGAGTACTATGCCTTATCTATACCATTTGGGATGCGGCCACCCGACTGCCTCAGCGTAAGGAGGCACTCTGTCTTGACTGGTTACTCTCGGAAGGCACATTTTACCAGTTGTTCAATCATTGGTGTCCTATGGTGAGATCTTACTTCATGCGGCTGCTCTGCTGGAGAGTCTGTCGGGACGACGGTCGCGCGAGTACGCTTGACAGGTAAGTTTCAAGGCCCCGCCTCTTCTCGCTGGTCCACGGGCTGGTTTGCCTACCTATTGCTTTAAGCAAATACTGAACTGGGAAATTACAGGAAAATCTTCGAGGCCGTTTCCGAGAGGCTCAAGACTGTTTGGGCGAATTATCTCTATCTGAAGCAAGAAGCGGAGCTTAGGAGCCGATTTCCGCCGTCCACCGCGCCATGCTACCCCACCCCTGGTAAGAAGTTTATGATTATCCGTAGCGAAGCCAATATGATTCTCCCGAATTCGTTTATGGGCTTCGACGCTACCGGAAAACTTCCGACCCCCGATATTCTGGCGGATAACTCAAGCATTGATGCTTTGCAATCAAAACCCGACGGGAAGAAACGGTGGTCACTCTTGGGATTCAACAAAATGCGTTCTTCCAAGACCGACTCAAAATCTTCCGCAGAGGATGATGGAGAGCCGCTTCGTCAATGGACCCCCGGTGTGCAGGCTGAGAAGGGAGATTCAGTTCCCCCGCCTCCGCCTCCAAAGGCGAGCGGTAATTCATCCACTGGCAGCCGCACTCCCGACCCGCAGTCTCGCAGCGCTTCCCCGGATCTGCCGACCCAGGCCCAATACGTCTTCAGATTCGTTCTGAACTGGTATCCTCCAGCTGCCGTCCCACCTGTCGACAGGGTCCTTACCCGACCTCGCTTGCCATCTCCAGCTCAGTCATGGGTCAGCACTCATCGCCGGACCAATAGCCAGCCACCCCCAATTGCCCCAGGCCTCCCGGCCTTTACTCGTCGTGTATCCGGGGCGCCCCAGACTGGCCTCATCAGCGAAGCAAGGAACGCAGTACCCTTAGACACACATGCGCCAGCGAGGAGCCGACCATCCTTATCTTCATCCGTCAGAACCACGGGCAGCAGATCCACGCCGTCATTGTCGGAGGACTCTTCTTCTGAGAGGCCAAGCCTCAACTTAAGCATACCTGACTGGACGTCTAGCGGCACACCGGAGAATGTATCGGTTCACGGCGAATACAACACAGAGCCCATCAGGCCCACCGCTGCACACACGAAAAATGCGGTTTATTCTGGGAGAGCGCTTGCCGAATGGAGCATTGTCGTGTTCGAGTGTAACAATTTTGTTGAGCGCAGACGCGAAGAAGGTGTTCTAGGACTTCGAGATGTCGAAGTCCCGACCCTCACCCTCGAGGGTTATCGCCGAATTGGCTGAGACCATATCAACTCACTTCAATCTTTGTTTTCTTTTCCTACGAGGAGATTTTGTTTCGTTCTACCGACATAATTTGCACGCTTTTTCCACCTCTGCTTCGCGCGAGTTTTCTATCTCGCCGTTGCCATTCATTACCTTGAGCCAGGACTGGACGATCAGCGCATAAGGTCCCCCCTCCTCCCCCTATGGCCTTGAAGACAGGCGTTCAAATCCTACTTCGTATATACGAACACATCCATTTCCTCAAAGCATTCGGATATCGGAGCCTTCAGAATAATCATCTGAACCGTGCCTCCGAATGATGCCACTTTCGATTTATAATAATTCAGTCTTCAATATGTGGCTTTCCATATTCCGTCCGCAGCTCTTGGTCCAAGGAGTCACTTTTTAGAATGCGGCGGTTCATTCTTCGATTTAGACATTTTTTCATGGGTTTATTCATTTTTCTCTTTTTCTTGTCTCATGAGATACCTAGACTTCGTTACGATGACTTGACACGCCTTTTTTTTTTTGTTCTAAAGGGGGGGACTTATATTGGTGATTCAAGGAGTCTTTGGATGGAACAGATGCTCCGGTGTTTTTTGTTTTCTTTTTCTTTTTCTTTTTTTCTACGATACCAAAAAAAGCAGTCCGTGGAAGGGATTGACAGCATCATTTATTCCTTTGCCTCTGATGGGAAGAGTTGATCATGTACTTGTATACCGAGACTGTTAGTATTCCATTTATATAGGTTCCCATGTCTTTGGAATTTGATTGAACTGTGCTATTCGCCAAGAGAGACGAAGTTTGCGTCGACGGAATTGGCCCAGAGGAGAGTTGTGCTTGCGGTCACATGTGAGTTTGCGTTTTGGTGCAGCGCAAAGAAGTAAAGCTGTGCTAACTTTCGGGTGCTCAGAGGTGTGTTCTTGACGTAAAATGGGAGCAATTGTAGGATCACATAGATCACATAGATCACATAGTACAAGGCTCTTGAGTTAAGCTTAAGTCTGCTCACAACTCCGTAAAATGGAAAAAGAAAAGGTTCTGGCCGTTGATCCCGTAAATACAATTTGCATCGAGTCCATCAAGGGAAGTGCAAACTGTCCCGGCTATCTACACTGTATTATTGAACGTAAAATACATGCAAATTAACAGTGCGAAGACCTTGCTTCTTGGCTATTTTCGTGATTGGCTCACACAGTCTCGGAAGTTTCGGCCAATATCCCCGACATCATCCAAGACAGCGATGATTCGTGCCTTGCTCCTTTCAGGAAAGAGTGCCTCCACCGTTCTACGCTAAAGATCCCCGTGATTGTGAAGTTGGAAGCTACGGAAAGGGGAAAACCCTCCCTTGAAGAGCCGGTATTATCGACATCGAACCCAGGCTGCGATTACCACCCTCTGACGCGAGGAACGGCTCGACCAACGACGCCGACAGATCATCGAGTCGCTAATCCTATCCCACAAAACCCCTGCGTGCGACGACCGAGTGCTAGGACAAATCGAGAATGGGAGTTCGTAGCTATTCCCAGCCCAACAAGACGAATTTCCATTGTTGAATGCTACTGTTCCCCCTCTCCCCGCTTAAAGGAGCTACAAAACCTCGAGACCGCGACACCGAGACCCTGAGCCTGAATCGCAGTTGTCCCCCCCCCCCCCGACCCCTCGGACGAATTTGACGCCGGCGAGTTCGTCGCTCCACCACAATGCCGTCGCCGCGTCGCATGCGACTGCTATGTGTAGCCGTCCTAGCCGGAATAGTCATGACCATGCTGTGGACCACGCACCGGCAGCAATCGCCTCTATCCGCCGAGACCGAAGCGCACGGCCTCCGCCACCTGACAAAAGATAGGCATGATCAAACGGTCCTGAACCCGGCGGACATAGTGGTAGATAAAACCACTAAAGGCGGTGCTGATGGAGCCAAGAAGGAGGTTGCCGATCGGCTGATGAAAGCCGAACAGGAGGCAAAGGAAATTGCCCAAGCGAAGGCGCCTTTGAAGCCAGATGCCCCAAGTATGGTGGTGGGCGTGGGGAGTTCGGCGGACGGTCAGGACGCGACGCTGAAGCAGCACGAATCCGAAGATGGAACTAAAAGTGCAGCGGCTGGCGCCTCGGTTGAGACGGAAGAGGAGCATGAGGCAGAGCAGGAATTACGGTCGATTCTAAAGAAGGCGCCAGGTTCGTCGCATTTCCCATGGAGAAGTGGTGCCGCTGGCTAACGCTAACATTCCCCTCTTCCTAGTAATTATCTTCTCTAAGACCTACTGCGGATTCTCTAGACGAGCCAAGGCACTTTTATTAGAGAGATACGTCATTGATCCTCCGCCCTTTGTCGTCGAGCTTGATATAGACCCTCTCGGTCCCAAGCTTCAGACCTTATTGAAAGAGACGACTGGTCGAGGCACAGTTCCTAATATCATGGTTAACGGGGTGAGCATTGGCGGCAGTGATGACATTGCCGAACTTGATCGGAACGGAAAGTTGGTTGCGAAGGTCCAAGACCTGGGCGAGGCGCGCCAGGTGTCGATGAAACTACGGTTTTAATAAGATCGGATTTGTTTGTATATACTGTTTCTCGCTTCATTTTGCTCTTACCTTCACTACTTTGGTAAGCGGCGAAGGCAGGGGAGAGAGAGAACTTAGTGAAGCCGCCCTTGGTGGGGCTTGCTAGTCAAATGTGATATGCTGGACTACTGGGGTAAGGATATGTATGTATGATATTGAGGGAGTCAGGTTGGGTTGACAGCTATACCCTGGGCATGGTTCTTTCTGCCATTCTTTGTATTAGTACCATATGATCGTTGGTCAACCAAGCCAATAAAGTTAATGTTTTAAGCAGGACATTGCTTCCAACCTCTTCCAACGCCCCGGAAGTTATGTTACGGGAAGATAAGCCGACCTTGCGAGTCCCTCAGGGGCGGGGGAGATGGGAGAGTCAGGCAGGGAGGCGGCTTCTACCGCCACCTCCGATCTTCGATCCTATGGTCTGTTACCCACTAGAAATTGTGACGAGCATGGCACTTTCTTAAGTTGAGAAATTTGTCTGGCTATTGATTCGACATCAAACAGTCTCATGGCCGATCGATCCAGTGCCCACCCCAAGGTTCTGGGCGTCTACTTGGTAGAGTCGCACAGCATCTTGTTTGGGAGTATATATTGATCTATCAATAATCAATACCCCCTAGTGACATTTATTTGTTCCGAAAATATACACAATAATAGGGAGAAGGGCGTGTTGGATCGCCCCTTCGGTTGGAGGGACAATGTGGGGCCGAGTCGGCGGAGCATGCAGGGGCGTTAAGCGCCGGGCTCTTCTGCGACCAGGCCCGGCCGTCTGGCACCATGAACGGAACTTAAATGTTTGCCCGTTAGACGCCTTGTCGTACCAACTCCGAGACGTTTCACTTCGCGCTACCTGGCGCAGGATGTCTGTTTCCGTGATCAGGAACCGGACAGTTGCAGCATGGTTCATCGCCCTCCACCACCTACGAAGTCGATGAATTTCCGCTCACCTGTGACAGACGCGCTCGAAATAACTCTGCCAGCCCAACGCGGCCTTGGCACAGGGCATGGATATGTGTAGCCTTCGTACTGATAACATTCTATTCTATTCTTATCAATTGGCGGCCGACCAACACTCAAGGGCCAACTGCAGAACCTCCCCAGGTCCCCTACGCACCGACCTCGTACGAGGATCGTCGTGTGCCGAAGGCAAGTGGTCGCCGGCCGGCAATGCCTTGGTCTAGAATGGTCCCTCTCAAACTGGCCGCGTGAGGGCCTTCCATCGGGTGGCCATGGTGACAATTTCTGAAAAATGCGTCCGGGGTTCGTATGGCTGGTCTTTCCGAGACGGCAGCGGGAAGAGTGCGAACCTCACAGGTACAAATCAACAGATTTGTCTCGGGAATCCCACTCTCAAGACATCAACTTCAGCCCGCTTTCTTCTTCCGTCAAGCAATCCTCAATAGTCCACTCGATCCCTGGTTCTCCCAACTCGCAAGCTCCCCATCGTTTATATCATTTATCGTTCCTCGTTTTCAGGTTGTTGTATCGATCTATCTTCTTCTTACAATATCGTCTGAATTCTTTCACAATGCCTCTTTTATCTCATACCGGCCGCACCTCATCCGGCAACTCTCAGACACCCCAGGGTGAGGAGCGTTCCAAGATCCAAACTCTGATCACGGAACGGAACGACGAAACCCAGATGTACTCTGGTGATCCGCAAGACATGGAAATACCGGAGTTTGTGAGAACTGGATCATACGTAAGTGACTATGAAACACTTATCATATAAGTACTCTTCTAAAATGCCTAACCTTTGGTAAACCAGTATGTGACTGGAAGAGACGAACCCGACTGTAAATACTTCCAAGCTTCAGATGTGAGGCGCCAAGTCCAACAGGCTCCTACAACGCCTCGCCGCTTTGTCAAATATCTCAACAGATATCACAATGGCCCACGGCCGCTCCTGCATGCTCGGCGGCCTTTCAAGGAGTATCCAATCGCTCCAAGCCATCAGAACGGGTCCGCCCCAGGAAACTTCGTCTGCGGTGACCCTGGTCCCGTGAGAGCCTTCTATAGCGAAAGCGACAGGTCTGAGTTTGATATCGGCTATCGCGAACCCCCTCGTGGGCTACGAAAAGGGAAAAAGCACCCGGATGCCCCTTACAGTCTTGCATCATACCATCCAGCTCCTACCTATACCGATACTAGCACCATCGGGCGTGTTCAAGCCTCTAGTTAGAATGCCTATAGGCTTGGGCATTGCTCTTTTTGTATGAGTAACGTTTCAGAGGCACGCGCAAGCCTGGAATTTGGATCTTGCTTTATTGGTTTGATTAGTTTGGGGGCATCGTCTTAATTGTTAATAGCACTCAATAATTTGATCCGCGTTTGGCAAACTCATGAACCAGACAAGCCCATTGTCCCACACGTCGAAGGCGAAATCGTGATTGTGGTGTTAAATGGAGCCAGTTGATTACTAAGAATGGATTGGTTTTGTTATCGATAAGGAAATTTTTGCCCTGAGTTTACGATAACCCAATAATAAGCGGGGGACAGGTCAAGGTGCAGCTCCTTCATCGCAGATGACTACAGTGATACATTTGGTTTCTAATATCGAGTCCCACTCCCGCGATGTAGCCTAGTTCTGCTCCGTTTCCTCTTTCTGCAATGTTAATCCGGCGGCTTTTCACCACCATGGCTACAGGAGTCACTAAAGTACCCATTCCCCGCCGGGGGGTCGATTATCGCGGCAAGGTCGTTCTCGCGCCCATGGTGCGATCGGGCGAGCTGCCTTCGCGCTTGCTTGCCCTCAAGTACGGCGCGGATTTGGTCTGGGGTAATTCAACACCTTTGACATGCTTTTACCCCATCTTTTGCCACAGCAGCGCTTACGTATTGCCTCACAGGTCCCGAAACGGTAGATCGATCCATGATCGGAACGACGCGCAGAGTGAACGATTCCGCCGGAACGATCGAATGGACACGGCCGCCGTCGCACGGCCAGAAAGAGAAGCCCGAGGATGCAAGAGAGAGCGTCATCTACAAAATGCACCCTGCGCGGGAGGGCGAAAAATTGATCTTTCAGATGGGCACGTGCGATCCCGACCGCGCCGTCGCCTGCGCGAGACTTGTCGCCGCAGACGTCCGCGGTATTGATGTGAATGCTGGGTGCCCGAAGCCTTTCAGCACGACCGGAGGTATGGGTGCAGCCTTACTACGAACGCCGGATAAACTTTGCGCGATCCTCGAGGCGCTTGTCCAGAACATTACCCCCGAATTCGAAATCGGCATAAGCGTTAAGATACGGATTCTTGAGACAGCCGCGGAAACGGAGGCGCTTGTGAGGCGGCTCTGCGCGACGGGTATTACGGGTCTCACGGTTCATTGCCGAACGACGCCGATGAGACCCCGTGAAAAGGCGATTCGAGACCAGCTGCGCATGATTGCGGATGTTTGTCGTGAGGCTGGAGTCGCGTGCTTGATGAACGGAGACGTTGAGACGCGGGATGAGGGCCTCAGACTTGCGGCAGAGTACGGAGCCGACGGCGCCATGATTGCGGTCGCCGCCGAGAAGAACTCGAGCTGTTTTCGCAGTGAAGAAGATGGCGGTCTTGCACCGTGGCGAGATGTGGTTGCAGACTATGTCAAGATATCCATGGAGGTCGAGAACAAGTTTGGCAACACTAAATTTGTTCTTGCAAACATGGTTCCGGGCAAGCAGATGGTCCATGGCCCCATAACACAGTGCAAGTCGTACACAGATGTGTGCGAACGCCTGGAGCTTGATCATCTTCTCGAGAAAGCCAGGGCTGCTGACATGGCTGTCGGGTTGGGAGAGTTTGCTACTGCAGCAAAGAAAAAGGATAAGAAAGCGAACGTGGCGGCCCTCGCTGCGGGCGGCAATATGGCTCAGGCGAGGAAGGTCAAGAAGGACGAGAACAAGAGTGCTGGAAAGCCTTCTCACCCAGCAGAAACTGCCCGGCCACCGGAAGCCTGCCAGTCAGCAGTTGCGGCTTCGTCGGCGTAGCGAGTCTCATAACAAAAATCTTGGGGGCGTTTCTTGTGCAATAGAGCCGGCGTTAGGAAGGGCATTAGGTACCATTGGCATCAGATCATCAATTATAGAGCGCATCTTTCGGCATGTCCCACTCACTTGTACTGCGGGCATTTGCAAACCTTGTCGGTCACGTACACTTTATAAATATATATTTCAAGACAAAAGAAACGTGTACACAAGGTCTATTTGAATGTCGTTGTACAAGATGATTCCGCATCCCATGTTCCCCTTTTTATTTATTTACCCTTTCTAACCCAGCTCTCGACGGTTTCCCTCGCATTCGTTACCGTCTCATCGACATAACGCACACCAACATCCTTGTGTACCTTGGCGAAGGTCCATCCCTGCTCAATAGAGTCCCGAACCTTGACGTGCGTGGAGGCAACAGCGGGGAACCTCTGCTCATATTTCCACGCCAAATTCGATACATTGTTCATGGTGACGGGAAGAACGACCCATGCGGCACCGGTTCCGAAGGCAAGAGGCGCAGTAGCTCTCAAAAAGACACCCCTGTTCCTAGCAACGATGCTGCCGGCCATGGCCGCGACGAGCACATACACGACGCCGGGCATGAGCTTCTCCCCACTATCCTTGGGCGGCGCAAGCGACGCAATGGTGTTGGTGAAGGACTGCTCGAGATTGAAGGCTTTATCCACAGTACGGTTGACGGCATCCTCGGCCGTCACGGCGTGACGATAGAGGAACATGCGGGCCTTGCCAATCTCAACTGCCAATCGATCCGTGGGAGTGGGGCGACGAGGAGTCTCTTCCGCGGCGGGTTGAGAAGGGACCAACGCATCGGGAGGAGGAGCTGGTGCCGCTGGTGTCGCTGGTGCCGCGGGCTCGATCTTGGCCGTGGGGATTTCTTCAACGTCATCGTAGATGGGCTTTCTGGACGGAGCTTCGGCGTGGGCTGTTCTGGGTTGGAAGGCGAAGCCGCCGAGGACTAGGGCGGCCGTGACTGGCGCCACCGCGCTCTGCAAAACGAGTCTCATTAGTATGCCATTGGGTCCCTAGAATGTTAGATGTCATAACGTACCCGTTGCAGTAGCACTCTTGCGGCCATTTTGCGCTCAATTGGAGCTTTGTGTAGCCAATTTACATCAGTTGAGAAAGTCCGGATCGGATAATGTCGCGAGAATTAGTCGGGCTTAGGTACGTACAATTAATCAGTGGGAAGAAGTCGTTGGCTGTTCCGGCTGAACTTCGGTTATTCCATACCCTCGGCATGCCCAAGGCAAGATGCTCACCAAGAAAAAAAAAAAGTGATGTCTTCATCAGAATCGGAGATGGCTTCGGGTTTCTTATTTTTAGAGAGCTGGAAGACGTTTTAAGTGTCTTCTAAGGAGTAGGCTCCATTTTCCACAATGTTGAAGGCGGCGGCCCCCCGGCTTCGTGTTTGCTCGGCCTGTCTTCGAAGAGGTGCGCTGCCTCACGTCTCCCGCGCTCAGTCGCAACCATGGGCACTCGACTACTCACAGTCCCGAAGACCCAACTACTCTACGTCAGCCGCCGAGGCCTCCGAACATGATATCATCCGGGAAGTGTTCGACCACTCGGGAAGCTCGGCCAATTGGCTGTCCAACTTGCGTTCCGGATCGCGGATACGACCAAATGGCAAGAATGCCGGCCTCTTCAAGAACCGATATCTTACGCGACCCGAGGGGTTCCACGTCTTCGCGCATCGCAATCTCCAGAGAGCGTCAGCTCTTGTGGATAAAATTATCAATGCCTCGTCAATTGAGGAATACCGGCAGGTGGTGAGACACCTCGACCGGCTCAGTGATCTTCTCTGTAGGGTCCTCGATCTCTGCGACTTCGTTCGCATGACGCACCCAGATCATCGTTATCAGGCAGCTGCTAGCGACGCCTGGGGCCTAGTTTATCAATATATGAACCAGCTCAATACTACGACGGGCCTCAATGACCAGCTCTGCAAGGCTATGGACAACCCCGAAGTAACCAAGGCTTGGTCTGAGGAGGAGATGATTGTCGCCAAGACATTACGGATTGACTTCGAGAAGTCCGGGGTCCACCTGCCGGAGAACACAAGAGAAAAGTTTGTCGACCTGTCTCAGCAAATCAGCGAGGTGGGGTCTGAGTTCGTCGGGACTATGGCGCCGGAAAGGTACTACGTCGAGCTGCCTGCGACCAAGTTTTCTGGCCTTCGACCTGATATCCTTGCGACACATACCAGGGGCGGGTACGTTCGTTTAGGGGCCGTAGGAGGAACAACGACGGCTGCGCTGAGAACCGTGTTGGATGAGGATGTCAGGAAAGCTCTATACCTCGCTTCGAACACCGCGTCCCGCCGAACAGTTGGCCTGCTCGAGGAAATGGTCAGGCTCCGTGGAGAATTGGCAAATCTCACGGGCTTTGAAAGCTACGCACATCAGAATATGAAGGACAGGGTGATGGCCAAGACACCGGCTGCCGTTATCCAGTTCCTCAAAGCTCTGCAGAAACACAATGCGCCAATTGTGCAGCAGGAAGTTGTCGATCTTCTCCAAGTAAAGAGGAAGCTGTTGGGGCCGCATCACACTCAACTTGAGCCCTGGGATCGCGAATTCTGCGCGCAAAGGGTCAGGAACGAGATGAGGATGAAGATGAAGGACACCGGGGTCTCCGCAAGCCAACTTTCCAATTACTTCTCCGTGGGCACAGTCATTAAGGGTCTATCTATGCTTTACAGTCGCTTGTATGGCATTCGGCTAGTACCTCGAGAAACGCTGCCCGGAGAAGTGTGGCACCCCGATGTCCGTCGGCTCGACGTCGTATCCGAGAAAGGCGAGCTACTTGCCATTCTATACTGCGATCTATTCTATCGTGAGGCCAAGTCCCAAAACCCCGCCCATTACACCGTTCGATGCTCGAGAGATATTCTCGATAGCGAAATCGAAGAGGTGGCACAAGATGTTGGCCAGGAAGGGCTACCAAAGTTTGACTCTGCCGAGATGGCAGCGAACGACGGCATGGAGGCAGTGCGGGAAGGAGGTATCCTGAAGCAGCTCCCTACTATCGTCCTCGTCTGCGACTTCACGCAGCATGGAGGCTCCGAACCCGCCGCCCTCGTTGGACGAGATGTCGAGACGCTGTTCCACGAAATGGGCCACGCAGTGCACTCGTTCCTCGCCAGGACGTCCTTCCAAACCGTTGCTGGCACGCGCTGCGCCACTGATCTCGCCGAGCTACCGTCGACGCTGATGGAGTATTTCGCGGTCGATCCAACGGTCCTGGGCCTGTTCGCGCGGCACTGGAAAACCGGCGAGCCGGTTCCATACGAGCAAGTCGCAGCTAGAGTACGCATGTCCAAGCGATTCGAAGGCCTCCAGACCGAGCGGCAGATTATCCTGGCCATGCTAGACCAAGCCTACCACTCTCCCATCGTCCGCAACCCGAACTTCGACTCGTCCATGGTCTATCATCAGATCCAAGCCGAATTTGCCGCTGGACCTAGGGATGATCCCTCGACCTCGTGGCAGGGTTTCTTCGGTCACCTGCACGGCTACGGAAGCACATACTACAGCTATCTCTTCGATCGCGTCCTAGCCGAGCGTGTTTGGCGCGTCGTTTTCAAGGCGGGCGACGGTGGCGCGGCGATTAGTCGGGAGAACGGCGAGTGGTTGAAGGAGAAGCTCTTGAGATGGGGAGGCAGTCGAGATCCGTGGAGGTGTCTTGCCGATACGCTCGGGGACGAGAGGATCGCGGAGGGAGACGAGACGGCAATGGCTATAGTTGGTAGCTGGGGAATCAAGGATGAATTCCATCCTTGAAAGAAGCGCGGTACACTGTGCCGTCTGGAAGTGTATTATCTTGTATAAATCCGATGTATAGAGCTTTGTTTTCATTGCGCGCGTTTTGTAGAAGTGCTTGGGTCTCATAAATGGGTCGGTGTCAATAAAAGGGGCATTGAAAAGCTGCTGGTTTCATTCTAGATCTCGGCGCCTCTTGATATCATCAGCCTACACTACGATCTATATCAATTATTTCCCGTGTTTATCCTCTCCCGTAGTTCCCAATCGACCAATCACCCATTCGGTCACCCAGCTCGTCTCCTCGGGCTCCTCAGTAGCGAATCGCATAGCGCTTGCGCATGGGTATGTGCGGCTATGTATTGTGAAGATCTTAGATGAAGCCGTCAGGCCTGGTTCGGTTGCAGTGGCCCGAGTGCTAATGTGCCTTCATTGCGCAAACCGGCGGGATTCCGAGAGAAAGATGGCACTGGGAGGCCTGAGGAATGGGATGCGTCCGGAGAACCTAGAGAGTCTAGCAATCGGGCATAGGAGGTGAATCTAGGTTACGAAGGAAAGGATCCTCTGTACACGGAGCGTTTCCTGCCTCACCGCAAGTCAGGTCGGGGTTCATAGGTACGTACAATAACAGCTGTTGATACTTGATTACAGAGGGTTCTCAATGGTATGCACACGTTTAGCTAGCTGCATGAATTACTTGAATTACTTGGAACCAGAGTACTTTTCATTCAGTATCTGCAATATACTAGGATGCTTTTGGTTTTGTTTATAGTCTCATTTATGAATGGCGGTGTAAAATGCGGTGTCATGAGCTTAAGCGGAGGCACCGCTGATGAAGAACCACTTGTCTATCGAGCTGTCGATGGGCTCGGGAGGGAGATCCTGGTTGGCGGGGAGAGGAGGGAGCTGCGAGGGGCTAACGCGGCTGGGGGAGTGCTCAACGTTGACGTTGGTGCTGGTGTAGGCATCATAGTTAGCAGACGTCCCGCGCAGGTAGCCACGAACGAAATATCCGAAAGAAAAGAAGAAGAAAAAAAAATAGGAGACACATACGTAGAGATATCACCAGCAGGGGCCTTGCCAGTGATGAGCTTCTCCCAAGCCTCAGCACACTCACGGACGACATCCATGGCATACCTAAAGGAAATTTGGTTAGTACATAGGACTCGAAGTAATAATATTCCTCACGCCATCCTCCATCGGTGTTATAACGCACTTCTTGTTCTTGCACTCGCCGGTGAAGGCAAACTGGTTCTCGGGCTTGCCATCGGGGATCTTGTAGATACGGAACCACTCGTTGGTGGCTCGGAGAAGGCCGGGGAGGTGGCGCTCAACGTCCTCAATGTCGTTGAGCTTAGGGGCCAAGGGGTCATTGACGTCAATGACGATGACCTTCCAGTCGGTCTCCTCCTCGTCGAGAAGGGCCATGACACCGAGGACCTTGACCTGCTTCACCTGACCGGTGTAGCCAACGAGCTCACCAATCTCGCAGACGTCGAGAGGGTCATTGTCACCCTTCGCCTTAGTCTCGGGGTGGACGTGGTTGGGATCCTCCCAGGTCTGTGAGGCCAATGCGGTTAGTACATAGGGACCTTGTGTCGGTGGGTGAGTGGGGAAGTTGCGGTGTGAGTTACCTGGGGGAAGGCACCGTAGTTCCAGAGGTAGCCCTTGTGGGGGAAGCAGTTGCGGACGTATCGAAGCTTGCCCTTCTTGGTGTCCTGCTTAATGGGGTTGAGGAGTTCCTCCTTGGAGATCTGTTGGCTCGAAAGATACACATCATCAGTATTTGGGGTTTCAGGTAGCAATTGGCTAGCTAGCAGGGAGATGGCAAGCTCCCAGGAGAAGGGGTGACGAGGAGTAGGTTCGCGCCGCCACCGCCGCCACCGCCGCCCATCGTGGTTCAAGGGAGGGAGAAAAATAGGATTAACTGACCTCGAGCTTGGCATTGGTCCAGCGGGGGATCTCAACAACCATGTTGAGGATGGTCTGCTCAGCATTGGCATAAAGGGGGATGTCGTGGAAGGGCGAGACGGGGACGCCATCCTTCTCAATGTAGACTCGGTGCTCCAAGGTGTAGGGAGCACCGACCTTGCGGAGGGTGTAGGACATTTTGGGATCTGGAGGAGGTTTGCTCTGGGATGAATTCGTAGATACGCTCGACAGATGACGAGCTATCTGAGAAACGCGTTGGGAAGAAATGGTGGAGGTTGTGAAAGGGGTCGTGGGGTACTTCGTCGGAGGAGCCAGCTTTAAAGGCAAAAGTGGGCAAGGAGGGGGAGGGGTAGTTTTGCCAGACGCAATCGCAATCGGGCGTGGGCGAGGGTGTGTGGGTGCGAGTGGGAGTGGGAGTGTGGCGCCGGTGGCACAGTTGCACTTGGAGGTTGACGTAGAGATCGGACGGGCCGTCGGGGTGCGGGCAGTCGGCAGGGCTGTTGCGCTGGGGATCTTATTCGCGGAGGGTTGTAGAGCAGGCAATAGTGCGATTGAATTCACGGGAAGGCGTGGGTGTAGGTGCTGGTGTAGGCGAGGGCGTGGGAGGGTCTGCAGCGAGATTCGTAGCGTCATTTATACGTATCAGCGCTGAGGCCGCATGTATCCAAAAACCGCGGTTTATGTACGACGTAGCTTCAAAGGTGGACAGGAGGAAAAAAAATTTCAGGGAGATGTGGCTCTCTCTCTCGCGAAGTTTCTGTTTTTAGTGATTGATATAGGAGCTTCCTCAAGGGTCACTAGTATCGGTAGCCTGGCACTGACCACAATGCAGTTTATCGTCCAATGCCGAAGCGTCGGTGGGATGATTGGAGAACGATTCGTGGTTTCCTTTTACCTCGGGTTAGCCTCTTTGTTGAAAGCTTGAATGATAGCAGGGTGTGCCGTCGGCCGGGTTGGTGGAAGCTACTGTGGACTTGGAGGGAGAAGGGTGTGACTGCGGTGGAGATTCGGAGAGATGGCACCATCCTTGGCCTATTTACTATACTCCGCAAGAGACCAATGGGAATGCGAGCTTCGGCCTGTTGCCAGGTGGTTTGGGGGACAGAGCCTTGGAAAAAGACGCATTCCCGAATGTATAAGAGCAAGCTGACTTTTAGAATAATAGCCTGTGCCTATCAAAATATTCGGAGATAAAGATTTTGCCACAGACTCTGTCTACATAAACATGCTTTACCCCGTCTCCAATCCACGAATTGATAGTGTAGATGCTCGGCAACCTTGACGGAGTAGCAAATGCCTGAGAAAAGTTCGGAGAGAACTTCAATGGAGTAGGAATGAGCCGAGGAGTTTTCGAGATCCCGTCAGGTGCAAACATCTGGTATCCCCACATGGACTGAGCCGCCTAGATCATCCTTCAAGTGTTCAGTGATCAACAACATTGAGTCTTTCCTCCATGACAAACCACCGAGGATGAACTTGAAGGATTTTTATGAAGTACAGGACAGCTTTGGCTAAAGCGGCAGCCAACTAACACGGCGATATATCCTTGTGATCATGAAGAACACGAGCGCAAACCCTGCCGAATTGCGCATACGCCAGCTTCCAACTGCCTGCCCCCTTCTCAACTATACTTCAAGGTCAACATACCCTTCTCTAAGCTCACCAGGGGTAGATGGGGTGTCCCGACTTTCTAAATTGCCTAAACTCAGCTCCGGAATACCTTGACTATCTTGTCCAATTGAAGTCCTTCGAATATCTTCCATGATATCTCACAGCAAGGCACACTACGAGAACGGACTCACATCAGCCAGGATTAGTAGAACTCGTCTATATGTCATGACGGGTATCATTATACGTATAGATATATAGAGACATTGGTAGTGTACATGGCCGAATATGCTCGACCCTGAGCCCTTGGCTCCCGCCCCCACCCCAGCTCAACCATCCGTCAGATCCGCTTGCTTCTGGAGCTTTCGTGAGTGCCGGTCGACTTCCTCCGTAAGACTCTTAATACCGAGCTTTTCGCAGTCGAGGTTCATTTCCTTGCCATCCTCTGTAAAATTCCGATGTTAGCGGCGGCCCCTCAGGGGAGAGTGGTCTTCGTGGAGAGACAGCCTCGGCAACCGATGACGTACTGAACTTGACGCTGAGGGAGCTAGGTTCTTTTGAAGTCCGTGGTAGAAGAGTCGTCTTTATCTGGATCGTCTGTCGCGCATTCGGCGGGAGGAGGGAGAGGAACAGTCGCGCAGATCGAGCAGTGGGCGAGAAAGGGTTGAACTTGGTCGAGATCTCGGTCATGAATTTAGTGATCATCTTGGCGGTTCAATTGGCAGTCGAGAGACTGGAATTCGGGTTCGGACCAAGTTGCGAGGGACCTCCACGGGATATTCTCGATGCCCGGGAGCAAGGTGTCAAGCGATTGAATCTGTTCGTCGGTTTAAACCAGTCTGTCGTGTGAGGAAGCTCATGGCAAAGCGACATAAATTTTTGGGCGTAGAAATACCCGATTATGTAATCTTTCGGCCTGGTCTCGAATTGTCACCACCCCTGCATTTCGTCACTCTGTCTCTTCAGATCTGGACAGCTTTCCCAGTCTGGAGGGCTGGAAAGTTCAACATCCCGTTTTCCATTCCAGCCCCAAAATACGAAATAACCTAGGCCCCTGCCAAGATGTCGCTCGAAGGCCTGCAGGAACGACTTGCAGCGTTGCAAGAGACCACAGCCCAGCTACGAGATTTAATCGACCGTCTCGCGAGCCTTCGATTCACGCCTGGGGCGGTACCCCTACGGGTCGACGAGGAAAACACGGTATCGGCCGAACTGAGCTCCGAAATAAGCCAGATTTTACGAGAGGAGGAGGATGAGCTTGAGATCTTGAAAGAGGAGACTGAGGATCTTCGCTCGGGTCGCCCAGGCAGTGATGCCGAGCATCAGAAGACAAGGTTGAGGGATGCCCTCGCCCGGTTGGAGAAGGAACTGTCCTTGTAAGCCCATGCTCATGTCCGAACCTGCCCCCAGAACGAGTCCTTTAACTATTTTCGTGACCTCAGATATCGAATCTCCTTCCGACAGGCTCAATTAGCAGCGCGGCAGAGCCTTATCGAAGCCCAGCGACTCGAACGTGAGATTCTTCTCAAGTCCTATTCCGAACCTGTCTCACCGACCGATGGCGAAACGAACGGCTCGACAACCGTGACACACCCGCCTTTCCGCAAACAGCAGACAACGAGCCTCTCGGAAGAAGATCAGCAGGTCGTGGCAGCCAGCACCGAGGCCACCCGCGGGCTGCACCGACTACGCGATAATATCGAAAAGGCTCTGCTGGTGAGCAACGCGACGCATGAGACGCTACAGGAATCCTCGACTGCCCTAACCCAGGTTGGAGACTCGTATATGTCTCTCGACACGATGCTCTCGTCCTCGAAAGAGCTTCTGGGTACGCTAGTGAAGTCGCAGAAGAGCGATACATGGTATCTTCAGACATCGCTGTACATGCTTCTCGTAACCCTGGCGTGGCTTGTATTCCGACGGTGGATGTACGGCCCGTTATGGTGGCTAGTGTGGCTTCCCTTAAGACTCCTGTTCCGGACGTCTGTTGGAGTGAGCAATGCTGTCAGTCGATCGGGAGACCACTCGAGTCACTCGAGTGCGCCCGGCCCGGCTAGGGTGGAGGACCAGAAGGCTTCGGTTGAGGGGCTACCAGGCGATAGTCTACCGACGGCTGATGTTCAAACGAAACAACCAGACGCGGCACCAGTGGATCCGGATTCGATGATTGAAAAGGTTGGAAGAGTTGTCGATGAGGCTGACGGCAGCGGCGAACCGCCAGTAGTTCCTCAACCGTCAGCCGAGGGGGGAACCATTGAAAAGGACGAGTTATGATCTCTGTCATTACACCATCATGCCTTTTATAATTTAATGCAAAGCTAAATATAGATTACAAGACACAGGCCGCTCTGCCATCATGTCCCATGCTAGATGTCTTCTTTTGAAGGTCTACTGTCCAGTGAGCTTCTTTGGTTGCACGACAGGAATGTCGCTGATCCACGGAATACTAAGTTTCCTCATCTCCACCGCCAATTGGAACAGATAATCAAGGCTCTCACACATGGTCTTAGCCTTGTGCACGTTATCACCCCACACGTAGACACCGTGCCTCCTCACAAGCACCGCATACGTATCCGGAAACTCCTCCATCGCCTCCTCCATAAACTCGGTAAGATCCTCCTCGTGCGCCGTGTTCTCAATGACGGGAATCCTCAAAGTATCATGGTACCCCAAGTTGCCCGACTTGGCGAAACCCTTGCCGAAGCCCTTGATCTGCTCGATGTTGTTGATCTCGAAGACCTTGCGGCGGCCCGAGTCGGCGTCGGCCTCGAGGAGGAGAGTGACAAGGACGGCCCACTGGGAGTGAGTGTGGATGCAGCATCCGGCGTTGCGCTTCGTGAAGGCGGCGAGGAAGAGGGGCGTGCACTGGGAGGGACGACCGGAGGGGGGAGATCGGACGTAGGTGCGGGGGCTTGGGGGATTCTGGAGGCGCAGGGAGAGGACGTAGAGGTCGGATGGTTTCATGAGTTCTTTTTGGACGCCGGATGGGGCGATGTAAACGAGATCACTGAGAGGAATGTTAGCTCGTAAACCTAGGAGTAGGTGTAAGTTAGTTACGGCCGAGCTTACTCGTCACGAATGGAGCATCCGCCGCCGGTCCCCGTAACCCATCCTAGAGTCCAAAACTTGGCGCAAAGGGAAGGAATTAGGTTCGCGGGGTGGTCTGGGTTATCAGACTTGACGAGCTGGTCATTGCTCTGAGGTTCTTGGGGTGCAGTCTCAGCCATGGTGGTGTTGATGCACAACCGTCTTGATCACGGGTATCGTAAAATCGTAAAGCTCGAGAGACGAGAATAGAAACAAGGAGGGCTGTGGCAGAATTGATGAGGTTTGAAGCGCTTCTTGAGCTGATTTCGGTCTTGCGCGTTGAAGAGAGAAGATAATATTTCTCTGAGAGACAATAAATCTTGCAACGCGCTTGATGGCGGGGTTCCTGAAATGGATCCCGATATCAATTCGTCTTTTTGGCGGGGTTAGACAGAGCAGCGATTGCGTGACGCGGGTTCAATTAGCACTTGTTACCTGACAGCTGCCAGTTGAGGAGCTACCGCCGGGGCAAATTGATCTGATCCAACGTGCCTACATGAGTGGTTGCCATTGTTGCCGAGTACCAAAGAACGGACAGCCAAATGCACAGGCAAACTCGAGAATACGCTGTAATTTGCTCTTCGGTTGCGGACTGACCTAGACGACGGGTGGTCCGTCAGACTGTATCGGGAGCCAATTGAACGAGTTACACAATCAGGGTTGAAAGCTGGAAACTAGGTCTCGGCCAGCGAGTTGTCAATTGACTGAGCTTATGCTCCTGCTCAAATTATGGCATTGGGCGCATTATAGCATTGGGACAGGAAGCTGGCAGGGGCGAGAGGGGCTTGCCACAAACTGCGAGGCGTGGATTTGGACTACGGAGTTAACTTCGATCGCAGTTAGCACCGACTCTGTGCTACCTTCGTTTTCTCCTGCACATCACGTGCATGGACAGCTCAAGACCGCCCCGAGACCCGAGCTTGTACCTACAAAGAAACCTCCATTTCGGCTCAGGAAAATTATTCTGGCAAACTCGCAGCACTCACCCAATCCGTAGATTCTTGACCTGAGTGGCCATCTAACAACTTGGGAGCTATGCAGCTGCCCAAATCGTAAAATGACACGGCTATTTCACGGTTATTGGTAAGTTCCACTTGAATTTCCTATTTCTTCCCTATCTGAAATGAGAGATGATGTTTGTTTATGCTTGAATTCTGCAATCCTGAACAGGCCCTTCATGGTGCCTGTCTCTGATGACCCAAAGCATCTGACTCTCCCACAACACACATTGAAGTTTTGGCAAAGCGAAATTTGACCCACGGCTAGGGACCCATTGCTAACTCTCCCACTCCAGCGCTTGCTCCCGACGCCTTAAGTGTGCACGGGGTCACCATCGGGATAGCGGCCTCCAGCAACCTCAAACTTAGCAAGGACAGCATCAATCTCAGCCATCTCCTCATCCGTAAGCTCCACAAGCTTGGAGTTCTCGTTGACCCTCTCCTCGGTCGTCGCGCCGGGGATGGGGATGATGGTGGGCATGTTCGGCCGGCGCGACAGGGCGATGCACCAACCGATAGCCAGCTGAGACGGAGTGCAGTTCTTCTTAGCGGCAAGCGCTTCGATCTGCCTCACGAGCTCTAGGTTGATGGGGAACGTATCAGGCTGGAAGCGAGGGAAGAAGCGGCGGAAATCTCCCTCGGGAATATCGTCAATGGACTTGATCTGGCCCGTAAGTATCTAGTAAGTCGTATCAAAAGTTAGCGAGATTCATCTGGGAACGAAGGGAAATAGGGAGGAATGGCGTTTGGTGTTTGTGCGGGGGGTATCACGTACGCCGCGTCCGAGAGGACTGTAAGCAACGAGCGGGATGTTGTACTTGGCGCATGCCTCGGCGACACCATTCTCCAAGGCCTCCGTAGCCCAAAGACTCAACTCGACCTCGACAGCAACAATCCTCGTAATCTTGACAGCCTCGTGGATGGTCTCCGCAGAGACCTCGGACAACGAGATGCCACCGACCTTACCCGTCTTGACATACTCATTCTCAAGAACACCCAAGGTCACATCAAACGGCGCATTGCGATCACGACGGGCGAATTCGAACATGTCGAGCTTGACGGACCCCTTAAGCTGGCCGAGAACGTCGTTGACCGATCGCCGGGTGTTTTCGGGGGACCCGTCGACCCTGAGCGTTCCGGGAACGGTGCCTCCCTTGATGCTGATGACAACCTTATCGGCGTCCTCGGGGTACTTCTTGAAGTAGGCGTTGAGCAGGGTCATGCTGTTGTACTCGGGAGTGCCGTAGAACTCGCCGCCATTCCAGAACGTGGCGCCATTCTTGATGGCAGCTCGCATGGCGGCGAAGGCCTGCTCCTGGGAGCAAGGATTCGGTCTCCAGGTGAAGCCTGTTTTAAAGGATGTCTGATTAGTTTGATGTCATTGGGTCCTTTGAGACGATTCTCGCTAATGGCTTACCCATGAGGCCGAAGCCGATGGGTCCGACTTCTCGTCCAGCGATCTGAGGCATTTTGGGCAGCTCGTAGAAAATCAAAAGTGGGTTAGTTTGGTGAAATGAGGCACTGAAGTGTTCGCAACTCTTCGGTTTGTGTTTGATAAGAATTGAGATGAGGAAAGAGATGATTGATGCTGGATCAGTTTGGTCTAGAGAACCTCGCAAGAGAAAGAGGTTGTATTTATAGTCAATCCCGACCGGCCCCTCTCTCCTTTCTCTATCACACAACTCTGATTTCCATCCAGCGAAGTGATTCGGGCTTTACAGCATAACGCGGATATTCCATTCGACAAAGGTTGCTGTTGATGAGTGCGTTCGCCCGGAAACCATAAACTCCGCGATATCTTACGGATTTGATATATTTATCCCCCGCCCGATGATACGGCTCCGTGAACGCGTTGATGTACACGCGGCGGAGAAACCGTCGAATACATCAATGGAATATAGAGCCTCTTCCGGCGTTAAGGTTTAGAAGTGGGGGTGTTCACGACGATGCTGTGGCTTTGGGCTGGCGGCTTCGGACTTAGGACTTGTCTATGAACCAAAAGGTTCAAGCCGCAATTGTAATGGGCACGAAGTTAGTTAGTGCACCTGCTTGACGGAATTACTTTTGCAGGGTTAAGAGTTAATTAAGCATTACAAATCCCATGGTTCTCCTGGATCAATTTGCACGTATACGTACCTTCGACGAAGCAGTTGTGTCGGCGATAAGTGCTTGATGGCGTTAAGGCAGCTTAAGCCCCCCCCAAGCGATCTCTTGTTCATTCAAATAATCACACATCTTCTTGGTGGTACGGCCGGTAGCAGTTTCAAGCGTCTTCGCGTTGACGACATAAAGTCCGGCCAGCAGAGGAATCGAATATTCGAGACAATTGAGTGAATGCCTTCAATCATAATATCCGGGGACGCGTACACTGATTGGCGCCTATTGCAATTATGGCTCTTTTACATGGCAGATCTTCTAATCTGCCAGTTTTCGGAGCGGAACCTTTTCCATGACCTTGTCTTCACGCCGTCTTCTCTTGTCATTCACAGCCAGGTTAGCACTGTTGGTGTCGTATGGAGGAACACAGCTCGAGTGGCATTGCGCCTGAGACCGGAGGCGACTGATTCTCTGTGGCGTCTTAGATCATATGAACTACAGGAGGAACTTGGTTTGAGATGCTCCTAGGGTTCCGATATCCAAGAGAGTAAGAAGAAATAAACAGACCAACAAACATTGCAGTTTCGCTTTGCTTGCCATGCTTCAAAACGAGAATTTGGTCCCCTCGTGCCAATCGTCCGAATGCAAACCATCATCTCGCCTCTACACGAATCTTCGCCTCTTGGCCGTCCACACAGAACCTCAGAGCTCTTGGACTGTCCATCAACTCCACCTCCCTCTTCACCCACCTACCCACCATCGCACTAGCAGCACTCTTCCCACGGTCCAAGGCTTCATCGTCACTTGCCCCCTTCCCCACAGCCCATTCCATCTCCGCCTCAGCAACCTCTTCCTCCTCGTCGCTACTATCCCCTTCCTGCTCATCATATCCTGCAACGGGGTCCCATTCCCCCGTCTCCCAGATGAGTCTAATCCGGAGGGGCGGTAACCCGAACAACCTTCCCGCCATGCCCTTCAACGCATAGACGTCGAACGAGTTCGGAATCTGCTTAGTCCGCAGCGAGCCAATCGTCTTCCCCCGAGGATCGGCGTGCCGAAAGGTGACGTTCACAAGTCTCGCTTCGAGGAAGTCTGGGTTCATTTCCTTCCGTCTGATGATGTCCGGCTCGCCGTACAGCTCGCAAAGATCTTGATACCGCGGATGCTCTTTAAGCACCTCGCCACCGGAATCATCTGGCACGGTGGCAAGCTGTTTAGCAATGCGAGATAGGTAAAACATCTCGGCGTTGGCGCGGTCATTTTCGTTGATCGTGACGAAATTGAGAACCTTGAGACAACCGAGGCGTCCAATCGTGATCATATGAGACTCTTCGCTAGTCGAGGCACGAGATTCTTGCTGAGCTGTGTGGTCAGGGTTTTCGTAGACGGGGTTATGAGCAATCCTGAGAGCCGTAAGGCCGGGGAAGATTGTTTGGAGGGCGTCGACGAAGGACCAGGACGGGATTTTGTTGTAAGAAAGGTCTACGTATTGGATGGAAGGTGGGAATACGGGAAAAGGGAGGGAGGGATCGGAGGTTATCGCGGAAATGTTGTTTCCTTTAAGGTGTAGATTGCGTAATGATGTGAGGGAAGAAAGCATTGTTACGTCTGAGAGCGCTTTAAAGTCGTTGAACTCGAGGTTCAGAATGGTAAGGGTCGATGAGAGCGCCTCGGGTAAAGGCGTGGGGATGGTGGCCAGCTGGTTAGTTCCGCAATTGAAGCTGGCAAGGGACTGGAACCTCGCGGTGATGTGGCATATCTCATCCCAGTCGAGAAGAGTCTCCTCAAGGGCCAGCTCCTTGATCTTAGAAAAGACGGGGCCTGCATGTTCAAGGGAGCGGTCGCCCAGGGCCTCCTGAAATCGATTGCGACTGTTGGGAGAAAAAGAACAAGTCTGTTAGTGAAACAAGCCCCCAATCCATACAAGAATGCGGCGTGAGCAGAAACGTACTTCAACCTCAGGCTTCTCAAGTCTGGTAGCTGGCTGCACACGTCAACCAGAGGCGAGAAGTCCACAAATAGATTGTGGCTAAGGTCCAGCTCGACAATCTTGGGACATGTCTCCGCCACGGTCATGGCACCAAACCTCCCATCATCCCCTCCACCTACGGCCGAGACAATCCGCATGCTGTCAAGGATGACAATCTTTAGGTCTTCCACGCGAGCCAACAGTTTCCGGATCTTGTCGAAGCCGACTTCTTCAACGACTTTTCCCGAGATCTCAACCAGGCGTGCCGATGTTATGGGAGCATTCTTCTCATCCACCTCGGAAGCATACTTCTCATGCAGCGCCGAGAGAAAACTCTGAGGTTTCTCCGAGGGACGCGTGGGCCGGACGAAGGAGGCTGCCGTAGGCGACTTGGACAGACCTGGGCCGGTAAGCTGTCAGCAGGGAGGGCAACATGCAGCACAAGAGAAGGGCTGCTAGCTACATTTAAAATATTTGACGCCTTTATGGCTACCGTCGTGTTTCCCTCGAGTCGGGTCATCCCATTCAACACCAAGCCAGGTGCCCGAGGTGCCGGCGACCTCACCGACATAGCGAACAGTGCAGACGACGCCGTCATACGAGAGGCGCTGTCCGACTTGTGGGGTTGACGCCATCGAAGCCGGAGTATACGGATGCCACCGCCTAGGAAATGGTTGCAGTGGCGGAGAGGCGAGTCTATCTATGTCAATCACAGAGAAGTGTTCGTCTAAGTTGTTGGTGGAGTGCAGCTGCGGTTTTGACTTGGGGCGATTAGGCAGCACAACTCAATTCGCCGACCACTGAAAGTCTTTAGTGACTAATACAGCCCAGCTTCGTTGGGGCGCTCCACTGTAACCGAGACCTCAAAAAAATATCGAAGATTGAAGACAGCCGCTCTCGAGCTCTGGTGCGTGATACTCTTGAACTGATCATCTACGACTTCAATCTGCCAGTCAATGCATCATCAGTTGGGTCGGAGTTTGAGACGAGAGTTTGAGACGAACTAACGCCTCTGGATGTTGCGTTTGCGAAACCGCCCAACATGGGACCGTATCGGGAACTAGTTCTCCAAACAGCGTCTTCAAGAAACATCAAATATAGATACAGGTGAATGGTGGTATCAAACCAAGCCTACTGATTGATCTTCCACTCCTTTCTACGAAGCCTCATCTCATTGGAGTCCTGAAAAAATACCGCGACATCAAAGCTACCGATATCGATATTCTCGAATAAAGCCCCAGCATTGAGCAACAGGCACGACTTTCGCCATCTGATCTCTTCAAATCTTACCCGACCCAAACTTTTGAATTCCCCTTCATGTGGGGACCAGCCAGGGTAATTACATCGACAGCCGCCCCCCAAATCTCGGACCGTCCAACTACCGGACCAGGTTGCATTCTTCTCGGTATCTTTCCATCGGAAAATAGTAATATCGGAATAGAAGAAACAGGGTCCTGCAGTCTGCTCCCCGATACCATTACCAGGAAATTTAAAAGTAACATGCAGAATCCGGTTCCTCCCAGTCTCCCATGTTTCGCATCTAGACCCGATAAATCCGTGTAAGCCCTTCTCAGTTGCGGATGACAACAGACAACGGGACCCAGCATTGGCGATCCAAGATCGGATCCTGGTGTCAATCTTGACCCTAGATCCACCTTTCTTCTCTCTTCTTCCCGACAGCAGGAGATTACTGATGACCTTGTTCTGATGTCTGGATTAACATATACCCCGTATGAAGACAGCACTTAGAATTTCATGCGTGGTGGACGAAGGAGAACATTTCCCATTCCTACCTGGTTCTAAACCATGTTCTAGCAGTCTTATCTCCGCTCATCTCTTCTGGCATGAAACCTCATCTGACAATAACTACGTAAAAACTAGCTTCTAGTGAGAAGAAAGAACGCTGAGCGAAATCCACCCCAACATGCAAGGGCAACAAATAAAGAGAACAACAACGATGATGTATCTACCAAGAAAAAAAAGCCTTAGCTCCTCCTGAGGACGCCGTAGCCTCGCAACCGCCGCCGTACTCGGTATGAAAAAAGATTCGTAGAAACACAGGATGGTGTAAACAAATGGGGGTATAGGGTCTTTTGAAAAGCAAAAACTCGCCAGCTCGTCTACTGCCAGCAACCCAGGCAACCGAAACCAGGAAAGAAAGGTCCAAATGATTCATATCTTTTCCTCTTCAAGAGGATTTCCGAACGATGAGAGTATCGCCGTTGTGAAACTGGAAAGGAGGAATGTAGCTAAGAAAGGGAAAAAAAAAAAAAAAAGTGGTGACTGTTTTGGATTCAAAAAAATGTTCCGCCGCCCAAGAATTCTAGCCTGACAATGAGAAAAAGGACATGATTCAACAACGAAGGAGAGGAGCATCTAAACAGAGCCAAGCTTGTGCCAAAAGAAGAAGACATCAAACATCATGATACCCGTATAACCTCGTGGCTTACGGGGGGTGAGGGGGGGAAGCACAAAATGGAAATGAAAGAGAGAGGGCAAGCGAAGAAGAAGCGGAAGAAGGAGGAGGAAAAACAAATAGGTAGACGTTGCAGGTACGCGCTAGTAGTCGTCGTCATCGTCACCGCCCCTGCTGTTGGCTTCTTTCCGAATGGGAATCTTAATTCCTTGGTGGGCGAAGCACTTGGATAGCGGTGTACTCTCACAGACTCCGGGGAATTTCTTTGCCGAGAAAACTGTAAAGACATCGCTGAAGCATGAGGCAAGCACCGGTGACTTGCCAGTGTTAACTACCGGACCCTCACCATTGCCATTGGCATTCGGTGGCGGGCCAACATTAACGAATGAAAATCTCAGTCTGAAAAGGGGTCAAGTCAGCCCAGCTCGTTTGGCACAATGGTTTTGCCCAAGAGGGGTGAAGAAGTAAAACATACCTGAAGTGACCCTCGGTTCTGACACTGAGATCTTGGAGCACAAACCAAATGCCGATTTTGTCATTGGAGTCTATTAGGCGGAATGCGCTGGCAGCCAAGCTCCCAATAAGGTTGCGGGTGAACATCCCTTGTGGCTGGTTGTGACCCATCCGGCTAAGATCGCCGTAACCTGGCGACGTTGCGCCATAGTGACCCATGGCCGTATTCGAAGGCAGCTGAGGTACAGGACCCATGTTCGATCGGAAGTCACCTTGCGGATAATACTGGGTCGCTGGGGAGTACGCATTTGGAGGCATATACGGCGCTAGATAGATAGAGTTAGCTGTCTACGTCTGACGGACCTTCAAGTATAGGCAAGTTTGCGTGCACATGGACTAAGGATTCTAGAAGGAGCGAGGAGGTAGAACCTACACTGAGGATATCCTGGTTGCGGGCCTTGGCCATAAGGGGATGGAGCCTGACCGTACCCCGGGGGGATGCCATATTGAGACATGATGGGCTGCCCGTATGCACTCATATCCGAAGGCGGGTAGGACGAGTCGCGGTGAGACGGGAGAATATTGGCAAATGCAGGGGTTGATGATGTGAGGCTTCCATACGACGCCGGCGTCGTGGAGGAAATGGAAGGTGTCCCGCTTGAGTGTCGAACGAGGTTTACTTCGCGCGAGCCGTCTTCGTTCCATAGATCGACATTGAGGACAAACATTCCATGGTCAATGGAGCTGATGTGAGAATCCAGTTAGTTTCCCCAGCCCTCTTGTCTAATCTTCGAAAGGAGGTCACGAAAACATACTTGACATCAACTTCTTTGCCGCTGAGGTCAGTCACGATCAGCCTTACACACGGAGGGGGCGTAATGGGTCGTCGGTCCTTGTCGCCAAAACCGCACATGCGCGCTCGCTTGGGTTGCTGTTCAACGACGAGCCTAAAATAAGCAAAGGAAAAGTTAGTCCACGCTGCGGCTCGAACCTGGACACTTCTCTTCCCCGCCACCAGGGACTATTGTCACTCACGTATACTTCCTCCCCGTCGCTTCATCGACCTTGGAGATGGACTGTAGTAGAGATTGGCCCGGCGGAAGGCGTGGCGAGGGGATTATCGAGGAGGCTGGCGCAGCGGCAACCTGGTTCCCGTTGCTTTGCATGTTCTCAGAGCTCGGGTATTGCGATAAAGGAGTGGGGTACTGCTGCTGGGCGACATGGCCGTGATTGACCTGATGAGGGAGTTGTGGCGGGAGCTGTTGTTGCGCGACTTGCTGGGGAGCTGGGGGCATCTGCATCGGCATGTGAGGGGGTTGCTGAGACATTTGGGGATGCTGCATAACCTGCGAGTATGCGGCGCTTGTATCGCCCATCTGCGGATGCATGATTGGGGGGTATCTCGTGGGATCCATTGCGACGGTGAAGGCTCTTCGAGCTGTGAATGAGGTCGATTTTGTTCGTGAGGAGGGGTAGAGGTGGTTCGAGGGATGGGGCGTCGCAAGCTTGTGGTTCGGATCGGATATTGCTCGAATTTTTCTATCCTATTCCCTTACGCCTGTTATCGGTTTCCTTTCAACCTGGGACTCAGACCTCCGTGGTGCAGTCTTCGGGGGGATAAAAATCATAAATAAAAGAGCAAGCCGCGCGCGTTCCTGACGTGCCTCCCTTTAGGGCCTGGCAAGACAAAAAAATAGGATAACTAGGTCGGTCGATCTGTTCTGTGGGAGATCGGCAACAGCCTGTCAAATCGCGCGTCTCGAGAGAGACGAAAGGTACAGCTATCGGGGGATGACGAGAGAAGCTAGAGAAAATCGGATCGCGCTTCTTCGAGGTCGCAGACAAGAATATGGTCCAAGACGAAGTGGCTTGGCTGGTGAGGTGAAGTGGCAACAGCTACGTATTTATACATCCGTCATCCGTAGATACTTGCGGTGGATTTGGGAGGTATAAGTGAGATCAGACAGCGGCAGTGGTTGCACCAGAAAGAATAAATGGAGTACAGGGTACGAAGAACAATTGATGTACAACGGGATGCTCTATATCCTTATCCTCGTACCGAGAATGGACAGTTGATGGGCGACGCATGAAATGGACGCTGGGCAGGATTTGTACTGGATACTTGTAGTTGAGCTCTAAAGGTACTGAGGTACTCTAAATAGTATTCGTACTTGTACCACTCGGAGCACGGGATTGAGGGGGGGAACGACTGGGCCGAATCAGGACGACATACACCCCTCAATACACTCTTTAGAGGGTTTCATCCACCAGCGACAAGTACTGTCCTGGCGCCAGAAGAGTTGGTCCGAGGCCGCAGTCCGCTTCATCGAGTGGTTCTGGCGAGTACGCGAGAGTATTCATGATCCAATCTTGGGCCTCGCGGGGCAGAATTTTCGCCATGTTCTCTCCAGCCTTTGAGTCTGAGCTTACATACATTATGCAGCGGAATGGGTCCGAGGAAGCGAACACGGCAGAGACTGCTGCGGCCTACAGGGGAGCTGGGTCGTTGGGCGGTATATTTGCATTGATATTGTATAGTCAGTTGAGGATCCTGCAAAGATGGTGATTTTGGGGGCTTCGCAAATGAGTAACTTCTTGTGTTTTCAATGTTCTAGCATGAAGCACGAAGTAATCGCCGGTAGCGTACACTACACTAGTCCTTACTTTAGTAATCTCCTAGACTGGACTTTTTTAGGCCAGACTAGCTAGTGTCCAGGGCCCCCAAACTCCGCGGGGGGCGCTAACCATCAATGCCAGATGAGGTCGGAAGAGACCCTCTCTTCTAATGAACTGGCGTTCTAAACTATTTCCTGCGTACTTCTCCCGTCCCATGTTAGAATGCTACCACCTCCAAGCGGCAGGTCGGCAGGTCGGCAGGGCCTGGCTCTGTGGGAGGTCTTAGCTCTACAGTTCAGGGCTCAAAAAGGCAAGGGCTACTACATAAGTGCCATTAATGATATTTTCCACTAGCAACTCTTGGGTCCATATATGAAGATATTAAGAAATTATTATGGATCCTTGGATACGAGTATTTCCTCTCATCAATACGTCCCAAGTCTGGTTTCCATGCCAGCCCCGACACTGAAGAGATGGAGTGTGTCTCGATCGAGCCCAATCCTGGAGCTGAATCGAGGCTAGGTCTGGCTGGCCCACGTCTCCCCCGACAATTGTAAACTACGAGTACTAGTGTCACCCCACCACCCTTAACAAGGAGCGGAAGTGGGTGGGCACGAGAGCCCAAACTGCTCGCTTACCGACCCGGCCAACGGACCATTTGACGGGTCGTGGTGTGGGAAGCAAGGTCAAGGGTTTGAGGACGATCAATCAAGGGACCCTCCAATTTTCATCCGCCGTGACGCGAGATTATACTAATAAGCTCCTTGTATAATTCTAGGTCCTCCCTAGGCACAATCGACAATCGTCTGCTTTTGGCTTCGGCGGCGGTACGAGCGCAGGTTGCCGTGCGATTATGGGTTTTACTCAGAACAAAGAACTTTTGGTAGAGGTCGCAATGGGCGGTGACGGCATACGAAGTACGCCATCGAAGGAGCGGGGGGAACGAACATTGAGATTGAACCTTTCCAGGGACAAGGTAACATTTGACCACTGACCTCTGAAGTTAATTATAGCGCATCTTCATCATCTAAACTGAGCACTTCGTACACTCTGCTCAATAGTGCTTGTAAACTTATGTACACAGGTACACTCCATGCTATGTAGAACATATCAATTCGTCGCACGTACTTCACTCCGCACGATTGAGTCGAGTGTTGCTTTGTACTAAAGTAGTAATACATCAATGTTCAACATCTGGAGCGTGGTACACAAACACACACGGCCAGCGCTCAACGACGGCCAAACCTCTGCGATTTCAAATTTGAAGTCTGTCTCTCATCAAGTCCACTTAGCTTCTTCTACGCCCCACCCTTGTCCCTGTCTCCCTTGTCAGTGTCACCGATATCAGAGTGGGGTTCCGGGGAGGTTTGACACCTACAGGGGCCTCTGGAGCCCAATCAGGCGGGATGAGACGTCAATTGATTGATCAATCCATAACTTTGCCTCTTCCAGTGGTCCTGCTGGCATCTAGACTAAGGCTCGACAGAGTGTACTTCATAGGGCGCCACTCCATTGACCGTCCGAGCAAAGAGTTCATCCGATCCTTTCTGATGAACCTCGTCATGGTTCCCGGAACTTGAGAAGCAGGACCAGTCGCGGATGGGTACTCATTTGCCATCATTCCATGCAGCTGGACGGATGGATCCTGATGGTCATTTGTGATCACGTCGATACCTGTGTACACACTCAAACAAATAAACTCTCTGTTTCTGGGGGGTGACAAGCCTGCGGATTCCCGTCTGCCAGCCACCTTCCCAGTCTGGGCCACACCACCAAACCGCTGGTATCAAGCCACCCGTCCTGTGGTATGGCAGCACTGCAGGTTGAGGGCGGGATACTATACGCAAGCTGCTGCAGCCGCATCTGGTTTGATTGTCAACCTACCGGACGGAGCACACGGCGCAGAACAGCGCATGCACAACCTGAGGTGTTGTGGTACGAGGGTCGTTGGCCGACCGCTCAATGGAAGAAGCAAGATTGTTTGGATTTGAACCCCTTCTTCCCAAAGCAGAATCTCATTGTCCATCTTCTGGTTTCCCGTGACACCATGCGTTGGTCCCTTAATAAATCTTCCCTCCCTGAGATCTGCTTGGGAGAAGCCCCTCGAACGAGGATCGCCGAGTTTTGGTTACTTACGGCATTCCACATGATATGGCACAGAAAGTCCTTGCTGAAAATGGAACTGAAATCTGGACCACTTCGTAGTGTAATACCACATCAAGATGAAGATTGGATGTAACCCGGATTAACATCCTCCAGGGATGCCGTCTTAATCCTACCTTCTCTCCACCTTAAAACCGTTGAAGCTCAGCGCATGCGGCGACGCGCATCACGAAACGCGATACTAGCCTCATCTAGGCAAGTTCAGTCCATATAGAAATTCCGATGAACCCTCGGCAACGTCGTGACCTTGGCCCGAGGGGCTTCCGTCTTAAACTACAATATCCACTTGAGCATCATCGTCATATATGATATATGATATTTGATGTTGGATACTTCACTCCTGCCTTTCTCATGTAGTGTCTAACTTTCTCCGGTCACCCGTCTAAAATTGGGAACGGTGTGCGCCAATCTTGTTGAGGAGGTCATCTCTCAGATAGCACAAGGAATATCCTACTATCCTACTTCGAAGGTGGCATCCGCAGACTGGTATACAATCACCAAGGCAATTTTATCAATATCAATAAACACAAGCTGTCTGGATGTCCAGGGTCGGTGGGATCTCCTGTCCCGTCCTCGGCACCACAATTTCGTCACATCCCTTCTCCAGATGCCATCCCGCAGCCATCATCAATCCCGGGACTGGAAATATTGAGGTCGACACCCCTCCTGAGACAGGCAGAAACCCGCTGGGGTATGCAAGGTGATGGAGGATTCGGACATTTTTTTTTTTCTCTTTCCCTTTATTATTTCTCTCTCTTCTTTTTTCCCACCTAGTCTCTGACATGCAAGTCCAATTTTGGAATGCTGTGTGCTATTTTGGGCAACGGCAAGTCCCACACAAGCTAAGTTCATATGCGGTTGGTGGTTGGTCCTGTTAACACAGATTAGGGCGCCAATGTGCGGTCAGGATAGTTCGTCCCTCTGCATGTGGTTCTGCATCTTATCTGCATTCTGACATGAGACGTATCACGTCCATCCAACTGACTCAGTTTTCTGTACGAAGCACGCAAGTAGTAAGAAAAACAACGAGGAAGAAACGACGACAAAAAAAAAAGGAGTGACATGGGTGCATGCATATCCACTCGAGAAATGCTCTTTCCTAGTCGAGAGCCCCTGCTATCACCACCTGATTCTTCATCTTGCGTCCATCCCCCTTCACTGATAGCTACCAAGGCTTCACCCTATAAAAGAATATCACCTAAACTGTCTCAAACCGTCCTGATCTGTCATCCGCCAGTCATTTTCAAGTTTTTTTTTTTTTTTTTTTTTTTTTTTTTTTTTATTCTAGCACAACGCCTGAAAAGCGGCTTGGTTGAAGGGCGTCATACATCGTACATCTTGCCCCTTCATCAAGCACCCCGCAAACACAAACACGGCAGAGGCAGATCCAAGTCTCAGCCGGCTTATTTCGTACTGTCATTTTGTACTTTGTCCAACTGTAGTATTTTTGCCCGGACCCTACGTTTAATTTTGGTAATCCGTGTTAATTGTGAGTATATAGTGAGTGTAAAGCTGAAAGAAGGATGATATCTCGTGGCCGTAGCTACTAATTGCGTTTCGTCTCTGACCGCCCTCAAGCGATGCATTTTGTTGTATCGATCCAACCGACTTTACCGAGCAGGCAGGTAGTACCAGGCCCAAATTGTCTTGTGACTTCAACGTACAATTGATCAATCGGTCTGTTTAGCACAATTGCAACTCCTTCCACTCAGTAATGTCCCTGGTACTCTTAACAGTTCAGCCCCCTCCTTCGCCTTCTGCTGACGAGTGCGCAGTTTGCCTCGTGGAAGGAGCTGGTAAATTTATGAAGTAATATTGGCTGCAGGCTGCATGGAATATCACATCAATCATCAATAGTAGGAGCATTATTGATAAGCCGTGACCCTCGAAAGACGTTGCTCCATTGTAGACCTCTAGTAGTGACTGCGTCTTCTAACATCGCGGGTCGAATCTGTCGGGTTTTACGAATTTCAATATGGCTTCGCCCTCAGTAGGCCGGCCTACGAAGTCAATCAGCAAGGATGGGATCCCAACTTGAGCTAGCTGCGACGGCAGTTCGAACTTGATCCCTGGTTTGCGAAGAATGGTTCAAGATCTTCAAGGGAAGCAACGCCGGGCAGCGGCAGCCTGGCACCAGGTAATATCAAATTCGCCGGTATGGGTCACTGGACGAGGTATGTGCTCTTCGTTATGAATTGGGCACTTTGTACTCCGTACGGACAGGTTTGACAGATGTACCCTACACTGCAAGAAATCTGTCCTCCGAGTCCGTAACGAGAACAAAGAACTGGAAGCAGTCCTGATTTGGATTGGTGGGTATGCGAGCCGTCAAGGACTTGGAGAAAATAGGATCAATTGACACTGAAAGGGGAAATGTGGAGTGTGAGGGGTGCCGGAAGTCCAGACCCATTTCATGCAAGTTGCAACTACGGAGTAATAACCCGCAGTCGCCACATCTGTCAAAGTGTATACGAACGAACGACAGGCGACTGGGTGGTCCTTGGCCTATGGGCGCCGATCTCGATGCCAGTACCATCTGCATCTTAAGCTGTCCCGTTATAATGAGGCAAAGAAAAATCTTCGCCAGACACGGCACGCGGCGGACACGAGACACGCTCACATGCCAGGAGCGGTCAACTTGGGACAGGTCCGAGAGTACTTGATGATCCAACCACGGGCAGGAAGACACGATCGCCCACGATAGCAATGCACCAACAGTGTGTCTCGTACCACAGATGGTCGTACTTGTGTTCTGTCTCGATCCACTTCGCACATCCGGGGCAACGTTTACACCACTTTCGTGACTGTGCTATAGCGAAGGCTCTTATGCAGACGCGGTGGTGATATGAATAGAACTTTGCAGATGATAGCGGGGTCATGTGCTCTGTATTAACTGTATGGGAGGTTTTTGTCTAGAGCATGATTGCATCTTAGGAAAATGGTCGCTATGCCTAGAGTAGTGCGTCGCTGCAACACGACGTCTGTTGAACCGCAAGGGTATGTTACTATCAAATAGGAGAGGACCAGCAAAGCACTTGAAGTGCGGAAGACCGGTACACAGGTACTCATACGAAGCCTGGCGTTCCGTCGGGATTAATGCTGGGCATAGCCTGGCTTTAGTGGATGCTTACGAAGTACAATTTCAGGCGTCGTACCCCGTACTTCGTACTCAGCGACATGAACTGTGTTCTGGTGGCTGCCACTGTCTCGGATCTCGACTGATAACAAGCAAGGATATCCATGTCTTTGGATTGTCTTGGATGCAGGATGCAGGTGGGGGCTCCTGCGTTGCAGCAAGCTTTGAATCCCCTTTGACTGCCGTTAGCGTGTAATGGGCCCGCGCGCTCAGCTTGTCACTACGGTACTTCGTCCCGGAGTGCCCTAAGACCAAGTTCAGTTGAATTCTCACCGCCCTACACTGGTACTGGTCATCAAAACTTGACCCTCCTCCTTCGTACATCAATCCGTTCGAGGAGATCTCAGACCTTCGAGAATTTTTCTCAGCGCTATGGGAGCCTCGCACAGATGCTGATCTGCATAACATTCGCACGATACAAATTCTCGCTCCGGAACACCCGGAGCGACCGATGGGTTCATGGGTCTCCAGAAGGGCTTTCACTTCTCGACTGACGAAGACGCGCATTCCCGTGTCCCCCCCAAAGAGGACGATGTAAACGCTCGCCCAGATTGTTGCCCCCCTTCCCCATGTTGCGTTACATTCCGTGAACCGATTCATTCGCCATCACGGCTTTGACCGGTACCAAGGGGGAAGTGGAAGTCGAACATTGCCCAACTATGATCGACACCGACGCGGCCTGTTGTCGGAAAGGCGCCCACACGGTTTCTGGTTCTCACGAAAAATCATGCGTGGCTGAGAACTGGCTCTGGCTTTCCCCGTTTTCAAAGATTTCTCGGGGTTTCTATCCCGTGTCCAAGAAACCGGGTGCTTAGTGTAGTTTCCGCAGAGGAATGATTTGGATTTTCTCCTTTAGAGAAATCGCTGCTGCCTCTCCTTGCGGGACCTGGATTTTGTCTGTCCATCAGACTCGCTTACTGGGAAGAAGATTCTACGTATTTCCAGGTCGTCTCGGCACAGTTTCGTTTCTATGGACTGTGAATGGATCTTTTGCCGTCTTTTGCCACTCACCCAATACTCATTCTAATCGAAGAACCCTTTCCCAAATAATCCCTGACACTGGAAACGGCGCTTGTGCGCAGTCTTATAATGAGGCTCGAGTTACCGATGATACCTTTCTCGAATGTCGGCATAACAGGGCGAAACTCGGTATACTATTTTTGAAAATCGACATACTCTTCTGCGGTATCCAGCTCGGGAGTGGGAGGCTTTCACTACAGATCTGTAACGCAGAGTGCGAAGCCAACCTTCCTCAGAACGCCATCTATGATAGAGGCATATGCCTCCAGATGTCCGTGTGGGATTTTGTTACAAGTATCAGCCTTTAGATAATACCGTGGCTCTCATGCACTCCGCCGTTTACCTCAAACTTGCTTTACGCGTCAATATTGTTTGTAGCAGCCGAAGGATGCCAGCACAGCCCCATGGGTTCGGGATTGAGGGGCAACTCTACTCCATTCCCTTTCCGCTTTGCGCTTGTGTTCTCACTCCCTTGCCATTGTCGGAGTGCGAACTTCAGGTCTAAAGGGGGCTCAGTTTGTTCAAGGTCGTTGTTACACGCAAGAAGCTGGAATATTGGACATATTAGGCTAGAAAGGGTGACCTAGTTAATGTGTATATATGGTTGTTCCCGAGACATTTGCATTGCGACCATCTGTGTCTCCGTGGTGTTTTCCGACGCCTGGTCTACTCTAGGCCACCGTAGGTCTGTTCACAGATATACCGAGTAAAAAATCCACCTGGCTCAGGTTGGGGATGTGTCTAGACATAGGGACTAGGAGAAGGAAGGGAACCCACTAACCTGTGCGTATTGCTCAAGGCCGTCCCAGTCCCACGGGATACGAACCCGCCCCAAAGATGGAGAGCGAATTCCCACTGAAGCCGAGCAGACTCAAATATAAAAGATAGCATAGTGAGAACTCGATGAATGGCATTTCTCTGAGGTCTAATCTTCTCTAGGGGATTCGAAGAACAACACCCCCTTAGTTCACCGTAAACATACGGAAAATTTGAAAAATGCATCCATCGACGACTCACTACGAGGGTACTAGATTCTTCCATCTACCCTGGGCGGGAATGTGTTGGGACTAATTTTGAACCACGGACATAAAGATAAGAACAGAGACATGTCATTCATTCATTCATACAGTAAGCACCAGAGCCATTCCATCGACGCCAGTGAAGGGAAATATCGATCGTAAACACGTAAAAACCGAACCAAAAACTCCATCGCCGACCTCAAGCATACACCACATTATTCCGCTCCACTGCCCTCCTCCTCTTCCACGACTGCATAAAATATCCACCTCCTCGATGATCCATCAAGACCACTGTCAGCAAAGCCGTCCCGAGCAAGAATATGAATAGGCACAGCCATCTCGCTCCGATACCAAGGTCGCACGCCTCGCGCATCTTGCCACCAAGACCAGCATTGAAGTTGGGAAGACCTCTAACATTGCAGGCCCACATCTCGCGGGTGAATGTACCCAGGTCGTAGATGAAGCTGGCTGGGCTGCCTGCGGTGAGATCTGCACTGGCAGCTTTGGCAGTGTCTATGGCAAACTGTACATTGAACCCGGCAGATCTGGAGTTGAGGGTGAAGGCGTAGATGGTTGAAGCGAGGGCGAGGAGCACGTTCAAAACTAGAAAGCTAATGATCGAAACACGATGCCAGTAGGTAGTCTGATTCAATCAATATTAGTTAACCTCGCCTTTCCAAGGAACTTCTACATCCAAATCTATAGAGTACTGACCTTGATAGGGCCGTTTCGAGCCACATAGGCAACAAGTCCAAGGACGACTACGGACACCGTCAATGCAACCGCAGCAGACGTAATCGGGAGCTCGTCCTCGTTTGGAAATAGCGACTGAGGCCAGTTCGCCATAAACCCGTCCTCTTCGTCGTTTGTCCACCGAACAAACTTCGTTTCTGAGGTGTTCTTCTTCGGAGTCGCGGTCCTAAAGGCTATCTCGACGACAGACGCGCATAGAAGCGCTGATGGGATGAAATATAGGCTGAGCATCAACGAGGGCCGCGAAATCGGCGCCCAGATTGGCCTGTCATCCGGATCTTCGGAATCATGCTTGCGCTGGTTATAGCTACCCAGCTCCACGGACTCAACTCGTTCGGTCATCTTGCTCTTGTTCTTCGGCGTTCTGGAAGGTTGGAAATGGACATCTAACGCATGTTTGATAATGCTGTTCAATCGTAGATGACAAGCACTGAAGAGAGCAAAAAAAATTTTTTTTTCTTTTATTTAGAAAAAAATGAGCGTGGTCGGGAGTATCCCTCTTTTTGTTAGCCGCCGGAGGGGAGGGGTTGAGGTCGGCACAACTATCACAGTTGCAGTTTACGCGGTTTCATTCGCGGGGAAGCATGCTGCTGCAGGCGGTTGCATTGCCGGACAGGGTAACGGGCCAATCAACATCTTCGGGGCCGTCTCTCACTTCCCTTGTCAAAGCTCAGCAGTGGGATTTTGCAAGGTTAAGGCTGTTAGTCCGTCAAAGATGGTGCGTTTCATTCAAGGACTTAAGCGACGATTTTGAAGGCTTATTCGGAGTATTACAAGGGTACGATCTCCGGGGCATGCGTGCAATGGACAGGGGAAATGGGTTATGGGAAGTATTGGCGGTCAGTGAGTTCACGTTTGGATTGCGCGGCGATGGCCAGACCAGGAATACAGGCAGGGGTGAACCCAGTGTTGCTTGCATCGGGGGGTTGTCAAAAAGCCCTTCACGGCTTTCCCACTTGTGAATCTCACGGGGGGTGTGCTGGAGGAGGAGAAGACCTTTCCCATTCATCACGGGGATGAGCTTGTCACCCAGGACAGTGCTGTCAAGAGCCACTGGTGGATATTCAGACAGTATATCCAGTGTGTTCTTAAGTTGAGGTAACGCCCGCTGCAGTGTCGACGCCGCTGTCTGTAATCCACGCCCGTCAGTAATGGTCACCCGAAATATCCGGGCTGGCGGAGCGGTGCGTGAGTGTGGTCTTGCACCGAAAGCCTTCAGGAAGCCCCACTTTTCTTCGTCCCACTTCGCCGAAAACGCCGCCAACGGCCTCCGAACCTTAAGGAGGGGCCGGCCCCTCACGATGTGTTGAGTCGATTGATACCTTGGCCTGTGGCGTATTGGAACATACCATGAAATTCTATTTCATTTTCAAGTATGATACTCATGGTTGGGATGGCGTATAACTGGTATCTAGACAAAGCCCCTCCACCACCAAGAGGAGAAGTGTGTTGACGTTGGACTTATTGATATAAATGTGTGGCCAAGACCGAAAACTCGAGGCTTACTGCGGGATTTACGGAAGTTTTAGCCTCGCAATAGTGGAAGAGTAAGGCGAGCGGAGACGAAGGAGGCTGCTGCGCAGTCGCTGCAATCATAGCTTTGAACCACAGCGAGAAAAAGACGACCTTCCAGGACTACCTAATAAGTTATTAGAAGGCCATACAAAGGTCTCTCGTAACGGAGACCGGCATCCTGGCGGTAAGAGCTGATGCCCAACGACTTCGTACCAGTCGAGAGAATTAAGATTGAGTACGACACAGCTGGTCTTTACCCTTCCTTTTGTCGTAGAGGCAAGCTAGCTGGACTTTGTCAATGACGTAGGCGGGATTTGCCCCTACCGAATAACACCTACCATGAAGCCATCTGGTCTTGAAGTATGTAAGTGCCTCGGTTTGCTTTCTTCAGTGGTTTGGTTCCCGCGAACACAGCCCATCCTCGTCGGGCAATTCGATACCGAACTTGCAGTCTGTCGACGTGGTGAAGGTATGGATTGCCAATGGTATCTTGTTTCTAGCCAGACTAATTGACCATTCACGTAGCCGAATCGCAAGGTGAGCCCTAGGTGAACTCGTCAAATGACCGGACCCTGCCAGGGGAGAGTTGAGCGAGCAAGGATGAAAGCACTCGTGACTCGAAAGAGGCATGTCGAAAAGGCGACCGCTCGGAGGCTCCGGCTGTTCTTTGTCGCCATGATGCTGCCGACAGAGATGATGAAAATTTTTGCTTCATCACGCAGAGCCGCGCAGACCTCATCGACCCTGGCCTGGCTGTGTCAAGTCATTGGGTCACCTGGCATTCCAGAGGTGCAGGATGAATCACTTCATTGGCGGCGATTTCAGAGCTTCGCGTGCTGGCTGTCCAAAATGACAACGTATTGATCTGTACAAGGTTTCCATGCCCGTGATTCTGGACCAATAATGGGGGATCGGACGGGTATGCCGCTGACATTTTTTCTCGCTCAGGCTACACGTGGGAGGGTCATGGTTGCAATGTGGGTTGCTCAAGCCCAAGGGGTGACAGGGTCGAGCTGTGGAAACGCAATGCACACCACGCAACATCAATGCCTTGCCAACTAACACGCTACTAAATTAGCATGGAGGTGGTATGACCCTCTTCCCCGCACATCGAGGAGTGGAACTTTGATGGTTCAGTGCGCTTCGCCAACTAAACTTACCAGGTACGAAGTACAAGGCTCTAGCCCATCTTCCTGGGCAGTTACAGAAAAATTTTTCCCCCGTTCACCCACGCAGAGAAGAGGCAATGGCGAACTCAGATGTTGAATGATCCGCTGTGCGTTGTAATTGCCGACGCTGACCGCAAGTACGAAGTACACCACTCATGGTCTGAATACCTGTGGATGAAGTACGAAGTTGTCAGGAAGTCCACTCCGTCCTACCAAAATTCGAAGACCATGCAAGTTGCGTCCACTCACTAAGTAGTTTAGCTCATGCTCCATTGTCAGCTAACGACCAAGTAAGAATCAATACGTGCGAGCTGCGTAGGCCTTGCTCCCACCTCGAGCCGAGCTCATGTTTTCACGAGTACAAAAAGAAAAAAAAAAAAATTTTTTTCTCCTCCTTTTCAGCTCAGAAAAATCCAGGGGTTCACGACGGTACGGTCTAGCTGTAACTAGTTGCCCAACTACATCCAGGGAGCAAGCTCAAGCTCCAACGTAGAGGGAGAAAAGCGAGCTGGGAGAGATCCATTCTGGTAGGATGAGCTCGATCAGCTCTCCAACCTGGAAACGGGCCGGAAGCCGTCGATGGAAGTTAGAGAGGTCAGTGTTGGCAAGGGCCAGGGCTAAGATTGACAGCCCTGTGTCAAGGAAGAGAGAAACATTGGCTTGTCCTTCTCTCAGGAACTCGGTTTCGTGCAATGGTGCAATTTCTTCTGAAGAGATCGTCAGCCCTACAAGTACGCAGTTCCTGGGCCAGGTCCCTCGAACAGGCGGTGCTGATCCCAGCTCCACCACTTGAGGCACGGGGGTGCCTGGCCTGGCCGCTTGGCAAATCGATGAGGGTTCAAACTCCAAACCTCAGTCTGATCCATTGTGATCGCTGTTGTGTTCTCAATTTTCTCCGGTCTGAACTGCATGACAAGTACGTCAATAGTGTCCTGTACTTCGTCCGTGCAGTTATAGCGTAAAACCACGAGGTATTGTGCTGTGCCTGGCTGTCTAATTCTCGCTCCAGCAAACCCTCAAGCTCACTATAATTAGCAAGTTTACACACTACTTCAGACTTGTTGTAACAACTGCGGGGTTAATTACGTTTCCTTTTGTCAATACCAAAACTCACGAAAAACAGGGGCACAGAAACAGACTCCTTGGCACCCTTGGTAACAAGCCCCGAACAATACCTCGTGTTGCCTGGCATCCAACACCGGGGAAAAAGTAGTTGTGGATTTTCTGGAACTTGGAAGAGGTCACATTGCCCCATTGCGGAAATGCAAAAATGCAAGTGCGCCCCAAACAGCGAAAAAAAAAGCACCACGAGGTCCCAAGACGCCCCAGTTTCCCCGCCTTGGTTGGAAGTAAGGCCCTTTTAGCGACAGATCCAAGTCTCCGCTCTCCGAATTCGTGCTTGCGTGCTGGTGTGAACAATTGGGCGAGGGGAAAAATTGGGTGACCGTGTGATCCCAAACTAGGGGGGATGTGTCCGTTTCTGGGAAAATTGACGATTTACGAGGAATGGAGTCACGGTTCAAGGAGTAGGAAGGAGACTTTCCGGCTTCGTGCTCTTCAGTCCTGTTGTGTCGTGAATGTAAATTTTATAAAATTGATCGTTCCCGGGCCCACAAATCTCCCAGTTCCCTTCTCTTTCCATCATCAAGAAAACACCAAGCATTCACTGAGCGAGCATTCAGTCATTCGGTTGAGGAATCCGTTGAGGAAATCAAGCCATCAACAAGACAGCATAAGCTTCCACATCATTTTCGGTCTCCCTTCTTCATACCTGCATACGAGCGGTGGACTGTTACATAGTTCCTCTTCTTATCAACAACATCACAAACCATCCATCCCACGCATCTTCCACATCCATATACACAATGACTGCCTCCTACGGCCGTGGCGGCGCGGGCAACATCTCCAATGCCTCTTACCCCCCACTCTCCTACAAGGACCTCCAAACTCCCACTCTCAAAACCTCCGTCTTCACCACCGGACGTGGTGGTTCCGGAAACATGGCCGCGAACAACGACCCCAAGGAAGCTCGCCTTCGCCAGGATGTTGAACCGTGAGTACAACCCTTGTTGGTTTTGGTGACCTACTACCAGTCTGCAAGAGTCCGGACCATTTCGCATCATCTGAAGTAAACCGAGAGCTAACAACCTTGGATAGAGTCGTCCGCCGAGCAAGCTCCGGTGCCCAATACTCTGGCCGTGGTGGTGCCGGTAACATCTTCCACGCCGATGAGCTCACTTTGAGCAAGTCCCACGAGTGCGCCGTCGATGATGGCTCCTCCGCCAAGAGCATCGACCTCTCCTTCGCCAACAAGGGCATGCAGTGGCTCCGCAGCAGGAAGTAGATCCTACCATTGGATCCTTTGCCTTGTGGCCCCCGCATTTATACTACCATCTCTCTAATCGCGACGACTTCGACTTATCTTGGCTACCGGCATGGGCGTTCTTGGACTACACCTTTCACTTTTTCTGTCGCGGCACACATGCAACCCCTGTATGATGTTGGCGTTTTTTACTTTTTTGGAGGGGGAACTCTCCTTTCTGCTCTGGGAATGATTCGGATGAAAGTTTTATTGGTTTGAAAAGCGAAATACGATACCATGGGGACTTGTCACGATTTTGGGGGAAAAGTTTTAAGCCTGTCTTGCTATTTCTTGTTTTATTTCCGTATTTCCATATTTCCTTGTGTCCTTTGTTGTTCTATCAGCTAGCGCTAGTCTTCATCCCAAGCGACGTATGAACGCTCTTTTTATGGATCAAATGCTTTTAAAACTGTACTCTTTTAACCTTAAAAGCTTCCTATAGTTGATTTCATACATGTACTTTTTCCGAAATTCTAATGCAATAACTTGGAGGGGAGTTTTCCTGATTCAATGACAAATGGATAGCAAGTAAAATCCTAAAGAAATGATTCTTAGGGGGCGGTCAACCTGTGGATCTCCTGGAAGAAGAACTTCAAGTCTTCAGGGTTCACACCGGGAGTAATGCCTAGGCAATGTCAGCAACGCTTCCATCTTCCTCTACTCGAAAGACCGAATTGCTCATAAACATACCGTGACCTAGATTTGCAATCCAGCCCTTCTTGCCACCACCGAATCCGTCCACCATGTCCTTGACGGTTTTGGTAATGAGCTCCTTCGTGCCATACAAGATACCAGGATCGGCATTGCCCTGGAAGACAACTGGCCGGTTACCCCGGATCTGGACTGCCTCTCGTGGGTCTCGCAGCCAGTCCAGGCCGACGACATTATAGCCGAGATCACACAACGAATCAAGGGCGAACCAAGCTCCCTTGGCGAAGACAGTCATGGGAACCGGCTCGAGCCCGAGCTCCTTCAGCCTAGGAGGAAGGTGCTCCGAGATGTATCGCAAATAGGGCTCGGAGAATTCCTTGAACGAGGCCGGGGAATGCTCACCCGCCCACGAGTCGAACACCATTACAAGCTGAAGAGTAGCGGCTGTATGTTAGCGGGGATATACTAGGGAGGATTTCTTATTGAGACGGACCTGGGCACCAGCCTTGACCTGCAGGGCAAGGTACTCGACACAGATTTCGGAAATCTTCTGCAGCACCTTCTTCGACTCTTCGGGGTATCGATAGATCCAACGCTTTGACTCGGCGAATAGCTTCGTGCCGCCGCCCTCAACCATGTAGCAGAACAGCGTCCAGGGAGCGCCGCAGAATCCGATAAGCGGCACTCGTCCGGCAAGCTTCTTCCTCGTCAGGGTTATGGCTTTGTAGACGTAATCCAACTCGCTCGCGACGTCAACCTTCTTCTCGAGGAGCTGAGCGTACTGGGGGTCCTCGGGCGACTTGAGAGGATGGGGAAAATGAGGACCCTTCTTTTCTAGCATCTCCACGACCATTCCCATGGCCTGCGGGATGACGAGGATATCGGAGAAGATGATGGCGGCGTCTATTAGACCGGCATACCGTTCTACGGGCTGCAGGGTAAGCGTCGAGGCGACCTCGGGGTCCCGGCAGCAGTCGAAGAAGTCACGGTTGCCCTTGGCCTCGTGATATTCGGGGAGGTATCTACCGGCTATGAAATGGCCACAGAGCTTTAGCAGTGCGTCGCAATTGAGGGTGAAATATAGGAAGCTCGCGTGTGCATGTACCCTGTCGCATCACCCACATGGGAGGGCGCTCCACCTCCTCGCCTAGAGAATGTTAGTACTTGTGAATTTCGGCCAATTGATCAAGCAGTGGCCCATATATCTTACCCCAAGCGGCGCGAATGAGCAAGTCATTCTTCAATGGTTCGAATGAGTGTTCCATTTTCGGGTCTATGTACCAGGAAAGCTTGGTGAAATCGACTTTTCTATCTCAGTTTTTCGGACCCCGCCATCAAGATATGACCTGAGCTGTGAAGCTTTAGCACCTCGGCCCCTCATTTACTGGGAACGGCAAAGAAGTTTGCATTTGAATATAGGTACCCTTGCTTGCCCCGCGATTCTTATGTCAGATTATGTATCTCCAAGCTTGGACAATTTTAACAACTTGGATGGGTTCTCTTTGTCAGCTTTCTTCGGGTGTGCGTGCTGAATAGCTTTTCCGGAGATCACCCAGAGCTTCCCTCAATTCATTAAAATTTGGGAGGACAATTGTCGCGCAAAAGCCCAAACAACTAGCCTTCGGAAGTCATTACGAGCCCTTATAGTCCCGAAAGACCCAGCCGATAACCGATGAATTCGATGCAATAAATGGGCTAGCAGCAGCTGGAGCTGGATGAATTGACGATCATCAGCGGCACTAGCCCAGCCTGTCAAGCTACGAACCTCAATGTCTGTCCGATCCCTCCAGACACCAGGCTGTAGCCAAGCTGTCCGCCGACAGATCCTCGCGACCTCGGAAGGACTATGGGTCTCCGATAGCAGCCTTTCCCGTGCATTCGAACGATATTGCGCCGTATCCCCCGCAGCTCGACGCCATGTCTCCTTTGTCCCGGGTCCCCTGGAGAGCCGCCGACGCCTAGGCCGTAGACACATGGCTGAACTCTATTCGTTTCAATCGCATGCCTCGTTGCCACCGTGGGCTCTAAACGTACCTACGGACCTCGGCAGGTGGAATTGGCAGGCCCCTACATCACCAGAAGACCGTCTCGTGGATGCCGACCAGCAGGAGCCGAGACAAACGTTTGCTTCATGGACACAACTTTTCGGTAGCCCCTCTACGAGCAGTGCTTCGGTGTCGGAGTGGTCGGGATTATGGAGCACAGAGGCTGGGCCGGAAAGAGATGACCCATTTCTTAGCGATATGGACCTTTTGGTTTCCAAGATACGAACCGAACACTCGGGCACCCTGCCGGCACAACTAGCGTCCTTTCTAGAACGAACGAAACGTGACGCAGCTGACGGCTCCCTGACAACACATCATCTCTACCAAGTTTTGAATACGATCCCAGGACAACTGTTTCAATACGGCCACCCAGAGTCCTCGATTAGCAGCGTCTATGAGGCATTGTGTTGCACCATTGGCTCATCCGAGGCTCTTCGTGCGGATAGATTCGAGCCCCGTTTCTGGAACTCTCTCCTGGCCGAGATATCTCTTCTCAACGGAAGACAGGATGCTTGTAAATTGTTCAAGCAAGTGATGTTGCTCGTCCCGAAGGCCCATCTCGAGCAGCTCCGGGATTCAGTGAGCATAGTCTTTGCGTCGCTCTTCCAGGCATCAGCCGGTTTAGTGGGAAGTACACAGAGTCCAAGGAATGAACTCCCTTTCCAACAGCAGGCAACAGACATTTCGCGCGCCCTGAGCCGGTTCTCCCTTGCCCAATGCAATAATGTGTATACGGACATAGTTGATGCAAGCATCGGGTCTCTCACCTCCCCCGATTCGCGCCCTCTACGTGTCTTCTGGCTATCGGTTCTCGCTAGAACCCCGTCTGTGCCTGATTCTTTCCTCTTCGAATCCATGGAGAAACTATTCGGCAACTGCGGCGAGGCGGATTCTCTCTCCGATTCCGAAATCTGCAAGCTGTTGACCCTTCAATGGGCCTGCCGCGGATATTTCACGAAATCGAAGGGCCTTTCAGCCAAGATCAGGCTCGGTGCAACAGCGACCAAGGAGGAGCTAGTTCTCGCGCAGTTCGCTCGAGCGATATGCAAAAGATTGCCGAAGGAGAGCCAAACACCAGCCCTGGCGAGTCTATGCCAATGCCTACGAACCATGGGGCGTCTGCATGGCTTGGGAAATTCTTTCGAAAGCCTCTGCCAGGAGTCAGAGAAATTAGGCGGCCGAGCGCTGGCCAGCGTCGCCGCTGCGTGCCATGATGTCTCCTTGGCACTGAGACTCCACGAAATGACAACGACATATGCGGAAAAGTTCCGCGACGAAACCCAGATCAGGACGAAGAAAAGGACCGACGAATGGGATTGGAGGTTATGGCTCCCATATCTCGAAGAGCTAGTCGCAGACCCGTCTATTGACGCAAGAAAGTTGAGGGCCTTGCTCGAGGTAAAGCGGAATTGGGTTCCGCCCTCTCATCCTACCCGCACCGCTACGGACAACAATCAAGGCCAAAACACGTCTTCACGATTAGGGTTACTGTCAAATTCGACAGTGTACCTCCTCGAGAAATCAGCAGAGAGGATTGCGACTTGCTTGACGGAAAGCGCACCCGGGCGGCTGGACAGAACTGCCCTACACTTGGTGGAGACGCGAATTCGATACTTGAAGAATCACGGGGCGCAGCTGGGACCGAGAGTTCTACGAACCCTCGCCTATCTACTCACTCGCGACCTTGCCAACGGAGAACCGGGTAGGAATTCTCGCGTTCGGTGGCTTTTGCAATTGATTGCGAGCTATGAAGGCCCTGAGGCTGCTGTTGCCGCGGAATCAATGTTGGGCAGATGGCGGATGCATAATCGGAGGGCTTGGCTTGTTCGGCGCCGAGAGGAGACCCGACAGACTCCTGGGTAAATCTATCTCAACCGGGGTCTCCAAGTGTACAAATTATCAGGCATCCAATTATATATAGTACTTCAAATAGTTGTAGATCAATGTATATTTCAAAGTTGCGGAAGACACGTTTGGTATTTTTGTCATAATCTAGAAGACACCTTTGTGATTTGCATTATACACTTGGTGTTGTAGGTGCAGTTCTGCCTGCAGAGAGACGCGACATGAGTCGGACCATGTCGAAGCACGGCAAAGTGGAATTATTGATGTGTAATTTTCTGTCTTTAGCGATGCCGAACTCTCGGTGCCTTCTTACTTCGCAAGATCAATCAGGGTCGCAACAGGGAATGGAGGGAAAGAGGAAATTTGGATTTCTCCACGTCCAACGACATTTGTCATTTCCTTGCAACGACAACGAGCCAACGGGCGGGGTGTTATAGGGTCGTTTGTATGATATAGGTACCGTACCTCGAGCCAGCTCTTGTTGAAGATCTCGCGGCCAAGATTAGATCAAGGGTGTTGACAGTTCCTCAGTCTCCAGCAGGGACGGGCTATTATTTGGATTTATCATTGCTCGTTCTAGAGATACGAAAACAAAGGAACCAAACTCAAATTTGGGAAATTAGATTTATTGACGATACCACGCGTGGCTTCCAAATCCTTCGATATCGTATGTGTTAATGGCTCACGGTACCGAGGCAAGCAACGGAACCACGAGGGAGAATAGGCGAATGCAGTTTAATAAAAGAAACAATTTGATATTTCTCGAGGTGTCCAAGAGGTTGAGGCACCACCCACTCTCGCGGAATTAAGTAAACCGGCGGCGCATGATGATTGCGAAAGAAGCAGTCGAGAAGGTGCATGTGCATTTGACTGCTCCAATCGTGGTTGACACCATCTTCAAAAATCCTCGCGCGGCCAGAAGCGCGGTTGGAATCTAATTGATTAATCCGATTTGATCCTGAAATGGAAGAGCGCCCGCAACAGGGTTCCTTGGGGGAGGAGGATGTTCAATCCCACTCCTCCCAATTTGTGCTACTGGGCGGGAGTTGCAGCTGGATGTTCACTGCCGCCTATGGGCTCGTACATCAGCCCTACCCTGCCTGTGCCGCCGGGTTGTGATGAGAAAGCGCCTTTGCAGGAAACTTCCAACATGCCTTGATACCCCTGCTCCCTGTTCCCTGCAACTGTGCTCCTGTCTGTCCTGACATCATATGCGTCATCCTAATAACAGTCGAGGGAATCAGATGACGACCGTACTTAGTACACACGGGCTCACCGGATGGTGAAGCCATTTTGTTCCAGGCGACCATACAAGGACACATCAAATGTACGAAGTAGATGTATCGTACCCTATCAATTGGGATTTACACTAGTATGCCGCCAAGAGAGAGCACAAGCCACGGTCGTATCTGGGCCCATACGAGGTACCCTTTGCTCCCTTACTTTGTGCATTCTTCAAGCGGCACGTTTCAATTGGGTCCAGGAACGATAACACAACACCGGCCGGGGCCAGGCCCCACGGCCTGTCCAAAGTCTAAGCCAGGCAAGCGGGGGCGGGAACATGGCCAGCCTCGGTGGAAACTGCATTTCTTGCGTTCTGTCTGCCTTGTCTCTTGAAGGATTCGACGACAAAGTGCGAAGTCGCCTGACCGCAGTCGCTTGTGCCGAGTCGAATGAAGATTTCATTAAATCCAGCCAGGCGAGAGAGTCCTTGCAGATGCCGTGTCGGGTGCTCGTTATGAACTCGCAGAAGTGGGTTTGGAGGATTCAACACCACCTTGGCACACATACCAAACATCCCAAACCTGTACCAAGGGAGTGGTTTTAAGGTTCCACTCTTAGAGGCCATTGATCCTTGCTGATCAGTTGTACATAGCGCAGTGAATGGAGTAATTTTAAGCGCCCGTGTGCATCACTGCATAAGTAGTGTCCCTCTCTGGGGTCGAAGATGGCTTCTCTGTCACCTCATTTGTTATACATGCAGGATGGTAAGCGAGGTTAGTTCGGGACTGGCGGGTAATATCCTAGGTCTCCTCTCGTGAGACTTGTGAGAAAGGGAAAAAAAAAGTATGTGTTCAAGAGGGTTGTATTTTTGAAATTCTTGGCTTGCAAATATCCAGTCAAGTTAGCGCAGAGGGTAAGTTGTTGTTGTCCCAGTAAGACAAATACTTCCGGCAAGCAATTGAAACTCTCGTCTCAACGACGAAGGCCGGCATCTTACGATGTTCTCTTGTTTCTAGATCGCTGGATCGACATGCATTGATCCTGGGGGCATATCGGTGTTGCCCAAAATCCTACGACATTAGAGGACATGGGAGAACCATCGAGACGCCACGGGAAGGAATGGAAGCTATTCTCGATGTCCACGTGTGGTCTTCTCGACCATCAGCCTGGAAGGGCTATACAAAATCTTCAGAGTATGACAAGGATTAAATTGAAACGTACCGAGTATTTACCCAAAGGTCAATGCATATTCTCAATATGTTCTAGTTCGAAGAAGGGTTATTCTGGACGAAGTCCTTTTTGTTCCAGTAATATCACGATCTCTTCTGTGACCGCGGTCTGGTTCCTACCGTGCGATGTAGTAGCCAGGCAGTAGGGGTTTCCAAGAGCAATCCAAAGCGTTGCAGCTGCCTGATCCTGCTGGAAGCTGTATTCCGCACTTCGCAGGGAAAATACTACGAAGTACAATACGGTTTTCGGAGGCTATAGTGCTGCTCAATATACTTCGTAGTGGAATGGACATACCTCAGTACGCATTTTGACATCTGCAATCATTCGGGGTAAAATCTTAACGCCCCACTTATGAATCCTCCAAGTTCATGTATCGATATGACGGAGGGCGCAGATCAAAAAGACTCTTCATAACTGCAGGGGTTTGTGCGGTAATGACCTGGGTGATTTGACATTGTGACAGAGGATCGCCCACCTCAACTTGGGGTGTAAGTGCCTGGCTATGACAAAAAGCGAGTGCTCAGATTAGAGTTCGGAAGTTTGGAACCAGAACAACGGCGATAATACATCAGACCAATAATTAATTTGATACCTCATACCTCTGTAGATTCCAGAGGCCTGGAGAGTTACAAACCTCATCAAGAGATGGGGAAAGGGAGGGGGGTTAAGATGACAAGGGCTCACAAAGTACCATAACAGGGGCTGTTTTACGAGTTTCTACTTGTACTTGTCCTAACACCGAGTGCTATTAGTCCCCATCTCCAACCACTCAATGAGGCCGCACTAGCTGCAGACCGAGTCTTTCCCCAGATCCATATGATACGAAGTAGTTTATCTTTGTCGACGGTAGGATCATTTAACTTCCCATCCATCGTGAAGACCTTCCTTCGGTATACTCTGCCACCTTGAGAGCCCCTGGAAGGATGAAACCTAGCGTGGCGCGCTTTTTGGATGGAGATCTAGGAGTGAGGCTTGGTGAGGCCCGCGGTGGATACTGATACTGGGATTGCAGCTAGTTCTCGCGATACCTCAGCTGTGAGGGGTTAGCCGTCGGGTATTGGTAGCGCTAAGAGATGGATTGGGCCAAAACATCGACGTATCGTGCACTAGCTAGACTACTCTTCTGGGGCAATTGCCCCGTGAGCATCGCCTTGAGGCAGGGTACCACACCCTCATCCTCGCACCGGTTGAGTCTGTCTCATGCTCTCTCTCTCTCTCGAAGATCCGGCACTGTCTTCCCAGACGTTACCAAGACGGGCTCTAATGAATGGGGCGGGACTCTAGCTCCCTTGGAAGGATCAGTATCTGGATCCCTCAATCGACCATTGAGCTTGGTTCTCACCTTAAAAAGCTCCCAATTATAGAAATAGTCGTTACACCTCTTTCGGGCCTTATATGTGTCCATTGACCATCTGCCGTATAAAGGATTGATGGCTGTCCACTTCCGGCGCATACGGGACCGAGCCGGGCAAGAGCAACGGCATGAGCCGCCGATTATCCACATCCATGATACTTGACAAATCCCACCTAACGTGGACGATGATGACAATTTTGGTTTGACCATCGTCTGAATGTCAACTCATTAAATTGCCATTTAAAGACCCATCCTACTCCCTGCTCTGTCTTGTCTTGATGCCGCTTGTCGCTTGTCGTCTCTCTTTCTCTTTACTATTTCCTCGATCCGTCATCTACATCCATCACTGACATCAAATTCTTCACACTCGCAGTTCAAGTCCAGCCCTCCTTCCTTGCCACAGTCCCCGGGTGCCTCCTTCCGCTTCGTCCCTCGTCCCTTATCCAGCGCTCCTTCTCATTCTTTGCTCTGCATTCTAAAGCATAGTGAGGGAAGTGCCTTCCTTCGTTTCCTTCGTGTAGGAAGGTGCCTGACCTTGTGTGTGTCGTCATTGTCTCGTGTCTCAATCTTTGGGAAAGTACGACTCGATTCTGGCTTGTGAAGAAGAATATCCGGCTTGCGGCTTGGTGTCTTGGTCCTGCTCTCTTCTCTCCACTTCATATCTCCACCCTCTTCCCTCCCATAGATCAATACTTTTCACTCTAGCCGCATTTTCGTCACTGGTGCATTGCTCATCTTTCCGCCTTCGCAAGTTCATAACACCAACAAGACTGCCACTAGGTTCCTTCCTGGTGGGGCTGTGTCTCCTTCGGCAGCCCTACTGCAGTGGACGCCTGCGCGAGGACCGCGCTACCAATAAGCGCATCCACCCTTCCCATATTTCCTTATTTCCTAGTAATCCAACACGTTACAGGTCCAGTTCCATTACCGCCTTGACGAGCTGGGCTCGTGAGTGGTGGTTCTGTGCTGTACTTGTGCTGCTGGTGTTGCTGCTGGAGGGGCAAAAGGTCCGAGTCCCTACAACAGTCCTTACGTCCGTAAGGGACTATTTCACGCACCCCCTGTTTTTTTCTGCCGCTGCTGGTGTTTTTGATGAGGGACTGGGGTACTTGAGTACCTAACCAACTTGGACATTCGCGCCGGGCACTGTTCCGGGTCAAGTCGGCCAAAAATATCAGAGCAGAGGGGGATTTAAAGGGAGTGTTGGTTGGCTTTAAGAGGTCTGGAGGACGAAAGTCGGAGGACGAAAGTCGAAGACCTCTACCAAATTTGTTGAAAAGTCTTCTTTTTAACCTATTTTGTCCCTTATTTTTGTCATTCCCAATGGCCAGTCGCAGCTATCGGGATGAATCCGGGTCATCTCGATCCGTGTCTGCCGGTCGTGGGCACGGAAGTCCTCCGAGATCTGACGGTCATGGCGCTGGGTCCGCTTTCCAGGAACCGGCACCGGGGGCCGCGGCCGCCGGGTGTGTTTCCCCGTCACCTTCACCTTATCCATCCCATTCCGCAGGGTCAAACTCACTTGGCAACAAACCAATTCGCCGCCGCATGCGCATGATAACGTCATGTCTCGAGTGCCGACGTCGGAAACTAAAGTGTAACAAGAAGTCCCCCTGCGAGAACTGCGTCAAGTTCTCACGAGAGTGCGTTTTCCTCTCTTCGAAACTCGACGAGGCTAGCCAAATGCGCTTGACAGAGATCAAAGAAAAGGTCGGGTCGTTAGAGCGCGCCTTAGAAAGGGACATCGCCAAACCAAGTTCATCGTCGCGAGCCTCGGGCCAACAAGGCTTCATCGTGGATGATATCGACTATGAACTCGCCGACGAGTTGGACCCTTGGCCGTCTTCCTATGTTAGTGTGGATACGGCGTACGGTGACGATACCTCCGAAGGTATCGAGGATGTGCTCGACCTAGGTATTCAAGTGGGGAGGATGCGAATAACAGATCGAATCGGTGGGCTCTCCAGACCTCAGCTCAGCGAGGAAGTAAGTAACACCTACTCGCTTTCCCCTCCACTTTTGACCGCAGGCTTTGCAACCGAGGTACGGATCGGCGTACTCGTTTCCGTCAACGGGAATAGGAATGGGAGTAACGAAAGTGGACCTTTGTTAACCCCTAAGCAGATATTGTCATCTATAGGTCCTCGGATGCCCCCCGGGCACACCGTCGACCCGGCCGCAACAACGGCAAACCCGCAGAGCTGGACAACCACATCGTCGCCTGACGGATCGGTTCCCGACTTTATGCAACCCGGACCAACTTATATCCAACCGTCCACCGGACTCATATTCGGCCATTCTCCACACAACCCGTCCCCCCAGCTGGATCTGTTGCTCCCACCAAGAGCCACCTGTGACCAGTTGATGGACCAATATTTCCGAGCCGTTCACCCGGTCGCGAGATGCGTTCACAAGCCATCCTTTCGCGAAGATTACCTGTCCTTCTGGGACGAGGTGTGCTCCAACGTTGAGCCGAGGGCGTCTACCCAGGCACTTATGTTTGCTGTCATGTTCAGCGCTGCCGCTAGTTTGGACGAGGAGGATGCTATTCAACGATTCGGCCTAGACCGCCAGGTGCTAGTAAACAACCTCAAACTTGCGGCTGAGACGGCGCTGTGCAAAGCTTCATTTCTCCGAACAACCAGAACAGAAACAGTTCAGGCCCTAATTATCTATCTGGTGAGATGAACCGACTCATATCTTGGATACCTACTAAAAGAAGAACGAACTTGCTGACGAACCATCGTCATTAGATTCCGCTTTGCAGAGCGGAGATCTCGAGAGCCCATTCTGTCTTGGTTGGCGCTTCGATCAGGCTAGCTGAATGCATTGGGCTGCACCGGGACGGTGAAAGCTTCGGCCTTAATCCTGTAGACACCTACGTTCGACGGCTTCTGTGGCACCAGCTATGCTTCCTCGATATCCGAACAGCAGAAGCCCACGGTCCTCGGCCGTTCATCCGGCGAGAGGAGTATGATACAAAGCTGCCCGTGAACTGCGGCGAGGAGGCCATCCAGGCTGCCGGTCCGCCGCCAACCGCCGAAGAGCGGTGGACGCCAATGCTTCTGCCTCTCATTCGTTTCGAGATCAACGAAATGATGCGGGTCATTTGGCAGGACCGGCGTAAACTCGAAAACAAAAAGATGCTTCTAACGGAATTGCTATCGAAAACTGAAAATTTTCGGAGACGAATGCTGGTAAAGTATGAAGGCATGCTGAGTGACGATGATCCGATTCAACGATATACCAAGTTGGTTATGCATATGCTGCTTTATCGGTTGTATGCGATGGTCTTGAACGGGTACTATCGCAGCGCGGAGTCACAGCTGCCACAGCAACTCAATAATGTCCTGATTATGGCAGGCATCATGATTATTGAAATAGCCATCCAGCTCGAGAACGACAGAGTATTTGGGGAGTGGGTGTGGTATTTTGGGGCATACGCGCAATATCAAATTGCTCTCTTGCTCGCCACCGAGGCATTCCACCAGCCTCATCGCCGGGAGTCTGGAAGGATATGGGCATGTCTCGACTACGTCTTCAATCTTGACCGCAACATGCCCCGAGAAGTGAAAGCGCTACACATATTAAGCGAAGTTCAGTCGAAGACCGCCGTCTACCAGAGTATCCGGAATCTCAGGGTGTATCCGAGAGCTCGGTCAGCTTCGGCGCCAGATATTGAGCAAAGTCACGACCGAGATAGTGCGAGTCCTGAGATGCGCTCTGCACCTAGTCTTGAACAAACGCAGCAACAACAGCGACGAATTCGGCAGCCGTCACAGCAACACCTGCACCCCTACTACCAATCCTCTGCCTCAACCTCGCCACGGCAGGAAGCTGCGCTTTTGGCAGGATCTTATAGTGTCGGTCAACCCTCAAGTCGCACCTCTAGCGACGCCGGTGGCGAAGGCGGCACGGCGCGCCTAGCCCCTGGCACTGGCGGAGCGCTTCCAGTATATGGAAGCAGTGCAGAAATTCGACCCAATGTAGTTAACCAATTGGAAGGTATCGACTGGGAAGCTATCAGTTCGATTTTCCCAGCGGATCCCACCACCGGAGAGATCAACCTCGCAGGATATCATGACCCTTCGATATCAATCAATTGGCAGGAGTGGAGATAGAAGGTGTTGAGATAGGACTCATGATCTTCGTTACAATTACCTCCCCTTTTGCGTTCTCCTAATGGATGGGAACCTGTTTGGAGGACGGACTGGGTATAGAGATGGGTGGACGCACTGGGAAGTGGCACGGACAAGTTGCCTTTGGGAAGGACGGGCTATTGGGCTTGGCTTGGTGTTAGTTAGATGGGAGTTAAAAGTTACAAAGGAGATTCCATAGGAGTTGGAGGAATTGGTGTTAGAGGAAGACGAGTTTATATCAGTGGAGATGCTGATGGATCGACCCATATTCCGGGTGGCGCAGCGCGGTCCTGCTTCTTGAGTTGGCACCACACCGTACACTACCATCGATGTTGATATTGACCCAACACGGACACGGATGGTGCTTCAATAGACCTTTTGGAAAATGGGAACTTGATCAATGATATTTGAATTAGAGAGAAAAAAAAAAAAGAAAGAAGAAAAACGCCTAACCAACAGTTCGATGCAAGTAACAAATAAAACGTGCAGGAGCAGCAACAACCATCTTTCTTCTGTTTCTCCTTTGCCCTCCTTCCATTCATCTAAGTTCATTTAAACAGAAAACAAACAAAAACCGTTTTTTACCTCCCAAAACGTGTGCTTAACTTACAAAAGTGAAAAGTAGACAAAATAACACGCTATGAACCAGAAAGGAAAAAGAAAAAAAAATGAGGGAAAGGATGTAAGACAACAAAACAAGAACGAAATAGAATGTAGGTATATACCCCTTGTCACGAACTCCATCTAAAACAATTGAAGAATCGAAATCAAGAGGATCAGTGGGGATGAGGGGCGAGCGATATCAATAGTGGAAGGAGGAGATAGATGGAGGGGTGAGAGATATTTGGAAAGGTCGAAGGTCTAGAACGCCTGTACTCGCGCTTAGATCCCACCCTCGAGATACGATGCGTCCCCCAGGGAATGCACCGACGCGCCGACAGCAGCGCCGCCGAGGTCGCTTGAAGGCGTGATTCCGCGCGATTTCCGCCGGTGACTGCGAGCGATGAGCACCTGCGCGGGGGAGACGACGATCTCGTCGTCGCCAACGCCCGTGTCGTCTCCCTTCTTGACAACCAGGGGGAACAAGACGATGCGGACGATGGCGTTCTGGGCCTGCAGGTCGTCGTTGGTTGCGGACTTGTCACCGCTGCGCTCGTTCATGAGAGCCGCGTTGAAGGACACGGTCTCGACGAGTTCGCCGTCGGCGTTGTACTCGGGCTGCAAGGGAGGGAGCATCATGTACTCGGCGCGTTGGCTGCGCATCATGATGGCGAGATCGACGGCCTCGGCCATGACGCGTCGGAGTTGGCTTTGGATTTGATCCTCGAGATGAGAAGGGGGAGGGAGGATCATGGATAGGGTCTCGAGGATGGCCTGCACGACGGCCTCGGTGTCGAGGTCGCGTTGCCGCTTGAAGGATTCACGGCGTGAGAGGAGAGTCAGCGTCACGGCGCGCCATAAGCGGACCGCGTGCGGAGGGCCGATTTCTGTAAGGTGCTTCTCCAGAGCCTTGAGCTTCTGGCGCTGCTCGCGGTCCATGCCGAAGAGGTAGCGCGTGAAGACGAATTCCCAGATCATGTTCATAGTCATTGACATGAAAATGTCGCGACGGCGGACACGGTCGCGTAGGTAAGTATCAACGTCAGAGCCGTCTAGGACGGCGTTATCAAGGCGGTCGATAATTTTTTCGTCATTGATTTCGCTCGTCAGGCGGCACGAGCGCATGTCAGAGAATTTGGAGAATCGTAACACCCATTGTTGTACGTGCTGGCAGAGCTGTTGACACCTGTGGTCGAAGTAGTCAACGTCGTGAATATCGAGGAATTCCGCGTCAGCCGGTTTTGAAGAGTCGAGAATTTGTTGTTGCATCTCGCGGATCTTGGCTTGCGCAGACTCCAACTGGGTTCGGAGCTCGGCAATCTCGGCGTCTTTGTCACGGATGCGCTGCTCGAAACCGCCTTGACTTGAGCGCGTTGTCTCTAATTCGCGCGCCGCGGCAGCGTGGAGAAGCTCGAGATCGCGGTATCGACCATTGTGTTCGTTGGCGAGCTGTGCGTTGGCGGTGTTGAGGCCTTGGTTCACCTCGGTGAGGCGGCTAACTTCGCGATTGAGGAGCTCGATTGAGCGCTTGAGGGTGTCGATCTCAGCATCGCGATCGGAGAGTAGGGATTGGACTTTTTGAGAGTACGTCTGTTCGGTCTGCTGGCGTTCTTTCGCCAGCATCTGATTTTCGGCAGTTAATTCCTTGACCTTGGATTCGAGCTCGAGCACTTGCATGCTTTGCCGACGGCGCATGCTATGTGGCCGAGTGGGCGATCGGGGCGAGCCGATGCGACCCTCGCCATAGCCATCCTGTACCAGTGGGGAAGAAGAAAAATTAGCAAGGCAAGTCTCATCAAAAAGTGCCGAAATGAATTTAAATCGTGAACCTACATAGACATCGGTCATGTCCTTGGAGCGGACACGGCCTTCGTTGGCCACGGGAGTAGTGGTTTGCGCAGACCGCTGGTCTGGGTTGTCGAGGCTGCGGGCCTGGACTTGAGAGTGAGACTGAGAGGAAGAGGGCGGCTCAGCTGAGCCGGCTTGACCGACTTGACTTCGTTGGCTGAGAGATCGAAGGTCGCCGCTGATTCGTCGATCAACGCGTCGGAGAGGAGGAGTGGCGCTATACATGGATCGAATGCTGCCTGGAGTATCAGGCCTAAACGTGTGTGGCCCGGGCGTCTTGTGGCGTGTGAGGCTGGTGTTGGACGCCACACGCCGCGGAACCACGTCTGGGCTTGGCGAGAGTCGAGAGCGGGCAGCATTGTCAGATACACTTCGTTGAGCTACTGCTGGAGAAGCCGTCGCTGAACGTGAGAGGCTTCTGGGCACCTCAGGCTTTCCGTATCGCAGGGGGGTCGGTAGTTCTTTGTATCTGCCGCGCTTGTTGTCCTCTGGTGTTGGCGTATGTGTGGCGGCTCGTCTGACTTTTTGAGGTTCAGGGGTGACTTGTCTTGGTGACGGTTCTCGAAGCACTGGTGTTCTTGACAATGGGTGCTCGTGAAGGTCTCTATAGCCGAGTGGGAGTGGGGACCGTCCTAGTTGTCTCTCAGCCTTCTCACTGGTTTGAGGTCGCTCATTGGCGCTGAAACTGGATCTCTCGGGGCTGAGTGTTCGGGGTGATCCGGACCAATCTTTGAGATGGACACCGCTGTCGCGGTGTGGTCCTTCTTCGAGCCAATTGCTTCGTCGGTGGAGGTGAGGGGAGTCGGCGACGAAGCCACTGTCTCGGTTGACATCTGGAGTAGAAGGAGCTAGCTTGCTGGTTGGTCGATCCCTCTTCTTGTGCTTCTCAGTAAATTCTTCCGTCGATTCCTCGGGAACGGGTTCGAGGCCGCGGGAGACCGGTCGTCTAGTTGGCGTGTAAATTGGCTCCGCCGAGAGTGTAGAATCGTCAAATGTATCCGGCGTAAGGCCTCGTGATCTTGGCTCTTCCGCCTTCGCCTTCGTCTTGGCGATGTAGCCAGCTTGTAGACCTCTCATCTTCCCCGAGTCTTCGCGTCCTAGAACTGGACTCTCAACGAAATCATCCACACGGCTGTTATCAAGTGCCCTGGAGCTACTCATGACCGGACTCAAGTCACGGCGGTCCACGATATTCTTCTCCTTGTTGAGTAGCTCACGAGGCGACTTGGAATGTCGAGCAGGATGGATGACCTTGCTACTCTCTTCCATCGAGTCTTCCGCTGAGCTGTGATCTCTGTCCAAATTCAGCTCCATCGGGGGTTGGCTCTCCGGCGAAAATCCACGCGTCTTACTCTCCACGGTTTCCCTTGGCTGCTCCGTCGACGCATCAAGTGATCTATCCATCTCCAAGTCGTCCACACCTGGTCTCTCTGGTTCCCCGACAATATCTGACTGCGTCGAGGAATCCACACTCTGAGCCGCTAGGGGCTTGTCTACTAGCTCAGGTGTCGATCGGCCGGCAAATTGTTCGACCTTGATGGGTTCGTCCGCAATTTCGAGCTTCTCTGGAGCCTTCACAATCTCGGGTTCAGGCGGAGGCTCCATGACTTCGACCTCCATTGGCGGCTCCACAATCTCGACCTCCCTCGGAGGCTCCATAACCTCAATCTCCATCAGAGGCTCCGCGATCTTAACCTCCCTAGGGGCCTCCGCAGCCATGTCCTCCGTCGGAGGCTCCGCAATCTCCAGTTCTCTCGAAGCCTCCACCGCCTCCCCCACATCCACCTCTGTCGGAGGCTCCATAACCTCGACTTCCATCGGTGCCTCCACAACCTCAACCTCCCTCGGGGGCTCCATGATTTCGACCTCCATCACAGGGTCCGCAAACTCCACCTTTATCGGCGTCTCCACAATCTCTCGTTCTCTCGGAGGCTCGACAATCTCGACCTCCCTTGGCGACTCCACAACATCCAATTCAAGAGGCTCAACACTCTCCACCTTGCTTGATTCATCCGCACTCTTAACAAGTTCAACTACCTTCGTCTCTGCTTCCTCATCCATATCGTTGATCTCCTCAGGTACGTCCACAATCTTCATCTCCGCAGGTTCAGTGATAACCTCAGCCTCTCTCGACTCGCCCATCTTCGGCGGCTCATCTATGTCATTGCCACCTCCCCAGAAATCATCCACCTCCCTAGCTGCATCCTCTTCCATTCCGCGCTCTTCACCCTTCTTCACTACTTCTTCATCATCACCACCGCCCCATAAGTCATCCGCTTCCCTCACAGTATCTTCTGCTGCTCCATGGCCATCCTCCTTCCCTAGTTCTTCGTCGCCAGCTCCACCCCAGAATGCGTCAACTTCCCCTGGTGCTTCCTCTCCAAGCAGTGTCTTTCGATCACTAGTTTCCCATAGGATTGGATCATCGAACAGATCCGGCTCCCGCTCCGTCCTCTTATCCAAAATCTTCTTCTTCTTCTGCTTCTTCTTAGACCGCGATACTTGGCCTCCAAATTTCTCTGCGAGGGAGGCGACGGTGCCGCCAACTGCGGAAGAAGAAGCAGCCGTTTCGATTTCCTTGCCCTTCGATTTCGGCCCTTCCTTCTTCGACTTCTTGACGATGGAGGCTTGAGGCCGGATGTCTTCCATAAATGGGTCGTCGTAGTCTATATCTTTACCCTTGTCATGACCTGACGATTCATCGGCCATAAAGTTGTCATCAGGATGGAAGACATCCGCTTTATTATCGGATTGTTCATCATCCAAGTGTGGAGCAGAGCTGGATTCCGCGATTGAAAGGATGGGCTCAGAAAGCATAAGACTCTCTTCGATATTGTCGACTTTCAACTTTTTCTCTGGTCGTGGTGATAACTCGTAGGGTGCCTCGTGAATAATATGACTGGTAGCTTGGGCAGGAGTCAAGTCGGTTTCCTGCATCAAGGGAGAAAGTGATCGAGTAGGGGTGGTCGCAGTGTGGTCGGATGGCTGATCCCGCTTTTTGTCTTTCTTGCCCTTCTTCTTCTTCTTGACTGTCAATCCCCAGTCGTTCGCGTCTTGATCAGCCGGAGTTGGCTCTTGCTGGCTTTCCTGGGGATTTATCGGATCCTCGATGATCTGGGGAGCTGCTGCATCATCAAGGGGTTCTGGTGCAGGGCCTATCTCCTCATCACGGACGGGCGTCAAGGGTCGGGAAATTGTGGGAGTAGTGACGGCTGACTGATGCTTCTTCTTGCCCTTCTTCTTCTTCGAAGTACTGAAGCCCCAATCGTCCTCCTCAGGAGGTGCCGTCCGTTCCTTTTCAATGATCTCTAGGTCCGCATCAGTGGGAACAGCGTGGATTTCGGACGGGCCCTCAGCTCCTGGCGTGGGTAATGGCTCATCGGGGACAGGGGATAGAGGACGAGAAGCTGATGGGGTCGCGGAAGAAGAGTGACTCTTCTTCTTCCCTTTCTTCCCCTTCTTTGAAACGGAGAATTCAAAAGAGTCGGCCTCTTTCTCGGCAGACACGGGCTCTACCTCCCCTTCAATTGATGGCTCGGCAGGTTCGGTAGGCGCTGCAGCGACCTCGGTTCCCGGAGGTTCAACGTGGTGCAGCTCTGTGTCATCACGGAGAGGAGAAAGGGATCGGGAAGTGGTAGGAGTAACGGCTTCGGATGCAGACTGGCTCTTATTCCTGCCTTTCTTGTCCTTCTTCTTCTTCTTGGCAGGAAGTGCCCACTCGTCTACATCTTGGGCTGCCGGTGCAGGTTCTGTGACAATACCGAAGGCCAAGTCGGGTTCCGCTTGGGGTTCACCCCGAGCAGCGTCAGTAGCCAAGCTGTCACCCACGGTTGTATCTGCATAAGCTGGGTCCTGGCTCTTGTTCTTCGATTTCTTGCCCTTCTTTTTCTTAGAGGTGGTGGCGAAGCCCCAGTTATCATCTTGTGCCACTGGCTCGGACTCCGCGAGATTTTCATCAACAGTTACCACTGCTGGTTCCTCAAAGAATTGGGATGGCTGAGCTAAGACATCATCTTCAACTGGCAAGATAGGGCGTGAAACTTCCCCAGAGGTGGGGATTCCTTTGTCAGTGCCCTCCTGGCTGATAACAGGCTCGGACTCGTATACACCAAGCGCTGCGGATGATTCAGGTACGTGAACATCATCCACAGGAGCCTCTATTACCTCCTCCGTAACAGGCGAGAGTGAGCGGGATACTGCTAGAGTGGGAGTTTCAGACACCTCGAGGTCCGAGTCTTTAGCTTTCTTGCCCTTGCCCTTCTTCTTTTTCTTTGCGTTGGAGTCCGAAGCTTCACGGGTTTGGTCCGTGCGCTCCTCGACCTCTCTGATCTGGGTATCGGTCTCTAGAGAAGATGACTCTGGTGAAGGGACTTCAGGGTTTTGGACAGGCTCGGGGTCGACGGCAGGAAGAACATCAGGGATGGGGGAGTGTGGGGGCAAATCTACTGGGGTAGTCGAGTCGGAAGTGAGACCTTTCTTTTTGCCTTTCTTGCCCTTTTTCCTGGTAGAGAAGCCCCAGTCATCGGCAGCATCCTCTATAGGCAGGTCCTTGGCAGGCGTCTCAATCAGGTCTTGAGAAGATTCTGCTGGAAGAACGTCTGAGGCCTCTACAGAGTCGACTGGAAGAGGAGCATCCCGGACATCTCTAGTTGGCGAAAGGGCGCGGGACCCAGCTGGGGTGGACGTATCGGATATCTGTCCCTTCTTTTTGCCCTTCTTTCCCTTCTTGGCGGATGAGAAGCTCCAGGCGTCGTCAATACCAACTTGCTGCTCAACAGACTCAGCCTTAGCTTCTTCAGTCCAGTCAGCCTCTGTCGAAACGGGCACTGTAGCATCAACTTCCACTGAGCCTAGATCCTTCACCACCTCGGGCTTGGCTTCTTCGATCAGGTCAGTCTCTGGTACGATAGCTTCGGCAGTACCGACTTCCACTGAACCCAGATCTTCCGTTACAACCTCAGGCTTGGACTCCTCAGTCAGGTGAGTCTCTGGTAAGATAGGCTCTGTGGTATTGACCTCTTCTGACCTTAAATCTTCCATTACCGCCCCAGGTTTAGTTTCCTCAGTCAAGTCGGTCTCTGTCGAGACGGGCTCTGTGACATTGACTTCCATTGAGTCCAGGTCTTCCATTACTACCTCGGGCTTATCTTCCTCAGTTAAGCCAGTCGCTGGTGAGACAGCGCCTGTATTGACATCCACTGAGCCGATATCTTCCGCTACCACCTCGGGCTTGGCTTCATCGGCCAAGTCGGTCTCTGGTAAGACAGGCTCTGTGATAATGACTTTCTCCGAGGCCGGGTCTTCCGCTACCGTCTCGCTCACTGCAGGCTCGGCCGCCTCGCTCGCGGCTGGTAAAGGTTCGATAGCCGGGACAACCTCCGAAGAAGGCAGGTCTGCAAGTTCGCGAGTGCTGATATCCTGAATGGGAGAGAGGGGTCGTGAGACGGCCGGAGTAGTTGCTTCAGATCCGCGCTTCTTTCCCTTCTTTCCCTTCTTCTTCGACGAGGCGAGGTCCCAATCGCCGACTAGTTCCTCTTGAAGGGTAAGCTCTCCAGCATCGGGGGGAGAGATGATGCTGGGCTCTGGGACTTCTTGCGCCTCCTCTGCAACCACGGTGGCGGAAGCCTTGTCGGATGGTAGAGTGGACGGGGAATCTGCAGGCGCGGTTTTGGTACTTGTTGACTCGCGCTTCTTCCCTTTCTTGCCTTTCTTCTTCTTGGAAGTGAAGCTCCACTCGTCAACCGGTTCTTCTGCCATCAGAGGTTGGTCATTGTCTGCAGGAGCGGGGGATTCTTCAGCAACTTCGACGGGTGCATCCACGGGAAGCGCGCGTTCCAGATTCTCTTCTACCAGCACCGCCGGGGGGTTATCGATATCTCTGACAGGGGACAGCGGTCGAGATGCGGCGGGAGTGGGAGTACTAGACGACTTTCCGTGCTTCTTCTTATCCTTCTTGCTCTTAGACTTTTTAGAAGGAGTGAGCGAGGAGTCCTCGACCACGTTATCGGCAACTCCAGGTCCGTCGTGTTTAACCGGGATGTCGTCAGCAAGAAGTTCTTCCTCCACGGGTGTGTCGGCGGGCAGTGTCCCTGTTTCAGGAGCGGATTGAGAAACTACTTCAGCACTGTCTTCGGGGATCGGATCAGCAGGCACGTCGTCGGGAGCTGACGAATAAACAGGCTCGGCTGCATCAGAGGGTTGGCCCTCGGTATCAGGCAACGTGGGCGGCTCAGCCAAGATGGGCGATAGAGGTCGGGAGGGGGCAGGCGTCGTGGCTTCGGAAATAGACTTGTCGCGTTTCTTTCCCTTCTTGTCTTTGCCCATCTTTGCGGGTTGAAAAGCCGACTCATGCTCTTCAAGCTCATGAGGTGTCTCTATAGGTGCAACCTCGGGGCCTTCTGGTACGGTAGCCTCTGGCTCTTCGCGCACATTTGAGAGTACGGTGACTTCTTCCGGAGTATGGGGTGAGCTGGCTTGCTGAGAAGCTTTCTCCTTCTTCTTCTTCTTCTTGCTCTTCTTCAAGCCTGCTGTCCAGGAATCCGAGTCATCGATGGGTGGCGCATCGGTAGGGGGCTCAGTAACAGAGGGCTCCTCGCTGGAGACGGCTTCGGTATCAGGGTGAACGGGATCCGCTGAAACGACAGGAACCGGATCCACGGGAGAACCAAGCGTTTGACCATGATCAGCTGCGCTGTCCCCTGTAGGTGCTGGAGACTCCCAATCATCCATGGCCCGTGATTTCTTGCCCTTCTTCTTTTTCTTATCCTTCTTTCTCAGGAAAGAGAAAGATTCCGGCTCCTCGGACATTAGGATTTCTCCGCTGGAAAGAGATTCCGAAGAGGCTTCCTGATCAGCCGAAGAGGGCTCTTCAGCGGGCAGAGAGGACTCGTCTTTATTTACGCCAAGGGAGGGTTCGAGTGTTGAAGTAGGAGCGGCATCCCCAACTTGTACAACTTCGGATGATGCTTCGGGCTCGACGGCTTCAATTGGGCCAACGGGGTTAACAGTCTCCATATTTACTTCCCGGCTTGAAGGCAGAGATAGAGCCTCGGCAGCTGCGACATCTTCGCCTTCAGGCTTGTCAAAAGAAGGTTCGGAGACGTCAAAGGACATGGCTTTCTTTCCCTTCTTTTTCTTGTCCCTTTTCTTGTTTCCAACTGTCCATTCGTCTTCAAGCTCCGCGGCTGAGGCAGGCAGGGTGGGTTCTTGAACACTTTCTTTCTCCGATAACTCTGGGTGGAGTTGCAATGCTTCAAGGTTCTCTGGTGCAGAGAGACCTTCGGCGACACTGCCCTTCGTAACGGACGAAAGGTCGTCTGCCGGCTCAGGGGTTTCGTGCTGGTCAACAACTGGTAAGTCTCGGGGAGTAAGGTCGTGTTCGGCTGAGGGAACGTCCAATTCTGTTGTAGGCTCGGCATCCAAAGAGGAAGAAGGTATTGACTTCTTCTTTTTCTTGTTTTTCTTGCCCTTTGAGATGGTGAATTCTTGTTCCTCGGTCGTTGGTACGTCCTCTGCGGGGAGCTCCTCTGCATGAAGTTCAGGAGCAGGTTCACTTTGAGTAAGCCCGGGCTCGGAAGCCTCGAGAGACATTCCCTTCTTCTTTTCCTTCTTGTCCTTCTTAGAAATCACAGGGGGGGATTCCTCCTCGGGGAGCGGATTTGTGTCCGCAGTGGCCTCTGCTCGTTCAGTGGGGGGTTCTTCTGGCTGAACTGGCGAGGTCTCAGGGGCTTCAACAAGTATAGAAGGGTCGACAGGTTCAGAGGATCCCGTGGCGGGCGTAGCATCTTCGGGGATGGGAGTGACTAGAATAAAATGTTAGCTACGTGCGAGGAAGGATATCACTGATTGAGATAAACTCACGAGGCACAATAGCAGTCGCTTCCTCAGGCGAGGGAACGATGGTATCTTCTGGAAGGGGTTCAGACGAAGGTGTCTGAAGACTCGCAGGTACAGAGTCCGGTGTATCGGCCAAAGAAGAAGAATCACCCAGGATTCGTGACTTCTGTTTCTTTGACTTCTTGCCTTTGCCGAGAGCAGGGGCATAACTCGGATCGACCCTGCGGGTTTCCTCGGCAATCTGCTCATCCGTAGCGCGATCATCTGAAGCAGGCTGAGCTACAGCCGCATCATCTTCAGGAGTGAGAGAAGATGCATTCGGATCAGGAGTCAATTCAGGCTCATCTATCTGCTTGCCCTTCTTCTTTTTCTTGGCTTTTTTGGTGACTGCTGGAGATAGCCAGTCATCTTCCTGAATTATCGTCGACCCCTCGGGGGCAGGTAGGGCTTGTTCATCCGAAGGCGCTGGTTCTATGTCCACGATAGGTTCGGCCTCCGCGTCCAGGATGGCCTTGTCCTTCTCGAGTTCCTTAGTCGTTGAGGTGTGGGACCAGTCGTCTTCTAGAATCTCAGGGGTGCTTTGCTCAGGGGGGATTGGGATAGCATCCTCGGGCGTAGTCTCGGGATTGAGATCAGGAGTGGGTTCGTCAATAAATTGGGCTCCCGGCTCAAGGATTGCCGAAACTATCGGGTCATCTCTCGGAGAAGCAGGGGTGGCCTTCTCTCTGGGAGCTGGAGCAGCCGTGTCGACATGGGGAATTGAAGTTCCAGGAATAGCCTCGGACTCGGGATCAGGCTCAAGGGAAGATGCACCCGTCTTCTTCTTTTTCTTCTTCTTCTTGTTCAGAGCAGGAGAAGACCACTCATCTTCTGGCTTCTCTGAAGCGGTCTGGTCCTCAGCAGGTATCGATTCTTCAGGCTCGGGGGGTAAAGACTTCTGATTTAGGTCAAGCTCTGCCTCAGGCTGTGGTTCGTTGTCCATTTTGTGGAGAGTAGAGGACCCATCGTCTTCAGGTGCTATCGATGCTGCTTGGTGCTCAGGAACAGGAGAAAGCTCTTCTGGAAGGGAAGAGTCTGAATCAGGCTTGGGCTCTGGGGAGGCCGCGCCCTTCTTCTTTTTCTTGTCTTTTTTAGAAGTTGGGGCAGAAGACCAATTATCTTCGACCTTCTCAGAATCTCCGGCCATCTCAGTAGCCTCGGGAATTTCTACCTCTGGCTCGGGAGCTACCTCTGGCCCGATGGAAGCCTTCTTCTTCTGTTTCTTCTTACCCTTCTTGCCTATCGGTGGGGAGGACGAGTTATCTTTAGGGACATCAGATGTCGGGACAGGATCTGCAGGACTAGCTAGTGGCTGCTCTTCCGAGGGTCCGGGCAGAGATGTGGGGGGCTGATAATCCGGTCCGCCTTGAGTGTCCGTCAATTGTTCGGCAACCAAAATGCTCTCGGGTTCAGGCACAGTTTCAGAACAAGGAGTAGTTTCTACCACAGGCTCGAGATTTAACTGAGAAACAGGTTCGCGAGTGGCTTTACCCTTTTTGCCCTTCTTGCCTTTCTTCTTTCCCTTAGCACCAGGGGTGAGCGACCATTCATCCTCAGCTCCTACTTCAGCGGTGGCTTCGGCGGGTTGTGGTACGTCCTCCACTGAAGTGGACTCTGGTGGGACTTGCATTCCATCCTTGGGAAGTTCTTTGCCAAGAGCTTCCTCGACAGAGGCTTCTTCAACGGCAGGCGGCTCGACAAACGGTTCTTTGACAGCATGGTCTTCGGCGAGAGGTTGTTCTATGACGGGGGATTCTTCGATGGCGGGGTCTTCAACGGAAGGCTGTTCTTTGCTGGGCGCTTCTTCTTCCAGGGGAGACTCTTCAACGGGAGGCTGTTCGATAGGAGCTTCTTCCACAGCAGGCTCTTCGACGGGCGGTTCTTCAACAACAGGCTCTCCACCAGGGATTCCTTCAAGAGCAGGCTCTTCAAGGACGATTTCTTCAATGGAAAGTTCTTCGACGGGCGACTGTTCAATGGAAGCTTTTTCAATGACAGGATCTTCAACCGGGGTTTGCTCAGAGGGAGCTTCTTCGACAGCAGGCTCTCTAAGAACAGATTCTTCGACGGGAAGTTCTTCTGCGGGAGATTCATTGGCGGGAACTGCGTCAACAGAAGGCTCCCCAACAAGAGCGTGTTCAACAGGATTAAGAGGTTCGAGGGTGGCAGCGGCTTTACTCTTCTTCTTCTTTTTCTTGCCTATTGTTGCAATCGGAGCAGAAGACCAGTCATCCTCCGGCAGCGGCTCGGCGACGTCGGCAGGTTCGGGCATGTCTGAAGTTGCTGCGTGCTCAGATATAACGCGTTCGACATCAGGAGAAGTTTCAGGCTCGACAGTATCCATGGCCTTCTTCTTTTTCTTTTTCTTTGCCTTCCTGGTGGACGGTGTGGACGACCACTCATCTGCTGGTTCCTCTTCAGGCTCGGCAAGGGATGAAGGACCGGCATCTTCGGATTCGGTAGCGACGACGGGAGGAGAGTCAGCTTCCAGATTTGGCTCCAGTTCAGCGACAAGCTTGCTCTTCTTTTTCTTCTTCTTGTCCTTCTTCATTGTCGGAGGAATGGACGAATCATCAACGGACTCGGGCTGGGGAGTTAGCTCTGCTTCAGTACCTTCGGCGACTTCGGGAACCGTTTCTACTGGCTCAAATTCGGGAATAGGGAGGGATTCGGCTTCCGGGGATGGCTCCGCCGTCTGGGTGTCCCGCTGCGATTCTATAGCCGCGAGTTCGGCGTCCTCGAGGGGTGCTGGTTTCGGATCTGCCTCAGGAACAGATGCGCCCTTCTTCTTCTTTTTCTTCTTGTCCCTCTTGCTGATGGGTGTGTATGGCAGGTCATCAGTAAGCTCCGGCTCTGCGGGTGATTCGGCCACGGTGACGGGGTCTGGTGCGGCGGACTCAAGTTGCGGATCAGGTTCAACGGCCGCATCAGCCTCCGCTACTTGTTCGGGTTCAAGAATGGAGGCACTATTCTTTTTCTTGTCCTTTTTGCTAAGAGGCGTAGAAGACCAGTTATCCTCGTGTTCCTGTTCAACAGATCGCTCGGTCGGCGGCTCAGGTTCTGGAGCTGCTTCGGGGGCAGGTCCAGGCTGAAGTTCAGGCGGCTCGAGTTCAGGTTCAGGTTCAGGCTCAACAGCACCCAGGCTCTTCTTCCTCTTCTTCTTCTCTTTCTTGCTGAGCGGCGTGGAGGCCCACTCGACCTTGGCCTGTGGTTCCGGAGTAGCATCGGTTTCAGCAGGAGCCTCTGTTGCAATTAGCTCAGGGTTGAGCTCGGCTGCGCTTTCAGCCAACACTTCGGGTTCGGCCTGAGATTCTGGGGGGGATTCAGGCTCAGGTTCGAGAGAAGCCAGACCCTTGCCCTTCTTCTTTTTCTTCTTATCCTTCTTAGCTGTCGCGGTAGGTAGCCAATCATCCGTAGGCTCAGCCTCGGGAGCCGCCGGCTGTGGCTCCTCTGCTAGTTCTACCTCAGCTAGCTCAGATACAGGCAAAGACTCCGGTTCAGGTTGGGGTTCGAGTTCCGGCTCGGGCAGAGCAAGGCCCTTGTTCTTTCTCTTTTTGTCCTTCTTAGATGATGGGGTAGAGGACCAATCGTCTACAGGCTCTGACTGCGGCGTTGGTTGCGGCTCCTCGATTATATCAACCTCCGTTAACTGAGATGCAGGCAGGGGCTCCGGTTCTGGTTCGGACAAGGCAAGATTATTCTTCTTCTTTTTCTTCCTGTCCTTCTTAGATGTCGGGGTGAACGCGCCATCATCTACAGGTTCAGCCTCAGACTGCACCTCCTGCAACGTTTCTTTCTCCTCAGAGGGCTCCACAACAGCAGCCCTACTCTCGGGTATAGTCTCCGGCTCGGCTTCCGGCTCGGCTTTGAACGGAGGTTCAGGTTGAGATTCCAGTTGAGATTCAGATGGAACTGCGGGGTGAAGTTCGGTTTGGGATTGAGATTCAGATGGAGGTTCAAGTTCAAGTTCAGGTTGAGGGTCAGGTTGAGATTCAGATTGAGGCTCGGGTTGAGGTTCAGGTGAAAGTTCAAGTTGAGATTCGGGTTCAAATTCGGATGAAAGACCCTTCTTCTGCTTCTGCTTCTTCTTCTTCTTGCTCTTACCAGTGGGGGTAAAGGACAACTCGTCTGCGGGCTCTACTTCTTGACTAGGCTGACGGTCTTCGACCTCTAGGGAATCGGTTACGGCAGGGACAGGCTCGGGAACGGGCTCTTCATCGGCGGGAATCGAGATGCCCTTCTTATTCTTCTTTTTGCCCTTCTTTGTTGGCGTTGTCGGAGTAAAAGACGAGTCGTCCTCTGCATTTACCTCAACCTCAGCAGCGGGCGTGTCGCCCTCTTGAATGGGACTGACTTCAACGTCTGGCTCCGCCTCACGTGAGAGTTCAGGCTCCGACTGCGCGGCCTTGCCCTTCGTTTTCTTCTTGTCTTTCTTGGAGGGGTTGCTGTGAGTCCAGTCATCCTCGGTAGGCGCTGGCGAGTCTAGTTCTGCAGGAGGCTGAGGTTTGGGTTCAGTAGGCGGGGACACCACGGCATCTGAAGCAGGCAGGGTCTCCGGCAAGTCCAGGCTCTGAGGCTCTTCAAAGTTGTCTTTTGCTTTGCCCTTTTTCTTTTTCTTGTCTGTCTTGGAGGGAAGGCTCTGAGACCAGTCATCCGCAGAAGACGGGGCCTGTTCTAACTCAGCAGGAAGTTGGGGTTCAGGTTCGCTAGGCTGGAGCACCGCATCGTCCGAAGCGTGGAGGGTTTCTGGCAAGTCCACACTCTCAGGCTCCTCAGAATCGTGCTTTGCTTTTCCCTTCTTCTTCTTCTTCTTGTCTTTCTTCGAAGGAATGCTCTGAGGCCAGTCATCCATAGGGGGCACGGCCTGCTCCGGTTCGGCAGGAGGTCGAGATTCGGGTTCAGCAAGTGGGGACACTACATCATCCGAGGCAGGGGGAATCTCTAGGGGCAAGTCTGTACTTTGGGGCTCCGCTAAATTGAGGTTCGCCTTGCCCTTCTTCTTCTTGCTCTTCTTGCCTACGGTAGGCTCAGAGGAAGGCTCAGAAGAAGCCTCATCACCCCACTCGGCAGAGGTAGAAGCAGCGTCAATGTCAGTAATTTCTTGAGATGCAAGTGGATCGACCGATTCCTCAGCGAAAGAAGGTCCAGCCACTTCAGGCTCAGGGACAGACTCGTATTTCCCAGCCTTTCCCTTCTTCTTCTTTTTGGATTTTGGCAGGAAAGAAAATTCGGGGTCGTCTAGGGAGGGCGTGACAGGGGTCTCAGCAGACGGTTCAGGCACCTCGGGTGGAGCAGAATCCCACGCATCGGCCCACGAGTCTTCCGCGGATGTAAAAACTTCCCGCTCCGCCGGATCTCTCATCTCCAAGGGCGCATCGAGAGACTCATCCTCCTTCTCGGGCATTGGTGACACCGTGGAGTCCACATCGGCATCGGCGGACGAATCAATTGGATGTTCTTGGTGGAAGTCGGCAAAAGAGACCGACTTCTTCTTCTTCTTGGCCTTCTTTCCCTTCTTGCCACTCAAGGCCGACTCAAGAGGTGGAGACAATGTCATTGGCTCGGAGGTAGCTAGATCAGAAGCGGGCTCGTCTGAAACCTCTTGTACAGGCTGTTCCACAGGTTCGTCTGGAGAAGTTGCCGGCTTGTCCTCGAGACCACGAGATAATCCTTTGCGGTTCTTCTTGGATTTTTTAGACTTAGAAGGTGGCGTCCAATTGTCCTCGACAGTTTCTGAGCTCTTCTCCTCACCTGCCGGGGCCGCAGGCTCAGCTACTGCCTCTTGCTCCTCGAATGAATCATGGAGTATGGCCTCTTCTTTCGGTCCGGCAGGTTCCTCAAGGCCGGGCGTCAAGTCAGACTTGCCCTTGCGTTTCTTCTCCTTTTCCTTCTTCGATTTGCCTGGAGAAGGCACGGAGGGCTCGTCATCTAGGAGCTCAACAGGCTTCTCGGGTTCTTGAGAAGGCTGAGCGGCCTCAGGTATGGAGTCGAGAACATCTACAGGTTCGTCGGCAGGCTCGGGTGTGGCAGGGATCTCTTCGGGGATGGCGGGTTCATCAACGGCACCACGCTTCTTCTTACCCTTCTTACTCTTCTTACCAACCCGGGCCGCCGAGGGTTCATCTTCAGGAGCGGCAGTCGAAGCATCACGAGTCACTGGTGTCTCAGCCTCAAGAACGGAGGGAATATCCTCAGCCGGAGCGGCCAGAACAGTCGTATCCTCTGGTTCAGGAACTTCCTCGGCCTGGGACTTGCTTCCCTTCTTTCCCTTCTTCTTTTTCTTCTTTCCAAACTGTAGGCCCGACTCATCTTCAGCGGGAGCAGAGCCGGTGGCAGGAGAAGGGGGTTGGGTGGCATCATCTTCGGGAGTAGGTATAGAAGTTTCCGGTTCTTTTACTCCAGGTTCCTCAACAGCATCGGCCAAGCTTTCCTCTGCAAAATCACCCCATGCCGCCTCCGTAGTATCAGAAACGGACTTGCCTGCGGACTCGGCAGGGGCGTCTTCGGGGATAACATGCTCAGAAGTAGGAGGCTCGTTCTCAGGAGATGAAGCATCAACTTTGTCAGCCTTTGACTTCTTCTTCCCCTTGCCCTTCTTCGATTTGGCAGGCGCCAAGTCTTCATCGGGTCCCAGCTCTTTCGGTTCCTCAGGCTCATCGGGAGGCGGAATTGTCTTCTCAAGAGGCTGGTCTTCGGTCTGCTGTTCCGCCAGGGGCTCCTCTGTCGCATCCAAAGAAAATTGACTAGCTATCTTCTTCTTCTTTCCCTTCTTTGACTTTGCGGAGATGATTTCCTCTTCAGGTGGTGGGATCTCATCGTCCGCAGGCGTTACTTCTTCCAATATATCAGGAGAAGCTTGGGCAGGGAGATCAAGCGGCAACTCCTCAGCAGGCTGTTCAGCCGGAGTACTTTCAGGAGCATCATGCCAGGAAGTTTGACTAGCTTTCTTTTTCTTCTTTCCTTTCTTTGGTTTTACTGGAGTGATTTCCTCCTCAGTGGCAGGGACCTCAATGATATCTGTTTCCTTTACTTCTTCTAACACATCGGCAGGTATCTCAGCAGAAGTATCGACGGGCTGCTCTTCGGTTGGCTGTTCGGTTGAATCCGCTTCAGGAGAATCATCCCAAGAACTTTGGCCAGCCTTCTTCTTTTTCTTCCCTTTCTTTGATTTAGCAGGGGTGATTTCTTCCTCGGGGACAGGGACCTCAGCATCATCAACGACCTTTACTTCTTCTGATACATCAGCAGGGATCCCAGCAGGGATCCCAGCAGGAGTGTCAGTGGGTTGCTCCTCAGTCGGTTGTTCAGTTGAAGTCCTCTCGGCAGGAGTAGCATCCAAGGAAGTTTGAGTAGCCTTCTTCTTCTTTTTCCCCTTCTTTGATTTAGCAGGGATGATTCCCTCCTCAGGGGCAGGAATCTCAGCATCCTTGACCTCTTCTGACACATCAGGAGAAATCTGAGGAATGTCGACGGGCAGCTCTTCAGTCGGCTGCTCAGTTGAGGTCTCTTCGGGGGCATCATTCAAGGAAAGTTGATTAGCCTTCTTCTTTTTCTTCTTCTCCTTCTTCGATTTGGCTGGGATGATATCTTCCTGGGGAGAAGGGGACTCGAGATCTTCTGTGGGCTTTACTTCTTCTGACACGTCGGCAGAAACTTGAGCGGGGATATCGACAGGCTGCTCTTCATTTGGCTGTTCAGTCGAAGTCCCTTCAGCAGGAGCATCATCTAGGAAAAGTTGACTAGATTTCTTCTTCTTCTTTCCTTTTTTGGATTTCGCTGGGATGACTTCCTCCTCGGTCGCTGGGACCTCAACTGGGCCTATGCTCCTTGCCTCCTCTGATGCATCGGCAGACACTTGGGCGGGGGTATCGAGAGGCAATTCTTCCACGACCGGCTCTTCCACGGGCGGTTCGGCGACGGGTGGGTCCTCAACAGGTAGTTCTTCGACGGGCTGTTCGGCTGGGAGCTCATCTACAATATCCCTAGAGCTTTGACTGGCCTTCTTTTTCCTCTTTCCCTTCTTGGACTTGACCGGGGAGATTTCCTCTTCGGGGGGTGGGACCTCAACATCAACCGCGGGACTTGTTTCTTCCAATACGCCAGCGGGCACCTGGACAGGGACATCAGGTGGTTGGTCTTCAGGTGGCTGTTGTTGCTCGGCCGAAGTGTCCTCAGGAGCATCATCCAAGGATCGTTGGCTAGCCTTCTTCTTCTTCTTCTTTGATTTAGTCGAGAAGATTTGGTCCTCGGGTGCCGGGAGGGGAGTGGCCTTAATATCATCTACATGCTGTACTTCCTCTGGTACGTCCACAGAGGCTTGTGCAGGAATATCAAGGGCCTTCTCTTCAGAGGGTAGTGGTTCAGTTGAAGTACTTTCGGGGACATCATCCCAGGAAGTTTGGCTGGCCTTCTTCTTCTGACGCTTTTCTTTCTTCGAAGGGCCCGTGGGCGCAGGAGCAAGCTCAATCACACTCTTGGGAAGCTCGCTCTTAGTTGTTTCTTGCATGTCAAAAGCAGCATCCCACAACGCCTCGGCGGTAGAAAGGTAAGCAGAAGGAGCACGTGTTTCCTCAACGTCCAAGGTTCTTTCGGCTGAGGGGCCGGTTTCCTCTTCCGTAACTGCTGCGGCCTTCTCCTTGCCCTTCTTCTTCCCACCCTTCTTCTTTTTCTTAAGAGGCGAGAAGAAGCTGTCGGCCTCGCCCTTGTCGTCCTCCTCAGCGACAGGTTCAGTGTCGTCACGGGCTGGGCCCGGTTTATCCAAAGGCGCGTCAAAGTGCATCTTCGCATCCTTCAAATCCAGGCTGCTCGTGGGGGAATGGCCAAGCTCGCGATGTCGCGGGCCCCATTCGCGGTCACTCTTCAGAGGAGATACGGAGCGTCCTGGGGACTCAGTTCCGTGGCGAGATGACAGGATGAGCGGTCTCATATCCTTACCTTCCCAGGAGATAGGACGGGGGGCAGTTTTCCTTGAGATGGGTGAATCGGCGGTGGAGGAAACGGGTGAAGAAGCGGGGGAATGTTTAAAGACGCGTGGGGAAGAGGGATTGGATCTTTGACCGAAAAGGTAGGGAAGGGGGATGGCGGTCTGGCTGTGGGACCTGGCGTGGGGGGAGTCATGGACGCTCTTGCGACGATTCTTCTGCTCAAGCATCGTCCGCTTGAAGACTTGGTCCGGGGGGGTATCGGGACGGCTGTCAGGAAGATCGGGTAGATCTTCTGCCACCTCGCCTGGCGAACCAGGCGCGCTTGGTGGAAGGGGGAGAAGGTCTCCATGCAGGGGATCGATAGCGGGTTTCACCTGCCGCTCAACGATTCCTGAATCTAAATTATCAACATCATCGATGGGACCCAAGGTCAGCTCTGAGACGGGACCAAGGGCTCGATCATTGTCATCTGTATGCTTCTCCTTTTCTTCCGATGGAGATTCGGTGGCATTTGACCGGGCGAGTGCGGCAGATACCGCAACCGCAGTCGCAACTGCAACCGGTAAGCCGACACCTTCGCCAGAGGTGTCGGCATTAGCTAAAAAAGACTCCTGGCCGATATCATCGGACTTCGTCGCTTCCTCGCCATTACCATTAGGTTGGTCTCCATTTGCCCCTTTATCGGGGGGTTCAGGGTCTGCCCAAGCATCCATCTTACCACGCTTCTTCTTACCCTTTTTACCGGTCTTCTTCGCAGGGGCGCTCCAAGGGTCTTCCTCTGGTGCCGGCAGCGGTGTGGGCTCTTTAGGTTGCTCTTCTTCAGGCTTGGCTTCGGGCTTGTCCCAGTCAACGTCCGCTACCTGACGACCCTTCTTCTTCTTCTTGTTCTTCTTGGCCGGGAAACCCCACGGGTCGTCTTCTGGGGGAGCGGGGGCCTCCTTGGGAGCCTCTGGTGCTTCGTGCCAGACATCATCTTCATTCAGGGCCTTCTCGGACGTAGGTTCGGGTACGTCGGCAGCCATGTCCCATGACTCTTCCGTTAAGGTTTGTGTAGGGGGCTCAATCGGCTCGCTCTCGTAAGGTACAGGCTCGGGCGCAACTTCAGATTCGGGAACAAACTCAGGTTCAGGAACAACTTCAGGTTCTGGAGCAACTTCGGGTTCATCCAAGGACGCCGCCGAAGCTTTCTGCTTCTTCGCTAGTTTCCGCTGCTCCTTCTTAGTCAACTTCTTTGGGGGAGCAAAATCATCGTCCGCAGGCGGGGCAGGCTCGCTAGGTTCGTCAGCCAAACCCCAAGAGTCCTCTGGAGTAGGTTCTAGAGCCCGGCTTTGGACATCCTCATCCACCACTTTGTCCCAATCGTCATCCTTGGGAGAAGTCGTGGGAGGTTCCTCTTCTTGGAATGATTCGGCGGCCTTCTTCTTGGCTAGTCTCTGCCGCTCCTTCTTGCTCAACTTCTTCGGAGGAACAAAGCCATCTTCTTTGGCATCCGTTACCGGTTCCGTGGCAATGGCTTCAGGTTCGGGTTGAGGTTCAGGTTGGGATTCGGGTTGGGGCTCAGGCTCGGGTTGAGATACAGGTTCCAAAGGAGGGGCAGCTTCGCCCTCCTCAGCAGGCGGTGCCGGCTCCGGCTCGGGGGAAGCGGCCTCGGTGCTCTCTTCAGGAGGGAGGATTTCCTTGGCTTGCTTCTTGCCGCCCTTCTTCTTCTTTTTCTTACTCTTGAACATGCTTCCCCACTCGTCCGCCGCCGGCTCATTGTCGAGCACAGGGGACGACTTGGATGCTGTGCTGGGGCCAAGTTCGTCATTGGAACCTGGAGGAGAGTCACGGCGTCGGTACTCAGCGTCTTCGATGACAATATTATCATCAAATCCAGCAGCTTTTAAGCCCGCACTTAGCGTTGCAGCGAACTCAAAATCGTCACCATAGGAGCCTGGGATTTTAGGGGTAAGAGCCTTCGAATCGGCAACAGATTCAGTTATCGAGTCGGGGAGGGGTGGTAGATTGGCAAGGTCATCCCCTTCCAGCACCTCGCTGATTTCGGCAGGTATCTCAGAATCAGCCCGAGTCAACTGCGCGTCTGCAGTTGCAGTTTCCGTGGGATTCTCCTCGACAGGCCCGGCCTCAGCGGTTTCGGTAGGTTTCTGCACCTGAACTTCTTCCACGGGTTCAGGCTCAACAGGGGCTTCATCCACAAGCTCTCGCGTTGATACAATCTCGGGAACCGGAGTCTCCTCAACGACAGGAACAGGATCTTGCGTATCTTTCTCCCTATCGTCCCCCTCATTCTCAAGATCACGGTGCTCGATCACCGGTTCTCCTGACAGCTCCTCCGCGGGCGGTTCGATTTCAGCGACAGTAGGAGCATCAACTACGTTGATATCCCGAGTTTCAGTCGGCTCCTCTTCGGCAGGGATCTCTCTTTCAGAGGAGGGCTCGAGCTCAGCGGGTGCATCATCCAGAACCCGGTCGACTTCCTCAGCCTGCTCGATTACTACTGGCTGCTCTCCGGAAGGAGGTTTGGCGCTGGTGTCGGCTTCTGGCTCTACATCTGCCGGTGGCTTGACGCCTGCAACGGTCTGCTCCGCATCCGGGACTTCCTCGGGTTCGACTTCTTCGGTGCTCTCAATGGAGCGCGTAGGCTCTCCATCGAGTGCCTTGTCCGCGTCGGCCAACTCCTCTTCATTTAACTTGGAGGCCGCAAATTTGCTGGCAAGATCATTATTGACAATACCCCAGGCGCTTTTAGTCTCGGCGCTCGGGTACTCGATATCGCCGCGGGGGCCTACATCCTTCTCAAGCACTGGCTCATCCGCCTTGCCGTCGTCCGACAAATGGATGATCTCACCGCGGGGTCCAATGAGAATATTAGGCTCAGAAGTCTCGGCCGGCACCTCTCTCCCTGGCGATACCTCTCTCGTCCCAGACCGAGATCTAGATCGAGATCGAGACTTGGACCGGGACCGAGATCTGGACCGAGTCTGCCTCTCCTCCTCCTTTTCTATTACACTCTCCAGAGGAGGCGAGACGCTGGGAGTAGGCGGTACCAAATTCAGGAGCGGTCGTTCCCGAGAGAGATCCCTCGTTGTAGTGTGAGGCGCGTCAACAGAGCGACCCCGTTTCTCCATGAACTCCGAAAGCTCGTTAGGGTGATTAAGAATATTGTCAATGCGAACGTCAGCATTCGGCTTGTCGAAAGGGTTAACCGTTTCGTGTTCCTCGTATTCAGGAGGAGTCACAATGACCCTCTCCAGCTCTTGTTCATCTTCTTCGTCCTCCTTCCATTTTTCGACGACAGATCTCCTCCGCGAACCGGAGCGGGACCGGATCCGCTCGGCACGCTCGGCAGCATCCTTGCGAGACTTGCGGTAATACTCATCAGCCTCCTCTAGGACAGGATCTTTAGCGGGAGGATCATCTCGCGGGGCCGCCTCGATCTCCCGAGAATCAGGTTTATTAGTAGGCTCCTCAGAGGCTTCGGCGCGCTTGGCCTCATAGTAGGCCTTTTTCAAGGCCTCTTCTTCCTCTGCAAGCCGGCGGGTGGAAGGCTCGCGGCTTGGCGACTCACGTGCCATCTCGGCCATCTGCTCGAGTTCAAAGGAATCCTTCCTGCTCAAGCGCGGGTGAGGGTCGTAGTCGTAGTCGTCCCCGAAATCAGGCTCCCGCTCAACTGTTACGATAGCAGGACGGGAAGGCTCGGAAGCCTTTTCGCGTTTAGGGGGGGTTGCGGGCTGGCTATTGGATGGAGTTTTAAAGGCGTCGGAGTCGACTTGGAACTGGAATGGGTCGATCGGAGCCTTGGAGGGGGTCCGAGAGGTATCCTCTACACGGCGGTACTCAGTGTATTCGGTAGCTGGCTTGGGTGATATCTGGGGTTCTCGGGGGTCGCGTGTCACGCGAGATTCGCGCTGCAGCTTTTCTTCCGGTTTCTTATCCTCATCTCGGCGGAGAGTAGGTTCCTCGTCATACTTGGTTCGGCTCCTCCGATCTCTCTCGGCCTTTCGATTATTGTAACTCCTCACGTATTCTTCATACTCCTGATCGAGACGCTTCTTTCGGCTTTCCTCACTCTCTCGTTCGGGAAGGGCCTTAGTTTCCTCAGGGAGATCCCGGATGGGAGATTCGCGGTAGCCGTCGTCATACTTGCAACTCTCTTTGCGAGAAGAATACCTCGGTTCCTTGCTCTTCTCCTCCGAGAGGATAGCGTGGCCAACTACCCCAGCGGCAGCAGTAAGGGCTGCGCCGGCGAGGATATTTTCGCCAGAAGAAGGCTTACGGATGTTCTCCTCGCGGTATGACGAGTGCTCTATCCTCTGAGGACTAATAGGCGCCACCGGCTTGGGCTGTTCAAGTTGTACTTCGGTTGGACGTGACCGTTTAGGGTACACCTCCTTCGTCGAGGAATAGGAACTCCTCCTCGCATCGAATCGGTTAGGGTCCTCTGTAGGTGAGGCATATACATGCTTCATCGGCGGCGCCTTTGTCTGGACGGGCTCGGGAAGGGGTGTCACAAATCCCTTCAGCGAGTTCTGGGGTCCGAAGTAGCGTGGATCCACGACTGAAGACTTTTTTGAGCTCGGAATCGTGTAAGTGGGTTCGGGAGCGGGAGCAGGAGCAGGAGCGGGAGGCGGCGGCCGTGGTACATGGGATGGCTGGGGTAAGGAGACAGTTGAGCCATATGCCAAAGGATCTTCTACATCGGAGTCGGAGGCAGACTCCCACTCATCATCACTAGAGGACTCGACCTTATACTTTGAAGATCCAATGCCACGGCCTTTCGACCCAGACACCAAGCCAGTAGGTCGCGTCTCGGCCTGGTCTAAATCACTCTGTAGCTGGGTGAGACGACGGCCAATCTCCATTATCTCTTCATCCACCCCAGTACGCTTCTGTCGAGAGGGTCGCGCGGGCACACCGCCGTCGGGCTCCTTTCGGGAATACCGTTGATCGCTGCTATCACGATCATCACGGTCGCGGTCTTTCCGAGGGTAGCGACGATCAATGCTGTCGCGGTCATCGCGATCCCTCCGACTGGCGACAGAAGCCGCTGCGCCTACACCAGCAACCGCGGCGGCGGCAGCCACGCCCATTGCGGCAGCGCTAACGGTAGGAGCGGTAGGCGTCGCGGATGCAGACTCGGAGTAGCGCGTGTCGGAATAGCGCGGGTCAATGGGAGGGGGACGTTGGTGCTGCGTGGGAGTAACATCATGACTACGCTGGTAACGAGGATCGTATTGCGAGTAACTTTGCTGAGGCACGGGAGGATAGGCTTGGGGCACAGGAGGTTCTTGGTATCGAGGATCACGGTAAGGATACGGTTGTGAGTACGGCTGCTGGTATGGTTGCTGGTATGGTTGCTGGTATTGTTGCTGGTACGGCTGCTGATACGGCTGCTGAGGATATCCATACGCGCCTTGTTCGTGTCTACGGCTATCGTGTTGGTGCTGGCGGCCATCATTCTGAGGTTGTTGGTGCTGGACTTGAGGTGAATTGCGATTTGAGTTGTAGCTTCTCGACCGTCTGATGAAGCCTGTGCCATAGGCTAGGTCAGAATCAACGGAAGAGCTCGAGGAGTTTCCAAAAGGTAGGATACGCGCGGTTGCGCGTCTCCTGCTCGTCCGCTGGCGACGCCTATGCTCGGACGGGGCGGTGAAGAAGGTGGTAAAAATGTTTCCAGCACGGACGGGGGGGGAGTGACGCGATATGTCGAGGTAGGAGGAGGAGGACGATGAGGATAGGGAGCTTCGAGAGTTTCTACGGTCTACCTGCCGCTGGCGAGAAGCGTAGGAGGCATCGGCATGGGAAGTGGAGGTGTTGGTATAGATTTGTTCTCGCGAGCGGCGTCGGCTGCGTCGCCGGGAGCTGTCGCGACTGCTCCGGCGACGACGGTGTTCTCGCGGCATGGAGGATGGTTTATTTATTCGCTATAATGCAATCGCGTGGCTTCATTCCATTGAAGATTGATTCGGAGGTTCGGAACAGGCAGAATAAGTAGGTGGGTAGGTAGGTAGGTAGTGAGGGCGAGTTCTACGGAGCGGTACAGTTGATTTTACACAAGAAATCGTCAAATTCGTTTATCGTGGATCGTGAACTGGGGGATCGCGGGAACGAAGGTTGTGGGCAAGGCTTTGCACTCGGTCTTCCGATTCATGAATCAATGATTGGGGAGAGAAGAAGCAGCAGCTAGAGTGGGTGGCTAGCGGTGGAAGGCTGCAAGACTCGAGGCGAGTAATGCGAAGTAAATAAGCCAGTCAAATCTGTCTGGTTGGGCTGAGATGTTGTTTTGATTTTCGGGTGGCTAGTAAGAATGGAGATGGAGAAGATCAATGGTACATGGATCAATGTAGTAATTTGCCGCGCCAAGACTTTGGTGGTGGGTGGCTTCGGGAGCTTGGGTGGGTTTTCCTGGGTGGTCTTGTCTGGTGGACTGGTGGGGAGGAGTCGACACGATGAAATATTGGGGGGTAGTGAACTTGTACTTCGAAGACAAGATCGTGATCTTTATGAGAGAGCCAGCCCAGGGATCCTCCTTCCTTCCCTGCCCACTCTGAACTCTTGAAGCTGACAAGAGCGACGTTGACTCCAGTTCCGTTTTCCTACGAAGTACTTCACAAACGGAACAATAAGAGCAATTTGAAACTATCAAGTATCTATCCATTCAAATAGATATGCAATTATACATTGAATCACTACTAAGTACCGAGGCAAGTACAACAGCATTTGATGCATCTTTGTGCCGCCCAGTCGTGCATGAAATGCCGTTCTCGAACCATTCCAGTCTCTTCTCCAGCGGACTCGATTTGAGGAGCGATTCAAGATTCAAGGGCGTCGGCTTATCGATAAAGATGAAGCATCAATCAACATCAATGTTGATTCTTCATCATATCCACTCCCCAACCCATCCGCTCAATTGGAGCTCCATGTGCGCACAGCTCTTAAAATAAGCTATTCAGCCATGTCGAAGTGGGTATATTCGTGGAGTTATAGTTTGCCGGACTCTTGGGTCAACCCGGCGAATGTTTGGATCTCTAATAATAATAATAAAGTTTCTTCGAGGCCAAAACTGTCAGTCAGAGTGAGATTGCATCAATTCATGCCCGCCAGTGGAGTTGATGGACGGGTGGATATGTTTGAAATGCTTGAGATCTTCGGTTCTGAGCAGTATCGAAACCAGCCCAGAGCTGTCAACAATCCGTTTCCCACATCAGAAATTAGCGGAGAGAACGTTTGACCTATGAGTGTCGCCATATTCACTCGCCACCGAGAAACGTCCAAGGCTTGCCTCTTCATGCCGTCCAACTTCCAATCAGAAAGAGTAACGTCGCCCATTGCTGCATCACCACGCATGTGGACAATTTACGAAGGCAACCAGTCCAGCAACTACTGAGCGGTCGCAGCTGAGGTCGGTCGACGTCTGGCTGCGATCCAGCGAATCGTAGTTCAAGGCCCGCAGGCCTCCGTCCCACACCATCTCTAGATATCCAACTAGGACACGAGCCTTCACGTCCATCGCCACGTGTACACCTTCCATGTGTCGGTCTCTGAAAGATGTGGCTGCAACTCACAGTACGTGAGTACGGAGTAATGCTGTTAGACAAAATAGACGGAGCCCGTATGGGAAAACGGAACATGAAGGAGAAGAATATGAGCAAAGCAACGCTCAAGAACCCAAGGGTTGCTTGGGGCACGTCCAAATCCTCTAGAATTGATACCAATCGCTGGAACGGCTCAAGAATTGATACATTTGATCGTGTATTAATAAATTACGTCAATCTTGATCACCTAATACCAATAATGCCTTGGAAGCTATGTTGTACTAACTGAAGTACTCCCACATACAAATAATATTATAGGGTACAAATTGCTACTATCCTCGAATACCTCGGCCGTCTGCTCAACCAAGGACCTCAGATTGAGCCTCACTCAACTCCTTTCCTTTCCTTTCTTGTTATCCTATCCCCCAACAACCTTCCTTCTCCACCTAAAAAGGAGACTCCAGATTGACCCCGGGGCGAGCAACGAGCAATCAAGTCCATTGTCAAGGGAATGCCCTGCTCCCGCCATCTCATCGAATCACTCGTGACTCACACTCAAGCCTCGACGCCCAACCTCGACGAGACGAGAGAATCGGCAGGGTAAGGTATAAATGCATCTATCTAGAAACCCCTTCTCCAGCTACTCCACTTCTGAACAACCAGTCGGAAATAAAGAGAAGCCGTCCCACCTTCCAATCGGAGACCCACGAACCCATGAACCAAAGGCAGACCCTGCGGATCGCAGTATTATCCGGCGGCTCATCCCTCACATGCGCAGTTGCCCAAGTTTTATTCATAACGTCAAAAGCTATATTCATGCTTCCATGTGCCAACTACGCATCTTCAAGCTGCGAGATGAGACGAACAACACATACATAGCTTGTGGGTCCACTAGGTCTGTTAGAGCATCTTCTCAACTTCTAAATTCATCCTTGCGTGCATTCGAACATTAGATTATATGTAGCAGGGCATCCATACATAAAAAACGGTCTGTATTTCGAATCTTCATTACTTATCGTGAGGCAAAATCAAAGCACAATCTGCCCATCAGGCCTTATCCTTGACCACACACTGATGCCTTCCTGATGCCCGTCGCCTAAATTATACAATGTGAAGAGAAGGGAGGACAAAAATCTGCACGAATCCTCGCCTAGACTCCTCATGCCCCATGTTCAATATCACCCAGCCTTCCCTTGCTCACCTGCCCTGTACACTCTCATAGCAAATATCCCAGTAGTTTCCAACCTCCTCAACCGACGACCCCCCTCCCCTCTCAATCCACGATCGTGCCCCTATCCTCATCACCACCCATCCAACACCTTCGCGTGAACCCAAAGCCCATTCGCCGGCCTCGCCGTTACACCGCCCTTTATGATCATATTCTTCTCATCGTACTCCTCCTTATTCTTCAACTCGAACTCGAACCGCCCCACCCAGGACGCCAACAAGCACGCAAACTCTGCTTTGGCGAACGCCTGCCCGATACAGCTCCTCGGCCCGTGCAAAAATGTCAGGAACGCGTAGTTGCTCGACGCCCCGCCGCTGCCAACCGTCGCGGCGGAGGCGTCCTCACCCTTCTTCGAGAGCCACCGATCCGGGTTGAATCGGCCCGCGTCCTCTCCCCATAGGGACATGTGTCTATTTATCGCGAAGGGGCACAAAACGATCATCGTCCCCTTGGGCACTTTCTGGTCTAGAATAGTCGTGTCGACGGCCGCCTGGCGGAGCGTCAACGGCACGGGCGAGTAATACCGCAGCACCTCGTTGCACACGGCGTTGAGGTATGGGAGGTGATCGATATCCAGCGCCGTGATGTCTTGGTGCGATTCGATCGAAGGGAGATTCTCCCTGACCTCCTTCCGAAGCCGCGTCTGCACATCAGGATGCAAGCACATCATGTAGATTGCCCATTGCATGGCCGAAGCCGTCGTCTCGTGTCCCGCTGCGAGGAACGTCATCAACTGATTAACCAGATCATCCTCGCTGAAGCCGCCGCTCTCGATGGCCACGGAGAGAATGTCGATATCCGTAAGCTCCTTGCGGGCAAATTTTTCCTTCTTCTCTCGCACGAGATCTCGACAGACTTGGCGAATGAAGGCCGATGCCTGTCGGACATCTCCGTTCCTCTTTATAGGGAGATTTGTAACAACCCATCCAGGCAAGACGAGATTGAGTAGATTCATAAGCCGCGCTTGTTTCGAGGGCTTAAAGACATCTTGATACATTTTACTCAGGTGGTTGTTAGGGTCCTGGATAGCGTGGAAATCACGACCAAGTCCTGCTAGGCCAATGATATCCAGAGTCGCGCGTGAGGCCCAGTCGCCGATTTCCAAGACGGCCGTCGGATTCGTAAATCCTGCCTTCTCGTCGGCCCCAGCTTTGGCCGCGTCGACACGGATTTGGTCCATCATTGCCTGCGCCGACTCCTGGGCCTTGTTCCAAAAGACGGAGTAGAGGTCCTTGATGTGCCTGAATGAAAACGCTGGCATCAGGTTCTTCCGCTGCCTCTTGTGCTCGTCGCCCTCGGCCATCAAGATGCCATTTCCAAGGATCCTACCAAGTGACCATCGGATCAAGCCTGGCTTCTCGAAATCATAGTTGCGCGTAACCAGGACTTCGGAAAGTGCCTTGGAATTGGTGAGGAGCAGACGTTCCTGGTTAAGTGGAACCTTGTACCGGATGAGGCCGTCGTTGGGAATATTCGTTGCCCTAGATCCACCGTTAGCGTTTCTCCAATCGCAACTGCAAGCGGCGCGGGGCCGGGTGCCTTCCCCAAATCCAGAGTAGCCAACACCTACCAATCCAACATGGGCGCTCCGGATGGGTCGTCGGAGATGCGCCGGAACTGACCCAGTATCCAATGGCTGCCCTCAGGCTCCGGGATGTGTAGTAGGGGAGAGAAATAAAACGGATACAAAAATACAGTGTATATCGCCCAAGCCCCTATCTCAACAACCCACAACTTCGTAAACGTGCCTAGGAGATATGCCGTTGACCATTGTGGTCTCAGCGATGTCAGGACAAAGGCGAACGCGCCAGAGATGAGGGTGAATGTTTTGAACGGAGGCGCCATGGTCGCGAAACAATATGACTCTCCGTCAGATTTTGTAAATAGGAAGCTGAAAGGAATCAATTGTCAACCCAGCTGGTGGGCAGGGATGTTTTCTTTTCGAGTCGGGGGTAAGCGCCGTCAAAAGCAATATACATATATGCCTTGCTGGCTTGGTCGGATTTAACAGGGCTTAAATACGTCGAAAATATCCCGCTCTCCTCGATCTGAGGACAACAAGAAAAGGTAGCCAGAGTCCAGGGAACCGAAACTTTATTAAGGGAACCGAATGGGGGGACCAGCTGAGCGCGACCGACGCAACCCCAAGTATTAACAAAAGACCAGTGAAAATAAAAGAAGCCCCAGGAGATTTGGGCTGCATCCCAGACTCTTTGGGGGTGTTCTTCAGTATTATTATTACCTTCGTATATTGACCTCAAAGATCGCTCTGTTCTGACAAGCTGCTCTCACCTCACGTCTCACTGTCGGATCGTGGGCATCCTTTGCCAAGAGCCAAGCTATAATCTGACAGGGTTGACCCGAAGTCCGAATGCAAACGAGAGATGCGAATTGCCACGCGTCTCATTGGGCGAGCCCGATTGATAATTTGGTTTGGGAGATGGGAGTTGTAGTTCCCCGACGGAGACGGACTTGAGAATCTGTGTCCACCCACGTTGATGGGCGCCTAATGGATGTCCCACAATCTTTGAAACGGGACTCCTCATCAGGCCTTATAAATCCAGTCCTAAACTTAAATGATACAGACTAGACTACCTGTCTACCTCGATCAATACTAAGTCTGCCAAAAGTCTAGGCTTCCATCGAACACGACGTCACTGAGATATTGACGTGGAGGCTTCACTGAGAATAATTGGCCCGCTCACTCCACGCCTAACCCCAAAGAGACAAACGAGGCGACCCCAGACGAGCCTCGTGAGGCTTGAAGTTGCCCCGACTTCCCAGAATTATCTCCGACGGGTGGATCTTCCAGTCTTGTTATGGAGCCGGAGTTGGGACAATTCGATGCGAAGTACGAAGTAGACTTGAGTAGACCCGCATCTTTTATCTCGCCCTGTTTCTGTTGTTAGCCGTGCTATTGATGTGCCTTGCTTTCCTGTCTCGGCCTACGATTCCCCGAATAACCCAGTAGTTCTTAATGGGAAGAGACGATTGTACGCCCAGTCAGCCTTATATTTCCAGCTTTCTCGCTTCCTCGGCAAGGCACACAAAACGAAGGAATAGTTGATACTACCGACTGCTCCTATCCCATAATTGGAATGGTTTTAGTTTCATATCTTTTATATATATTTCCATTTTGCTGGGCCTTGGTGAGTAGACCCTTGCCGGATGTAAGTAGGTATTCTACGAAAAGACGACCGTCGGTAGTGGAGGAACACGAATATCATTAATGGATGGAACTACCTCGACCATGCTAATGTAAACGAACCAACGAAAATGTCTATAATCTGGTTTGCGACTGAAAACCTCCATCTGTAACTTGTCCGCCACGTACCCCGGCTTCTAAGAGGAAAAATATGCTTCCCTTTGGTGAAGAGGAACCGGAGCTCGTAAGGAATTATCATCAAACTGGGCTAGGATCATCGATGGACGAAGACGGAAAAAGAAGTGAGTGGGGGAAGTAGAAGTGGACGTTGGGGGGTTAAACGGGAAAACGAGAATGCGTCAAGGAGTAACTTCTCAACGAAAAGGGAGTCAGACGACCAAACCCATGCCTGAACGTGCCATTACAGGAAAAAAAAAGAAGAAGCAAAAACATAATAATATTTATCAACCTTGTCTCCTTTCCGACTGCTGCCCTTTTACGCCGTTCCCTTCGTTAAGTCATGATCTGGTTCGTCCATGTGACATCGTTCAAATTTCGCTCCAGGCTTCACTGCCTGTGCGTGTTGTGTTTGATCTGGTTATTTAGATCGTTTGGGGGGTTGATCCCACTCAGCAGCCAAAGAGCATTTCTAGCCGAGGGGTGGAGGTAGAGATGTGCCTCTACGGAGCAGGACCCCGGTCTGGCATAGGTATATCCACGCCTCCGGGAGGAGTAGCTGACCCATTGCCGTTCATCCCGCCCAAAATCGGATGAGAGTTGTTGTTCATCGTAGGCACCGAGCGCTGGGTCTCTCTCTGAGACCCAAAGTCTGGTTGTAAGCTGGGGAGAGACGGCACATGCTCGGGCAAAAGCGAGTGTTCCCTGGGAGTCGGTCCCACATGTGGAGGTCCATTCTGAGGTCCATTCTGCCCATGAGCTGTGTGCCCTGGCGGCGGGATGCCAGACTGCTCGTCCCAGCTAAAGGGTGTGGGATAGAATGCCGCTACGGGGGCGACTCGGGGCCGGGGTGGATTGATGTTCACGCTCGCCCGAAGATTCCGAAGTGTGGGCATCTCTCGTTCCCTGTCATGACCCCAGGATAAATGATGGTCTCCAAAGACATGGCGGTCTCGTGGGGGAGAAGATTGTGTGGACCCCGAAGATGAGATACCACTGAAAGAACTGGGGCGTGCGTTGCTGGTAGACGATACTTCCGGTCGAGAAGCCATATTTCCACTATATCGTGCCCTGATCCGGCGGCGAGGCTCAGCGCTATCCGTTGGTGGCGATCGGCGGGAGGGGGTGCTCGGCTCGTGTTCATCGGAATCCCTTGCTGCATCCCGCGAAAGAACTCGTAATAAAACTTCTTGGGGAATAGCTCCTGAGGACCTAAAGCAAAAAAGGATCTCATGTCAGCTAGGACGGTGTCCCTCAGAAAAATAATCTGCAAAGCTTAGGATTCGACCATCTCCAACTTACCCAAGCGGTGGTACAGGACCTCCTCGAGTTCGAATAAGCTCCAACAAGGCTCTACTATTTGCGCTGAATCGAGGTTCTGAGGGAACTTTAGTACGGCAGTAAGGGCAGCTGTCCGACTCGTCGAACCACTTCTTGATACAGTGATCACCAAAGACGTGTTTGCAAATAGGCAGTCGAAGAGGTGCCTCCTTGACACCCTCAGGTGTTTCCGTGCCGAAATCATTGTAGCAGATGATACAACCTATCAAGAAGATATCAGTAGAAGTTCACATGAGGTTGCCGTACATAGCAAAAGGTTGGGAGGGAAAACGTACTCCTCTCCCCCTCGGCTAGCGTATTAATGTCGACGCTTTCAAGGGACGAAATTGCGGACGCGGATGCCACCATCTTCGTATTGACAGAGCCACGGAAGAACTGGGCAGCACGTAACTGTCTGTCGTCGCCGGTTCCATGCCTTATGATACCTGCGGGGATTAGGCTTTCGAACAAAGCATCGGTGTGGGGGAGTGATGTGGGGTCATCGTCGCTGTCTCGATCGCGTTCAGAAGGGAGCGGTTGTGCACGGGTTACATTTCGGCGGGCAGATCGGGTGCTCATTCCTCGACGTCGAAGTTCCGAGGGCGGCGGAGGGCCGCCTGGAACGGGCGAAAGTCTCGTGAATTCATATTGGCTTGGGTGCACGGCTGTAGCTTACCACAGAATTAGCTCGGGTTGACTCACTCCCGAAGATTAGAGAGAAGACCAATACTTACGAGGCATGTTTTCCCCGTACAGACCTGGGTAGTAGTCTTGTCCAAACGGGCGTGATAGTTGATTGAGATGGGGAAGGTGGGGAGGCTGAGAAACAGGGACGTGCTGGGAGCCGGGCTGCATGAAAACAACACTCAGATTGGTATGTCGGTGATGGTGAGGGTGAGAATTTTGCGGATGGGGCTGTTGATGGGAATGTTGTCCCTGATCTACACCGGCCTGAGTTGCCACGTTTTGTTGATTCTGGCCATGTGGGTTGACGTGATTAGGGCGAGCATGTGATGGGCCTGCTTGAGGCGTACCCGTCGTTGAGCCTAGACTCGCCATATGATTATGATGCCCCGATGGTGGCGCGGGAGCGGGACGCGGCTGCTGTTGCTGTTGCTGTTGTTGCTGCTGCTGTAGTTGCGACACGAGGGGAGGCGAGGTGGTCGAGGACGAAAGGTTGCGGTTCGCAGGTTGATGAGATGGAGCTGGCCCTGGTCGATTGCCTTGGAGGTGGTGATGTTGATGAGAGGATGAAGAATGGGCGATCGGAGGTGGCTGTGGTTGATTTTGCTGCTGTTGTTGGTGTTGTTGTTGCTGCTGGTGCTGATATTGACTGGGTGATGAATGGACGGAAGGAGGACCTTGAGGGGGAACAAGATGAGAAGGAGGGGAAGGTCCGCCGGGCCTAGAGTTATGCACTGAAGGGAAGGACCTCAACCCCACCGAGCTTTGTCCTGGAGCAGGTGGCAGCCCACTGTTTGTCCCGAACGGCGTATCCTGGTTCGTCGGCGGCTGGAAATTCATAAGCGGTAGTTGCGGTGGTGGAGGAAGCGAACCAGGAAGGAACGGGTAGGGTTCGAGATTGGAAATTGGCGGCACGCGTAAGTGAGGAAGGCCATGGGGACCCTGAGGGCCACGAGGCAAATCCATCCCAGAAGGTGGCGGGCCGGACCAGTGGTAAGGAGGGTGGTTGTGAGAAACCCACGGAAGCGGGGGATTGTGAATGGACTCGGCGTGAGAGACGGAGCGGTGTTGGCTCTGGTAATTCATATACGGACACACCGACGGTTGTCCCGGGTGTTGGCCAGCGCCACCCGAGCTTCGGTTGAGGTACTCCATCTCAGCCATGACGTGCTGTCCCAAGACAGGTGTGGAAAGTTGCAAAAGGTTTTCAGAGAGTCGAATCGGTTGTTTTCGAGGAAACCCAGTCAGGTAAAGAAGTTATCTACCCGAATGAGCATGAAGTGTGCGGTGGCCTGCGAGCGGACTCTTATATAAGGCCACTACGAGTAGGTGGCTGCCTAGGTCGATTTCGAGAGCGTCATGAAGGGTTCGAAACGTCAGGTACGTTCTTGAAGGACTCCTCGAACCAGACCCTCCGTTGGACAACGATTCGAAAGGCCCGAGTCCCGTTTTTCCAGGGAATATCAACCTCGACTCTGTCCGAGGCAGGGGCGATGGTGGCTTTCGATAACGACGATACTCCTCCCCACTTGTTCAGCTACTCCTAAAAGTGCGGGCAACGCTCCCTCTCTTGTACGACGTAGACTAGTTGTGAATGGCAGGGAGGGAAAAGGTTCTCTGCCCTTCTCGGTTAGGATTCCCTTGCCAGCTTCAATCCACATATCATATTTCTCCCAAGCTCTTACATGCACAACGATCCTCGTATGCTAGCTTCTCGCTGTTTCTGCCCCGAACCGGAATCTCGTTGGTATGTTATTCCTGCCAAAACAGCCCTTCCACTACAATATCCCGTTTTTGATACCTTAAGTAGGCAATTCCTCGATCGAGCGCGAGAATTTCGGTCGGTGGGAATTGGTAGGATTTTGTCTTCTTTTTTCTATCTTTCCTCCGTTGGAAATAGATACGGTACAGGCTCGCTTCGGATTTTCTTCGTTTTATTTCGCTTCGGGACGAGCGGGTGGGAGGAGAGGTGAACCGGTCGACGACGAACGGCGGGGGTGGGGAGGAAGGGAGCGTCGGAGCAGAGATCGATAGTGTCGATGCACTCTCCCTAGAGCGTAGTACGTGTAAGTTCGACCCACCGGAAGATAGTGTTTATGATTCTGTAGATCACCGAAAGAGCGATTTCCGAAAGCTTTTTCCTCTAAAAACTAGGGGAATTCCGCAAATTCTACTTTAATCCCCGGCGCCGTAATATTCGCGAATAATGACGAATGCTGAGCATACAGGGTGCAGGCCTAAATCGGTTTCCCGGGCCAACAACGCTCGATCGTGGGGACGGACGGTGGGGTGAGGACGGATCAACGTTGGTTCGGCTTAGAGGATCGGGCACTGCACATGCCAGACGAAAAGGCTATTGGAAAAATCGAGAGTTATGCACGCATTTAGAGCCGAGGACGACTTGCTTCCTCAAGGCTAATAAGGTTCTCCAGAAAGGTAAGTAGGGCGACGCTTGCAGAGTAAGAGGCTTCTTAGAAGCCAAGAGCGGGCATCAGGTAAGAAGGAAGCCAAGGTTTGGGTAGAGTTGGCTTTAGCTGGGGCCTGGCGAAACAACGGAGCGAAGGGGGACGAAATGGGTTTTGAGGAACGGGAAAATGAGGAGGAAGTGGTGGGCAGGAGGAAACTGGGCGGTACGAAGATAATAAAAGGCAAAGGCCAGGCTAGGCAAAGCAAATAATGCTACGATTAGGTCTATTTCGTCACGGACGGCTTGTTTGTCGGTCTCGGGACGCAAGACAGCGAAAGAGGTTAAGGTCTCATGAATTAGCGACACGGAGACATGGACTGGCCTACTTATTTAAGTGTACGGAGAGCCATACATTTAGGAATAGTACGAAGTATGGTACCACGACCACGCCCGCCTTATCTTGGCCCCAGTATGGAGGGGGGGACCAGGCAGAGGAATGTGGTGTTTTATGAAGGGTTGATTCAATGGGGACCCGGAGAACGGCGGGTTCGGTGGATAGGTGGGTAATACATAGTCGAGGTGGGTAGGGGTATTTGTATTCACTCACCTGCTGGACGTACGAAGAAGATGTAGACAGATACGACATAGCACGGGTCTACTTCGTATGTGGGATGGGGACGGGGATGGTCAAATGGGCCGGGCATGGACTTGGACAGGGCCTGGGAATGGGAGACGTGGAGATGTGGGACAAGGGGCATGCGGCATGGGACAGACATGGACGAGCAGCAGGAGGGGTCGATGCTTGGCTGTGTGGGTGGGCATGGCCCTGGCCTGGCGCTGCGACTTTTGACTGTCAATGGTCAGTGGTCACCAACTACTAGAGGCGAAATATTCGGGTACAGCGGGTTGGATGGTGCGCCTGGTGCAGGAAGGCAACGCACCAAGTACCAAGATGAAAAACGTCAAAAAGTATTTCCTTTTATTAATAGCGGGTAATACGGTTCCAGTTGAGTCTCCTTCATGTTGCGTAGTGCAGGATGGTCAACCACACACCATGGCTGATATCCTTCAGGTGACAGGTGAGTATCATTGATAAAAATATCAATGCCCCAGCAGTGTACTTCGTACTCGGCATAAGTCGTCCAGTCCAGGCAAGCAAAGCAGCTTCACTTTCCCTCAAGGGAGCGGGGCAGGCTCTGGTGTGATTGATGGCTGGATGCATGCTCGTTTGAACAGGCATCAAGGATTCGCACTGACAGGCCAGACCAGGACTGGACAGTGTGGAAGGAGGAAGAGTGCACTTGACAGACAGATGAGAGAGGACCATGGCTATTCCACCATCGAATCTATCGAATCAATGAATTAATGTGGTAACGTGGAAGGCGGTCTGGTCTCCTGGGCGGAGCACCGAACGGGGGCAGCAACGGTCCGGAACAGCGTGCTAAGACCAAGACTGGACAAGTATTTTGAGCCTGTTGTGACATCAATCTTCCCTTTCGGAACTCAGTCGGCATCTCACTGGCTCACCTAGCCTGCAACAAAAACACAACCAGCCCCAGAAAGTTCAAGGGCAAAAGCAAGATCAGACTGTTTCTTGATCGACCATTTCGTTATCGACGCTCTGATATTTCCCTCTTGTCTGTTACTCCCTTTGCCTTGAAGTGGTAGATAGGTTCGATCGATCCTATCCACGCCTATGCGGAGCACGTCCGCTGACTGTTTCCGATTGTATCAGATGAATCCAGGTGGAAAGAAGTGCGAATGTGACCTTGGGACGTCATCATCGTTGAGATGAGGGGTGGACTACAGCTATACTGGGCATGGATCGGGAAAAACGGCAACCAGAATAGGATATTGGAAACTCCGAGCAAAGGGTTCAAGCGCTCCTGAATCTTCCATCACTTGCCCCCGCCAATTTCCAATCTATTCATTGTCTAGTCTTTTCATTGGTAAATATTACCAATATGCAGCGAGCCTAAGATGTTCAGCCAGCGGTAATACACGAAATATACGTCGCCAGCCATGGGACGGTTGGCGGCTGATACACCAATATTGGTGATAAGTTTGGAAGGATTTACGATGGCAAACACCAGTAAAGGGATCATTCTAAGGCTCACTGGACCATGACGTTGCTGATAGCCAAAATAGGTGCAGGGAGTAGGAACAATCCAGAATGTCTCGAGCTCAGCTCATCACCCTGCAACCGTGATTTATCAGTGGCCCACTTGTGGCAGTCAAAGTGGTGCATTTGAATGCGAAAAACGAGAGGCTCTTTGAATAGCTAAAGTCAGACCTGGACATCCTCCTCGGGATGGGCGGAGATAAAAATGAGGTGGGCTTGGAACGGGGCAGACCTCGAATCTAGATCCTGGATGGTTTTTTTTTTAGTGTAGGACCAACCCAGCCTCAAAGTTACGACAGTTGGGCTCTCGTGCAGTCATACCTATACAGTGCTTCGCTCTGCATGCTTTCCACTTTCCTTTCGTCGATTCGGAGGTCCTTATTTGTGAGAAATCCCAACTCTTATAACCAATAATAAATGCCCAGGTTGGCTACGAGAACCGGGCAATGCCGAGACCATTGTGCTGCGCAACCGCCTCGTCTCACTCGTCTCGCAAGTCCCGCTCGGTCTCTCTCTGTTCCTATCGATCCATCCGTGATGTGCCTATACAATGAGCTTTGCCTTGGCGGAGATTATTCCGTCGTCTAATGGGAGGGAGCGAAGCAAGTTTCAGTTGACTGGGTCTACTCATGAAAAGAGGCTAGAGATTCCAGTCCAGTCTCCACGAACCGAGTTGGTGCAAGGGCGGTGCGGGCAGCCAAGAAGCAAAGAAGTATCAAGAAAGATAGTTTTGCGAGTTGGTGGTGCATCGGGCGTATGAGGATAATGGGAGGATTTATCCTCGCGGCCTTAACGGTACGATTGTGCCGTAAAGTATGGAAAGACGGACGCTGGGGCCACTTTCAATTTAACCCCATCCAGCAACCGGTAAAGTGCTTGCATGAGATTGTTAGTCAAGTTTGGGCGGTTAGGAGGCTAGAGCGAGTGGTGAATGAGTGTGCGAGTAAGCCATCCGGGCGTACATATAATAATTCGCTCTTACTTTCCATCCGACGGCGTCCGGGTAGTTCGCCAAAGCATCAATCCACTCTCGCACGATTGTTTCGCTTCGTACTGTATGGATCCTGGGCCTCACCTGAGCACCGCCCTGTTACACGGTTGAAAAAAGTGTGACGGAGGGAGGAGAGATCAGCACCCGAGCATATGGCAGGGAAGTTTAGCAAGGAGTATCAACCCTCTCCGACCACGGGACTCATCTAGAACCGAAACGAACATCTTGATTGGAGCGATGCCTCTTTCTCCCACATTCGAACAAGGGCATTCTATGCTTCCACGTATTGACACTCGTTTTATTACGTGTTACGAAGTACATCTGTAGTAATAAATGCGTTGAACGCTCAGTGTTGCAGACGGCAGTGCCATCTGCTTGCGCACACACATTGATCTCAACCTCCTATCCAGCTAGATGCATCCATCTATTTACGTTATACTGAGTACATGTCAATAAAAATCGAAATGTATTACTTCGCCTATGCCAGCCTACTTTTTTTTTTTTTCTTTTTTAAATAAGGAAAACATATAATGCTTCAATCAAGCGTGTATAATATACTATTGTATGAAGGCTCATGGGCTTAAATTCCCATTGCCTGCCTTACTTCCTCGCCAGCAAACGGGAGACTGATCTCTTGAGCTCCC